CGCGGAGAGAGAAAGAGAGAGAGTATGTTTGTATGAGAGAGAGAGAGAGAGAGAGAGCGGTCGGCAGGAAGAAAGTGTACTCATATCCTATCACAGCACTCCTGTGGGAAATTTATTCATGCGGGCGAAATGTCCCGTTGCTCTCTGTTCTTCTACTTTAGTCGTCCTGGCGAACAGCGAGGCGAGAGCGAGAGCGCCGTCCCCTCCTTCCTCATCATGTACAATGTGTATGTATGCCTGCGTGCGTGCGTGCGCGCGCGTGTACGTCGTGAGTGACTATTCATTATATTACATTCCATTCCATTCCGTTCCGCAACCCGGGCGAAAGACACCCCCAACGTTGTTTCTCTTTTCCCCCTTTCCTTTCCTCTGCACCGTGGTCGACTTCTAGGGCACATGTATATACATACATGTATCCATCATCAAATCGGGCGAACAAAAACAAAAAGGGGGGGGGATCGTGTGACCGGATCCAGAGACAATTTATGGGGCTCGGCGGGTGGGAAGGGAGAGAGAGAGAGAGGGGAGACAGAAGAAAAGATTTGCTGTTGTGAGATTTCATCGTCACATCGGATGGCCTTCGGATCCCCGTGGATAGATGGGGAGGCTGCAAAAAAGCGACAACAACAACAACGACGACGACCCCCCTCCTCTATGTACAGGTACAGGTACAGTACATACGTTTATCATGAATTGTCCGGTGGCATTTCCCCTCTTGCCGGGTCTCTGCCCGCGTCATTGAAGCAGAAAACGCAAAAAAGAAACTGCATTGATCGGGGCGATTCCCCCCTATCCTATCCTATCCTATCCTATCCTATCCTACCCGACATTGATCTCGGTCCGAGATCCTCGTCCTGTCTCCCTGACATCTCGGGGAAAAGGCTGGACCGTCTACGTGCAGCGTGTCTTTCGGAACGGAGGTCCATCTTCCAGACCTCTCGACGAAAACGGGGGATCGGTCCCATCCGACTCGCTGATACTAGAAGAAGACATGGCAAGGATGGATCTCGAGCGGTCTTCATCCGGTGGTGGATATATGATAGTCGAGCCATACCAATTCGAATCGGATCTGATCTCCGATGAGGCTTCTCTTTCGCAGTGAAGACCTGTATGAATATGTGTCTCGACGATATGGATCGGGGTAACCCCCTTGTGTTTCTTCGCGTACGCGGAATGAGGATTGCCCCTCATCCTTGTTCGTTTGCACTGCGTTTGGGAACCCATTCTGATAAAGATTCATCGTCCATCGCCGTTGCTTCATGATGCAATGTAGGGCGGGTGGTATGTGCCTCTGATTGACCTGCTGCGATGGATTTAAGCTTTTCCGAGACGTTCTGATGTATGGCCCGCATGTCATTTTGGTCCGGTGTCTCTCTGTCCAGTCTAGACGAGACGTGCCTGGCTAACCGAGAAGAGGAAACCAAATTGTTTTGGATGCATTCCTCCCGTTTCTCGGCGTTATCGGGGCAATGCGGCGTGCAGTGTGGCTCGATTCATGGAGTCTTTCGACGATCAGACATCCATCTTGCGCTTGATCAGTCGCAGGGCTGCGCTCTCAGCACAGACTGCCCTCGGTATATCTGAGATAAGATCGCAAAGCCGCCTCGGGCTTGCTCCTCCTCGATACTTGGAATTCCATGCTTCCCTTTCCTTTCTTTCCCCTCATCTGCTCAAGGACAATCCCCAAACCCGACCCCGGCCTTGAGACACACCGCAGCACCCCTCGTCGCATGGATACAGATGAGCACGAGCGAGGGAAACAGCCAGAGGTCGATGAAATCGCGCGCGGTGGAGACCGTTTCTCCCGCAAGGACGTGCTGAAGGTTCGTCCAGAGTGGGTGGAATAATGGTAGAGGCCGAGCAGGTTGTGGGAGGTTATGGTTGTTGTCGTGGACCTGAGGGTCGTCAAGGAAGATGACGGCGTTGGGATGGTTCGCGACCAGGTCGTCGCTCGGACGAGGCCGCATGGAGCAGGCGGTGTTGGTGTAGAGGAGCGAGGACATTGTCGTGGTTGTTGGCTTGTCTTAACTCGGGGAATTTTGGTGGGATTTGCGAGGGACTAGTCGGAAGATGGCGGCGGTGTGCTCGGTCGCGTTGGCGTCGGCGACGATAGCACGCTTATGCGCATATAGATCGAGATCAACGTGAATGAATGCAGAGATGTTGGAACGATAATACCAAGGAAATGCGCTCGTCGGAGAAGGGAAGACAATCCGATGATGATCGAATGATGATGGGCGCGAGAGACCCTCGTCGAGTCGTTGACGGATCAAAGGGCTGAATGGAGTTCCGTTGAGGGTTTGCAGCCGAGGCCTTAGGCTGTTATCAGATCCGCCGATTCGCATGTGAACCAGGTACGCACGCATCTTCTCATCATGGTTTAGGGCATCCTCCGCGATCGGCTGCATGAGCAACTTTAATCCGTGCGATCGTGGGATAACAGGAGAGCATGGGACAGGAGCTTAATGACGATTTTATATTCATATCAATCACTTGCAAATTGAAATGCTCAAGACGAAACGAGCAAAAGCATGTAATTGACATTGACGACAGCACAATGATGGGAAGGGTACACAAGCGTCTATTTAATACAGCTTTTACAAAGAAGCAAATAATACAGTCCAGAGCGTGCCAACGGTGGCAGAAGTTCGTCCACCCTATCACTTCTTCTCTTCCTGTTTAGCTCCTGGCGTTCCCTCAACCGACTGCTTCGGTTCAGCTTGAGATGGTACCACCTCCTGAGCCGCCGCCGGTGTCTCTACCTTCGTTGAGACCGACTCTTCTGCCTTCACACCCTCGCTTGCAGGTTGCGAAGGGACGTCCTTCTCAATGGGAGCTTGCTCTTCGACCGTAGCCTCCTGCACTTCCGTAGCTTGATCGAACGCGAACTGGACACCATCTTGAGCTTCTTGAGCTTGCAGACGTTTTCCAACAAACTCAGATTTCTCCTTAGCCTCAAGAAGTAAAGCATCCTGTTCTGCTGGCTTTGATCCTGCAGCGGTCTTTGTCGATGATATCTCGGCCGGCGACGGTTCCATGGTTGCGGTCTCGGCGTCAGCTGCGGCGGGTTGCGGCTGTGATTCCTCTGCAGCCTGTGCTGATGTTTCCTGCTTCTCCTCCGGGGCCGAGCTTGGTGACGGTGATGATGGCGGCGCGGGGGTCGCAGCTATTGTTGGGGATCGCTTCTCTGGAGATGGAGAGGCAACCGGCGCCGCCGCCGCAGCTTCTTTTAGCTCATCCGCCGACGGATCAAGTGACGCACTGCTTTGACGTTCGTGTTTATTGGCTTTGTCTTGCGTTGGGGTGCTAGGTGCTGCGGTGCTGGATACCCGCTTGGCCGCTTCTCTTTTCGCTTTGGCTCCACGAAGCATTGCTTCAAACTCCTCGTCGCTAGCGTTTTGGAGGAATTCGGCGCCGGGTGCGAGGAAATCGGTCGCAGATTGCTGCTGCGTCTTCGCAGATTTTTCTTGCACCTCTGCGTGTTTCCCGGAACGACCCTGTAGTTGCACGTAATCCTCCTCACGAATGTCAAGTTTCACCTCAGCATCGGCAGCAGATCGCAATTCTGACAATTTTGAACTTGTGCTCGCATCTTGAGATTTCGACTCCGACTGCTGTACCTCAGAAATAATTCTCGAGATATCTTGTTTGCCCTCGAGCGAGAAGGCCTCTGCTGCTGCATCTTGGGCATCTTCGCTCTCCAAATCGACCCCTTCGCTCTCAGTTGGGTTGTAAGCTTGAAGATCGCCTCCCAGAAGTGCAAACAGCTCTTGGTCGCGTTCATATTGATCCACTGGTACGCCTCCTAGATCATTCACATCTACCTCGTAGTCATGTGACGCGGCAGCACCTTCTACCCGACGTCGTGCAGCACGAGACTTCGGGGGCTTCAATCTATGACGAGCGTTGTATTTGACGACACCTTGCTCTGAAAGCCCCAATCGTGTCTTGTGACCAGCTTCACCTGCACGGCCGAGAGCTCCAGCTATCACTTGTACACATCGCGGGCTGTCGTCGTTGGCGGGAATAGGATACGTGACCCAAGTAGGATTACAATCAGTATCAATGATACCGATCGTCGGAATGCCGTGTTGGCCGCATTCGCGCAACAAGACATAGTTCTCCACTGGATTGAGACATACGACAAGATCCGGCTTGATTGCAGCATAATCGTCGAGCTGATCGTCGAAGCCTTCCATCTCGTGGTCTGATGAATCAACGACTTTCTTCGCACAGTTGCCGAGGATTTGTTGTCCGTTCGTTATGCTTCCAGGTACCCATTTGGTGAAAAGGTGACAACCCTTTGCCAAACCCGCAGCCCTGACGGTGACTCTTGACTGCCCACTCCTTGTTCCCACAAATAGGATGACACCTCCATTTTCTGCAACAGATTCGACGACCTTGCAAGCACGACGGAGATGCGAGGCGGTCACATCCAGACTGATGATGTGAATAGGGTCTCCGCTTTCAGTGCCGCGTACACCGAAAATGTACTGCGAGTTGCCAGGGTGCCAAAGTTGTGTCGCGTGACCCAAATGGGCCCCAGAGGCGAGAAGTAATTCGAGCGTGATGTCTTCCGGTCGTGGAGGGTAGGCGAGTAACTCGTGAGGCTTGTAAATAGCCCTCCCAGCACTACCTAGAGGATTGAACAATTGTTTCTCATAGGTGTGTCGCGCGTATACTTGTGCGACAGGATGTGAAATGTCGTTCACCGAGACAGGTCGAATGGGAATGAGCTCGCGTTGGAAAAGAGTCTTGCCCGGAGGGACAAGACCTTGAGTATCGAATGATGCATTGCTTGGTGTACTGTCCGAAGGGAAAGGCGACTCCGATGTGTTTGATGTCTCCAATGATGAGACGTATCTCCGCCATGATCGCATTGGCTGAACGGACGAATATGTTGATCTGGGCAGGGCCAGTCGGCCTGTACACATCTTTGTTAGTGATACCTTTCAACGAGGCGACAACACCAAGCCGATTCTGACATACCCTCCCGGAGCCGCAATGCCCGTACGATCATTCTGTGATGAGCCGCGTTTGTTGCATTCCCAAGGGCTGCTGATGGTTTATTCCCCATGTCCCAAAGCTGCAAGTCTTGGCATTCCCGACAGCTCCGCAAAAGTCTCCCGAGAATGAACTGGGCGGGAAAGGTTTCATGCGTCAGATGCATCGCGGGCCGAGCGTCCGAACGTCGCGTCCTCTCAACGCGTCCTCGTCACACGTCTATTAAAGTGCTTGATTATGGAACATTCACTATCTCTCGACACGACGCCAAGGTCAATGCATTTATAACACATGAAGATCATTCTCAAAACCATGGCTACCTCATCCGACCAGACACTTCCCTCGAGTCCTCAGCTGAGGTCACAAATTACATTCTCGGATGCCGTCATTCGCTGCTCAACTCCACCGTCGTCTCCGCCAGGATTTCCGTGGGAACAAGTGCAAGAAGACGCGCCAGTCGAGAAGACAACAAGTACATCCAAATCAACATCATTGAATGCATTCTCTGTGCTAGGGAAACGGAAACCTTTAGGAGAGGTTACAAAGAATCCTCGCCCAAAGAAACAAATCGCGCTCAGCTGCAAGCAAAATGCTGCCGCGCAATCCTCTCAGATGCAATTAAGCCTAGGCCAACAGACCCGATCAAAATGCTCCACATGCGGTATGGAATACGTTCCATCCTCAATCGAGGACCGGAAACTACATCAGAAATACCACAGGCAGAACAGCGAAGGGTACGACGTAGGCGACGTATTTGTCGACCAGACACTTAAGCCGCGGCGCATGAGGGGTCTGAAGAGCGGTGACTATGTCATCATGGTTGATGCATTTGATCTGCATCATCGGAAGCGTCGTGCACACGCGGCATTGGAGATCGTCCAGCGGGAGCTCGGCGCGGTTGAGATACCCCATAACGACATTTGGAAATCCCAGCCGGATGATCTATCACATCGCGAGTCGAAGTATAGATCATATATGTATATCCGTGGCACAAAATGCATTGGATATCTTCTTGTGGAACAACTCGATAAGGCATATGCAGTTCTCAACTCTGCGGCTTCCACGGATACCACCACGGCTGCGGCGGGTGACAAGGAGGAGAAGAGTGCAAAGAAAATCTCGGCTCTCGCGGCTCTCCGTGCGCGAAAAGAGCAGCTCGCACAGGAGCTGGCTGACTGTGCGTCACAGCCACTCAAGTGCGCTGATGTTGACAGCCCTGCCGTCATGGGCGTATCACGCATCTGGACCTCTCCTGTACATCGGAAACAGAACATCGCCACCGCGCTCCTCGATGCAGCGGTCAAGTTCCACAATGAATTTGCAGAGACGTCCAGAAATCTTCCGCCACCAACCAGTGACCTCTCGCCTGAGTTGAAGGATACCGTGGTCCCTCCTTATAAGCGGCCGAACATTGTACGACGAGATCAGGTTGCATTTAGCCAGCCGACTGAGTCCGGCGCTAGATTGGCTAGGAAATGGATTGGGAAAGCGTATGGCTGGTTGGTGTATTTATGAGAGACATGACTAAACCTGCACTACTCTGGCCTTATTGACGCTGTCCAGTCTTTAAAAGTAACGACTTTGTGCAACCTTCTACACGGTCTTGCCTAGTATATATCCTCACCTTTCGATGACGTGCGAGTCAGCCGTGTCGATATTGAACCTTGACTTCCGATAAGCATTTGTAAAAACTCTGCCTTTACAGTGCATATGTCACGCCATTACTGCCAAGCACGACGCATCATTTCACTAAAGATACTGACGCCAACACTTTGGCAGATCCGGTGGAGAAGTTATCAAGGTACAAACAGGATGATCGACTGATGGCATAGTGCGCTGTCAATAGACGTCGATATGGCAGATGATCTCCAAGCCTACGAGGGATCAAGTCGTATTGAAAGGCGATCTGAGTACGAAAAGACCAAGAAGGTGACACTCTCTGACTGACAGCTCGATGCTGGATTCGAAGTACCGCACTGACCACATCATATTTACATCCGCGGGGTCGCTCCAGCAACCGACGTCAACGCGTCTTTGCGTGCACGCACCTCCCGACATGGAGAATAATGTACATTCTATGCATTTGTGTATGTAGTCTTATGAACGCAGTGAATCGGATTTGTGACATTCGCGCCCTTGTTAGCATCTGTCGTGATCTCGCTGGGATCTGCTCTGTTAACACCTACTATTGCCTCAGAAGTACTAACATAACTTATAACAAACCATCTTTTTGCGCAACTATTGGAGAGACGCACTCTAAACAATCATCGCTATAAAGCAGCAATCCGTCGAATCGAGCTGTGAATAAGACCACAATGTCACGAGTCTCACTTGCGACACCATGCCCTCCACCTAAAAGGCTTATCACACAGGCGCAAACCACGCTCCCCATCTCCGACGAAACAACAAACATAGATTATACAAGCACGATACAGAATGAGTTCCGCAACGCCAGACCGAAAAGACGACAAAGTTTGAGCCGCCGGGAACAAAAGCATGTGCCAGTCGCGATCTTCGAGGATTTGGTGGAGGATGAAGAGCTCAATGTGGAGCCTGTCACGAAGAAATTGGAGGGACGGACGCTCTTAGGAAAGCCGGCGCAGCGCAGGCTATCTACATTCGTCGCGAACCCGCCTGAGGAGCAAGCTAGAGTGCAGCCCATGCGAAATGTTGGCCAGGCTACAAGGCGATCCTCGATCCTCCCTCGCGTTGTGGAGTCGAAGGAGCGGAATACAGAGCGATCCGACCACGCACAATACATGCGACGAAGGACGATCTTCGTACCGACTGATGCGACCACAATGCTGACCATACATCCTGGAGCCAAAATGACATCACAACTGGACGATACGTTTCACGTCGGGCAGTGCATCACGCAAACAAAGTCTGCTGTCGAAGATCGAGCGAATGATTCTGAAAATGTTGATAGTCTGGCCGAGCTCATTCATCAGCATAAGCCAGTCCGCCGACCTAGGAAATCTCTGGCAGCGGCGCCTAGGCGGCTGCCGCTGCAGCATATTGAATCAAGCTTCAATGATACGATGTTTGAGCTTGCTGGTTCGAACACCGGCAAAGAGAATGTACCGCCGTCAGCAGAGACGCGCAAAAAACATACCGCCGAGAAACCGAAGAGTGCCCTGGCGCCACGCATGTCCTATCAAAGCGGAGTGTCTCAAAAGCAGACTGCGGCCTCGCACAACAGACAATCAGTAATTGCGCGGAAGAGCGTACCGCTACCCCGTTCACTTGTCCCTCAGAAGCGACCGATCGCTGCCAGGGTGTTGACAGCAAATACCGCGGCTGCGCATTCAGGACAGGCCCACCCTCCCGCGAAATACTCGGTGAAGCCATCGCAAGCCAAAGCATTGATGCCACCTAAGTCGAATACTGTTGATCGAGCCGAGAAGCAGCGACAGCTTCGCGAAGTAATCGCGGTGAAACGCCAAGAACTGCAAACCGCCAAACTTGCAGACTATCCCCTGCTTTCCGAAGATTTCGCTCAACCAGAGCTCTACGACGATGGATGGTTGTCTCATCAAGAGGTAGCAGTAACCGAAACAATCAACGAGATCTTCCGCTCTGCCGTAAAAACTTCAACATTGGCGCAGGCCGACCAACAGACATCTCTACGCGACCGTATGATCGAGACATATCACTCTCCTGACACCAGCATGTTGTACAGGCGCATAATCGCGTCCCTGAGTCACGGTGCTCTGAAGCAGCCAAAAGAATTAGCTGCTTCCAGCAGTCTTGGTCGCGACCTTGGGCGCAGGAGACGCTTCTTAAGCCTACTATTGGACAACTACGAGGAAAACCATCTCCGCACGGCCGCAGAAGTTGTGGTCGGTCGGCAAATCCCTCGTCAATCTGGAGGATCAGCTAATGCATTGACGGCCGGCGAGGCAATACTCGACCCACTGATCAATCGAAGAGCAATCACTCGTTTTCTCGAGACATTCTTTGTGTCGGCCGCCGATGTCGAACCAGTCAAAACCTTGCAGAATGACGATGAGCAGACGTTACAATCAGCTCGTTTGAGGAAGACCACAGTCCGCAGTCTCATGCTGATTTGGCTGCTCGACCGAGCCAAGCTGGAAAACGATGTGGAGGGCTGTTTATTCCAGCTCTCCGCTTCGAAAAAATCCTCCATTGAGATGTTGCAAGCATTGTCGACCTTTATTCTACCGTCGACAGGCGATATCGTGCGAGTCTTGCGTCACATGGACTACGAGATAGCGCATGTGCAGGACCCTCTCGACGAAGTGGTATATCACGTGGAGAACCTCGCGGTCGATCTTCGCGACGGAGTAATTCTCACGCATCTCGTAGAAACATTGCTTTACCAGCAAGCCAACGAGACCATGGACTCCACCGATGAAACTTCTACCTTGGCGATCACCTTGCCAGATCACACCGTCCTTGAGAGCATCATTCAGGTACAAAACAGGCCCGGAGTTCCCACACGACTGCTTTCACAGCATGTGAAATTGCCTTGTACCGGTCGTGCTCAGAAGCTATACAATGTGCAAATTGCTCTGAGCGCGCTCGAATGCTACGACACAAGAGGCAACAATGCAGTGGCAGACGTCACAGCCTGCGATATTGTTGATGGCCACCGCGAAAAGACCATCGCGCTACTTTGGTCTCTTGTCGGAGGCTTCGGATTGAGCAAGCTAGTCAACTGGAGAGACCTTGCTGCCGATACTACTCGAATTCAAGGTTGCAAATCATTGACAGTCAGTGCTGCCACTCGCGAAGAGCAAGCGGAGCTTTTGAAGTCATGGGCTTCAGCATATTGCGCATCTGAAGGCGGCCACCTGCGCATCACAAATCTGACGTCTTCCTTCGCTGATGGAAGAGCCTACGGTGCGATCATCCGTGGATATGCGCCGTTCATCTCCTTGAAATCCACGAAGAAACGCTCGTCAAAGTCAAGCGACAATCCGCAAAGTGTTCTCGCAGAACAACTCCTTGCGCTCGGCTGCAGCGCCACGTTCGCCAGTCAAGTGGCTTCCAATCTTACCGTCGTTCCCAACAGCGAGACCACGCTTGCAAACCTTGCTCTACTTGCCTCCCGACTTTTGCCTCTTTCTCGCCGGTATCGGGCTGCGGTAGCGATCCAAAGGGCCTATCGTGAGCATCGTGCCGCAATGATGGCAACGATCAAGATGCAATTGAAGGACGTAGCGAGCGCCTGTGCCACGGTTGTACAAACTCGCAATCGAATTGTTGGGGCGGCCGAAACCATTCAACGGGCATGGAGAAAATCATTGGCTGGCCGAATTGAGAAATTGAATAGCGAAGTGGAGGCTTTCCAATGTCTGGCCAAAGGTTGGGCACTCAGGAAGGACATACTGTTGGCGAGTGCTCGAACGCAGGCAAATTTTTATGGAGCAGAGACGCGGATCATGGGTGGATGGTGATCGCGGACAAAGAGACTGTCGTTATCTTTTGCATAGACGTTCGAATTAGTGAGAGGTATGAATTTATGAAGATCTTTTCGGCCCGGTCGATGTTCCTGGCTGCGCAGTTGCTCATTTTCAACTCGCATTGACAGACATATGGTCCTCTAGCTGGCAGGGTTCCGTGCCAATTGCAATGTTCGTGTTCGACTGAAAGCCGACCAGTGAGATCGCCGTTTACGGAGCAGTGCTGTCACCCACCTCAAAGTGGGGAATGACAACATGCTAGCATCAGACTCAAGTCATACACATGTGCCTGTTCCGAATCCCAATCCCAATGAACCTCGCCCGTGGATACTGTGCTCCAAAAGCAAATTGTCGAAGTTGAGCAAGTTGAGAATGACCGAGCAGTCAGTGCATGTAGACAAGGCTGAAATGTGACATGCGTATGTTTCGCGCGTATCTCACGCTAGTTCGCCTCTCCCGCAATTGCTATCTCTCCGATCTCTTTGTCTTTTGCCATCACATCCGCCGGTTGCCCAAGAGTCGATGAGTTCATTCCACGATGGCCGATCAGAAGGACGATGATCCGGTCGAATCGCCGTCAATCCTCACCACTCGCATCTTAGACTTCGATGACTCGTTCTCAGGCCGCGCGAGTCGGCGCACAAGTAATGCGTCCTCTGCGCACATCACGATGATCAAACCGCCTCCACGGCCGTCACTACCGAAGAGAGGCACGGCAGCACGCGGAACGGCGAGTAGTAGGAATATTACTGAGGCGATGAGATTGGCAAGGTCACGAGAAGAGCAGGAGACTTTGTTAGGCGATGAGGAGCAAGCAGACGATGATGGATGCTACCCACCTCGACAGAATGACGACCCACGGAAACCAAATCCCCATAGTGCATTGCCCGTGTACACTACTATTCATAAGATTCGAAGGCTTGTGCTTGCAGCTATCGGTACGTGAAAGCTGGAGATTTGGATAAGGCAAAGCGTCGTGCTGATTGATGCTTTTGTGTTCGCTATATAGATGATCCATACAGCACAGAGCAGCTCAAAAGTCCACGTATGAATGTCGCGATCGTCAGACCTTTGGTCGACCATCTCTACGATCCAGATGACGTCTCGATCGTGTTCTGTTTGCTCGTGAACCGCGTCCAGTTTCTCCGCGAGCAATCCTACCAGCACCACCATCAGTCCGTGAACGTCACTCGTGCCACTCTATGTGAGCTTCTCGCCTCGAGGATCTTGCGACGATTTGACGAAGACCACGAAGGCCGTCCGGGGCTACTAGTGCTTGCGAATGTTCTTGTCGCAGGCTTTGAGCCCTTCCAAAACGCCCCTACAGACATTGCCCGAGAAGATCGCACAATATTGCATTGGACAATTCGCTGGAAGCTGGCGCGGCCGGAATATCAGCGCATGCTCACGGCGTTGGAAGTCGCCATTGTATCCGAAGCCAAAACCTTTCTCAGTACGTCGGCGTGTCAGAAGATTGTCGACAACGTCTATCGAGGACGTATAATCTACACCCCGACGTCGTTCATCGACATCCTACCCGATCACTACAAGAATAGAGGAATCACATTGTACGACCCGCGACGAGCTCCCCTGCTCAACCAGTACCGCCTCATTGTGCCTCGCACTCGTAATATCATCGAGGCTGTGCAATTCATCATCCTGCTTGTTTTGTATTTTCTCGCCATGGGCACTCGCGAGCGGACAATTGGACCTGAACATCTACGCTTTACCCAAGTTGAGCTTGTCTTCATCGTCTACGGCATAGGCTGGAATCTCGACGAAGTGGCCTCGATTTTCGAACATGGCTGGACGGTACATACCGAGAATTTGTGGTCTTTCCTGGATCTCACCTTCGTTGCAATCTTCTGGACTTATTTTGGGATTCGAATGCATGGCCTTGTCATCAACGACGGCGCGACTAGTAAGCTCGCCGAAGATGTGCTGTCGCTGGGAGCACCGATACTCCTGCCTCGACTGGCATTCTGCTTGATGTCGGAGAATATGCTATTCATCTCGCTGAGGGCCATGGTATCGGACTTTGCATTCCTGACAATGCTCGCGTGTTGGTGCTTTGGTGGATTTGTCCTCGCCATGCACTGGTTGAGCGAGAGCCAAGACGGTTTCGTCAGGCACAGCGCTTTGACGATTTCGAAATGGATGCTCTGGATCTGGTTTGGACTCGATGGCACGGGGATCCAGCGCTCAGCTGAGCTGCACTGGTTTCTTGGCCCACTACTCATGATCACCTTTGCCTTTCTAGGGAACACGCTCTTCCTCACGATCCTCGTGGCCATGCTTTCCAACACTTACACCAACCTATCCCGGAACGCCACGGCCGAAATCCAGTTCCGCCGTGCAGTATTGACCTTTGAGGGAGTCAAATCCGATGCCATTTTTGCATACCGACCCCCATTCAACGTTCTCGCGCTGTTCATCCTGCTTCCTCTGAAGCTGATAATTAGCCCACGCTGGTTTCACAAGGTCAACATCACCGCTGTGCGAATTCTCAACGCTCCGATCCTACTGCTCATCTCACTGTACGAGCGACAATACCTCTGGAAGCGAGCCAAATACCTGAGCCCTCCTCGCACACTAACCTGGCTCGGTATGTGGGAGCGATTCGGTGCACATGGAGACCTCTACGCCGTCTTCGAAAGTGATCCGCCGCAGAGCGTCATCGATGAGATGGCGGATTTGGACGACGTCTTCGACATGGACGAGGCGGATCATATCTCGGTCTTGAGAAACCGCAGAGGTAGTCGGTCGATGAGCGAGGCCAGCGGAGTTTTCAGCAGAAGTATGTCGAGAGCTACCACTGGGGTTCAGCAGAGACGCCGCTTGAGGGATGCCGTCATCCCATACGTGGATGATCTGACGCAGGATATCGATTCATGATCAAGCCCTCGCTGTATTCTGTCCGTTTGTTTGGTTTTCGTGTTTTTCCCAGTACATATATACCCTCATGATCGCTATTTCTCAATTCAAGCCGTTGGTCCATCTACCAGTCTCGCACAAGCAGATTTTCCACGTTTCGAAAATTGTGACTTCCGCTACTGATACGTCTGTCCTAAACACATTCCTTGTGCTGGTCGGGCAACTCCCGTGTCATATCTGGTACTCTATTGAAAGCCTAAAAACATCCGTACATCCGCAACTGGATATCCAACCGTACATCCACATTGGCTGCGCCGCAAGACTTATTGTCTCCGATGATCAAGCTTTCTCGGATAGAAGTCTAATTTGGTCATCGCCATGTCGAAGCCACCGAGTCAGCACTAAGGCAACAACTCTCTCCGGTCTGACACTGGCAACCAATGGGCACGGTGCAGCAGCAGCAGCAGCGTCATGAAGCCCGCCACAGTCACACGCTTATTCGCATGATGGGCCTCAATCCCGACCAATTGTACAGCATCCCGCGGTGGGAGACGAAGGGGTTTGTTGGACCGCAACCGGGAGCGTGTCGGCTTCGTCGTGGAACCTAACATTTTAGTCCGACGGACAAGCAGCAGACAGGTCCTGTATTCGTCTTCTTATGCTATCATCGGCTGGCCTCGCACAGACCGCTCATGTGGTTGTCAATCACACGTTACCGCAGCAGCTCCCTTGTAGTGTGTAGGTTTCGTCCGTGATGTTCGTCCGCCATTTCGTCCGTGACTCCGATGAGCGAGATTGGCTCAATAAATGCGGACGTAGTCACGCTTCAATCTCGCTAAGTCGCGGTTCTTCTGCACTCGACCGTGTTGGAAGCGACGTGAAGATGTAAAGGTAGACATGGTCGCTTGGTTGTGTGGCGAGCAACTAGTCGTTGGCCAACAGCGCCATTGTACGAAGAGAGAAGTTCGAGACGAAGCTGTCGGCTGTTGCACAATTATTTTGTGCTGCCAAGGAGAGGTGGCGGTTGATCGTACGCCAAAACACCAATCGCTTTCTCGACGGTAGTGCATTACGGCAGTGACGGCACATTCTTCATGCAGACCTGCATCCATCTCTCTCGCATCATCACTGAGCCGAAGTTTTGCCGGAAGACTCCTTCATCCGTCTCTGAATCTATGGCGGCGAACGGGAAAAGAAATGGCTCGTTAAGTGGCTCTCGTGATACACGGCCCACTCGAGATCTCCACAGCTAATTGATTGTCATTAATAATTATCATCTCGATAGCCAAAGGCCGGGGGCGTCATTGTTCTTTTGCTCGTGTACCCGCGTGCTGTAAAGTGCAAGTGCAAGCGAACTCGGCAGTTTTCCCATGGCAAACCCACACAATTCCCACGTGTCGCGAAAGAGGAGACATCGCCGGTTCTGACGTAGTGTTTCGCGCCCTCGACCTTTGCAATGCAACGTACCGTGCACCTGGGCAGCTGGAGTGCCTGAAATGATGAAAATTTGCAGAAGAAGATCGACGACCCGCGACCTGGGAAATCGCCCTCATCATCCTTCGGCAGCGGGGATTGATCCGACGCCGATTGCCCTGAACTTGTACGTATCCGCCTCCAGGGAATGACCGAACATCGTAACTTTGGCTGCAGATCACGACTTTGGGACGTTTAGACGCGCTGCCATCTTTCCTATATCCGAGCTGTAGTACCCTGAGAACGATTGGGTCGATTAATTAACATGGTCTAAGCAATTGAGACACCACCAATGATATTCCAAATTCCTCGCCGTGTCTCATTGACCTCGGTCTCGAGAGGGAGGATCTTTCTGTAATGATGATGGAATTTAGCAGGCATTGCTGTTGATCAATGTTGATCAATGACCAAAGTACTGCGCCAGTTTGTCCTTTTCGAAGCATATTACCACGCTCATCGCGATAGCCTTCAGGGCGTACTTCATGATGAGAGGCGCCTGACTCCATAATGAGGTGCCGATTGCATAATGCAAGCCTCATGGGACCCTCTTGCAACCACGACACAAACAGGACGTATACCGCGGTCGATGCTACCGCTTCAGGCATTAATTCGTCTCATGTCAGAGAGCCAGCTGCGTGTTGGAATAAAGCCTCCGTCGTCATTTCTTGACACTCTTCGGCGCTTAGCTGCGAAGTCTGTTGGCAAGGGCGCGCGTGGTGTTGGTGGTTTCGGACGAGTCTAGACGAAGTGATCAGCAATTTGCAGTCATTTTCCAGCTTTCCAATGCGGCACGGGTGCCCGGCCATCGCGATGTTCCGAAATGCCGTGTCCGCTTTTTCGCCGTGGACGATGAGGAGGAAAAGTCAGGACCGCCGCCGACGTGTGAGCTAGTCATTAAGGTCGTCACTAATCGCTCGCTATGTGAGAACAATACGCAATGTGCTTGTCACGCACTGCCTTCGGAGAGGTGTGGTACTAATCTTCTCTACTTCAGGTGGGTATTACTAGGGACCATTCAGCGATGATTGTGTGCGGAGGGCGACACAGACGGTCCAAATGCCCCATGTGTCCTGGGCGGATTCCTAATCACCTCAACACACCTGGGCATCATGCTATTCGACGCCCGATGTAAGACCGCACTGACCGGCCCGTCTTGCCCGTATCCCTCAGCAATCCCTCCCGGCCCTGCGAGAAGGGTGTGTGACTGCTGTATGTGTGTACAAACCTAGTATTATCTACTAATTACTCATGGTGTGCATGGGTCTACGTGTATACGCCTTGGGTCCGTGGCACGTCCAATGCGCGCTCTGCTCGACTCTTCTCCTTCGCCCACGCCGTTGGGTGGGGCCCAGTGATCTGGGAGACTTTAAACTTTGTGCACTCACGATCGAAGATCTGTTGTATATGGCACCAGGATCACAGTCTCAGACGTTCATACATAAGACCGCGCGGCGCCGGTCAGCGACTCGGACGCACTCGTAGACACACCACGCTGGTTTTGAGGACCAAAGCAGAATTATTGCCGAAACTTGACAATTACTCTTTGTTCAACTACAGCAATACCACATCGACCTCCTTCGCAGCATCACTGCTTGAATTGACTCTGGCCATCTTTTCAAAAATTGGTTTGCTGGCCCCAAAATGTCGCCCGGGACCAAGCTCGTGCAGCCGCAACGGACAGGATCCCAAGACTCGACTGCAGATGGAATTCGAAAACGAGTCGGCAAAGCTTGCGACCGTTGTCGAATGAAGAAAAGCAGATGTGACGGGTCACAACCATGTCTACGATGCAAAGCCGACAATACAATCTGCGTGTTCGGGTGAGCATCTTCGACTCTCCTTCACCGCTTGTGAATCCCTTTGCTAATGAGATTGTAACAGCGAGCGAAAACGATCACACGACAAAGTGTACCCCAAAGGCTATGTAGAGATGCTTGAACAGCAACAGTCGCAGCTCGTATCAGGTCTGCAGGAATTGTACAAACGTCTCCGTGACGTTGAGCAGTGGGATGGCGCTGTTCTCACGGAAGTCGAGGGCCGCCCTCTGACTCACGACATTTTAGCATCCCTGCGTCTGCTTGAAACCAAGCACGACGGCGACATTGAGGCCTTTGAGGAGAATGTAGAAAAGCTCCAAGCACGGCTGCTGGCGTCAGGTGCGGGCTTCACGCGCCGCCGAGGCTCCATCAGCTCCGAGTCAGAGCAGAGCCAACATGGTCATGCAAGGTCAGCGTCACGGGATGCACCCACCGCCTCGAAACCCGCGCGCTCAACGACGACCCCGTCGGTCTTTGGCTCGTCGTCCATGGCGGGCCCCGCCCCTGTGCAAGTGCAGGCCCAACCGCAGAGGCCCACCCTCCTAGCCTCTAACGATTCGCAAATGTCACAATTCTCCCAAATATCGCAAATGTCGCCACTCAGTGGCGACCCGCAATTTTATGAGGCCGAATGGGCCTTTCCGCAGGCTGACCACACCACCACGAGCAACAAGCGGATGCGCGCACAATTCGCTCTGCAAAACGAGCGAATCATGGTGGCCAACATGGCAACCATGCAGCGGCAACAGCAACAGCAGCAGCAGCAACAGCACATCCCTTCTTTTGACCCAACTTCATGGACTTCCTCGCCCGTGGGATTCGGCGAGATGAGCGTGAGCTCCGATGCTTGGGCTACACAACAATTTCTTGGATCATTCGGGGGATCTGCAACGTCAGCACCTCGCGCCACCGTGGACGCGGCAATCACTTCCGATATGGACGCCGATCAGATGGATATTGATATCAATCAATATATCCAGTCCACTGCGGTGTGAGATTTTCTGCATAAAAGTTGTGAAGCAGGCGGCAAAAAGTCTCCTGTGGATCGTTTGGAAAGCGTCGGCTTGGAGGGTTGATATCTCCGCAATATCCGTCTCGGCGCGTCTAATCACAGAAGCCCAGCAGCGGCAGCAGAGTACGACCGCCGATACCTACCCGCTGTGGTTAATGAACACTCAGTCACCGATGGTGCTGCGCGAGGTCACAACGTGGTTCGAAATTCCACCTGAGACATAAGGTTTCCACGACGCGGCGCACGGCCCATCTATCACACGCTTGGCTTGAGCAGAGGGAGTGATCAACCAAATGCGGGCTGACAATTTTGGCGCTGACTCGCCCGCCTTTACAAAACCTTGGCCCGGGGCCTGCACAGGTTGGCACGCCATGGCTGCTGGTGGCTGCCGGCTGACGGTGATGGAAACACTTCTATGCTGCTGCACCGTCTGCCACCGGCTACATTGCTCCCACGACTTCGCAATCATATGAAGCAGTGCGACGATGGAACTCATGTTGTGATACATGCATGCTGACTCGGGCTGGAAGATTCGGAGTCATTATGTGCAGGCTTCATGCTTATGTGCAGAACATCCCCGAATGCTAGCTTGCTGCATCATTAACTTTGACGTCACGGAGACTTCGGCCAATTCTGCCAAACGGCATAAGGAACCGCATACTGTCTTCCTGGCGACAGGGCTAATCCACGAGAAATGCGCACTTCGAAGACGTGCGAAACCGGAGACATGCCTGGCGGAGATGAGAGGTTTGACACGCAACTTTTCCGTTCAAGCGTGCGTGGGAATTATTTCACATTTGGGTGGCGTTTGCCTTTGGCTTTGACTATGGATACACGGCATCCCCAAAACCGGGACTGCGCTTTTTCTTTCCGAATACGTTGGTGGATTTGTAAGATTTGTCTGATGAACACTCGGGAACTTTGGAAACGGCGATCATTATTTGATTGCGGAATAAATACATGAGGATAGGCTGTCGTGTTTGCACAACATCACGAGAATTTAATGAAGATTAATAATTGGGACTTTGCAATGATTCCATATTTCGGCGGGAAGATGCCGCGCCACCTGATCGCCAGCCCTTCAGGGTTTGCTTGGAGGCAAAATCGATTGAACATCAGCAGCATTTGGTAGACGGAAACTACCTGAGTAGTCACGGCAGTTTCATTCTCGCTTCTCTACGTGAATGTTTTGTCCGGTAGATTGTTGTCCATTAATTTATGTTACTGTTCCATTATACGTGTGCCCGGATCTCCGAGTACACAATCGTAGCATATTCCTCAAGACTCGTATCCCAAGGTGCACCCAATCCACCGATGCTTCATCATAGCCCCACTGTAATGATGAGGGACAGACAAATCGTACACTTGCTGCAACGGCGTATCTCGTTCCATCAGTCCCACAAATACTCACACCTCTTCAAACGATAGCGTTCGGTGACGACTCGTCGTGGCCCGTGTACGTTCGGTCGGCGAAGTGCGAAAAAACCCGTATAGTATCGTGTTTGTTTGCAGTATGTAGGGCATTGCTTATGGGCGGTCAGCTGGACAGACTACTCGCGCCCCCATCAGCGGCACAGCTGGTGCAGAGAAAGGGCACACTGGGGGGCATATTCATGGCTTTTGCACCACGCTTTCTGGGTGTGCGGGCTTCTCAGGCGTCCCGTCAGAGTCCAACATGCGGAGTCGGAATTCGGCGCAAAGGCGTCACTTCCAGTTACTGTCACGTCGCGTGTAAATTCAACGGCAAATAGTGATCTCGAGGACCGTAAAGAGGCACAGTATGTGGACTGAACATAGCCAGCGGCTCAAAGCCTCCCAGTTCCAGTCTTAGCCTAAAGTCCCCTCGGCATGAATGGTTTCATCATGATGCCACGGGATTTGAAGAAGCCATAGTCTTCCAACGTAGCATTCCATTACCTCGAATTGTCCCAGATATCGTTCGCCAATTCCAACTCCAGTGAAAATTGACCCGAGGCCTGCTGCGACGACTGAGCGCGAGAACCTTCTGCACCAAAGGCGAGGAAAATTAGAGGGCACGCCCGCTAAACTCAAAATGTCGCCAGCTCAAACGGCCGCCGACGATGCATTTGACTTCCTCTCCCAGGGAGGCATCATCCAGCACTTCAAGATAGGGCAACGGAACATCGTCCTCGGCTTTCCGAACGCGGAATCCTACAACAGCGACGTCCACCCTTTCTTTGGCGAGAACATCGGACGGGTGGCGAATCGCATCTCCAATGCCAGAATCGACAATCTCAATGGCCAGAGCTATGAGCTGTACGCAAATAATGGACCGCATACCGTGCATGGCGGGCGGCAGGGTTGGGGTAAGAAGTTCTTCGATGGCCCGCATCATGCGCAGCGGAACGGACGTCGCGCGGTCGCTTTCACGTATCGGAGTTCACATGGTGAGGAAGGGTTCCCGGGAACGGTAGAGTTTCGTTTGTGGTACTACCCGAGTGTGGAGCACGTGGACGGGAAAACGAAAACTACGTTGGAGATCGAGTATGAAGCGGAATTGGTGGGCGATGAGGTGGAGGAGACGGTGGTGAGCTTGACAAACCACAGGTAAACGTTCTCGCCCATCAACACGCCGTTGAGACCATTCTGACCGCCTGGTGTAGCTACTTCAATATCACGGACGGTCCGACGATCGAAGGCACGCGAGTCGTTCTCGAGACGAACCTGCATCAAGTCACCGACGAGGCAAGCATCCCCACCGGCAAGATCGAAGCCTTCCCGGCCATCGAAGCAGGTAAAGAATTCATCTTCGGAGCCCAAGAGCCCGACATAGACCACTGCTTCATCATCGAACCGAGCGTCTCATCCATCCCGCTCGATACCCGCGGGCAGCCGCTCCGCAGGCTCATCACCCTCTCCCACCCAGCCACGAGGATCCGCCTGGAGGCGTGGAGCACGGAGCCAGCCTTCCAAGTCTACGCCGGTCGATACATCGACGTTCCCGCGATGGACGGGATGCCTGCACGGGGCCAGCGCAGCGGGTTGTGTATCGAGGCGAGCCGATATATCAACGCGGTCAATGTGCCGGAGTGGCGCCCTATGGTGTCCTTGAGGAAAGGTCATCTTTACGGCAGCCGTACGATTTACTCGGCGTGGGAAGAGGCGGAGCTGTGAGGTGTGTTGGTCGTCCGTGGGCGGAAAAGGGCACAGCGCCGCGCGATCGTGAGGACAACACATCCCTACGACCAAATTACCATTAGTCACGAACTACATTTGCGCATCATACATGAGAACTCGGCTGAACTTCGTTTTCGTGCCGCAAAAGGGCCAACTCGGGGCCTGCGGCGTGATGTCATGACTCCGAGATGCTCAACTCTTTGACGTTTACAGTACGGTCCGGCGGCGACCCAGAATGTTCGAAAGAACATTGTCCCTCTCGTGAAGGGGGTGTTGCCCGCGTGGAAGGGATCTGCGCTCCGCAGAAGCATCGTGTCCGCCACGTGTGGCAGCTCTCCGCGTTGTTCGTCCTTTTCGTGCGAAGCCTCCAGGAGGTCGCATTCCGCGCCTGAACGCCGTGGCGGTCATGGTCTGGACTCTACGCGCCGATGTGCCGAAAAGGCAAGGGTCGTTGTGGGTGGGTGGGTGTCTGTATCGAGACAGAGCGTACGTCGTGTAGCTATGATTAGGGCACCAACCCAGCCTGCAGGATTCTCGTATCGTCAGGAGGTGACCTTGAATGTCCACCGACAGCGATAGTGAGGAAGTTTTGACTGCAGAGTGCAGATTGTCCGCCCAAAAGCATGTCCGCAGTATGAAAGGACGCAGCTGTCGTGGGCGATGTCCGCATGAAGACTGGCGCCGGAGATAGGAGTCATCGCCCACCCGCAGGATTATCAATCAAGTGAATCTAGCACAGCAAAATTGATCATGGCGCAGCCACTGACATGGTATGTAGCGCGATAGTGTGTGATATGGGAAGTAAGTGGATACATGGAGCGAACGAGGCAACCGAAAAGATACAGATTAATTTGGTCGTCGCAGCAAGTGAATGGTGCCCAGGTGGTGAATAGCGGTGGTGGTGTACGAGCCACTCAAGCTTTATGTTCTAGCGTCTCCGCTGGAGAAAGTTCTGCGCGTGAACGCTAATTGATGGGCGTGCATTAGCCGCCCCCAAGACTGCTCGTTTTTCTCTCAATCGGTATCTGATGTCATGTCACGGTGACGCATGATCTCAAGCCTCCTGAGGCCACTCGCTACGCCTTGCATCTTTCTGGCACAGCGGCCGCTCAGTGAGCGCTGGGCGGCCACGCTGGGCCACGTCCACGACAGGTTGATGTGGTGATTTACAGGATCATGCACGCAGCCCTCGCCGCATCTTCGGTTAAACCATTCGCAGATTATCTACAGACTACTGGATGGCCCCCCTCTTGGCAGCAGCGAGAGTAACTTCACTCGCACATTTCGCGTGGCTTCGGACCAACGCGTCTCGGACCAACAAGGACATGTGGGAGCGTGAGAATTCGTGCGGTCGTCGGGAAGTTTCTTATCAATGCATCGCCGACTGCGCACACATACGAAATAGGACCAAAACGCCGCATTGTCGTCCCGGCGTACATGGGTGCACTTCAGGCGTCCCTCCAAAGGAAGCCAGCAACCCCCCGAACGCCGAACTCCGAATCCTGAGATGTGTCAATGGTCACGATATCGATCGCTGGTGTGACGCCTCGAGGACACACCCTTTTCTGCTCACCGTGATAGTGGACGCCACAATCTAGGGAGTTTCCACTTTTTGTTTTCAAGTTATCCCCGAATTGGGTCCCCGATGCCCAAATCGAGCAACGAAGCAAGACGCCCGCTAGTGTCAGTCTCCGCTGCTTGGGCCCCACGTTGCATGTCATGTGGTTGCCGACGCGGCCCAAGGAAGCAGCTACAGTACTGCATCGCCGTGTCCTTGGATTCCGCTATATTCGTGCCATTTCGCGATGCGTCAAATTTCCGTTTTCGGGTCATTCCGAAAGAATGATTCCCGATCCCAAGAGTCGCCCAGTAGTGCAGAAACGGATGTGCGATCGACAGGTACAGTGCCGTTCACTAGAACCTGTTCTAGAACGTCGTTCAGGTGCTCTCACTTCTGCGTCGTGTAGTCATCCTCATGGAATTGCATAGGCTATACATCTACGACGACTCACAGGTTCTTAGTTTTATGCATTTGTGAGAATTCATGGATTTATGCACTGAGTAACACAATTTTATGCATCTCGAGGCGGCGAAGACGAAGTCTTTCACAGCAGCGTGTGCTCATCACGACATCCTATTCGGCTTCTGCGTGAGTCTAATCCTGAGAGATGAAGCAACACGAGAAGTCTAGTGTGGCAGAAATGGATGCTATTTGTAGGCCTCTTTCGAGGTCCCACGATGCGAAGAAAGGACGATGATATTGACGGAGTGTTCCAACATGCCCGCACGCTACTAGTACATAAAAGAGGCGTATCGGTGCAACCTGCGCGTACTCATCCGCTCTTATTTGAGTCAAAAACGCGTCCAAATGACTCCGAGCGCCAGCGCATCTTCGTCATTCGTCGCTGCGTGGGTGTCGGAAGCACGCCCCGCAAGTCCGAACAATCTCTCGATCATTGGTCCGAAAGCAGATCCCCATAGAGACCATGTCGAGCGTTATCCTTGACCCTCTCATTGACGTTCCTCGGATCCTGGGCATAAAGGTGGTCCTCCTCGCTCTCATCCACGAAATGCTGCATAAAATCGCTAGTCCCGAGCAGCCATGAGATGGCAAGACGCCAACTCCTAATCCAACATGATCGCTTTGCGATCACGCGTCGGCTGAGCTTCTTGCGGTAATACTCGATAGTCTCGGGATGGCATTTCATGTCTGCGAGCAGGGCCAGAAGATCGTATCCGGGCGTCGAACGTTGTCGTACACAAATCTGGTCCATTTCTTCTAGGCTCAGCTGTTCGGCGAAGTCGACGACGGCGGTGTAGAAGGCTATCCGGTGGTGTATCTCGATGGGATCAAGAGTTCCTGCAGATTGTCGGAATTCGAAAGTTCCTTTCTTCGCGTTGGCGTTCCACAAGAATTGGAACGAGGGATCGGCTGGGCAATACAGGTTCCATAGATTCAGCGAGTAGTGCTCTCCCGACTCCTCGAGATGTGCGTGTTGGAGTGCTGCGATGCTTTTATGCTCGTTTATATAACTCAGCTGATCTTGAAGAGATGTGCCCTGGCTGAAACCGGGAGTCGGGAGGGTGAATCGGCTGCTCAGACTCTTGTTGCTTGCCTGCACGAGCTCGGAAGATTGACTGTAGTGAGCAACTCGGTGGATGGCGTGGCTGCTGTCAATGGCCGCTTCATTTGTAAGGAGTAATTTGTAGACGTTCTTGACTGTCGTGAGGGAGAAGGGCTCCGATTTGTTTCCGATGTAAATATGCACTGCACAGGAAGAATCGGAAATCATTCGGTAGTCCTGCCGGCCCAGAGTCTGTCCTGGTGTGTTGAATGCTATCTGAAGATAGATCAGAGTTGTCGCAACATCATTGCTTTGGGCCGTGCATTGATGTTGAGTGCTTGTTGAGCCGTAGAGCAGCGGTCTCAAGATGGACTCGGGACTAGTCAAGGTAAGGGGGAAGGTCTTGACAGCATCGGATTGCTGGTAGATGTCGTGTAGTCTTCCAGACGCACGTGCGAGATCGGTCGTGGTAACACTCCAGCTTCTCGATTGCCACTTCTGGTCTTCAAAAGTGGCTTTGGTCCGCGATAAATGCCCGGAACCTTCATCGCATCTATCGTAAGGCATGGGTGAGATTGCGTCAATGGTCTCGCGGACTACATTCGCGCCCTCTTCGCGGTCATCAGTAGTGCTGCCAATTAAACTCCCTGGAGACCCGAACATGAATGACCGGATCGAATATATGGTCGCCCGGAGCCATGATAGGACGGTCCTTCGCATGTCCTTAATGAGCACAACCCCAATCTCGACTTGAATCGTCGTTTGCGACATTCGTTCGTGATTTTGTACATTCATCGTGACTTTGTGTTCATCCTCCGGGGTTTTATTCGAACCGGGCTGGTGTTGATTGACACCATTGATCGAGACCTCCTCGGTAATGTGTTGAGATTGATCACTCGCGATTGTGGCACTTCCATCCGGGAGTTCTGCGATGCGCGTATCGTTGTTTGAATCGTTGCTGATCCGTGAAAAGAGCGATTTCACAACTGCTCCCAGGTGAGCCATGAATCTGAAACAGAAATGAAGGAACTGTCGAATGGAGCGAGGGTCGGTGGAAATCGAATCACCAGGATCGATGCCACCATAATCGATGTCGTCCGAATCGCGATCATAGGAGAGAATGCGGTGTGAGCTATGAGTGAAGTCAACTGGCACGAAGAAATGTGTGAGCAGGCTGTGCGTAGGTGGTCTATGATGTGCTGGTCGAATCGGCCCATGAATAGATCCAACGGGCCCTGCGACCCTTAAAGATTGTAAAGATCGCAGCGATCGAGCGTCGTTAAGAGCCGCTAGCCTTTCGAGCGGCGTCAGAGCTCCCTGCCTGCGATGCGCAGTCAACGGGTGTACGCCGTAATAATGGTGATAAGGGGCACCGAATGGCACTATTGCCAGACCCAGCAAGATACGCATGACTGGAGTCGAAAGTTGTTTGTCTTGCCAGTTTGTCCTTCATGGCTGGGTGCTTTGGTTTTGAAGAGCAACCCGAATTCATCTAGAAATGCCAGTTTCGGATTCGATGTTTCGAGGTGAGAAGGATCTGCAGAATGTCAGTAGACAAGACTTTGAAGTAAGCTGATCACGAATGAGGATTTCAAAGAATGTGTTCGTTCGTGCCGATTGATGAGCTTCATATATCCCTGTCATACTCGACATACATTCCGCGAGTATCCTCGACAGCGTATCAAACGCGGAATGCATGTTTGCAGCTATGTGAAACAATGCGAGCATGCGCACATGCGCCGATAGTGTACTTCATTCTTGATGCTTCGAATAAGTTTTCAAGCATCGCTGAACGTAATTCAGACTCCAGGATCTCAAGGTGATCGCAGACTGTCGAATTCGGTAACATTATCGTCAATTTATGCATTCCTGGCCCAGAGGGCCGTTCAATTGGCGCTTTGGTAATCAATGCTATTCGAAGCACAGAAGAGTTATCGATGGCTCGACTCGGTTCCGGGATGCAGGGATATATCCTTCTATGTGCGAGGAATCGCTCAACTGGTAAACGTCAATCCTGCTGGCTCAGAATGCATGCTTCGTTGTCGCTGTTGGAACGTATCAAGTACATTTGTACCCATGTCGTGAGCGTGTTCCACAACTACACTGCACGACCACGTCAGTGAACAACACGACAGGGTGATCCTTGTACGTGCATGAGGTTCTGACAACAAACGAACAGTTATATAAGTACTGCCTGGATCGCTTGCTACATATTGCCCAGTGAAAGCATATGCCCTGTCACCTGCATTTTTCAGATGAGGAAATTGCAGGTCGATCGTGAAACAGCTACAAAGGTACGACTTGCACAGCAAATGGCGTCGGCATTGCATGCGAGTAATTGGGATAGAAAGATGAGCAAACTGTCGTTTGTTTATCATCAGCACGATCCCGCCTGTTTAAAGCGTTGCAAAGCTTGGTCTCTGGCGCAGAAAGTCAGATATCGACGTTGAAAGCAAGGACCAGTCCAGCACTCCAAATCCATGAGTTCCTCTCAGCAGTCAGGTGCAGCCTTGTGGTCACCACCTGGGCAGAGTCAGGCCTCTTTCTGGCTTGAACAAATGAAGGCACACCAATCAGCCAGCAGCTTAACGACTCACGCCCAGTCTGCACAGGTTGAAGCCACAGCTCAAGCGTCCGGCAAGAAGCGATATGCTCTCTCTGTCATAGTCTCGAACATCGCATACCCACCCACGGACCGCTCGCACTGGGCACTCGGACTGCATGAAATCGGTCAGAGCTCCGGCTTCTTCCTGCACGCCGTGATATCTCTTCATGAAAACAAGTATCGCTGGACGGTGGACGGCGGCGACCTTCCGGACATCTTCTACGGCGCCGAAGGCCACTTTAAGATCGCCGAAATTGATCCGCGTCATGTTGCCAGCGTGAAAATGCTCATGCAGAAGATGTTGCCTCCACAACAGGAGGGCGCACAATGTCAGGATTATGTCATCGCGACGGCCTACAAGCTGGAGGAAGTCGGCATCTTGCCAAAGAACACTTTCAATCGGTTGTTGAGTCTGCGGCTGCAGAGTGTGAATGGAATGCGAGCTGCGGCAGGTCCTCGATGGACGAATGTTACTTGGCGAGGCCCGGCCTGATCAGATATGATGTTTCGGCAAGGCAGGTCTTGGATATCATCGTTACAGGCATTGGACTGCGAGACCCCGTTGAAGTGGCTCATCGGGTACAACCCCGATGAGCATCTCCGGGACTTGGCAAGTTGTCGTAGACGTTGTCGGTATTCAAGGTTGAAAGATCATCGAAATGAGATAGGACGTATATTGGATGAGATTAGTTAATGAATCTTCAGCTTCGTTGAGGTGATCTGCATATCGCGTCAGTTGAGTTCTGTGTCTATACTTTAAAGGTGTTGTATTTTCACGCTCTGTCGCTGGTTCACTCCCTTTCCACAGACGTCAACTTGGACTTGAAAGGAGTCAGCCCTAGCGAACGCATAATCATGCTGATGGAGATGTCCAATCTTACATGACCAGAGAGGACGTGGAACAAACATCTGCCGGCACTTGAGAGATTGAACCATAGCTGACCTCCTGTCGAAGTCAACGCCAAAAGGTATTGATAATGACCTTGCGAAATGCAATAAAATGACACCAATGAAATACAAACAAGCCCTAGCTCTTCTTACGACTCTTGCCGGTTTCATGCAAATACCTGTAATAACAACTGCTGCGTCCGAGACACCTGCAAATTCAATGTCGATGAGGATTGTCGTCACAACAACAACCTTAAGCCTTTCCTCCTTTCTTCCCTCCCCGACCACCTCGCGCGGCCTTCAGAGCCTGCTGCCGTGCTAGACGCTCCATCTGCGCCTTCTTCTCCGCATCGATAAGATCCTTCTCTTGCTTTTCCGACTCCTTTCTCGCTGCAGCTTCCTCGCGTTGTTGACGAACCAACTTCAGTCGCTCCATGTCCGCACGAGCCTCATCCGTCTTGCCCTCCATATGCATCTTTTGGTATCTCAGCTTAGCCTGCTCTGCTTGGAAAGCTTCTCGTTCGCGTCGCGATAATTGTGAAAGATCTTCAGGCTTCTTTGGCTTCTTAGCAGCATCGTCCGCGGACGGAGGTTCGGCGACTTTGGCAGCTTGCTTCCGCGCGGCACTGCTGTGGTTGGGGTTGGCGGGCATATCGTCGTCTTCATCCTCGTCGTCGTCACTGTTTGAAGGGAGATCGCCAGGCGCAGGCGCTCCCTTCTTCTTTAGGATGGCAGCTTCTTTCTTCGCTTTCGCAGCGGCGCGCCGTTCTTCACGGGTCATCTCCGGCTTCTCGCCATCCTCTTCTGAGGAATCTTCATCAGAGTCCTCCTCCTCTTCGTCCTCATCGGAATCTTCAGCTACGGGCTCTGCCCACATGGAACGTTCAGCACCATCGGCGTCGAGTGGTCGAAGATTTTTGCTAAACTGTCTTCCGCCTGAGATTTGAATTAGATCCTGAGAATTGATTGAGTGTCCTTGATTTTCACTCACCTCCTCGCTTCGCCTTTGAGTATTTGCCCGCGCGACCTCTGGTACTGCTCGACATGTTGCGTGTATTTGACTCTTGTTGCGTTTGATTGTGTATGTCGCCTTAAGATATTGAATCAGTCTTTCGATCGGGTATTCTATCTTCTCTGACTTGGGTGATAATGGTTGAAGGTAAAAATGTATTAAAAATGGCCAAGATCGTTGGTAATTGAAGACCCCTCGTTCGCCGGGGCGCAGCCTGTGACGCATCCGCGGGCGCAACATTCCTACATATTGCACACATCGTCACAGGGAATTGGCGACCCCTCTATTGGTCGTCAGCCAAACAATTCATTCCTTCCTCAGGCTCGCACTGGAAATCTTGGCGCTATCCTCCGTCGCGCGGAGAAAACAACCGGGCGGGCGGCACATCCCGCCTGCTGCTCGACCTCATTGAATTCACGGCGCGCGCAAACTTCTGCTTTCTCTTTCCTTTCTCTTTTCCTCATGAAAACGCGCCCTTCCTATTCACTCTGCCGTCCGAGTCGCTCCCACGGAACGATAGAGGGGAAATGGAAGTGCAGAGGAACGCCTCCATTTGGAATACTCGTCTGCTTACCCCTGCCCTTTCGTGATATGTGGAAGGAAAGGAAATATTTTTCGACGATACAAATTATTTGGTTTCATCGCATAAACCTGGTCATTGCACCCGCCTGTCATGCTGATGCGTATCGGATTCTCGCTCTCGTTGAGAACTTCGGTGACTGACGTTCGAACGAGGCACAAAGCGACTCCTTCTGAAACACGATGCATGGTGGCACAAGCTTTTACTTTTACCTTGCTGTGGTGGCGCTGATCGGGCCTGTTCGTGTCTTTCACATGAAGAATATTCTCACATCGATACTACTATTTCACTTGTTGCTCGAGAACGAGTCGTACGACAATCTTCAAATCAAAGCTCTACCCTGGTCACAATAGCTAGCATAAATATGGTCACACGATGCAAGAATACATGAAGTTACTTCCGATACTTTTCTGTCACTCTCCCTGCTGCAAACTCTTCCGCAATCACTTCCATCGATAGCAAAGAGCAAGTCCCAGACCTCCATTTTGTTCCTTTCTCAGAAAGCCGTCACGACGACGAAAGATTCACAGCCATGGTTGCTATGAACGACGCCCTTTTGGCATGCCTCTTGAACGAGAAGTACGTTGACTTCTCGATTATCTGCCGTGACAAGACAATTCGTGCCCATCGTGTTGTACTTGCCGCTCAATCAGAATGTTTTGCAAAGGTAAGTCGATCTCACAAATGGTGCGAAAATGCCCTCACGATTGACACTGATTGGCGAAGAACCACGGGCCCGAGATCGATATGTCAGATTATGACTCTGACGCGATCTTGGCGATGATCCGCTGGCTTTACGTCCGCCAATATCCCAAATGCCGTGGCATCTCTCCTGCTTTGCTCAATGCTCGTGTCCACAAGCTTGCCAAGTCGTTCAAAATTGATGATCTCGCGGATCATGCAGTCTTTGAGTTCCGGGTGGCGCTCGAGCAGCTTTTCGACGAGATCGGTGACTTTCCGGGCGAATTGTGTAGCATCGTCGACGAGGTGTATTCAACTACCGAGCAAGAATGCCCATTGCGCCTGACTTTGTCAGGTGTGCTCGCGGAGAAGCATCGCTGGCTTTTCCGCGAGAATAGCCCCAATTTTGCAGATCTTCGCAATGCGATTATCAACAAGCATCCAAGCCTTGGTCTTGACATCCTCGGCAGCATGGCTAGAAACGCGCCCAAGAGTCAGCAGGATACTTTCTACAATGATTGGCTTTCCACTCCATTTTCGAGGCCTGATCTTGCACATCGTCCTGGGCATGTTGCTAGAAGAGCTTCCATCGAATCGGCTGACAGTGAGATCGCTGTCTACAAGGATCGCCAGACGTCAGGGTCGTTGTTCGACCCCAACAAGAGCGATTCTAAGGATTCGTGGCTGCAGACGAAGAACGCAGGCGGCAAGATAACCGACAATGATGGTGTAATCCGTGCTGAGCAAGAAAGTTCGCGCGACAAGACCCGCCAGGAATCCTGGGTCGACTGCGGCTCATGGCAGTCAAAGTATAACCCGCCCAGCTGGTAGGCATGTTGTTGACCTGCGCACTCGGTGGCTCACCACCTTTCTCGAACTTTATTTCGGTTTGTTGCGGAAACTTTCGTCGCATCAGCATGTCTTCGAAATTCATGTTCTTCTACGCTGCCGGGTCCTCATCCCAACACCAGCTTTTTACTTTGCTTGCTAGGATCATTTGGCAGATTTTACAGCGCTTGCATACGAATGTCCCTTGGAAGTGAAGGACAGGAAGAACGTATAGGGAAGATGACAGGAAACAGGAATCCAGAAATCAAATAGTCCAAAAATGCAATAGCTTTTTATTCCCCTCGAATGTACAGTAGAGACTAAGGAGCCTGACCAGCAGTACCCGTCGTGCTCGAATGTGCCGTTGCATCCGGCCGGCGGAAGAAATGCGCTTCGGTGTTGAGGACCCAGTCATCCAAAGACCAGTTTTCCGGGTCATCGAAGAGAAGGTAGAAATATTTCAGCGTCTCGCCGATCCCTGCATGTTCTGTCAGTGACGAGTTCCACCGCGAGCAATAAAAAGGATATTAAATACTCACAGAAACTCTCCATAGAATCCCCCTTCTCCAACGTATCATACCCAATCGTAGAATGCGGGCCCCGGTTCTGGTCCCGCGCTCCCGGCTGGACGGTGACATCGTGAATGGCCGCATGCGCAATATCCGTACGGGTGGCTTTGTCGATGGCCTGGAACATTTTCCAACCGACGTCACGCCACTGCTGTTCGCCAGTGATGCGGTACATGTAAAAGACGGACTCGATAGCTTCAGGCCGGAGGATGTATGCTCGGCTGGTAAGACGTGTCATTCCTGCAGGGAGACCTGTCGACTCGATCATGAGCTTGAGATATTTCTTGCGGTCGATGCCCGTGCTGGTGGGTTCTGCGCCGGATGAGGTGCTTGTGGCAATCGCAGCGCCCGCTGGAGGACCGGCAATGTAAGGTGCAGCGGCGGTGGTGGTGGGAGCGGCATCATCAATTCGCTGAGCAGGTCTCTTCTCTGTGAGGTCAACATCGTCGACAATCTGACGCTTGTGAAGGCCCGGCGCGTCAAGTCCCTGCCCGGGCGGCACGATTGGAGCTTCGGCGGGAGAGCCAGCAGCTTTCACGGCACCTTTTTGATTCGCAGACAAGGCAGGTTTGACGTTGCCATTCGCGTCGAGGGGAAGAGCAGCGCCTTCAAGGCCAGGGTTTGATGGTCCGGCTTTAGACCCAGCAGAGCCTGCTCCGTTTTGGCTGCCAGAGGATTTAGATTTTCCGGTTGCAGGTGTCGAATCCTTCTTGGATCCCGCGGGAGCATCTTTTTGGTCGAAGCCAGAGCCGAATGGAGTCTCAGCAGCTTCTACTTCTTGATCGAGTGATGCGAGCAATTTGTCCACATCTGGCAGCGGCAATGCTTCTTCCGCTGCGGGGGTCGCCGGCAGATTGATACCGAACTGCGGAGCCAAAAGGGCGTGGTATGCCTCCACGTCCCATTGGCAATTCTTGGGGTCCTTGCACATCGCAGCCTCAAACGTCTCGGGCATGATGCCAGATTTCGTGCTATTGTATGCCCAGACACAGCCCTCTGTGAGACGACGGCCAATATCAACGTGGTCAGGACGATCGAAGAGACGACCGCCCATGGCGAACATGCCGCCAGCGAAACATGTAAGATGCTCGCCTTTCGGGATGAGCTCCTCTACGTACGACTCCGAGGTGGCATTCCAATCCACCCTGATCTCTCCCGAGATCAAAATGTCGTGGTTTCCAGGCGTCATGGGTCGGAACAGAAGCTTCTCGGCAGCAGCATCAGCACTCTTCAGGTACATGTTCTTGTATTGCGAGCTCAGTCCGCCAAGGAGGAGGTACTCTTTGGAAAGATACTCGAAAGTGCTGTCACTTGCACCACCGAGCGTGAAGTGCTCCGATGCTTGCTTGCTGACAGATCCAAGACCCTTGGGCCGGCAGACTTCTGTTCCGCTGATGATGTTCTCGTCAAGCCAAAGGGCGGGTCTCTTGCCATCGAGACTAGACATCATACTTTTAGAAGATGCCATGCTTTTTCCATATTGCTGCGGCAAGTCGGGCACCTTCTTGTCGGACTTCGCTTGCACGGGCAGGTCTGGCAGCTTTTTGTCAGATTTGAAAGCCGCGTCCTTACGGAAGTCGTCCACGGCCGAGTCTGGAGCTTGTTTTGCGACAGTATCCAAGAAGTCTCCGAGCCTATCAGCTTCCAAACCTTCAGCCTCATCTTTTGAAGCTCTCTTCTCATGCTTCACTGGGTCGCTGGTGATGAAAATTTCGTTTTGTGAGCCTTGCTTTACTGACAGATCCTTGTATTTGCCGGACTCGGGCATTTGCGCAGGCTTTTCGCACCCACTTGCATCTATATGCGTGGGCCATAGTCCAGGAATGCGCGTCTTGCCTTGCCATGCCTCTAGAGCGTCAGTGATACGAGCAACAGCGTCATAGAACTTAGGTTCTTTCGTGAGCTGAGCAAGACGAGTCATTTCCAGTGTAAGAGTACCAATCTCAGCCATGATCATATCAGATGGCGCACGGTGTGGCTGTGACGCGAACGCCGGCTTCCAGAAGTAGTAGGTCAATGGCATGCGATTAGGAGTGTCGAAGGCACCGTAGAGGACTTCCGCCAGCTCGACTGCCTTGTCGAGTAGAACTTTGTGCTTCCGCCCCGAGACGTCGTAGGCACCGAGGAGACCACCGAGATAACGAATCGTCACTTCAAAGAGCGGGATGTCATTTCGCTGCGAAGTCTGAAAATTGATCGAGGCAACTTTCTTGACCGCTTCCTCGAAGTCCTCGTGTAGGCCCATGATCCAGAGTGTGTCCATAGAATCGATCATCGTCGCTCCCCAGCCATTGAATGTCGTTCTGTTTGAACCCGAAAGTGGTGTCACTTCATCGGCGCCCCATGCATGCTTTCGATAGCCGCCCCATGCATGCTTGGTGGCTTCCTTGACCGCGTTCAATCGTGTTGTATCAACGCTGCCCTTGCCACCATGCTGAATTCTGGCAATTGGCTTCGGACTTCCAGCGGGTAAGGCGATTGTTGTGCTGATGGGGAAATGCTCTTCTTGCCGTTTCCACGTCACCTGTGCCTCTTCCTCATCATCCTTAATCTCTGGTTTCTTGGGCTTCTTGGTCTTCTGGCTGTCTGCTTTTGGCTTCTTGTCAGTAGCAGGAGTCGAATCCTCTACAGTGTAAGTTCGCCCATCGTCTGGTTTCCCCTTATAGGCAACACCAAGCGCATCTCGTCCATTCTCCGGCAATTGCCCTGCACTATACTTTAGCATAGTCTCCAACTCATGCTGTTCCAAGCCATCATCCTCCTGCGCGTCATCGCCCGAAGTTGGTGGTTTAGTCGCAGCCGGTAGCGCAGCGGGTTTAGTTGACGTTGTTGATGTCGTAAGTGAGGTCGTGGAAGATGTTGTCACCACTGGCTGTGGGATTCCCAATGGCTTCGGCTTGGGATTAGCGACGTTTCCCTCCTGTGGTCTCTTTGCAGCCGCCTCTTCATCCTGCTGCTGTTTTTCCTGCTTCTCCTGTTGCTTCCTGACTTGATCTTCCACGTGACCAGACTTCGGCGGATCACCAATGCGTTGAGGCCTCAACACTGATCCTCCATAGCCTCCGACCGTGTGCGTCAGAACACTGGCGTATTGGTCCACGCGAGCAGCATTACGCTCGTATAAAAGGAATGTTGTGACGATGCATACAACGATCGCGATGAAGCGCACGCGGCGCACACGGCCAGGCATTGTTATGATGGCGCGAAGAGTGATGTGGGATGTCCAGCTAATTGCTGCTGCTGCTGGTGTTGTTGTTCGCGCGCCGCAAGTCGCTACTGAAGGCAGCTGTGCCGCAGCTCCGGGGCGATTTTATGTGAAGAAAGAGAACGATGGAAGGTCAAGCTGCAGTGCAAATGTGTGCATGGTACTGCACGTTGAGTGGCACAGTGCCAAGTTGGGCGAGCGAGATAAGTCCGATTGTGTACGGATGGAAAATGCCACGAGTCCGTGATGGCCCACTTTTGCGCTTCGTGTGTATTTCCCCTTTGATGAACGACTGATGATGCTTTACAGGGTCGCAAGGTAAATGGCTCTACTTGTATTTGTATACCTACGTAGGGACCATATAGTCCCGAGGCACACAGGCCTCACCGGTTCACCTTATTCTTGGTGTTCTCCGAGTGGTAGAATTCGGACAACGCTCGAATCGTACTTCTGTCTTCCCTCGTTCCTTCTGATAACAATCCTGGGGTCCAATGACCAGTGTTGTGCAACACGCCCTTGGTCTTCCTGGAGTCGCGTGGCAGCGTTGTTCCCGGCCCAGGCGTATGACCCCTGCAGTTGCTAACCCGTGTCGAGAATAGTGGCAAGAGTCAATTGTGGGGAAAGGTAGGATCGAAGCCTCGGAAACGTTACAGGCAGGGTAAAGCCAAAAGCCACTGATGAGAAACTCCCACAACTGGAAGACGTTGAGATGGGCACGACGATTGAAAAAGCTCAGTCTCGTGGTCACTAGGTGGTCTCATCGTGCTCTCTTGAGCTGAATGTTCTTTCAAACGTAAACTTAATATAGATATTCGCAACACCTCTTCTACTTCGGCTCGGCCAAAATGCAATTAACAAGTGGTCGTGGATTGTGCAGGGACAATTCTACTTCCATACCATCACCTGTCGCTCTATACATTGCTCGCTACACCAGGTTTCATCCCGTTTGTCCTTGCGCCGCTCAAGGGACCGAGTTTGGCCCTTGATGCTTGATTATACCGCCCAGCCGTCGACCAAAAATCAGAATCGCAGCGAGAATGGACGTCAGGGGCAGAGCCGTCGCCCAGACGACCCAGAACAAAGGTTGCCCAGAAAACAAATCACCACCCGTGGAAAGTATGCTTGTGACTAGGGTTGTTGGAAAGACACTGCTTGCAAGCACTAACAACGCCAATCCCAGCCGACTGTCCAGAACGCTTTCGAATGACGCGTGCAGGCTTGCAAGTTCGTTGGCTATTCGGATGAGATCAGCTGCACGTGCGACATAAGGCTACAGTCGCGCATGCAATTGGCTAAGGTCCTTCTGGGCGACACGAGTGGCTTTCGGCGGAATATGTCCGTCTGATTGGCCAGATGGCGTTGCCGCTGTTAAAAGGCAAACGCCAAGTCGTCCCAGATTCAGCACCATGTTTCTCTCGAAGTAGTTCATTTGCTGCCTGAAAGAGTGCATGCTTTGCGTCATATTTGCGAGCTCGTCGAGCTCGTTGCGCCATTGTATATTCGAAGCAGACACTGCGACTCGGGAATGAAACGCGTCCGAGGAATGCTTGCTTTGCGCTATGGACGCTTGAACGAAATCAAGATGTTGGGCCTTATATACGGCGAGACTCTCCGGAAGGTAGTGCGCAGATTTGACGGAGTCCGCGCGGGCAGCAGCAATTAATTTTGGGTCAGCTACTTGCGCCCAATTCAAGCCCATTTCATCCAGAAGTGAGCTTTGATTGCGTTTCTCGGTGATCAACTTGGTTCTGCTGGCCTCGGCGAAGCTCGTGGTGTGATTGCTGAGAGTTTGTAGCCCTCCATGGTACGGGATGCTGGTGTCAGTAACTTCCCGGGTCGACCTAGACGGGCCTCAGGGCTGTGCTGCCCACGACCGGTTCTCACTGGACCAAACTCTTCGGTCATGCAATATCGCGCACGATGGCACTTTTTCCCCTGCGCGACTTGATCGATGGGCAGAATCAAATGACAGAACAACCAGAATGACAGCTGGGGCACGTATCAGTACAGTCTCGGTCAGCTCTGGCGCTCATAGTAGACAGGTAGAATTGCTCACCATCCCGTCCGCTTCCGCTAGCTCGTTGATCAGACCGAGAGCTTGCACATAGACGAGTATATGAGTGCTGCCACTTGCTACTGTGAAAGCGGGATTCTATCTGTTCTCAGCGCTTGATTGGCCGACTATTGGCAGCAAAAGGCATCTGACTGGTGCTCAACTTGATTGATTCGAGATCTCTCAGTGAGCGTCACTTGTAATATCTGAGTGTGAAAGCAGAAGACTTTTCAACCATTGAAGGTATCAAAAGCGCTTGTGTTCTCTCTGAACCTATCTTGCGTCGAGTCAATTGCAGACTCTCCAACAATGCACGTGATACAGACCAACATAATTGTAAATATTCGCTTGCTCGGCGATCACCAGAGGATCTAATCCTAGTCTACCACCAAGGATCTCTATCCATTCAGTCGTCAAGTCTTCTAGCATCCAGAGTCGACACTGCGCATTTTCGGACGCCGCCTCTGAATGGTCTAGATACGTCGCAAGGTCTTGTGAGGTGTCGAATTAGGTTCCCTCCACTTGCGACTCATGGAACATCAATATAGCGCGGCGTCCCGGCGGCCGGTGATGTCGCGATTAGTAGGCTTCTCGAACCAAATTCCGCACCGTGGGATTTGAACGAATGAAAGTCTCGAGAGCAGGTTACGCGGATCTCGGCAATCGGATTTCTTCATGCCATGACATCGCTGTAGCTTCGTTTTCGTTTCGGTACATCATTCCTGATATTCAGATGTCGTAGTGATCACATCGTTCATGCTTGACACTAGCTGGGTTGAATAACGACACGGGCGAGAGACGCGACACCGTGCTTTCGTGTGTTGATCGTTGTCTCTGATAGGTGCTCAAGGTATCAAATTTCGGAAGCATGCAATTCAAAGGTTTCACTATAAGCATTCAATGTACACTGTACATATGAACGCCTTGTTGTTTCGTGCTGAGTTGAATTCGGATGGATTGCAAAGCCTTTTCGACCAGTGAGGTCGCCCAAAGCGGTACGTACTCAGGTAATCGCTCCGAACTAGTGGCTGCAAGCACATTGCCAGAGCATTGCGAGCGGAAATCCTTTCACGCCACGTTGGGCCAATGCGAGTGATACCATCCCAGCACGATGCATGTGGATAGATGCATGTGCAACGAGATCAGTGGGCCACTGCGATGATGCAGCGCCGTCGAACGAGTACAGACATGGGCCAGGATTTTTGGGAGAGGACAGCGGACGCCTCGCAATCGAGCGCGATACCGGAAAGCTGGAGGCATGCGTGACAAGTTCTGTGCACATTGACTCGATCATGTTGCTAGCAGATCTTGCAATGACACTGGAAGTCCAACGTACGATCTCGGCGTCTACGTCATTATTCGGGCCTGTTTCATCGAGTTTCTCCTCGGCTCAATACACGTGGGCAATTCATGGTTATCGTGAGAATCGAGGCCTCGGAATATCGCCGGAGAATACAGCTGCCTGATCGGTGTCCACGGGCATGCTCAAGCCCACTGGGTGCGGCGCGGCACGCAGCGGTAGCTCCCTGCAGCCGCGGCTTTGTCCAGCAAATTTCCCTCACGGTATATGTCACCTGGACAGTTGGGACAATGTCAATCTCTCTGCCTGAGACAATGCCCCTCACTTGCACATCGTGCAGGGGAAGCACAACATGAGCCCAAGTGTCAATCGGCAGGGCACATCTTTGGTGACTATGAAGCCAACGTGTGCAGATGATATCGAAAGCGTGTGAAAGCCTTCTTCTGTCCGCGGAATTGTGTGGCTGTCCACAAGTAATTTGACCCTCTTCTTGCAGGGGCCCAGTCAAGCCGAGGTGCTGATATGCCAACCCTTGGATCCCGAGTGTGTTATGGGTCATGCTCCTTAGCAGTCCTGCTAACAACCACGGAATGGCCATTGTTCCCTGGTCGTCGCTCGAGCTATGCCAGCGCCGTTTCACATCGCCCACGTAGACATTTGATTGCAGGCCAGAGCGGGGTCACCACTTTGACACAGCCTCCTCTTCCCCTCTCTCACCAGAGCTTCATAGTATGTTTTATAGGGGCAAACCAGGAAGAGAGGGCGAAGATCAAGTACGCTGCTATTGACAGGGCCCACTCGGAAGACCCAAGATTGTTAGCACCAATCGCTCGTCGTTTTACTTATTTACCTGCGCCTTTCTCTTCCCTGGACATCGTCTGCTTCTTCTTTTCCCTCATCCACATTCTCATACCAAATTTTCGCCAATCCACCTCCCACTACCACCAAGATGCGTCTTCCTAACGTTGCTGGCATGTTGGCTGCGGCCAAGTCTGCTGTTGTCTCCCGTGAAGCCCAGACCACCCAGGCCAACCTCGAGACCATCGTCAAGGCTGTCGAGAAGCTCAACACCACCGTCACTGGCTACAAGGGTGGTGTCCTCGCTGCTGTCGGCATCTCCTCCGACGAGGCCACTCTCGGCCAGGACATCAAGAACTCCACTGCCGATGCCAAGAAGAGCGAGATTGTCACCGACGAGGAGGCCAAGATCCTGATTGCCTACATCGAGAACTCTCTTGTTCCTTCCATCGAGAAGTGCATGGCTTCCCTCAAGGCCAAGAAGGTCGAGCTTGCCGCTGCCGGCCTCGGTGACACCGTTCTCGGTGACCTCAAGGACCTCCGCGCTAGCTCCAACGCCCTCGGCGAGGCTCTCGTCGAGAAGGCCCCTGCCACCCAACACGAGGCTGCCCGTGCTGCCAACGCCAAGGTCGATGCTCACTTCGACGACGCCATCAAGTTCTTCGGCACTGCATAAATTTGAAAGCAGATCGGATACACGGCTTACGAAGACTCATTGCTCACCACTGTTTCGGAAGGAAATACTCTTGTGTTTTGGAACGACCTTTTTGATCCAAAAGGCCCCAACACTCTCGAAGATCCGGTCGGACAATAAAAAGATTCCCCCGCTACATCGCTTTGTTTTGTGATGAGGCACATTGTTGGCTATGGTGCGATCTTTTCGCCGCTGCCAATCATACTAGACGCTCTCTTTTGATTTAGATGAGCTCTATTTACGATTTCGACGACGAGAGTGACTATACAGCCATGTCGAAATGTTGACGCTTTTTAATGAACAAAGTCAATGCAATTTCAGACCTTGGTCACACTTCCAGATTCAGATGTGCGTGAACTGCTTGAAATGCTGTGCGCGAAATTATTACCACCCGACGTATCCATGATGATGTCGCCCGCAAACTTGAGCCACAGCGCTCACTTCGCACAGCATTGGACTAGATCTCCTCAGTCTCAATCGCTAAAGATAACACACTCGCTTACGCGCTTCGAGTTGAATTCGTAAGATTACGGTTTTCTGTGGAGAAGTCGGTGACCTCCCAGCACACGTTTCACGCGATGTGGCTGTTGCAACAACAAATACCCCATGCGGGGTCAGATCAACACAAAGCGGCCATGCGGGAGTCTGTTCATTTGACGCCCGTGAAGAGGGGTACATCACGTGTGCAATATGAAGCGTCAGCCAAATCTCCGCGAGGACTAATCCTTATTTAGAATTTCGCCGCTAACCCTAAAGTCGTGACCCAGCTATCGATAAGAGCCAACCTTTGCATTGGAAAGAACATTTCCCGACATCACAAGGTATCGTCATTCACAAGCGATCTATTTCCACGTCGGACGCGCGATCCGCAATTCTCCACCTACACGAAAAGCCACGTCGTACGATAGACTGACTGGCGAGGTCATGCCAAAATGACCACATCCACTACCGATTCTGCATATTTGAACTTTCCGACTCTCCTCGACCCTGCGTTCTCGCCGAGTGCTTATGCGAACGACCTTGTCCTTGCGACAAATAACCCATCGGATACCACAATCGACCTAAGCACTCCACTGAGCCGCGTACTGTTCGATGCGCAGGAAGTCGACACGCATATTGACACACTCACGACACAGTACGCGGGTCCCATAATCGATATCACACAATCCAAAGCCGATGCCAGCGCAGCTGTTCTTGAGACCGTCGAAGCTCAGGTCGCTGGGCTGAAGGAGAGCTATGAGCGATTACAGCGGGAAGTAGTCGACCGATGGGAGTCTGCCGAGCAGGTTCGACTAGTTGCTGAGCGACTCGTAGAGGCTTTGAGATTGGGTCGGAAAGTTCTCCGATGTTTACAGCTTGCGCGGCAGCTGGAGTCATCTGTTGCAGAGGGACGCATGGTCGGCGCAGCAGAGACGATTTTGGATGTCCGAGAAGTTTTCACGCAGGATCCCCACATTCAGCTTGACCGTGTCAAAGTAGTAGCATCGGTGCGAGCGGATGTACTAGTACCTATGGAACGTGCTGTTGTACAACGCGCACAAGGTGTCGTCAAAGAATTCAGCATGTCAGGGCTCCTCGCTGCTACTGCCGCTGGACAATCAAGTGCCTCGTCTACTAACCCAGCACTCACATCTACCTACGCTCGTACGGAAGAGACGAAATCGCGGGCAAGTCAGGCAATTCATACGCTGTATCTCCTCTCGCCTGTGCCCAAAGGGAGCAAATCCACCGTTTCAGAGGCGAACGAAGGCCGCTCTTTCGAGCCCACGCTGTTACTTGCAGCCTTAACTTCATATCTGCAAATTAGCCTCTCATCTTCCACAGCCAGCCTGGCTCGCGCACTCGCTAACCTCCCGGGTCTTGACCGCACACTCCTCGAAATCTCAGCGCGCTGTCAAAATCTTGTTGCCCTTGAGACTCTACTCGCCAGCCTGCAGCCTCCAATTCACCCATCACTCCCCTCACCTGCCAGATCCTTGGACGAAGACGATGGTGATGACTCCCTCACACCTGCAAACCTTCTTGCGCCACTACTCCGCCATCTCGATACTGCTTCATTACCCTCATACTTCTGGCGTAGTCTCGCATCGGCCATGCCGCCTCGGGTCAATGAGGTTCTGAACAAGGGAGGCTCAACAGCGCGGACGCTTCGAGCTTCGCGTGACCGGTTGAGGGAAATGCTGAGGGAATGTGTAGAACGAGGGAGTCGGTTACCGGGCACTAGTGAGGGGAGGAGAACAGTCGGTGAAGGTGCTGGTGGTACGGCGGTGGCCAATTGGGAGAGGGAAGCGGCTGTCATGGTTGGTAGTGTAGTGGGATCCCTAGGTAGATGAGACAACTGGCCGGCGCGTTAGACACTCAAAATCGAAACTTTGTTGAGCATCTCGCCTTGGACGATGCTTGAGCTTGCCTCGACTTTTGGAAACCACGGCGACTCCAGGCAATCCACGATGTCACGGTGAATGTATTGTCGCTGTATCAACAGATCGTTGCTGAAATTCTCTTCCTACCGAAGCTTCGACCATGTAAATGACGCAGGTGGACACCTGTGAGAAGGTATCTAGACGAGCACTTCGTTTTGTATCATCATTTCTTTTATTACCCCAAGAACAACCCTAATTAATCGGACTGATCTCCGCCGCCTTTGATTGAGCGGACCAAGATTCATTGGCCGATGACGCAGACCTTGTGAAGGCAAATGTACCACCCCGGGGTTCTGACGATCTTTGTGTTGCTTGATCCTTCATAAGTCCAAACGGTATTATCGAGAAGATTTTACAGATCTCGACGCGCAAGTACCATCAAGGCAGGCATGTCGTTTCACAGAGGGCGGCCCTGTCTGCAGCTGTGGAATCCGGACGTGCATTAGTTGACTCAAAATGAGGCTGAGCGACATTTCCAACTTCGTGTCGTAGTCCGTCGCGTCTACCTACCTCGTCCATAAGCATCATTTGTTCTACTGGCGCAATTGAACGCTCAGATCGTGTGTCATGCCTTCATCACGACAGACCGGCAAACATGCGTCTCTTGAATGTACAGACGCTCACTTTCACCATCTTCCCCAAAGATAGCCGCCCCGAATATGCAATCGCATCGCATCGATGGCTCGACGGTACAGAGGCAATGTATGAGGACATTGTCGGCAAGAGAATGGATCTAGAAGGATACAAGAAGGTCGCGGGATTTGCAGAATACGTCAAGATCAATATCTCGCATCTCAAATGGTTGTGGATCGATACATGCTGCATAAAGCAGGATAGTGATAGAGAGCTATCGGAAGCCATCAACTCCATGTTTCGCTGGTATCGTGAAGCTGAAGTCTGTCTGGCGTATCTTGCAGACGTTACTGTGGCAGATGATCTGTCGAGCTTTCGGCAAAGTGTTTGGTTCCGGCGAGCATGGACTCTGCAAGAGCTTATCGCACCGGAGCTGGTCGTGTTTCTAGCACGAGATTGGCGACTAGTCGGACATAAGGGACTCCCTGGCGATCTCAAAACAATCTCCATCGAATCTGGTCCCCTTCTCAATCACGTTGTTGCCGCCGTCACAAAAATTCCTGAAGATGTTCTCGAGAACTATGCCAGAAGCCTCGATTTCAGTCTCGAGGAGAAGCTGGAATGGACAGATGGCAGGCAGGCGACGAGAGGAGAAGATCTCTCATATTGTCTCCTCGGGATCCTGGACGTTAGTATGAACATCCGCTATGGAGATGGTGAAGACAGGACTCGCAGCAGATTGTTCAAAAAGATGACCAAAAGCAAAGAGCTCGACAAATTCGCTGTGATGAGACATCGTGTTCCTTTCGTTGTCAAAGACATCCCCAGTGTTGAATTCTACGTGCCGCGCGAACCAGAGACCGACAAACTAAGCTCATTCTTCTTGCCAGAGAACACAAGCAATGTCAGACGGACATTCATTGTGCATGGTGTCAGTGGAGTCGGTAAAACCCAACTCTGTGCTAACTTTGCACGACAATATCACAACCGCTTCAGCGCAGTGTTTTGGCTCGATGGTTCGTCCAAGGACGCACTGGTTCGATCAATCGCTCGGGTTGTGCCACGAATTCCAGGATACAAAGAAGATCGCTCGATCGAGTTCTCAGAAGCACAAACCCACGTGGTGCAACCAACCGTCGAGACTGCCACAGCACAAGCAAAATTGACCAAACCACGTTTGAGGTTCTCCGAGTGGCTGTCAATTCCTAGCAACGATAGATGGTTGCTGATAATTGATGATGTTGATCGCGAGTGGTCCGCTGGAACCGAAGATAGTCAGGCATATGATCATCGTGAATTCTTCCATTTCAATGCCTTTGTGCCCAGGATCAACCATGGCAACGTATTGATCACAACTTGTTTAGATGAGCTTAGTGGAGCGACTGATTCAATGCATTTGGCACCGGTTGAAAACGAACTCACCGGTCAAATGATTGCACTGCGTGCTCGACGGAACGTACAACGTAAGCGGTCGAAATGATTCAGGATGGGACTTTTGTTGACTGAGCCACAATTCAGATGTCGAATCGTTATTCCCGTATCTCGACGGCCTACCTTTATCGATCTCGTTAGCCGGTGCATATCTGCGCGATCCCAAAAACACAGTAGAGGGCATCATCTCCCAGACAGAAGCATTCTTGGCTGATCACGAGTCAACTTGTGATGATAACTTCACTAAAGCGGGCGCTGTCCCCACATCTGACTACGCCCAAAGAACTGCGCGGAGCAAGCCATTTGCAATCTGGAAGATGACGTACGATCACTTAGCATGGAGAGAGCCTGTCGCTGCGAGACTCGTCGACGTACTGTCTTTGTATGGACACAGCAACATCAGACCGGAATTGCTTTTAATGCACAGAAAAGTGCAACAAGAAAGTAGCAGCCACGCAACGGACGCAGACACCACTGCCGATGCCAACGGTAGCATCAATGGCTTGCGCGATTTCCTCGGCTCAGCTACCAAACGCTCCATCCAAGACAAGATCGATGTGTTGAAAGATTGCGCTTTGCTGAACGAAGGTACGCGAAGCGGATCAGCTTCAATGCACAGAATGATACGCACCTGGACCTCTGAGAATATCAGGCTTGCCATCAATAAGAAACAGCTGTTTCCGCTTGCAATATCGCTTGTTGCAGCCATGGCCGAGTCTTTTGGACACGAGTTCAATCCTCATGGCCATGATGATTCGTCAGTAGCTCATGCAAAAGCGATTGGCGCCTTCGTAAAATCGTTGGACTATGACGAGAGCCTTGGAATCGATTGTATGGCTATTGCCGGTTATCTCGAGCAATGGGAGTATTCAAAGGAAGTAGAGAATCTCTATGCGTATGCCCAACGAGCGTTTGAGAAGACTGCGGATCGCCGCTGGTATCGCGCGACTTATAAGCTTGGTATCATATACCACAACAGGGGCTTGATTAACAGAGCAGGGCATGAAATGGAAAGAGTGCTGGAACAAGCCAAAGCGACAGCAATCTCCGGCGACGACGAATACGTATCGATGTCGAGCGCTTTGTGTGGCTGTATATGGGCTGAGCAAGCGGAATACGCCAAGGCAATGTCATATCTGCAGCGAGCGCGGCGAGGATTCGAGTCAAGTGACGGTCTGTCTAGCTTGAGAGCTCGTCAAATAACTCAAAAGCTTGGTCTACTGGCTCTGAGAATGGGTCGCTTGGATGTGGCTGTAGACATGCTTTCACACGTACGACAGGGACCTACGTTGACGAGCAGTTCAACTGCATCGCTTCGCCTACAACAACTATCCGCAGCGCCCGGGCTTATCGAGGCATACTTGAGACTTGGTTCAGTGCACGAGGCCGAAGCCACAGCACTGAGTGTATGTAAAGATGCAGAGAAGATATTGGGTCCTACGCATCCGTCGACATATGCAAGATATTACACTCTCGCCATTGTCTACGCTCATCAGCACAAATTCGAGCTGGCCAAACAGGAGTACGACAAGGCTATCGACGGGCGATCTATGATAATCCAAAGGGATCGTAAAGACATCTATGATGCATTCATTCGACTAGAATACGTAACCATCGATCGAAATCAGAAGGCCCAGCCAGCACCACAACCAATATACGAATCATTCTGCAGGCAATATCCTGTAGACCATCCTGGTCCGATGATAGCCCTCACCAGTCTCGCGCACTCATGCCATCGCCAGGGAAGGCTGCAAGAAGCCGAGCAGCTGTGCCGCCGCGCGCTTAAAACTCAGATCAGATACCTTGATACCAGCCACGAAATCGTGCCTGTGACGACCTTTGCTCTCGGAATGATCCTTGAAGATCTAGGAAAAACAGATGAAGCGATAAACACCCTGATAGACGCGATTCAAGGCCTTGAGAGAGCTGGGAGATCCCAACGTGATATGTTGCTTATGGCGTATCGCGCCCTGATCAGCGCTTGCGAGAAGAACGGTTCTAGGGACAGCCCTCTATTCTCGTGCTTGTATAGCACAACGCTGTATCATCAAGCGTTCGAGAGATCATTATCCGAGCAGCATTCGGTTATCGCGTGGTTGGACATACTCCGCGTGCCCAACCCACGAAGGCCCAGCCAGGCGATCGCCGAGAATGGTCCGGGAGCTTGCCCGGAACAAGTAGAAACTCCTCAGAAGGAGAAACCGCTAGAGAGAGTCAGCCGTCTCAACCGTCTATGGGAAGAGATCTTTGCTGCGGAATGATGGCCACCCTGCATGAGTGCTGCATGAGACTATCACGATTTTGATGGTTTCAGGTACAAACACTGCACTCATTGCTGCGACGTTGGTACTGCCTTGGACTCCTCGCTGACTTTAACGAGATCGCACCCGGACGTTCTGCCTAGTACGACGATAGTAAAGACGTCACAACCTCCAAATTATGTGACCTCTGGCACATGAAGACGGATTCGAGTCGAAAATGACAAGCGGATCACGTAAACACAGACAGCGTCCGCCTGGCAGCGCTGCAGATAGGTATGCCATAGCATCACAGGAAACAGAGACCCGCGAGCTCCGCAAATTCCGAATAAGTCTGCAATTGGTATATACGGAACACGCTGAATACCACCACGGCAGGAAAGCCGATTGGGGTACGACTACTCATGGCCATGCTGCATCGAACGACTTCTGCAAAAATCACCGAGATTCTTCGTGTACTTGGTTTGAACTGTACGTCGCCGTCGATTCTCAAGGCCATATTCGTACAGGCGACCTCCAGGATCCGTACCGCTTGGCACTGAATATCCTGCGAATAGCGCTAAGAGCAAAAAGCTGCACTCATAGCAGTGCCCTACGTCAATACGAGTGACAATTTTGGCCATCCTTGCAGGCGGCAAGCGAGTTGACGTTGTGCCATCGCTGCGTCGAGGGGAGGCGAGCGACACGGCTGCAGTGCCGCTTCGCGGCCTTTGGTAAAACTCTTTGCGCCAGAATTGTCCGCATTTGCCTCGCGCGGACACGGTCGGATCCGTCATTTCCCCGATTTCCGCTGCGCTGGCCGTTTTTCCTGAGACAGTCACCAGCAGTAACTCTGCCGTCAAGAACATGACTCTTAATGAAGAGAACAAGCATCGAAAAGCAGCCCGAATCGATAATGCCGGATTTGTGACGCCTGTGTCGAGTTAATAGTCGTTGCTCTTGCATAGAGTCTCAAGGGACGTCTGATTTGTGTTAGTAAAGGCGCTCAAATGAATATGAGGCCAATGTTCATACCTGGAATGTCAAGAAAATCAACGCCTCTCAGTACATCTCCGCTTTGCGAAGTCCGCCTTGATGCAGGAGGCGACAAAAGACGGATATCTAATCCCCATCGCTCTGGATTAATCCCACACGTCTCCTCCAGAAATTCAAGCGTGTCCTCCTCGGTCATTCCCTCGAGCCGTCCACGCTCAAGCTGCGCAAGAACAGGGCGTGGCAGCAGGCTTGACTGGTCGCCATCACCGCATGTGGCGAGAGCTGCAATGAAGGTCCGGATGCGTTCGTCTGTGTCTGCCAATGGCAGGCGGAGGGACAATGCGTGAAGATGGTTGTGCAGGATGTTATCGTTGCTACGAGCTTTTACGCGCTCCAGATCGATCGTTGGGAACAGGCGATCGATGGTGGTTGAGAGAATACTGGACCATTTTGGTATAAGGTTACCATCGTCATCTTCATCGGGACTCTCCTCGGCGGTACGGAGCATGGCCTCAATTCCGGCTGCGGAGTGCGATTCATCTTCTTCTTGGCCTGCGAGTTCTGTGCGCCTGACGTCGTCTTCGCAGACAACCCAGGCAAATGCCTCGTCGATGCAGTCTGTACCACTTGCACCAAACACGAGATATTGTTCGAGGCAGCTTTGTAGCGCGAACTCGTTGAACAGCTTCATCCATTGAGCAGTCACTGGTGAATCTTCGGGCAGGAAGCCATGGCAAGCCGCGGACACCTGCATGAATAGAGGAAGCATGTCCAGGAGGGTCAAAGTCGTGCTTGGGTCGCTGTAAGCTGTCTCATCGTCTTCTGTGCTTTCATCATCGGAATTATCGTTTTGTCGTTGGCCCTCTCTGTTTGTTGCGCTGCTCAGTGCCATCGGATTACACGCTTGTAGGACCTTTTGTCTGCCTTCCTCCAACGCGCGTCGCGATAATGGTAGGCACCTCTCATAAGATGCTACCGCCCGGCCATTTGTCGGCAAACGCTCAGCGCTGCCGATCCATCGTCGAGCACGCGTAGTATTCTCATCACGCAGTTTGTTCAGAGCTGCACGCGAAGGTTTCGCAGCACAGCGCTCGCCACTTTGACCTCTGCCTGGACGATATCTTTGCGTAAATAGCACTGTAAATTTGAGTAGGAGCAAGCGGAAGCGTAGTTTGGGATCATGTGTCGTAAGGTCATGTGTTGGATGGCGCTCGGCGAATAACGTGAGTAAATCATTCACAAGATGTAGAGCTTCATCAGCAGCTTGGAATGCTGCATCGCGCTGTAGTGGAGAGAGCGGTGTTCGGCAATGCAGCGCAGCTTGGATGCAACGATCGGCGAGATAATCTAGCATTAAGAGATCAACTTCTAGATTGGTTTGCGCGTCGGCGCATCTTGTCGGGAGCGATGCCCGTGTCGTGCTTAACCGAGCCCGTTTTCGTTGAGTTGAGGTATCCATGGCCAACGTCGAGTTCTGGTCTGTTTCCGAGGACAGCCATCGCTCTGTTGACATTGTCGATGGTTCCATGGCTATCGGCATTGTCGTCGGAAGCTGCTACTTGTAGTGGTATCGAGGCAGTGCACAACGGGAAAGATCGATGGGTGGATCGCGACGCGACTGAGGGCGTCGCGCAGACTGATGCTGTTATATGTCACTTTCCAAGGTTGAGTTTGATTGATTCTTTCAATTTGTCCGTCTTCATCGACGGAACGCGTTCATTTTGATGATGGCATTAATTACAGGGGTGATCATCGAAGGCTCGATGCGACGGGTATGCAGGATCATTTGGCAATACTTAAGAAACGGCGACGATGTTGTCAAATTGGATGCAGGGCGTGCAGCAGCGCAGGGGCAGGTGCAGTAGCGACTGTCGGTATTTGCACCACTTGCATGAACGCCTGCACCGCTAAAAGAGAGACATCGACGAGGCGAAGCCCATTTACTCTGACCATCACAAGATGGCGTCGATGGCGATGATGGTGGACAATATCCGGATGTGATGTCGTAGCTTCCGGATTAGACGAGCGCTTCCAGAGTGGGGTTTGATCATCACTAGGCTTCCAGGATTCATCCACAATTTCTCGTTTCGGTAAAGTATCGTGGACAACTCCGTAAATCTGCAGGTTTTTTCCTCTGGTCCTTCCTAAACAAGCGGCCTGCGATGAGAATGGCGATGTCTAATATTTGATACTACGACCGAACAGGCATGCATCGTGATAACAAATGTCGCCCCCCCATGCCAACATCGATTGTTTCCCCGCCCGTGGGCTTTTCGTCACGCAGCAGCCACGGAGTCAATCGAACACCACGACAAAAACAACTCATGAACCCAGAGTCGAACCCCGTCGCTAATCCTATGAGAATCACGCTTATCACAGCCATACTTTGGTGTGATAGATAAGATGACCATTGCATGTGAAGCCAAGTTGCAAAAATGTGCAAAAACCATGCACTGGAGACAGGATTTGAACCTGCGCACCCTAAGGTAATAGATATCGTATGCATGAGCATTCAAGTCTATCGCGTTAACCACTCCGCCACTCCAGTTTTAGAATGCGGTAAGCGAAAAACTTGTATATATTCCTCAACCAAATTCGCAATCATGTGTCACCTCCGACTTTGCTAAACACTATTGTCTCATGGTAATATCTATGATGATGCGCCTTTCCATACCTATGCTTTTAAGCCGTAGACATCATTCTTCGCCGACGACCCGTTCGATCCTCTAATCTTCACCGGACCTGACGACCTTTCCTAAAAGACCGCCCCACCAATGATGAACACTCTCTCCTCTTCTCGCCTGATCCATTGCACAATCCGATTCGCGCCTTGCGCAAGAGATGTGCGAGATGCTTGAGGTCCCGCGATACAATAAAGCTCAAACAATGGCGTCTCCCATGCCAAAGCCGTTGCATCCTCTGTGACGCAATGCTGTACACGCAAGTGTGCTGTTCGCGAATGTATACTTTCGTGGAGATGATGATATACGGTCATCAGGCGGCGACGAGTGACCAAAGAGGGAAAGGTCGGTGCAAACGAAGGCATGACAAACTGTACATTTCCACGTGATTTGTAGAGGAAGTGGCGAATCACTGTGCCTGGAATTATCTCGGAACAGCTGGCTTGTCCGCGCTGGATAGCGGTTCGGATGTGGGTCATGCTGGAATTTGATTCGAGTTGAGACACGAGGTCGTCACGCATTTTGCGCATCTCGAAGAAAGCTTCTTTGTTGGCACTTATCAAGACGATGGCCAGTTCGTCGTTGTGGTGGATGTCTGACGACGATGAAGTCGTCGGGCGCTCATTTGTTGTTGATGTCGTAGGAGTGGACGGCTTCTCGGAGGCGTTGAAAAAGCTGACGTACATGTACAAGAAACCAGTGTTGTTGAAACCAGGCAAGCAAAGCGGAATCCAATTCTCGCCGCCACCTGCTTTGATATTGCCAGCCTCAAACAGCATATTGAAGATTAATTGCAGATCGCCTGGATGCAGAGAGTGCTTCTTTGGACGCACCACACTGACTAGACGTCCAGCAGCCACAATCAGGCCATACAGCAAGTTGGGTGCTCTGACCTTCAGCAATGTCTCATTTATGACCTTGCGATGCGTTTTTCGCAGCCGCAGACATTCCAAGGCTGATAACAAAGTCGATGGTGAACCGCGTGTAAAGCCATCGGCAAGTCCGTCTAATAGTACATCTGTGCCTTGCAATGGTCGGCGAAGGTCTGTCGACGGCCGGTTGGAAAACATTTGCTCCATTGCCGGCAGGGTGAGAGTAGACAGTATCTGCATATATAGTGACTCCAGCTGAGTGCGTAGTTGCGCATCACTCTCGCCGAGTCGACTGACGGCAAGGAGGTTCAGAGGTCCTTTTGGAAGCATCACGAAGCGGGTTCCGCCGGCCGTGAAGCCCTTGAGCGAGTCTTCTGCGCTCTGGTAGAACGATACGAGAGTCTGAGCAACTCCAACATAATGGCTGATGAGTTTGTCATCTCCGTGACGGCTGTATATCGGCTTACCCGAGGCCGATAGGATGATGAAGTGTTTGAGTTTCGCTTTCCATTTGGCTAATACTTCACCATCTGATAGGTTGGCCAACGCCTCAGGTTTGATGGAATCGAATTCATTCTCGATTCGTTCATTCAGCGCCTCTATGGCTGGTGAGACGAATTCAAAAGGATCCTCGGTCTCAATATGAGCATCAAGAGCCTTCCAGAGCGAGCTTGCGTCCTCATCTGCTAAATCACCAAGGACAGATCGTCCATCAGCTCGAACATCTAATGTAGGAGCAAAGCTCTTCAAGCTTGCTGAGTCGTCCGCGTCGCTGTTGCTATTCATAAAGCGTCCCAGATGGGTGAAGCTCGGCTTCCGGGAAACATTTCTACTTGCCGGCACAGAGTGTAGGCTGTCAGTGTCGGCATTAGCTTGCGTGTGAACATCGGCCAAAAACAAGGCTGTAGTTGGTGTGGCGCGCGAGGATACCCGCAGAGAACCTGCTTTGGATACTGTTGGTCGAGGTGGAAGCGGCGGCGCGAGAAGCTCTGTCGACTGTACGAGTATGTCTGGATTTGGGTTGAGATCGTTGTTCTTTGGGCCCGCGGCATCTGCGACACTAATGTTTGCATCTTCCGGAATTTGATCGAGATCTGACACGCTCGAGTCGACAGCACGACTGCGTGACCCCACGCGTCGTGAAGCAGAGCCGTCAGCCTCCGACATCGCTAGAAGCAGGCTCAATACGCATGATTGTCAGAGAAGACAATCATCGGGTGCGTCTGTCACGAAGCATGGCTGGGCTTGCTGGATGACCCGTTCATGATGAAAGGCATGAGGTCGAATGGAAACCCTAAAGGTGCCAGGGCCATTGGAGAGTAGCTGCGAATTATCGGTCACGGTTGCGAAGTCCTCGGCAGCTTCAATAACTCGGGTGGCTGCTAAAGTACAGTATGATCTTTCGACCATTATGCGCAGTGTTACATAACGATACAATAATTGAATCGCAATTGAAATGTGTAGCTCCTCGAATACTGAAGTGAACTAAAGCCGGCGACTATGGCGCTTGAAGTTGCTTCAGGTCGTCGTTCGGCATCGCCAACGAGTTCAGGTGCGCCATTCTAGCGAAATGACACCGAGGACACATACGAGATCGCAGCTTCTGACCCTGAGCAGGCCGATCAACTCCCATCGCACGCACATCACGTCGGAATGTGAGTTACCTACCCTCGGTATCCAGCTTTCGACCAGACTTGCATCTGACCAATCTCGATATTTTCAGGCGGTGGATGACGAGCGTGTGTATCATCCCGATTCGCCAAAACTTGTGCTAATCCACATGTAGATGTCTTGAGATCCGACAAGACCTTGCGTCGCTATGGCGCAACTATCGAGCGTGTTCTGGCATCGTGGGAGGTGTCGCCTGAAGAATGGGCGGACTACATTGCGTTTCTAGCCCGCTTGTTGAAGGTCTGTGGCTCCTCAAGATTGGATAGCACATATCATCTGATGATTGATGTAGGCGATACAAACACACCCGAAAGGCTCGCCGTTCTTACCGCACAGTAATGCAATTGCGACACGTTTGGCGCAATGCTTGAATCCGACTCTGCCTTCTGGAGTGCATCAGAAGGCTCTGGAAGTCTACAACTACATCTTTGACTCCTTTGGTGTAAGCTCTGCGTCGCGAATACATGCGCATTCATACTCTGACCACGTTCTTTAGGACCACTTCATTGCGAGCCATCTCCACGAATATCTACCGGGTCTTGCGGGAGTCTTATCTTTCGCGTCATTATCAGTGCGACCAGGTCTGTACTATCTCTTAGAGGAACATGTTATCACACTGGATGCATCCGATCTGAGGCCCGCATTGAAATCATTGGTGCTCAGTTTGCTTCCCGCACTCGAGGAAGAATCTGGCGAAGACTTCGAACGGGCCTTCGCCATTCTCCAGACCTTGGAAGCCTCATTCGATGGGAAGCTCGATGGCGATACATCTAAGCATCCTGATGGGTACTTCTGGCAATGCTTATTTCTCGCGGTGATTACAAGTCCATCAAGACGGCAGGGTGCATTGAATTATCTTTCAAGACGACTGCCAAGGTTGAGCAACAACCCTACAGGTGAGCTCGACGAAAAGCTTGCAAAGATTATTCTCCCTGAACCGGGACTTCTCATACGCTCCTTCATTTGTGGTCTGTCCGACACCCAAATTCTCATACAGCGAGGATTTCTTGATTTGCTGGTGGCAAGATTACCCTTGGATTCTCCCGTACTCCAAAAGCGAGTGAGCAGTGAAGACCTCGACAAGTTGGTCTCTGCTGCTTTGCAAATATTGCTTCGTCGTGACATGGGTCTGAATCGACGGCTTTGGAGCTGGTTCCTAGGTCCTGATAACAAAGACGCAGCCGAGGAGAGTCAGACTTCGTCGCCCACGAAACCGCGGAAAGACGTCGTAGAGGTAAATTTTAATTCACAGATCGAATATTACGCCGCATATGGCCAAGCAAGCCTGCAACGTTGTGTGCTTGGCCTTTTCAACAACGGACATCACAAAGTAAGCGAGCGAGCACGACCTTTCCGCATATGCCTTTCGCTCATGGATCGTTGGGAAATTGGTGGACAGCTCGTACCGCATGTTTTCATGCCGAGCATGAAGAACTTGCGCGACTATAGTCTGAAAGCTTCGCCTGAAGCGACTGCGGAGGTCGTTCGGAGTGCAAGCCTCTTCTTCGACGGAATCGAGGCAAATCTAATATGGGGCAGTCTAATTGCTTTGCTACACGAGAGCTTCGAGCAAGGTAGCACTGGGCTTCTGGAAGATGTGGAGTTTGTGCGATGGATAGCGCAGACTTTCAACATCAAGGACGAAGAAATGGTCAGCGTGCATATTCCCCGAATGCTTAATTACATCCTTAGTCGGGTTGATGTCGATGCATACGCGCTCGATATCAATGTCACACTGTGCATGTTTGCTGCGCATTTACTGGATCTGATACAAGTTCAATCTACGACATTATCGACCAAAGGCGGGACTGACTCACTCTTGACATCGAAAGGCTCATATCTCAGTGCTGTCGAGGTTCGATCTTCTGCTTTACGCTACTACTCTGAGCTAAATCAGCCGCACGACGATAAACTACATGCCTTTGACGAGGTCATCAGACAAATCATAGCTCAATGCGATGACATTGCGGCCACAAACTTGACCAGCCTTCAGCCAGAAATTTTCTCGCTTGCCTTGTCAATGCTGATATCAGTATCAAACAGAGTCAGCGACTTCTCCATAGAACACCTGCAACGCACGCTTCCAGCCCTTCTGAAGACTTTCGATCATACAACAGGACCTATACCTGGTGCACTACCATTCGCCATTGCAAGCTCGTCGGTGTTGTTGCTTTCCACCTTGCGATCTTCGGAACAAACCGCATCCAGCTCCACTGCACTGGCCCTGACTAACGTCGGAGCGACACTCGTCAATCATCTTTGGTATTATCTTTCACCAGCTCATGCTAAACATCATGTTGAAGCAGTGAGATCGATGTGGCTCCTCGAGGGCACCATAACCGCTGACTCCATGGTCGCCTCCCTCTCTGCATTGATCCGTGAACAAACTCAAGATGTGTTGCTGCAAGCGGGTGAGCAGACGGAGGCAATTCGAAGGTTCGCTGTGCTATGGAATCATACTATGGTGAACGCGAGCATCAAATCGGGCAGCGTGCGCCGGAAAAGCTCCACGGCAAGCACGACCGGACACCAGAAAGGCAACCAAAACGAGATTCTTTGGCAGCCACTGATGCTTGTTCTGGATCTGCTATCAGATACATCTAAGCCTGTTTTTGAATGCGTTCAAACATGGCTCCAAGGTCTGCCTTCACTGGATCAAGTCTTTCAGTACCTTTTGGACAGACTTTACGGAACACTACCAAGTGATAATATTGCTCGACCCGCAAACGAACGCCAGAGAACCCGTCAGCTCGCGAGTGAGGCTCGAGAATTAGACTACCTTCTTGGACACATCCATAATCTCTTGCTGCACGCTGATCAATGGACCTGGCAATGCTTGAGCATGACCATTGTCCCAGTCAGATCCCCAAGCGAGCCTGAGGATGGCTTCTCTGTTCTCGCAAAGTTCTGCTCTCGACTACTCTTTTCGCGCAACCATTGGTCGGATTCTTTGAATCATCAATTGATCTGCATTTTGAGCTGCCTCCTCTCCAGCCCGCTCGCAAGTTCATTGAAGAAGTTACAGCTCGAACTCACGTTCATAAACTGTGTGTCTATCTGCATCACCGAAGATGCTCCAGCGCTCCAAGGAGAACTACTGCGCCTCCTGACCTTGGCCTTGAAGCTAAGAAACTCCAAAACTCCGAACAGCTCTGCTACCAAGCCACGTCTGAGAGGATCAATAAGTTCCAAAACCCCAATAGTTCTAAGTACCCCTTCGGGATCTGCCACGCCAGGGCAGTCGACGCCTTCTGGTCCTCCGTCAGAGCTGCTGCAATGCCTGTTGTCTGGGTTCTCAGCAAAAGCCAGCCGATATCATTTAGATCAATGGATTGCTTTCCTGGGAAGCATACTGCCTTTGCTTACGGATGTGATCTTTACATACCTCATTCCGCTGGTCGAATGTTTCTGCCTGCAGCTTTCAAACGCCTACGATGAACTAGTGTCGCTCTCCCGCAAAACGAGTCCCACGGGAATTGTTGCTCCTGACACAGCTATAATAAACCTCCTAGAGGGCTTGGAAATGATTCTCGATCGAGCTTATGAGAGTCTTGTTCAGGAAAATGCACAGGATGTGGTACAGAAGCCCATCGATGGCAGTGTCGGCTTCTTGAGCAATGTCACCTCGGGGGTCTTCAAACTCGATGGACCCACGAACAAGACCGCGAAAGCCAACAATCGCTTGACGGTCATTCTCGCCCTCCACGACGCCATCAGAGTAATTTTGAAGATGTGGATCTGGGCTAGCAAGTCTAGCGATCATAGAGAGAATGATCCTCTAAGTGCATCAACAACGGCGTACAATGCGTTGAAGGTTCGGAACAAGACGCGACACTTACTGGAACAAATCTACACCGTGGAGCCGCTGGAAAGCCTCGAAGTGATTGCAACTCATTGGTGCCGATCTCCTTCAGACTCGATGGCCGCTTCGACCATCGATCTGCTACATGTCATGCAAGTATCGCAACCCAAAGCGGTAGTGCCGACGATTCTCGACGCACTATACAGCAGAACTAATCCAGCTAGCCTCACACCAGCGCGTTTATCAAGCCAGACAGTAAAGCTGAGCGCTTCTGAAGTTGCCATTTTCCTTTCAGCTTATCTGCGCTCGACTGAGGATGACGCGACTGACGAGATCTGGACAGACTGCATATCCTTCCTCCGGGATGTCCTTGCCAATCCACTGCCATACCGACAGGCGCTTCCGCATCTGTTGTCGATTTTGCTTCTTCTGGCCGAAAAGCTCGACAATACCAATTACGGTGAGCAGAGGAAGATGCGACGCGACCTGGGCGATATCTTCCAGCGACTATTGACTGCGACATTCACCGCCCTACCCTCTGGATACGTTACAGAACCGTCCGACCAGGATGGTGTGGCCGCTGCTCATCCACCTTCGAGGCTTGTCGCCGTTCAGCGCACCATGACTCTGATTTCGGTCCTTGATCGTATCACAGCGCAGCTAGAACTGATCCTTGAGACGCCTGAGCGGATGCTGCCAGCCGTCACCAGCATTTCCACCAGTCTTGTTATCCCAATCTTCAAGGCGAAATCATTCCCGAAGAACGTCAGCCCAGAACTATTGTCGCTACTGGTGCATATTGCGCGGAAAGCTCCAGCATCTAAGCCATGGAAGAAGGATATAGCGGACGTTTTTAACGATCCAAAAATACTTTCGGTACTCCCAGACGCTTTTATCGCTGACTGGTGCCCTCTGTTGCACCAGTGGTCTCTCTTCGACAAGGAACGAATGCCCGACCTGCTGGCGAAACTCCTGCCGCCCTCGACAGCCGGGCTCATGTTTGGAGTGGGCGCCAGCGCAGCCCGACTGGAAGCGGATCGCAAGACACAGCTCAACCTCCGCCGACTTTGCCTGCTCATCCTTGCATCGCCTCAAGATACGCATGTGACGCATCTCCCCGTCATTTTCTCCAAGATTGCCGAGCTCTTTGAAGCAAGTGCTTCTTCCTCTCCTTCAATTACCATCAAGACGGAGCTGTTCATGCTGTCTCGTGCTTTGGCTTTATCCTTCCGCAGCCTGCATCTTGCGCCACTGTGGCCCATTGTTAATGACAAGCTGCAAGCCGCGCTAAACTCCATGCTTCCTGGCAGCACAGGCAGCAATGACTTCAACAATCTGGCTTTATTGCAGAGTTGCAAGCTTCTAGATCTGCTCATTGCTCTATCGCTCGACGACTTTCAACTTCATGAATGGCTGTATATCACCGATACCACGGATGCTATTCATCAGCCAGCGGACTGGAGTCCGGTTGCGCTAGCCGACCATATTGCCGCCGCGCTGGACTCCAACAACTCAAGCGAAGAGACTAATACGTCAAACTTTGCCTCTTCTTCTGTGGCCGAAAACGAGACAAGCGCGAATCAAGCAAACGATTTTGAGAAGGATGACGGCAGTGGTGGCGGCAAAGCCCTCCTAAGCGACAATCTTGTTGTCGACAACGGCGACATCAAAGCTTGGGCCAAGGAAGATTTCATCAGTGCTGTTCTGCGACCATTTCTGAGTCAATTGAGTATACGTGCGTACGAGGACGTCTATGGTCTAGGAACGCCAGATACAGAGGCCATGCGACGTGGTTTGCTGGGCGATCTGCTAGATCTGAACACGATTGTTGAGTAAGACGAGAATTCGTACAGGTAAAAATAGAGGGATTGCGCTGCCACAAGACATTGCTGGCTTTATTCGAAAAACTGGAGTTCGGATTTCTGGGCTGGAGATGCTTGCTTGCAGGAGTCTTGCGGATTAAGAATTGTTCACTCACGATTTATTCACTTACAAAGCAAACTGTCTAGGCAGATCAAAAGCTTGTTCGACGCGTCATCTCAATGCAATAGGAGCTTAGTGTCGGTAAGATTATAGATGGTCCAGCAAGTGATGCACGATCAAACAGGTTTACTGGCATGTGGCTACAGTCTATTGCATTGACTGTCGCAGAACAAGCAGGTTGAAGTTGGTGAAATGTGCAAATCCTGGATTTGCATGTGAAGCCAACAACGCCTACTACAAGCTCTCGTGACTTCCGTAGTTACTTGCTTTCACTTGGCCTCTCACAATCTATAACGCAGAATCGAGCACGGATTCAAATCCTGATGTCCCATAACGATAATTCACCATTGACTATTCCTCTGATTACTTGACACATTCCAAGCAAACATCACTCACAATTCAGAAGCAGTATTCTTCCATCGACAAACAACCTCTTCATTTTTCGCACATCGTTAAATCCGGTCCGATTACGACCTCACGATCAATTTTACGCAGCACACCTGCGTAGCTTGTCATTGTTTCTCTCCAAAAGGATCGATCAACTCCCAATGACCATCGAATCACTCCCGAACTCACGTGAACTCATGATCATTCTGGGACCATATCGAACACCAAGCACATCCTGATCGAATACGTTGACAGATACTGTGACCAAAACTTCCGTTGGTTCCAACACAATCATCAATGAGAAGCATCTACCGCTCTGACGCGACACATTCGACCACCCCAATCTTTTCATTCACATTCTCACACAGCCGTCCCGCCATAACGATTCACCATGCCGGTCACGGCAAAGCAGATGGAATACCTGGCCAGAGCCTGGCAATGTTTCACCGAAGAGCCGAAGGTAATATTGACAGTAACTACTTGATAGCTCGTCCGCAAGCCGTCATCACCGCCAGCCCGAAATATCACTAACGATTGCCCTCTCTCCAGATTGACTGGGAGAAATTCCGCTCTCTCTCAAATCTCACCACAGTAGCTTCCGCCCGCGAAACGCTCCGTCAAGCGAAGAAGAAGCTCAAGGATGAGCATGGCGACAGTGCAATAACCCTGCCCATTTCTCCCGACGACAAACCTGTCACGCGAAAGACGACCTCGAGAGTGAAACCTACCGACAAGAGCTCCGGCACAGGTAATGAAGAGACCAGCGATATCGAACCCGCCGTCGCCGTCAACAAGAAACCTGCTCGAGGCCGAAAGCGATCTGCTACTGCGGCCGCAAAAGGCAGAGGCACCAGCAATGAAGCAGACGACGATGATCTCGGCCTCGAAGACGTCAATGAAGAGATCTCTGTCAAGCCTGCGAAGAAAGCAAGGAAGACTCCCGTCAAGGCTGGCAAAGCTGGCCCCAAACCTGCCTTCGTTAAGGGACGAGGAAACGGCAGAAAGAAGGCCGCTGAGAGAATCGATGAAGTGATGGATTCGAAGATCCACATCAAGGCTGAAGCGACCGAGAGTGGTCAGGAGGAGGATGAAGAAGAAGAAGAAGAAGATGCTGAAGACGAGGAAGGGAAATCACATTATGAGGATGCGATCGAACAGAATGAAACACACGGGAACGATTCTGAGGCCGAGGAGGACGACAGCGTTGCGCGCGAGGCCGAGCCAAGTTCGCCGATTGTCTATGAATTTGAGCCTTTGTGAAAAGCATTCGATGCAACTTAGGAAGCGAGGAGGAAATCTGGTAAGTTCTTGCGAATGAATGACATTGAGCTTTATCGTGACCGACTCATCGCTACCTGTTTCCCTTTGAGATCCTGTTTGAATTTCCGTCATAATGCGCAGTCGACGACTCTTTCTAAATTCCATTGAAATCCGTTCTCGAATCATTGACCTAAGACAATCCCACCATTCTGCGGAAGTGCAGAAGCCGAAGTCCACATGCGGTATGTTCCACAAATTCAGAAGCCACCGATCGGTTTTTCAAGGTGAAGGTCCCATTGCGAAGCTCATCCAACTCATGGGCAGTCCAATCCTCTATCCGACGTTGACATCCCAAGCCTCTACAATCTCGCCCTGGGTGGAACGGAGGAAAACGACAAATCCTCTTGCGATCTCGTTGGGACCGGAGCAAATCTCTCCCACTCCTCGCGCGGGAGCAGAAAGCGCGTATCGACCATTTTGGCGGCAGTGATTACCGCGTTGACCATACCTGCTCGGAAATCCCTCTCCTCGCGCGGCGGCTTGCTGCTCAGGATTCTGTTGATGAGGTTGTCCGCACGGCTCACAATGTGCGTGAGCTTTATCGTTCTGGCATCGCTGGGCTCAGTTGTGCTTGTGATGTGTTCCCTGTCCGACATGATGTCGATGAGGGTTTTGATTTCACGTTCTTCGCGTGATTTATTTTCCATCGTGGAAAGAGCTTGGGATTGCCGCTGAAGCTGGGTCGAGACCGTGTTGAGTAATTTCAGGATCGAATCTTGTGGCGTCGTGACCGATATATCGTCCCTATTCCTTCGCGCTTTCGCCGATCGCCTGAGTTGATGAAGATATCTGAGTTCGAAAGGCGAATGGCGAAATCTTTATACCCACTCGCGGTCATTTCGAACAACTGCATGGCTCCTGGAATGTCACACAGCGGTTGGTTTAAAAGGAATGTGATTCGAAGTGTCTCTAGACGCGGGCGCCTATTTGTGTATGTACACCATTTTGAAGAAATCCGATTCTTCCTTGATGATCTCTGCTTCGTGTGTGTGCCGATGGTGTCTAAATTTAAAATTCTTCTTACTGTCTGACGAAATGTACCTAGAGGCGCGAGCGTCTTTCCCGTGGTTTCACATAAGATTCAACGCAGTAGTATTTTCTGCTTTTGGTATGCGCCCATGGCATTTGAAAGATGAAATTATTATTTTCAAGTCGCACGTGGGGCGAACCATACCGGCGAGATGCAGCATCATTCATTCATACATTCATTCTTCCGTTCATTGGATAAGGAACATGTTTGTGCGACGGATGTGCGCCTTGCAGTCTCCCTTCGCGTCCTTGCTCACGATCCGGGAAACTTCGCGCACTTGTTGGCTCTTCACCAACAGCCAGGAACATAGCCCCAGAACTGGTCTCAATATTTCATAGAACCAACCGATTTAGGTAGATAGATGTGATCCAGAACACTCGGTAGCTGTTGATCTCGACATGATCTGCCGGGCCGATCTGGCGTAAATAATCGTTGTCCATTCGCGTGTGTTGATCATATCTTTCAGCGCTTTGCGTTTCACCAGGAAGGGCAGATCTTTCTGCCAAGTCTGACGCGGAAGCAGGAATCTTGTATCGACCACCCGGGAATCATTGATAATTTCGCGGGTCATTTTGGCTCGTCGATTCAAGTCCCAGGCGGCCGGCATAGCATCCTCAAGCGAATCGAGCAAGGCGGGTGCCTCGTCCTTGCACTTATCTAGCAATAGTTTCAAGTCATGACCTTTCCAGCAATGCGTTCTGAACAAACCCACGGGGTCTCCTGATTTCATAAGATCTTCAAGGACAAGGATTGTCAATCGATCGAAAAGCTTTTTCGGGGGGTTTCCAGGCTTCTTGGAGCATGAAGATTCTTTGGAGTATCGGGCCTTGTAATCGCACAGTAAAGCGTAGAGCGCTTGGTACTTCCACTGTTGCCGAACTGTGATGTAGCTGGGGAGATCTAGATCAAGTCTCTTCGCGTACCATTCGGTGTAAGATTTGAACTTCCCCGTAACTTCGTCTCTGTCTTCGGGCGGGGGCTTCGGCGGCCATTGTCCAGCCTCCAGCACATATGTGACCATTCTCCTCAGCACTCGCATGGTGTTGGCGTGATTATAAGCGTTGGATGGACTGGAGCCCGCACCGTTGAACTTCGATAGATCATCCAACGTAGCGCGGCAGTACTTGTCCAGGTCGGTTTCCTGGACGTTGGTAGACATAGTGCTTGTGTGGTGTGTTGGATAGTAACTTGTGCTGCTGCAGCCTCAACGAACAATCAATAGTCATTGGAAGCGACTCTCTGATCTTTCCAGTAAAGGTTTGACCAGAACCTTCAAGGGGCCAACAGCACATTCTTTATACCACGCGATACCCTCTCTATGGCGAGTCTCACCAGGTTTCTAGGAATGCCACAGAGGGAAGGGTCGAGTTGCAAGGAGATGTCCTCCCAGACGCGCGGGCCTCTATTCGTGTGCCCAAGACCAGGGAATCGTTCCTTGATCATTTCGTTTTGTGCCATAGCGTCTGGAATAAAAACGTTTCCTTGTCTCGCGAAACGAATGGGATAATCATAGGCGCAGGCGCGTAGACAAAGATCGGCCAGTGTTGGTTCCTTGATGGGTTTTCTGCTTCGTCTGTGCCATAGCGTCTTGAAGTCAAAAGAGTAAGAGTATCCATTTTGTTGTCACATGCGCGAAGGCGAACAAAGCTTGTTGGAATTGAGAACAGGCGCAGGGCCTATGTGTATGCTCATAGAATTTAACCCAATGACCGCGAATTAATAATTTCTGCTTTTCTGTGTGCCCGTGGTGTCTGACATATAGAGAAAATTCTCCGTCGCGCACGCAGGATGCGCGAAAAGTTCTCATTGAGGCGAGCGAGGAGAACAATATATACATACCTAGGTATGCATGTATATTTGCCTGTTGCGATTTGTGACCATCATTGGCTCGCTCGACGACGGGGAGTGCTCTCGATTGGACGAAACCTTCCACGCAAACAGGCGGACAGCAACAGCGGCGGATAAATCGTTGCCAGATCACTCATAGCTCTTTTCTCGTAGAATCAACGTCTCCGCGTCGCCTCACATCATCAACACGGCCGGCCGGGAGGAGGGTGGCTAGTATCAAAAGGAAAAAAGTGTCAATCTCATCTATATTTGGTCATATCATTAAAAAGGTGTTAAGAGGTACAAGAAAGAAAATCCTTCCCCATTTTTTTTCAATCTTCTCCCTCCTCAACTCATCGCCATCGGAACGGACTTTTCGTTGTCACAACAGCGAGCATCGTCGAGGGACTCTATTTCCATAGGCCCTCATTCCCTTCTGACAGTCTAAAAAAAGGCCCAGGCCAGCGATCCCCATTTCCGGAATGGAAACCAGGAGCGGAACCTAGATAGCCTTCACGGCGCCACCGCTGCGAGTACTACCCTCCCTCTTCGTCGGAGCAGTAGCGTTTGCTCCCGAGGCCGGCGCCGCCGAAGTTTTCCTCCTCTTCGAAGACGACGAAGCTCCGCTCTGAGGCCGTGAAGAAGGCGGAGCAGCGTCATCATCCGGAGCGGCTGGGCGGGCGAGGTGTGGTTGCTGTTCCTTCTGGGCGCGCTCCTTGGCTTTGCCCTTCGCGTGGCGCTCGCGGGCCATTTGCAGGGGGGTTTTGAAGACGCCGGTTTCTCCAACGGCGCCATTGGCGGTTGGCGTGCCTGCGACAGAGGAAGAGGGGGCGTGGGCGGGAGTTGCACGGGCGGAGTCGGTGGTGGTGGTCGTCTGCTGGTCGAGTTCAGAGAAACTTTGGAAACCGTCGTTGCTGGCTTTGATTTTCGAGTAGCGCACCCAGGCTGGACGGCGTCGCTGGTAGACGTCCATTTTCCAATTTTTCCAGACGGCACGACCGCAGGGCGAGGCGCGCAGGCTGGCCTCGTTCTCGGCGAGTTCTTCGGCGATGCGCTCGCGGATGAAGGCGAGGCCGTGCGTGCCGACCCAGATGCAGTCGACAACGTGGCTGGCGGCTTTGTCTAGGGCCATGGCGCCGATGGTGCCGTAGAAGGGCTGGATGAGTTTGCGGCGTTGGATGATGCTGGCGTTTGCGGTGGTGAGAGCTTGTTGGAGGGTACGTGTGACTATCGGGTCGTGCGCCATGCGGATCAGAAGTGGAGGGGGTGCCATGATGAGGCTGTCGATTATCAGAGCGGATAGACTTCCGGGAACGATGAGCATGGCCTGGGCGAGGAGGTTGAAGTGCATTTGGGCGCCTTGAACCGGTTGTGAGAAGGCAGCCGCAGCCGGGTCATGGACTGGGTTGGGAGTTTGCGCTGCAGGAATGACGCCAGTTGGGGTCTCTTTGGAGGTTGTGGTGACGGCTTTGGAAGGCTCATCGGGTATGGCAGATTGGCTTATCGATTGAGATGCATTCTCAGCATCGATGAACAGCATACGATAGACGTCGAAGTTTCCATCAGATCCTTGGAATGCTTCGTCTAATTGCACGGCGATTGCCTGCGTGTCGATCTTGCGAGCTGTGCAGCGTTCGATCAGCGTTCGGGTCAGTGCTGTCCATTTCCGCTCACACAACATCGGCACAAGCGGTGCGATGATTTCGTGAGCGTCCATGAGATCGTCATAACCGAGACGTTCTAGGATACGGCAGTCGATGTATGTTGCGATTTCGTTGCGGGCATATGCAGCGAGGCGCTCTTTGAACATAGTATGGTAGAGCTTTTTGAAAAGCTTGGCAGGCGCCCACCGGATGATTGCCTCCACGAGATGAACACCAACAGTGTCATAGACGAGACCGCTCAGGAACGCAGCGCTTTCACATTCGGCAGTGAATGGGTCGTCCGGTAGAAGGGTATGCATGATCGAGTTGACATCCTTGGCACGCGCTTTCCCATAGTGGGTCATCTCGATTCGAAGAAGGACTTGGAGAGTAGGTGAAGCGATAGGGTGGGTGGCAAGAGCACGAAGCTTAGGTGTGTCAAAACCGGCGATGCTTCCGCTGATGGTCTTTTCTAGTGCGGTAGAGAAACTTTCTGGAACAGATCGTGTCTTAGGTGCTTCCTCGGTGACTTCCGGGGCTTCATCCTTCAAGTTCAAGAATGATAGTGCCTCTGCGGGCTTATGACTCCGACCACGCTTGCCTTCCATCTTCTTTGAGACCGGCTCGCCAGCGAGAACCAATAGCAGCGTCCGTAAAGTATGCGAAGCATATCGGTCTGTCATCATGAAAGGAAGATTGCCATCTAGCTCAGCTAGGGTGTGGAGGAATAGGTTCTCCATGGAGACATAGACCTCGTCAGGATTTGACTCGTCGGGTTTGTTGGCAGGGGCATTTGGGTACAGCAGCTCTGCAGTGACGAAAGGTGCGGCATAGACAAAGAGCGATTCACAGCAATGCGATGCGAATCGATGTGTCATGAGGGCCATGAAACTGTGAGGTGGTGTCAGCTTTGCTCTTCAATATCATGTAAAGGTCCTTGTCGGCGTTGTGCCACCCGGAATATCTCCTAAGCGCTTGTCCCGGGAACCAATGTTTCTTCTGCTCTCGGTCCTTTCTCATCATCCAGCATACTCCCGCCTTCATATGCGCCATTTGGAATCCTCTGATGGACCGCTTTGTCCCATCTCCCAGTAGTAAAGCTCCCGGGTCAAAATTCAAATCAAAGAGCAACTAACCTTCCACTGAATTTCCCAAACAGTCCCTTCAGCTGCTTGGCCGTCGACATGCGAATCATTTTTTCCAATAGCCGCGAGCAAGATTGACTCTGCGCAATCTTGAGTTCCTTCCCATCCGCTTCACGATACACCTGTTCCAATAGTGTCTTTCTCTCCTCCGATGAGGCGAACGAATCCAGCTCGAACAATTCGTCCGCATGTTTGAAGTATTCCTGTTCTGATTCGTCGAGCATGCCAAAGAAAGCGGGTTCGCCGGTTCCAGGGCCGCCTTGCGCTTGGTGGGAGTACTCGTCGGCGCCGGTATAGGCGGAGGGGTACTCGTTGTCGTCATCATGGCTCGGTCGGCGACGTTTGGTGCTGGGCTCTGGTAGTTCGGGTTGTGCAGTTTGGTCATCGCCATTTTCGTGTTGTAGTTGGTGGTCGTCTCCTTCGGCGCCTTCGTCATCGTTGTGCTTTCTCTTCATGCGCCTCCCGCGCTTCTGGTTGGCCTTAGGCATACTGCTGGTGTGGCTGGTGCTGGAAATTTAATGGAGGATTGGATTTGTCGCACGATCACGACGATGCTATTTGTGTCGGTCTGACCGACGGAATAATGTGAGTGGTCCGTCCGATGCGATTCGGTAGCGTGCGACACTTGTGTGGGTCTGCAATGTGATCTTGAGGCGAGATTTTCGTGCTGTAAATTCTTTCACTCGACCCGGAGTTAAGCCACGGGTTTTGCGAAGCATACAACGGTCGGAATGATGGATGGGAGGAAAATGTGGAGTGGTCGAAATGGCAGCGAGTATGTTAGACACAACAACCGTGGCAAAGAGGTGAAGCAGAGATCCTCGAAATAGCAAGAGAGAGATAATTGTCGCGGTATGTAGTGAGCGAGTGTAGTTGTGATGTGGTTGTAGTTGGGAATAGACGAACAGGCGATCGACGAACGATTTTGCCAAGTGAAATCTTGCTAGGGACGATCGCGAGGGCAGAAAAGTTTGGGGCCTGGATTGTCACTGCGATCGGAGGCCGAAAATTGTCTAGGGAGCGGGAGGGATTTGGTGGTGACGTGCACGATCCAGTCCAATCAATCAATCAATCAATCAATCGATCGTCGGTTTCGGACAGACTGATCACTGAGATGATGACGCCGTGTGTTGGCCAAACTCTATCCCTCAAGCCTTGTCGCGCTGTTTGTTCATTTCTTTCCCTGCTCCGCGCCCGCGACTACAGTACTTTATTATACTTTCTCCAACAGAACACTGCAGGTGGACACAATGCCGTGGACACAGAATATAGCAAGCCTAGATGGATGGACCGCGGCGGAACAATTACGGTACTACAGGTGTTGTTGTTTATTACTTCTTCGAAATGCCCTTGTCGGGTATTGTTGGTCAGGGCCCGTGCTGTGGCATTCGGCATTGGCTTTTCGTCTTCGGTCTGGTGCCTTTCCATCTGGTCAGTTGGAAAGGTCTTCCGGCCATGTGGCTGCTCATCGCGATGGTAGTGATATAATGGACACCTGCATGCAGTGTGGACGTGTGGGAGCGGGCCGATGGACAGAGATTGGGAGGTGAAACACGCGCATAAACCGCCTGGCTCTTACCTAGGTGGGTAGGTAGGGACGGTGTGTATCCAACGAGCATGGACGATGACTTACAGGTACGAGAGCTTGCTGGGGGATGGCAACCGTTGGGTCGTGACGTCGCAGCCAGAAAAGCGGCGATGCGGTGTTGGTCACGCAGCATGCACACGCGAGTCAGAATGCGACGACTTCGAAGTGCCCAATGAATAATGCCACTCTATGTGAGAAGAACGAGCCAAGCGATGCGGATGAGCGATGGAAATCTTGGTCGATCTGCGTGCGATCAACGCTGTCTAGGCCAACGGTGGACTGCGTTGGGAGAAGGCGTGGCTCGTGAACAGAAATCCCTGCCTCATCTTGAAAAGCTGAAACAAGGGCGACAGAAATGTGAGCGACCGGAAAGGATGCCCAGGTGGTTCATGTAATAATGTACTGTGGGATTGTGGTAGCCAATGTTCATTAACCTTGGAATATAGTATGCTCCATCGAGTCGCTGTTTCGCAGCCCGTGATGATGGACTCGCGCGCAGACGTGGAGTGGAGCACATGCACGAATGTGCCTTGTCTTTGTCTGGGATCAAGCATCCGGCGACTCGAATACGATGGTTCGCTCCGCTATGTTTACCACAGTTCGATGCACCTTTGTGGACCCCTGCCGGGTACCTTCTCACTCATTTACATGACAAACAGCTGCTGTTGTCATCAAAAGACAAAGACAATGCAGAGTCTCGGAGAGCCACATACTGTATTGCTGTACGGCAGCCTATCCGCAAAAGCGATTCAGATCTCCTGTGAACCACATCGCCGCCGATCCGATCTCTAGTTTTCACGATAAAGCGGGCCCGATCTCGAGGGTTACGATAGATTCAGTCCGTCTAGTGGAAAAGAGGGGCGAAGGAATTTCGCGTGCGACATTGATGACTGCCCAGGTGCCCAATGGTGGGCGATCCGCGGCTTTTTCTCATCGTTTGGCGTGGGTGCCACGAAGCCATGCAGGGTAGAATTTGTGCATCATCTCGTCGGGCTTGTGTCAGATTGCTTGGATCGGCTTACAATGCGATGAGTGTGTAGATTCATGGCGCTTATACATAGCACCGTAGACACATCGACCGAGGGTTGACGAAGGATACGGTTGGGAAGTGTAGCACATATGTATCCGCCCTGCCAAATGCACCCGCACTCCCAGAATTCTCCACGGAGGGCGGGCGTTCAAACACAATATCCTCATCAGGAATCCAGACCTCAGCGATTCATCATTGGCAAGACGTTATCACACCACTTCGCAGCCTATGGTCGATGTTTCAAGGCGAGGCAACCAACTGAACTTGACCAATGCACTACATCCACCAACGAGAAATCTGGAGGAATAGGATGGCTGTCTATCAGAAGCATGGCTATCCTACCGTATAGCTTGATCACATTGATATAGGAAGATCTCGAGTGGAGACGAATTCATGCTGCCCAGGTGCTTGCTCTTCGTGCAGGGCAGAGGTCTAGATCTACTATTACTGCTGTACTGTACTGTACAGTCTACGGCTGCCTACCCACCTACCTACCTACCTATTGCCTATGTACCTCCTCGGGTAACGCAGGCATGCGCCGGTTGTTCTTGCATGATCACATCGCAGATTACGCCATCCGGCAATGCAGTCCTACAGCGCTCAGGTGACACGACACGGAATCACCATTCACAGCTTCAATCTCGGCTCGCTTACGCGGCCTCATATCCGTTCCACATGGGAATCTGTCAGCTGCCGTGTTCATCTCCTGAGCAGGAGCGATAGACGAGCGCCCAGGAAAATAACTCGGCGAATTGATGCGATGTACACGTTGTCGTTTCCGCATTGCTCCATCACCATCACCCTCACCTCTAGGGCTGGTATCACCGGGCACCCCGAGGAAGGGACCAGATGGATTTCTTCCAAGGTTCTTTCGCTCCGTCCGCGTATTGTTGCCGTGATGTTTCCGGCTGCGTTTCGATCGAGTCGAGTCCCGACCCTACCCATGCTTTTCCGAGAGCTTGCACATATACAATAATCGGTTTTTTTTGTCATAGCTAGAGCGCTGATATGTCAAGCCATCGTAAGAATGCCCAGGTGAATACTGCATGCTAGAAAGGGCATCAAAGCGACTCGAGGATAACACGACCAAATTACGTTGGTACTCGACACACTGGGTGAGGAGCGTCTACCGAGACTCGACAATGCTGAATCACCACACACCGGGCTCATCAATACACGCGAGGGTACCATACAAACGCGTTGTTACCGTTGGGTTTTGGCGAACGCTGCGCGCGTTCAAGTCCATACCGTGTCCGAGATCTTTGGAAGGTATCCGAGATTCCGATCCGCGTGGCTACTGAGAATCCACGCCTTGCCTGAACAAGTCTGCATAACGTCGAAACGGTCATGATGACAATTCACAGGGTCGGCATCAACGATTGTGCCAAAACTTATCGAGAAGTGATGATGGTGAGACAGGAAAAGATCGAGTAGGTCATCACACGTTCGCGATGACGTCGATGTCGACACTGGTGGGGCGACCTCACCTGTTCATTGTCGGACCCCAATGAGATGCCAATGGGTCGATATTGACGCCAGACGAACGCAACAGGTGTGTAATTCTCAAAACCAATACTTTGACCTGGGCATCTCTGTTTGTATCAGTAGTGCAATTGAACAACGTACAACGAAATCGCGTTCTGCAGTGAAACATTGAAGGAGTATTTCTCCCGCACTGTGACATAGGAGATTCTGAGCCCAATCACCACCACCATCTTCAAGATCGTCAAGATCGACAACGAAATGTCAAACACAACATCGGCCTCACAGCCGGTCAATGCTGCAAAAAGGGAAGCACCAATCCAAAGAGCTCAAGAAGCCGACGAGGTATCACCTTCTCCATCTCCGAAACGATGTGACAAGATCTCATCGCATCTCATCGCCTCTTGATCACGTGCCCAATAATTTACCACAACCTCACTTCTCACTAACACCACCTTCTTCAGCTTCTCACCTCTGTCAAAGACCTCATCACAAACTTCATCCGCTCCGCCGACCAAGATGCCTCTTCTCAAGCCTCAGGCCACGGCCTCCAAGTCCCCGGCGGCGGTCCCCGCTCCGTGCTCGTCGAGCACCACGCTCCCAAGAAACTCGAATCCCTCCTCTCCCTCTCCCTCCCTGATCAAGGTCTCGGCCACGAAGGCTTCCTCTCCTTCACCAAGGAACTCCTCCAATACAGCGTAAATACCTGGGACCAAGGCTTCCTCGCCAAACTCTACGCCTCCACCACACCCGTCGGCCTCGCCGCCGACCTCCTCCTCAGCGCCCTCAACACCAACGTCCACGTCTACTCCGTTTCGCCGGCCCTGACTCTCGTTGAGAAACGTACATCGCGCGCCCTCGCCGCCCTCTACGGCTGGGAAGGCCCCCACGCAGGCGGCGTCTCCCAACCAGGCGGCAGCGCAGCCAACCTGTCCGCCGTGGTGATCGCGCGAAACAACCTCTTCCCCGAAACCAAAACTGACGGCAACGGCACCCATCGCTTCGTCCTCTTCACTTCCGCCCACGGCCACTACAGCCTCGAGAAAGCCGCGCAGATGCTCGGCCTCGGGGCGCGCGCAGCCCGCAGCGTCGCCGTCGACGAGCAAGGCGCCATGCGCCCCGACGCCCTCAAAGCCGCCGTGCAAGCCGCAAAGGAAGCCGGCGAAACGCCCTTCTTCGTCAACGCCACGGCCGGAACGACAGTTCTCGGCGCATATGACCCGCTGGACGCCATTGCGTCGGTGTGCGAGGAATTCGGGCTGTGGCTGCACGTCGACGGATCCTGGGGCGGGCCCGCGATCTTCAGCGACACGCACAAGGCGAAATTGGCGGGCAGTGCGCGCGCGGACAGCCTGACGGTCAGCCCGCATAAAATGCTGGGCGTGCCGGTGACGTGTAGTTTCCTGCTGGGCAAAGACCTCCGGCGGTTCCACAAGGGCATGAGTCTGCCCGCGGCGTACCTCTTCCACGACAATGACGACCAGACCGACTCCGCCGCCCGCGGCTTGGCCGCAGCGCACATCACCGACCCCTCCCCCGCCGACTCCCTCTCCACGCCGCCCGACCCGTCCACCAACGAATCCCCTCCGCCAAACGCACAGGACATCTACGACCTCGCAGACCTCGTGCCGCAGTGCGGCCGTCGAGGCGACAGTCTGAAACTCGCCCTGACATGGCTGGCGATCGGCCGCTCGGGCCTCGCCGACTACGTCGACACGGCGTTTGCCCGAGCGAGCGAACTCGCCGATTTGGTGTCGCGCCACGAAGAATTGAGGCTCGCGTCGACGAATCCGCCGCCTTGTCTGCAGGTGTGCTTTTACTACTCTCGAGGAGGTCCCGAGGGAGCCAAGGGGAAGAAGGAATGGAACGACCGCGTCACGGAACAGATTGCCAAACGGCTCGTGCCGCGGGGTTTCATGACCGACTATGCGCCTGGGGACGAAGGTAAATTTCTGCGGGTGGTGGTGAATGGGCAGACGAGGAGGGAGACGTTGGAGGGACTGGTCCGGGCGGTGGTGGAGAGTGGGGAGGAGGTTGTCAAAGGGTTGGAGGAGGGGAAGTAAGACGATGAGAGTAAAAATGTCAGGGAAGAATTTTCCGATGTTCACGTGAAGTCTTGCATTAATAGACATGGCGATGAGAGAGTTAACGTGGAGGTTAACGGAAAATATAAGAAAGTAGAAACGATATTGATGTTCGGACAAAACACGCAAGATAAGCCCGCCTGGTTTTCTCCTGTGGACGCCTTTCTCTAGTGGGATATACTGCACTTCATATAAATACAATACGTACATGCACATTTGGCCTTGCTGCTTTATCCAGTTCATGCATTCGGCCGGGTGTAACAATCATATGGCGTACGCAAAATTTGCACGTCGTGTGCCAATTCATTCCTTGTATCAAGCAAGCACGATCTCGTGCAAATCGCAAAGGAGGCCCAAGGCGACTTTGTCTACCTGTGGTTGCGTCACGGCACCGAGGATGGCGTGCGCGAAAGGCATGCCCTCCCATTTGGGGCGGACGAAAGCAGATGGAGCGGTCCTCGCTGTCGACGATGTGGAAGTCGGGAATGTCGGGCTGGAGGCAGGTAAATCATCAATCTCTGATTTCGTGGAGACCAGCGCCGCCACCAAAGGTCCGTTTGCCATCGTAGGAGAAAGTTTCGTCGTCGATGTCGTTGAGGAAGAAGATGAACCACTCTTCTCGCTAGTGCCTGCCCGACCGACCAATCTTTTCAACATGCTCAATGCGCGGAATGTGATTAATTTGGAGCTTTCCGGGTCGATATTCATGGCAGCCACGGCTCCAGAACCATCCGGCCCACCGAGGTTTGCTGCAGCGCCTCGTCCTTTGGCAGGTGCAGGCGTAGGCAGAGTCGGAGCGAGAGACTCGGTCATGCTCAGGAGACCCGCAAGCTTGACCAATCCGACAGCCCAGCCGTCTTCGCTTTGGAGCCACGCACGAGCAAGCTCGCGACCGATGTTAACAGGCAGTGTGTCATTGCTGCCGTTCCCTGCAGAACTGCTGCTGCCGTTCCCATCTGCGACGGCTCCGCCACTGGAAGACGTGGCCATGTTGTTTGCTCCCGCTGTGCTGGAAGAAGCGTTCGATGAGGGTGCGGGAGCTAAGCTTGAGAGAATATCCGCAGCTAGCATACCCTGCGCGAGATAGGCCTTCCTCGCCTCAACGATTCGCTGCTGAATATTGGACGGCGCAATACTTCCGATGCTACCAGCATCGGCGTCACTAATAGCGGCGGCGGCGGCAGCCGCTGATGCGGAAGAGTTTTGCGTGCGATCAGGCAACACAGAGACTGCCAAAGCGAAAGAGCGAGTTAGCAAGTCGAGAGGGTGTTGCTGGTTTGTGGGTCGTTGATATGCGGAGGAAGTGTTGAAGTGAAAGATTTGTCTGTATAGCTCGCGGTTTGGTTCTTGACGTGCGAGCAGCTTGGCAAGGCAGTCCACGGCAGGAGGTAGGTAGCGATGAACAGAAGGGTTGAAGCTGGGGAAGACTAGAGACTTCCGTGGTCTTGACATTGGAGAGTCAGCTTCTGAGTTGTTCTTGTCGGTTCCATTGCTGTGGCTGCCTGGCGATTGCAAGCTCTTCAAAATCTCCGAGAACATGGACGATTCACGGCCACCAGATAAATGCTCGACGTCATGCCCATCCGCACTGTATTCCGGCGCAAAGGCCAACAAGAACAACAAAATCTTACGAGCGACATCTTTGTTTGGCAGTTCCAGGCTCTGAGTGACATTGCTCAAGAAAATGATGGCATCCTTGTAAAAATCTTGGGTGTTGAAGAATGACCGAAGGAATAATGGTGCGTCCTCCTCGCCTGACTTTCTCCTCAGCGAAATTCCCTCGATGACCTTTGCGAACCAAGAAACGACTGCCTCGTCCGTTAGAAGACGATGATTGACTTCGTAGAACGAAAAGTTTCGAAGAATCGTAGTAATGGCAATGATCTTTTCGGCTGCACGATCCAGTGTGTAATCAGCAGTGCCGAGCGACGGCGTTGAGGCGAATGTGCCTTTCGCTGAAGTTGATGTAGGCAAAAGAGAGAACGACTCAAGCTTGGAGCCACGGAGTAGGGCTTCGTAGCTGGGCAATGACTCCGATGCCAAGGAAGACGATCGGTCATGCGATAAGGTCTGTTCGCCTGTCACCTTTTCCTCATTCTTTCCATCACCGTCGACGGTCCCGACATCATCGGAGGTCGGTGACGTCGAAAAGGCTTGCAGGAGAATTTCCAATTCGCCCTCTCCACAATCAACCAGGGCATCGAGCAACTCCTCACAGCCGTCCAGGTTCAAAGCGATGCGCTGATCATTGCTGAGCACCGCGAGAGCATCGAGGGCATAGCGAACCTCGGTGTGGATACCGGAGGCAAGCCCCATGGTGAGCCCACGAATGTCTACATAAGCGAGATCCTCAACAGCTGGCGATGGCGGTGTGGCCCGAACAATCGTCGAGGCCACAGCGTCCAGTGCCGGAATGTCATAGCCACCGTATGAGGGATTGGTCGGATTGAGAAGGTGATGAGACTGAGGGAGGTAGTTGGTGCTAAGGGGCAGTTCTTCAGACTTCATGAGAGGACCACCCATTACAACACCAGAAGCATTGTCGCCAGGAAGTGACTCGCGTTTTACGGACGGAGGTCGTTGAAGATGTTGTGATTGCTGTTGTTGCGGCGGATATTGCTGCTGCTGGAATTGCTGCATGTGTTGTGGTTGTGACGGCTGTTGCTGTTGCTGTTGCTGGCGCTGCTGAAAGTGCTGCTGTTGTTGCTGCTGCTTGTTTACCAGGGGAGAATTGGCAGCGGCGGCAGTTGCGGCGGCAATGGCAGCGGAATTGGGATGGAGCTCGGGTTGCGGTGTAAGCTGATCAGTCTTTCTAAGACTGCTGCCCCGTCGGTGCTGGAGACTGCCTGGACCAGTCATCATTTGCTGTGGTGTTGTCAACCCATTTACAGCGAGTGAAGCATTGCTCTGCACTGGCGTTGATTGCGGATGTGGTAATTGATTTTGCTGACTCGGTGGATACTGTTGGAAGGGCTGGTTGCCAGTTGCAGTAGCAGTCGTCTTGATGGGTGATTGTTGTGGCTGCTGCTGTGGCTGCTGTGGTTGTTGCTGCTGCCCTTGCTGGAGAGCCGGTGCGGCGCCTCCTGGCACCTGCTGCTGATTTTGTCGCGCAGGATCTTGTACTCTCTTGGACTGAAACCATAGTTGCTCATAAGAGTATATGCCAGTCATATACAACTGCTTCAATTCATCGCCTGCGGTAGGATATTGTGCTTGATTGAAGCCCAAACGCATCGCCATCATGGGCCACTGGCGACCCGCTTCAATTTTCTGAGATCCTCCTGTCGATACCACCGCTGACCAAAGAGCATAAAGGTCAACCTGCTTGCCCCCGATGTTAGGCAAAGGGTTGAATTGCCGCCCTTGCTGCTGAGCCATCTGTGTCAACGCCTGCAAGAATTGTCGCCGTTTCTGGTCATGCATTTGACGATGTTGCTGTTGTTGAGGCGTCAATGCAGTTTGGTTTCCTGGCACGCCGTTGGCTGCTTGCGATGGAGCCGGCTGCTGTCCTGGAAATTGGCCCATGGGACCTGATTGTGGTGCTGCGACATTACGAGAAGGCATCATGCCAGAGTTGCGCATCTGTTGCTGCTTCTGCATGAGCTGCATTTGATATGCGCGCTGCTCCGGTGTCATGTTCGCGGCGGCATTAGGCATGCGCATCTGCATGGACTGCATCGCCTGCGCAGTCATGCCCGGGCCCGCCATTCCGTATCCTTGTTGCGGGAACGCGCCCATCTGACCTTGCTGCTGTTGCATCATATTCTGCTGGGTCGGCGTCGGTGGCAAAGGAGACATCTGGTTACCGTAGTTCATTTGTTGCTGAGGGAATGGACTCGGCGAGGCAGTGTTGATGCGTGGCTGTTGTCCTTGCTGCTGCTGCTGCTGCTGCTGTTGTTGTTGAGGTTGAGGTTGGGGTTGTTGCTGCTGTGGTTGCTGGCCCGGTGGCCTAAAGGGTTGACTCTGCATCGTCGGTGATGGGGTTGCATTGTTCGAGCCGGGCTGCTGCAGGTGCTGGTATGGTGTGGGCGCATTGGCGAATTGTCCCATATTCGGCTGTTGTCCTCCTTGGAATTGATTATACGAGGATGGCGTCTGTGCGCGCGATCCAGGAGGTAACTGCTGAGGTTGTCCTTGCGTAGGAGAGCCGGACATGCCATCATGCGGTCTCTTCGCCGGTACGACCGACGCTGGGTTGAAGGATGGCTGCTGAAATGGTTGACCTTGCGGCGGCGTAGGATTGGAGACGATGCCAGCAGCGCCACCATTGTTTGACATGCCGTAACCATTGACGTCGAAGTTTTGGTTCAAATTAAGTTGATGAGGATGCAGACTGTTCGTGTTATTGGAGTTGCCGATGCCGTCGCCATTATTGTTGGTATTATTACTGTTGTTGCCGGTACTGTTGTTGTTATTGTTGCTGAACATAGCCGGGTTGAGATGAGTCGGGGCATTAGGCATGAACATGCCGTTGGCTTGGCCATTGGGCCAATGGTTGTTCATCATGGCATGAGGTTGAGATTAATGATACAAGAGAGGAAGACTGGCGCGGTCTTGGTCAGTCATACCATCCGTCCACGTTTCGCGCGTGCAGTTTCCATATGAATGCGACGTGATGTGCAAGAGAGAGGGGAGCGGAAGAATGGAAGGGTGCAGGTGGGGACAAAGCAAGCGACTCGGCACGGGAAAGCAGTCCAGGGGACTCGGACCGATGGGAAGAATGTCGATGGAGAGTGGTGGTGGTGAGGATCGAGAATGAGGTCAAGAAAAGGCGGCCAGTCTCGTACAAGATGTGTGGACGCCACGTGATGTGTGAGTGAACGAAGAAGGCAGGCGCGATGAAGCAGACAATGCTAAGGCGAAGCGCGCGCGCGGTATGCTAGACAGTGACCGTAGCAGCGATCGCAAGAAGCAGCGACAGTAGCGACGATGGTGATGATGATAGTGTAGGTGGTTTGAGTGGTCGTGATGACGCGACGTGCGATTGTGAGGGAGACGCGTCTCGGTGTGTATGGGTAGAGAAAATTTGTGAGCGGGAAATTGACCGGGGACAGGGAAACGCGGAGAGTCAACGGGAACACGTGCGATACGCACATTCGCTCACACCTTCCTGCACGGACAAATGTCACTGCGCGGCGCTTTTCGTCTCCGGCCCAAGCAATGATTCGGCGGATGGTATTTCTATATGCGCATGTGACTTCGGAGCGCGCAGTTGATGATGTTGGTGTATCTGATTGCCCATGTGAGTATGAATTGTTCGCGTTAGGTAGGATCCTGGTGTAGCATGAAGCGAGGAGGTCACGTGAGATTGGAGAGCGGAGAAGGCAAGCAGAGGTTGGGCGGTATTCCGTGAGGTGCGTCTCCGAGCAATAAACATACAGATTGTCAAAGACAGGACGGCTGCAGCCAACAAGTGTAGGGATGGGAAAGGCGAACAGAGTTTGTGAGGTTGGGGGGGTGGGTGTTCATGCAGCAATGTCTAACGAGACATCGTCAAGCAGGATGAACACGCTCAGGCGGACCGTCAGTAGCATGCGACCAGTGAAGATCTCCAAGGTCGCATGAACCTGTAGGGCTGAGGAGATACAAAGGAATGGAGATATGGATGGGTGCCGCAGTAGTCGCAACCGCCAGTGGACGAGAGTGCGAGCGAGACTGTGAATAGCCAAGCCGAGCGAAGGGACGTGAGACGCGATAAGCGCCTGAACGTCAGTGCACGTCCAAGGAACCCGCAATGTCTAGTCGCGGAAGTGGAAGGAGGACAAAGAATAGGCGGTGGCGGCCTTGGATGATCGGTGGTAGTGGAGGCAGCGGTGGTTATGAGGGTGGTGGTGGTGGTATTGGCTGGCCGCTCGGATGAGGAAGGGGACGGAATCGGGATGCCGAATGCAGCGCCAGAACATCAGGCAAGAGACGTCCGAGTGGAGGAGATGGAGGGGATGCACACATAAAGAGAGGGAACTCACCAGTGGGCGACAGCGAGAGCGAGCGAGAGCGTGCGCGTGGCAGCCAAAATAGTCGTGATGGTCGTCGAGGTAGCGGCCAGTGGTGGACAGTCTCGGGCGCAAAGCAAAGCCTGCCTGTCTGGAAGCACCACCGCCAACTTGGCGCAGATAGTGTACAAGCAAATGGTACAGGAAATAAAGCGTGACGGCAATCTGACTTGAGCCGCACGTTTTTTCCCAGAAAGAGAGATGGAGTCGCCCGTCTCGTGGGTGAGGGAATCGGAACGCGTCGGTTATGCAAGAAGTGGAATAAAGAGCAGACCAGACGAACAGGACGACACGACACGACAGCAGGAACAAATTGCGACGGGGGCAAATCTGTTGAGCGTACACTGGCGGAAAGGTTACGGTCGGGTACCGGCAAAAAGCCTGCGGGGATTCCTCCGCTCATACGGAAAGAGACTTTTGCGCCGTGCATCGCGGGCCGTCGGCATGGGACGGGCCCTTTCGATCATGATGACATATGTATTTCCATGCATGGCCTGAGGCGATCCCTCGGGGCTCATCGAAATCTTAGGTAATCGACTGTCGGCATCATCATCATCATTCGCGAATCTTTTAATGCGGAGATCAATTGAACAGTAGCCATCGCGGAAATCCATGACTATTGAACATCACATACCTAACGACGTCCTCTCATCACAGATCAACTCTCTAGCGAAATTGAACGCTCGTCATGGGTTTCTTCTCAAGCACAAAACCTTCGGCAGTCCAATCGCCAACACCATCGAGTGACGGCGGCTTCATCGCTCCCGATCGAGATGCCCGCGCAGCTTGCTGGGAAGGTCGGGATGCTTTCTTTCGATGTCTCGACAGCCATGGAATCATCGACAGCGTCAAGGAAGACGCCAAGAGTCGGAAGGCGTGTGGTGAGGAACTAAGAACATTCGAGAGGGATTGTGCGGGTAGTTGGGTGAGTTCTGAGATATGCGGGTCAATGGCAATACACGACAAGAAGGACATTGGAGCTAACAGATGCCCTCTTTTAATGATAGGTCACATATTTCAAGAAGCGCCGTGTTATGGAACACCAGCGCGATGCGACAATGAAGAAGCTCGCAGCTGAGGGAGCCATCAATGTAGACCAGAAGTAAACCGATCAGCACAAAACACCGAACGACGCAGCATCAGCGAGATTTGAAGGCGGGACTCTGGAAAGGAATCAAGAGAGGGATATGATTGAAAAGCAAATCCGGCATAATCCTATCAAGTTTGGATCAACAGACTACAAGAAAGCTCCTAGGTCGATGTGGTCATCGGGCCGCTGATCCACCCATGCAAACTGCAAGACATAAGACACTATCGCTCATCCCTGAGTAGTGCGACTCATCTCTCTTGAGGGCATACTCGGGCCAGTGTCGCAATGCCGGCCACCTCGTCGACAGACACACGGGCGCACCTTGAGTCCACTTCATCCCAATCATGATCGCCGGGCGATCTTCCAGATCTCCTCAGGCCCCGACTTGACGAGAAGACTATCACAGAACAGGAACGACCTGCACATAGTTGACACCTTGGTGTGAAAATAAGCGAAGCCAAGAACGTCTCGAATGGGACAGCGTTTGTAATATAATGAAATCATGTACTGTACACTGGGAAATTCAGAAAGGGCACACAAAAGAGCATGTACATTATTTGTGTCAAAGTCAGATGGGACAGATGAATTGTATTTGTACAGTACTAAGTTTACGATCATTCAGGATACTACAACACCACTCTAGACACTGTGCAAAGATTGATTGCCAAAGAGCGAGTCTCATGTATCCCTTTCACATTTTTCTTGAAGATTCACTCCACTACTCCAAAGAGCCTGTTCTTAGGCATACACATCATCACACCAGGAAGATGGTCCCCTGAATCCCGAAAAGGCGTTCTGGATACATCATGACTCGAAGCAAAGAAGAACATGCCGATCATCTCGTCTTTCAAGCCCTCGCGGATATCTCGCCATGGAACATATGATCTGCTGTACACGCAGTATTCGTAGTCTCAACACAGATAAGAATCGAAAGAGGTCTTGATATCTCCAGTATACAAGCAACAATATCGCACACTCCTGCTGCGAGCCGAAAGCAAACAAAACTTCTCGCCAGTCCCTGTAAACTCCCGCCTATTCCCCATACCATCGTCATCGTTACAATAAGTACAAAAGCGCAAACAACATCTGAGAAGACAGAAAAATCTCAAAATCATACCAGTGTGCTCGAGGTTTTTCAAAAGCTCAGAAAGGTCTCCAACTCTTGGTCTACGCCCCAGACGCCCTCCTTCCATTCCCAATCACACCCGGCGCGAGGAACTTCCGGGTCAAATTCTCACGACCCATCTCCTCTCTATCCGATCCATCGTTCTCCGCGCTTCCAGCGCTACTTCTTCCCGTCCATTTGATGAGATTTCCCAAACCAGTAAGTGTCATGCGATTCCTCTTCTTGGTGGACGAGAGTTCTTTCTTCTTCTTTTTAAGCTCGGCTTCGTGGTTTTCAATCACATTGCTGCGGGCGAAGAGATATTCTGGGAGAGGTTGGAGGGGGAGACGGTGTGCTGCCTGGTTTTGTGGAGAGGAGAGGGGTTGGACGGGTGCCGAAATTGGTGTTGTAGCGGTCTGGAAGACGCGTGCGGAGGGCGCGGTGCCAGGACGGCTTGCTGAGGAGGAGACGGAGAGGTTTCGGCCGTTGTCGGTGGGGGGTTGGAAGGTGAACGCTCGCGTGGATGGTGAGAACGGGTAGAGTATGGAGGATGCGGACGAGCTGGCTTGTTGAGGGATGCTGTTCATCGTGGGGTTGTTGATGTGGCCATCCACGTCGCCAGATGATTGCGAGACGGGAAAACAGGCCGAGGCAGGTTTGATGGCCATAGGTGGGGAGATGGCACTTTTGCGAATCAATTTCTTGGTGTTGTTACCGTTGGTGTTGGTCTTGTGCCGATGAGCGCCGCCGGTGATGATTGTGGTAATCGTACTGTTTACCACGGGCATGGAGCGGAGATCCTTGGCGCTGCGCGATACGGGACGAGAGACTTCAGTCTCAGCCTTTGTCATGTTCGAGGGAATTGCGGCAGCAGTGGGAGGACGCTGAAAGTGGCCATGGCCATAGAGTGAATCGGGTGAGTTGTAAGAATCAGATGAGAAAGGCGAGGGTAGAAGACCGATATTGATGGTCGGACAAGCTTCGCCACTCAAAGTTTCAAAGTCCGTGGGCGGCAGGTTAGAAGTAGAAGCATCGGCGCGGTGGCTGACAGTGGGCGGCATGCCACGACATTTCAAATGATCCTTGTCAGGTGTGATGCCTACCATGTGGTGGGTCATGTTGAGACGATCGTTGAAGACGCTGCTGTTATCACTGTCTCCACTGCTCAGACTGCTGGTGCTCTCTTGGCCGCCCCGTCCTCCATCGGCGCCATTGCATAGATACAAAGCGCCGTTTTCCCGACCGGACACACCAGCGTATGAAATCCTGGGAGATTGGAGCTCAGGCACACTGGAATCGATCGGAGAGGGTGGTGCCGGTGAGACGACATGTAGGCTTCTCCTGCCACTCATCGTCGCCGACATAGTCATCCAGACGGAGTTTTCTTCAGGAGTGATGGGCGAAATTTCTGCTTGTTGTGCTGGCTGCACGAAGGAATTTTGCCGGTATGGTAGCTGCGAAGATGATGCCTCGGAAGCTGACTGCGAGCCTGATGTCACGATATTACGTGGCACATTCTCCCGATTCAAGCGGTTGTTTTGATCGCGAGAGATGCCAAATGAAATATCTGGCGGATGTGCTCCCTCGTCCTGTTGATCTTGCCCGCTGGCGACATCGCCGTAAGACTTTTCGTCGCCGCCCACGACAGGGTATGCAGGACCTGTTGATTGTGCAGTGAGCACATTGTTCGCTTCTGGAATTGCAGTCTCGGGGCGAGCCTTTTTGAAAAGCCTCTTGCCAGTCATAATCCCTGCAGATGTACTGGGTCTCGAACCGAACCCGAGTCCGTTACTGAAGCTTTTCATGATACCTGGCGAGGGCAGTGAAATGCCGATCGGAATCTCGGAGAATTCTCCCTGGTTGTCCACGATGCCATTGGCGCATCCAGCCTCGTTTGACTCGCTTCCGGAGGCATCTTCGACAGTGTTCTCCATCCTCGTCGCTCCTCGCGCACGAGTGAAACTGCCCCAAATTGGAGCAGGTCCAGAATCTCGCAGGAAGGCTGCAAGATCATAAGTCGTGTTCACGGCTGCGATTCGCGCCTCGCGAGGCTGTTGGCGGCCTAAGGAGAAGCTCTGCGTGCGGCGATACTGCCCACTGAGTCGGGACATGTTCCGGGCGAGGAAGGATTTGTTTTCCTTGACCTCAGCGGGCGCGAAGATCGGGGATGGGGCCGCGCCTTCCTTATCCTCAAGGCTTGCTGTTCTTTGAGACGAGCTGCCGGTGCTTTTCTGGGTCGATTCTTGTATTCCACGCTTTCGGATGGCAATGTCTGGTGGGAAAGGGGCTTCTTCTCGCGGTTGCTCAAAGCGGATGTCGAATGGGATTGGATGGGCTGGTTCTAGGATCGGTTTGGACAATGTCTTGTGCCTGTTCCTCTTGGAGTTGTTGCTGACATTTGAAGGCTGTCGTGGCAGTGGCTTATCGAGTCGAGGAATGCCCATCGAAGTGTTGTTCCGTCGATGCTGACGCCGTACGGACATAGTGTCATCATCTTGTTGGATAGGCTGTACGCTGAAACGGGCAGAGATTGAAGCATGGCGATTCGTGGACGTGAATGGGGCGGATGGCGAGCGATAATGCTTCTTCAATTTTCTCTCCGCCATGTACTCGTCTCCCTCACTACGGCTGCGTGCTTCGCCTTCGATGAATTCGTCGCTCTCATATGCGCCGCTACTTCGCTGGTCGGAGACTGTGTTCGACCATGCGACTAATTGCTCAATATGGTACTCCAGTGGGACAAGCTTTCCGGTCATTTCCTGCGAGACTCTCAACCAACCTTGCTCGTTACCGCGCATCGCTTTGAAGACGTCGACAATCTCCTCCGGAGTAATGCGATCTTCTTCCTCTTCGTCTTCAGGCTTAGTCTTTGGGGTCTTGGTGACATCGCTCGGCTCGACAGGATCAGGAGGCCATTTTGATTCCTTACCCGACATTACGCGATCGATGTAATCTCGCAGCTCCATGAGGGCGTCTTCGCAGACCTCGAAAGTGCGGACCATGGTATCTTTGAAAGTAGTCGTTGTGCGAACAATTTCCCTGACCTCGATCTCCCACTCCTGCAGTTCCTTTTCCGTCCGGTCGGTGTCATACTTCAGGATCGCTTTCAGACTCAGCTTGGTGAAATCTCGTTGCATGTGCGGAACGCGCTGCCGCGCCTTTTCATTCGCAAGGTCCAGGTCTTTGTCCGTCTGTTCCAGGAAGGCATCGATGGATGAGACGTGGCTTTGGAGGATGCGAATGACCTCGGCAGAACTCAGTGCTCGGCGATGACAGAGAAGGTGGAGACCAAAAATTATCTGGGCGACAAGTTTGAGGAGAGGGTGATGCTGGCCTACACTTGGGCCATCAGAGCCTGAAGAAATGTGGGTATTGGCATTTCCGTGACGACTTGCCAGTCCGTCTGAAGGTTCGTGTTCTGGGGATGTGTCGTTCAAGGCTCTGTCACTAGGACTGTTGGCATCGGTGTTGAGGCCTCCTGCTGCTGCTGCTGCTGCTGCTGCTGCTGCCGCCGCCGCCGCCGCCGCCGCCTTTGCTACTTCGTGATCGCGAATCGTTTCCTCAAAAGCAGCTTGCATCGATGGCATGGGATGCTGAGGCGGTCCCAGCATGCTCGCACTGTCGGCATCGTCATCCGGGTCGGTGATCCATTCTTCAGATTCATCTGGGGAGCTGGCGATTGAGTAAAACTTGTCTTCGTCGCGCATTGCCGCCATTTCTAGAGGTGAGAGACAAGACGACCAAGCTGTGTTGTTCAACAGGCACTGTGCGCCTCAAGGGAGAGAGATGCCGCGTCTATGCCAGATTGCCGACGACAAATAGGAATGTTATGCTACAAGGTGGGATGTGTGCAGGCTGTGTTTGTCGGGTCGGTTATCTGACAACGTTGCGGGGATGGTCCTCAGTCATTTCTCATCGACAAGCACCTGAGACTCTTTCGGTCTTTCTTCTTTGTTTGGGAATGGATCATGCCATGAGCTGACGGAGATTAGGAGATGGGAACGGTTGTACTGTTCGGAGGGATCGCGATTAAACGAAGAAGCATCGGAGGAAAAACAAGAGTAGCGATCATCCATGGATCGTGGGAGAAACGAAAACAGAGGGAGTGAGAGAATTGGGATGTAAGTGAAACCGTGGTACCTGAAAGAAAAGACGTTCCCGCCAACAAGAGCGTCGACGATAACCAACCGTTGATCGAACGAGCATGTTCCCGGACTGATCTTCCGCTTCGTCACCATCATCAGCAGTGATCCTTCCCCACCCCAGAGGATGTCCGTGCTAGTTCGATACTGGTTCTCTGAGCCGTTCTCGATCCTTTCACCCGTTTCTTTTCCCTCATCATGGTCAATCAAGGAACGTCTGGGCATTGCGATTTGTCTCACGGGTTGCACCGACGGAGTGGGCGGGAATTGGCGAATACCGTGTGCATCATGTACCTCGCACCACCCGCATCCGTGCGATGGTGGTAGCGCACCATATTTGCTGTTTTACCGGATCAAAGAGAAGAGGAAAGGCGCGCGTGTGGTGCAGAGCAGTGCCAAGTGTAAGTGGGCACAAAAAGGGAAAAAGACGACACCTGCTACATCCGGATGCCGGTTTATTTTGGGTCAAGAGTGGACCGGGCGGCGGGGAGCGTCCAGGACATGACACTGTGTGTGTCGCTTACAGTAAAGTACTGAAGGCCCCTTGGACGAAGGAAGGACGAGATGATGAGCAGTGAGAAGCAGGAGAAGGACCAGGAACAAGGAGGTGTAGTGGAAGAGTGGTCGGGTTGTGCCCCGGCCCGTGATTGCCGCCACGCGTTGTGCTCCCCGAAGCCGCCGTTGGTAATTCACCCACCGGTTCACGCTCTCGTCTAGCTTTCTCTCTGTGTGTCTCATCACCTTGTCATCCGTTGCTTGGAAGTCGTAAGCCGGCAATGCGAAGATGAGACTGTCTCACTGCAGCAGCTTTCGATGTTGATCTGAAGGTCCGTGTGCACAGCAGCAGGAGTTGCTTGTTGAGAGGCAAAGACCACGCAACAACGGAATGATCGTATACTACACAAGTTGGAACTGTGCGACGCGAGCACAGCATTTGTTGACGGCCAAAATACAGTACTGAACAACGATTGGATTGCGACGCATACAGTCGTACTGTAAACATGGATGATTCTTGCTCGCTTTGCTCCTATTCTTTTCACCTAATTATGTCAAGGGACAAATGGTAAGGCCGTGCTGTAATCTCCAGGTCTACATTACTGTACATTGCCCATGCACGCTACCGGAAATATCATATGTTGGCAGGTTGAAGGCACAGACAGACTGTACGTAATAAGGCCCGTTGCCGAGACCCTGTCCATGTCCTACCAACACGACAGCGCCAGCAAATATCGACGAGCGAAGGGAATGTATACTTTACATATCGTCATGCTGCCTGCCTCAAAACCATGTCTGCAGTGGTGACAGCGAGTCTCAAACAGCTGTCTGGTTGCAACCACCTGCACCGTTTTTGAGCTGCGATGACAGGGCCTGCATGCGATCCTTCGAGATCCCTATAGATGTGTAACCCTACAATTGTCCTTCCTTCCAGGTGGCTTTCTGACTTCTCAGATCGATTTGGTTATAATTGGGCTATGTATAAACACTTGGATGCCGCTGTCTGTCGGGGGAAACAATCACATACTCCATGCGTCAGTTCATGCATTGTCAAGGATACTATACAATACAACTATAACGGGTGCATGCAGATACGCTGTTACGTACACTTCGTTCATCAACATTACTCATGAAATTCAACCAATTGGAGTCACGCCTCTGCCGCCACGGGTCACAGTCACACCGCTGACCGACTGCGACATTGTCCAAGTATAAGCACTTGGAGTAAAATTTGAAAACAAGTCTCGTTTCCTGAAATTGATTCAATCATCACATCTCCTGTTGAGATTCGTCGATCACGACTTCTTTCATCATAGAGCATGCGAATTGCAGTCTTTGATGACCCGGTACAAGTTGCGCCAATTAATAGAACGTGGCCCGGCCTAAGAAGTGTCATGGACGACGCTTCATGGCTTTTGGAGACCGTCTATTTTAATGCCATTGTCCTGCAATTTTGCCAAGACTACACCATGCTCATTTTCAAGCCTCTGCAAGTTTGCTGACAGCTCGTTAAGCTCCTTCTGATGGGCTGCGAGTAGGTCGCTGATCTCTTTCTCCTTTGCTTTGCAGGCTTGTGCTGCGTCTAGCTTTTGTACGCCCAGGGTACCGAAGTCGGAGATCAACCTGAAAAGTTCCGGTGCTTGTAAATTGGCGGCAGTGTTATTGGCCGGAAAGATGAGTGATGCTGGAGGCGGCGATGGCAACTTCTTGCTAGTGATTGTCTGGCGTTGATCATCATCTGTAGCTTCGATTGATCGTATTGTTGGCGATGGGGTATTTTCTCTGATCGGAGAGGGCCGAGGTCTGAGTTGACGTCGAGGCTTTGTGGTAGCTGCACGTGACGATGGTGGTACGGATGCTTTCTTCGGAGATGTAGCACGAGTCTGAAATATTTGGAGGAGCCTGGGTGCAATCGAGTTCTTGCCTGCACCAGACACGCGTTGATTTTCGGGCGATTCTGAATCGAGGGGCAAGAAAAGAGGTGTGCTATACGTCGAGCCTTGTCTTGTGGAGTCACGAGGACTGTCATCGTGTAGAGGCATCGTCGCCTGGGTGAGCATGTCATCGAGCGCATGCAACGCTGGCGATGTCATCGATAGTTGGTCCGCTGAGATTGAGGGCTTGTGCGATGTTCGTTTGACAGGACGACTTCTTTTGGGGCTTTGAGGCTTTGCTGCCTCAGAGCGTTGTCTCTTTCGAGACTTTCCGCCTGCCTCAAAATCGTCATCGTCCTCGTCGCGTCGAGCTTCGGCCCTTTGAGCGGCCTCTTGATATCTGAGCACGTCCTGCGTAACGATCTCTTGCGGCACACCATCCGAATCGGACTCAATGAGACTCATGGCTTCGACTGTGCTTTTGTTATATCAATGCGTGTCTTGTAAATTTTCATCTCTCTTGCCTCATCATACCAACTGCGTTTGTCCTGTTGAGGGTCTCCAAGAGTCATGAGGATCCGAGTGTTGACGTAAGCCGATGCCCTGAAGTGTGACGCCGAGAGTGTTCAACAAAACGATTGAGCTTGACGAGAATGATGAGGAGTAAGAGGAAGAGGAAGCCAAGTGTGCGACAGACGTGTTGATGAAAGAAGCAAGGTGAAACCCAACGAAGGTCGCCAAAAGTGATGACCTTTGAATCGAGACGCGTAACATTCGCGAACTTGCATCATCTAAACCTTGGAGCCTTGAAGCCTTCTCGGAACTCTTTCGGAACTCACGTAGGCATGCTACTTACTACACAGGTTTACGCGCATCTGGTCATGTTTCATGATTTAGACCAACAGAGTGAAAGCTGACAGGGATTGCAGGCAGATGCAGGCAGAATTAAGCAAGATCTCAGTATTGCTCCAATGATCCATGCTCATTTCACTGGCGGTGGCCTAGGGATGCTCCAACGATTGCCCAAGTGGAAAGCTTCTCAGACGTGCTTGACAGCACTTGGGCTCAAATGAATGATCCCATGACTTGCATATTTGATCGTGGATGAGCATTTAGCAAGCAGCAAGATATGGCAATAGCTTGATGCATCTCACTGACGCGGAAGTGTATTGATACTGGTAGGTAATCGCGTTGTACAGTCGTTGACCGCAATGAGGAATCTTGATGTGAAAATCAAGGATTCAATACTAGCGGAGGTCAATATTGAACTTCAAAGGAACGTTGTTAGAATGCAGTCTCTGGACCCTTGCTTTCGTTCAAGCCCGAGCTGGAGCGCTGTCGCTCAGAGTTGAAATGTTCCACCATGGTCCGTGCCTGGAATTTTTGACGAGCCTCTGGTGGGTAGGTAATGGACAGCCACGCGACCGCCTTCGAAGTGTAAATCCGACATCGTAACCTGCAACACTCACACCTTTACTTGACTGCCGCCAAACTGAGCAGTTTCCTACTAAATTCTGAGCGGTAATCATGTCCGCAGCACAGCTTCTCAACCCCAAGGCCGAGTCACGGCGCCGCGGCGAAGCTTTGCGTGTGAACATTTCCGCAGGAGAAGGTCTACAAGATGTGTTGAAATCAAATTTGGGCCCGACCGGCACCTTGAAGATGCTGGTGGATGGCGCCGGAGGTATCAAGCTCACAAAGGACGGCAGTGTGCTGTTGAAAGAGATGCAAATACAAAATCCAACTGCGGTCATGATTGCTAGAGCAGCAACAGCACAAGATGAGATCACGGGTGATGGAACTACAAGTGTTGTCTTGATGGTAGGCGAGCTTCTGAAGCAAGCAGATCGATACATTAGCGAAGGTCTTCACCCTCGAGTCATCACAGACGGCTACGAACTCGCGAAGAATGAATCGCTTCGATTTCTAGACGAGTTCAAGTTGGAGCGAGAAGTCGACCGAGAACTCCTGCTGTCAGTCGCCCGCACATCACTAGCCACCAAGATCAACTCCACCCTTGCCACTCAACTCACGCCAAGCATCGTCGATGCTGTGCTGGCCATCTACCAGGCTCCGGCCAAGCCTGATCTTCATATGATTGAGATCATGACAATGCAGCACCGTTCCGCGGCAGATACACAGCTCATTCGAGGTCTTGCTTTGGACCACGGTGCGAGACATCCGGATATGCCCAAGGAGGTTTCCAATGCCTTCATCCTAACGCTGAATGTCAGCTTGGAGTACGAGAAGAGCGAGATCAATAGTGGATTCTACTACAACAGCGCAGAGCAACGCGAAAAATTGGTCGAGAGCGAGCGAAGGTTCGTCGATGACAAGCTGCGAAAGATTGTTGAGCTCAAGAAGGAGGTTTGCGGGACAGACCCCAAGAAGGGCTTTGTTATCATCAACCAAAAGGGTATCGACCCTCTTTCTCTTGACGTTCTGGTCAAGAACGGAATTTTCGCCCTGCGGAGAGCCAAGCGAAGAAACATGGAGCGTCTTCAGCTCATCTGCGGCGGTGTCTCACAAAACAGTGTCGATGATCTCACACCGGATGTGCTCGGCTGGGCCGGCAAGGTGTATGAACATCAATTGGGCGAGGAGAAGTACACTTTCATTGAGGACGTGAAGGACCCGAAGTCCGTCACCATCCTCATCAAGGGACCTAATGGTCACACCATTGCACAGATCAAAGACGCCGTGCGCGATGGTCTACGGTCGGTGTACAACATGATCGTTGATGGAAGTGTTGTACCTGGTGGCGGTGCCTTCCAGGTAGCATGTGCAAGACGTTTGACGTCGGACGATTTCACCAAGCAAGTCAAGGGTAAAGCCAAATGGGGTGTCTCAGCCTTCGCTGATGCTCTGTTGATCATTCCTAAGACGTTGGCGGCGAACAGCGGACATGATGTCCAGGACTGCAGTAGGTCTACTCACATATACAACTCGAACAAGGTATCTTTGCTAACTATGACCTTTCACAGTCGCTACGCTTCAGGACGAATACGATGACGGCAACGTTGCCGGTCTCGATCTCAAGTCAGGTGAGCCTATGGATCCTGTCCAACAGGGCATCTTCGACAGCTTCCGTGTCCTCCGCAACAGTATTGCAAGCTCAACAGGAATCGCGTCCAACTTGTTGCTGTGTGATGAAATGCTCAAGGCTCGGCAAATGGGAAGGACTGGTCCGCCAGGCGGCGGAGACGGAGGCGACGAATGAACGATGCTATGAGATGAAATAAAGCCAACGAAAATGGGACAGCGACTTGCACGAGCACAGAATTTGCCTGCAAGGCTTATCAACATGTTCTGGGTTATTCCGCCTTGACGGATCGATGAGGTGAAAGGGTCTCGTGACAGCTTCCAGGAAGCATCGTTGAATTTCGATTGCCTCACGCTGTGGCTAATGTAGAAAATGCGACCTCAATGACCCTGATCGACTGTTTGTTGTTATGTTCCAGTGCTAATAAGCTTTCCACCATCAATTTCAATGCTGATGCCGCAGCATGGCATGTTCGTCAAATGTGTGATATGCTTTGGTTATGTTTCACGGTAGAATCACTTCGTTGGCTCTGTCATAATATTTCAATTTATTCCCGCCGTTGTTGGATGTTGTGCTCCATCGCGATTGGAAAATCTGCTTCACGTGACTGGCACCACCGCCCAACCCGCCAAGACTTTCGAATCTCAACCGCATTCCAGCTTTCTTTGTCTGCCACAAAGCTGTGTAAGTTGGCTTCTTGCGCAACAATTTCCGCACATCTCGCCAATTTCTTCAGCGCGAGGACTATCATATCACCAGCGACGTGGGAGAAGTTATCATCACAAACTCAAAACCAAGGCTTCATCGCAGCAAGAGCCGTGTGAGGGTAAAGTACGGCATCCAGGCAATAGACGATTGGGAGAGAAGGTCTCTTGGGCCCCATTGCTCCTTCCCGGCGTTTTCATACTTCAGAATTGTTCTCCTCACGCCTCTCTGCCTCACCGACGTGCACCACTCCTCGCAGTTCATTACTGCAACTCCTCTACGAACCACCTTGTTGAACGCGTATTCAGCTCATCTTCCTCATTTCCGCAATACACACCCACACAATCTCAATCCTCCTCGGCTTGTTCTTGCCGCCTTCAACCGAAAGATCTCATTCACGATCCCGAGCATTCCAGCACCACAGTTCCTTCAGAACTGAATCCATCATCAATCGCTCTTCATCACCATTCTCCTACGAGCTCAGCATTGCAAGCTCCAGCCTCTTCCGCCCACACGCTCGATATACGTACCAGCACAAGCACAGCCCGCTTCCACTTCAAAAACGCAACACCACATACCGTGTAGCTATTTCAAGCACAGAAAGATTAGGAAATCAAATATTGAGTCGACCAGTGCAAATCGTATTCCACATCTGTTGTACTGTCATCGGCTATTCCATATAAGGGCCCATTCAGGATAAAGTATCTCCGGGCTCCACTTCAGAATTCGAGCACACATTGGCATCATGGCCGAGACACCGCAAGAAACTCCGACCGCCACTTCAAAGCGACCCTTCGAGGAGCCTTCGTCACCTTCGGGACCAACAGACCAGCCGGATGCCAAACGACCTGCCCTTGACAAGGTCCTCAAAGAGGATGGCGCCGCTGACGCTGTGGACGCCCTCGAGGCCGCACTATCTGACGACGCTGCCAAAGCTGAGGAAGGCGCTGATGCAAAGCCTGCTTCAGCAAGTAATGGTGTAGAAACCAAAGCCGATGACGCAGCGGCCGCCGATGCCATTGCCGATGCTTCTGCAAATGGCGCAGCCATCGGCTCCACCACAGGAGGTCACAGTCTTCCAGCCGCCGTGACTAGCAGCGGCCAACCAGACTCTCGCAATCAAGGTTCAAAATCATACGCACAGCAGGATGAGTCAAGCTGGCTCCATGTGCGCGCCATCATCTCCAGCGCCGAGGCCGCCACCGTCATTGGTAAAGGCGGTGAGAATGTCTCGCAGATTCGTGCCCTGGCCGGTGCTAAATTGACCGTCAGCGAGTATTCTCGTGGTGCAGTGGAACGCATTCTTACTGTCAGCGGTCCCGTTGATGCAGTCGCCAAGGCATTCGGTCTGATTATTCGCACGCTCAACCAAGAGCCTCTCGACACCCCGTCAACAGAAAAATCCAAGACTTACCCTCTCCGCCTTCTCATTCCACACATACTCATCGGCTCCATCATTGGAAAGTCTGGTGTCCGTATCCGAGAAATTCAAGAGCAATCGGGGGCCCGATTGAACGCTTCTGAATCCACTCTACCTCTCTCAACGGAACGCTCCCTTGTAGTACTCGGCGTTGCCGATGCAGTGCACATTGCCACCTACTACATCGGAAGCACACTTGTAGAGCAGCTGACCGAGCGATTTGGGGGACCAGCTGCATCCAATTATGCCAGCCGCCATGGTGGACCTCAAAGTGTCGTGCCTGGAGGCATGCAGATCGTCCCATACGTCCCCCAACACGTCGGGGGCCAAATGGGCCACGCCGACAACTACCGCCGAGGAGGCCCGCCACCAAACCCAGCTCAGCGCCCGCCCGTCGGCCCTTACGGCGCTCCTTACGCCCACGGCCAACAACCACCACACCAACCTCAACCGCAACCCCACTACAATGCCGGCTCCCCTCGCGCTCCCTACGTCGGTCCCAGTGGTCCGCAACAACCCCAGCCCTACGGCGGTCAACACCCCGGCGTCCCACAACCCAACCACGCCGGCGCGCCTCAGCAACCGCCGATGCAGGGCATGCCCGGCCAGCCCATCACCCAGCAGATCTTCATCCCCAACGACATGGTCGGAGCCATCATCGGCAAGGGCGGCGCCAAAATCAACGAAATCCGCCAGCTTAGCGGCAGCGTCATCAAGATCAACGAGCCGCAGGACAATAACAATGAGCGTCTCGTCATGATCACGGGAACGGCCGAGTGCAACCAGATGGCGCTTTATATGCTTTACCAGAGGCTGGGCGAGTCGAGTAAGAATTCGAATTCGACCATGCCGCGGTGAGCTTGACCTTCTGCGTCTGGGCGTTGGAATCCTTGGCGATGCTGGAGGCCGTAGTCCGTGTAGGAGGGCTTTTTCGAGATAAGACTTGAGGAGACGGTTTGGTTTGACCTCCACAACGAAGCAAGCCCGCTGGAATTTGAAACCAATGTGGGCCATGTCCGCAGAACAGAAAATGATTTTTACGAGGGCAACTTCAGCGACACTGATTTTTTCCATGGCAAGGAGGAGGAAATGGACCTTGTTTTTCTGCCCGCTCTTGAACGCGAAAAAAATAGTTCCGAGAATTGCGAGTTCTTCACATTCCCGAAATTTCTTTGCTGGGGGTCTGTTTCTGTCATACTAGATGTATCAAATTGTTTTCTCCACAATCTCCCTACTTGCTTTCCCGTGACGGTTGCTCCTCTCGATCCATCTCTACATCGTTTCGGAACATCAAAGCGAGTAGAGAGAGGGGATAGTAACAGCAGCGGAGGACCGTCCATCCAGGCAAGTAATAGAAGCAGGCAGAGTTGAGCAGGAGGGTGGGAGATCCGAGAGGGGATCGCACAAAAGAAACGGTACAGAGCAGGCAAGGAATTTGTACATGTATGAAAAGTCTTCGGGTCTCTCTCTCTTCCTCCCTCTTCGCCAAGATAAGATAAATTCCGCCACAGCCGCCGGCGCCGTCGTCGCCTACGGAGAGGAACAAAGATCGAAGTATAACGGGGACGAGATTGACGCATTGACGATGAGAGAGAGAGAGATGACAATGATCAGCGGCTGCTTATGAAAAGGAAGAGAAATTGGGAAGTAGAAGCTTCAGATTCCATCTTACGTCCCTCCCTGCCAAATAATACGATACGATACACCCAGCAGCAAGCAAACAATCTTTTTTCCCGGAAACCCCCCCCCCCCCAGTCTTATCGTTTCCCACCCACGCAGCGCAGAAATTAAAGCAAAAAGAGGAAGAAGGGAGACGCGCGCACACATCCAGTGAGGATGAATGATGGAGCGAGGGAGGGAGGTGATTATACAAAGAAAATTCGTCTCTTCGCCAGACAGGCTTCCACAGACACACACGCGCGTGCGCAAACCCAGGGGGGAAATTATTCAATAATAAAGAGAAACAAGGCCACATCAAGGGGAGCCGATGACTATCACATCGTCCACTCGAAACTCTACTCCAGAGGACGGTCCATCGCCACGGCCGGGCCAGGTAAGAGCGGTAACCGCTTATCCAGATTCAACTCGGCGCTGCTGCGGGCCGACGACGAGGGCCGGCTATTAGGGATATGGTGAGGGTCTTTGGGCGGGGTCGGCGGGGCGCGGCCGCCGATAATGTAATGAGGAGGAGTAGATGAACGGGCGGTGCGGCTGTCCTCGTGATTTGAGGTCCCAGATGTGGTGGTTTCGGGCTCGACAAGGGAGGCGCGGCTCGGGACGGGAGTGACACGGGGGGAGGCGTTGGAGGCGGATTCGGCAGCTTCGCCGATGACGGGGAGGGTGGTGGGAGCGACGATGCCGTCGTTGTTGTCGGTGGCGGAGGAAGGGGGTGAGATGGTGGTCATGAGGCGGTCGGGGAGGTCGGATTCGGGGCCGTGGGTCTTCTTGCTCTTCTCGGCCATGGCTTCGGCTTTATGGAGGACTTCGGCGGTGCCACTGGGATTGCGGCTAGTGGTGGCGGAAAGATGTGGGTCCTCGATGATCCCATCGATGCTACCAGCAGGGATAGCAACGCCTGCAGCGTTTGTAGTGAGACGTTCCTTTTCGGCGACGAGAGCGGCGTGCTCACGGGACATGGTGATGCCCGAGATGAAGCGAATGAATCGATCGCCGTAACGTTCTGGAGGAATGGGGGAAATTTGTGATTCGTGGCCACCAAGACCTTTGTAGAAGTGTTCGGCACGTTTGAGGAGCGTGTACTGTCAATGAATCATTAGCATTTGAACAAATTTCCAAGGGATCCCCGTCATGGTAGAGGAACACATCATTACTCACCCTTGTCAAGCAGTCGATAATACCCAAGTAGTAGATCTCCTCGCCTGGCCGGTCGTCCTCGTGCGTCGCTCGGAAGCCACCATCATCAGCATAGAAAAAGAAACCATCACGCCCAGCCGCTTCCGGCATCTTGTCGATTGCCTGATCCATTGGAATGGGTCTCTGTTTTTGCACCAGATCTCGTAACTCCCGGGCACGCTTGGCGTTTTCCATTTTGCTGGGAGTGCGCGCCAGACTGCCCGGACCAGGCGCCATGACTGTACCAGCGCCTGCAGAATCGTCTTGTTTGGAAGCGCCGCCCGGTTGGAAAACCTGCAGAGTTTTGTCACGAAGATTTTCCTCGTTACCACGCTCAAGGTCGTGGAATCCGACGAGGAGAGAGTAATCCATGATCTTGAGGCGCTGGAGCAATGCGACGTCCTTTTGCATTTGTTCCACAAACGCTGCCTTCTTGGTCGGACCGAATTCGAGGTGTAGATTTCTTCGCAACCAATTCAGATCCTTGAGCGTCGCTCGCGGATTCTTTTCGAGATCTTCTTCTTTGAAATCCCGTCCGATTGTGCTTCCTTTGAGATCAAAGGTGCGATGAATATCACGATGCGGCGGGAAGAGGTTGTTCATGACGACGAAATGGATTTTCCGGCCATATGGGATCTTGACCCGGTGAAGGCCGTAGAATTGTGAGAGTAGCGTATTGGGGTTATCCTGAACGTGATTGTAGTAGTCCACCAAAATTTTGCGCAGAAATTTGTGCTCGCCGTGATGAATGGTCTTGATGATATATTTGTAATCACGGGAGAAGTAAAAGAATGATCCACTCTTGCCAGGCGATCCCAACTCCGAAAGAATGTACTTAGCTGTCAGGGACATGAGATAGTCGGCAGGATCAATCTGAAATGCAGCTCGCATATGTCGAAATACCCAAGGAGCGTAGTCCTTGAATTTGAAATCGTATTTGGCGCTGGGCGTGAGCTCGTTCCCGGCGATATCGAAACTGAATTTATGCTTGGCCGCGAAGTCGCTCGGCTCGAGGGCTCGATCCAGTTTGGCATTACATCGGCTAACACAGAAGCGGATACCTGTGAGCATGTTATACGCGGTGACATAATTGACATGATGTTCGTCGACCTTGGTTCCCACCACGACACGTTCGTCATCGATGTCTTCCCGTTGTTTTTTGGCGCGCTTGGCTTTGATGATCTCTGCCCAGCGTGCAGCGTCTTCGTCCTGGGCGAACTCATCAAGCGGCATATCTGAAGCCACAGACTTCGTCTGTTTTCGCACAAGCTGGAGAGAGCCTCTCCGTTTTGTTGGTGTGTTGGGGGAGAAGCGGCCCGATGCATGAACTGCGCTATCGCTCGTGGGATCCTGTCCATCCTTGGACGTACGGGTGATGACCTTGGGCACTTCGAGAGTATGCCGGTGTACTAAGCGGTCAGGCCGCGACATGGGCAGAATAGAAGGTGAGCTGGATCCATTGGGAGTGAAGGCGGGAGGTGATGAGGCTCGGTGGTGGTGTGGTTTTTGCGGAGGTGGTTTCAACATGTCTTCTGCAACGGGTCCTGACGGAGCTGGCGAGCTCTCCTTGACCGGCGACAGAGCGGCGACCGGTGTTGTCGGGACCGTACCATACGCCGAGGTGCGTGCGGATTGGTTGGGCGTAGTGTCGACAGTGGGAAATGCGACGGGTCTGCTCATCGGAGATCTGGGAGTTGACGGCTTAGTGTTGGCCGGATATGAGCCAAAATAACCGTCGGGCGATACAGCAGACCGGCTGTTGGCATCTCTATTGGCCTCTGATGATCTGTGTTCATTGCTCATGCCGTTTTCCGAGCCATTCATCGTGCCAGAACTCTTCTTCGACCGAGCACTCAATGAAGCAGCCTTTGCGCTAGGTGTTCGGTCGCTGCTGTGACTGCCATTCGGGATTGTCAAAATGCTCCCGTCCTTTCCTCCTAGTCCTTCCCGGACAGTGCTGTTGTGTGTGCCATTTGCGCCCGGGGTTTGTGGCCATCCGCCCGGTAATTGTGTCGCAGCAGACAGCGCTTGCTGCTCGGAGGATAGTCGTTGCAGGTCGCTGGAACGACGACCCTTGTTATTGATCTCGCCATTCTGTGGGGATTGTGAGTATGACGCAGTTGCATGACCAGCGTCGGCGACGACTGTGCCGCCCGTCGGGCGACCATCTATGGCGTGGACCATGAGCCAGGTGGAATGCTGAGCGGCATGGATGTCGGAAGACTTTCTCACGCTGAGTGAGCTGGCGTGAGACGGCAGCCGATGAAGCTGATCGTCATTGTCCGATTGAGGGATTGCGGACGCCAGGGTGACGACGACGGTGGTGGTGGTGGTGGTGGAGAGGGAGGAAGGGCGGTGTGGAGCGGTGTTGGCGTGTCGTCGGGAGAGAAAGCAGGCAGGCAGACAGGCCGGCAGAGAAACAGGCACAGTAAGTGCTGTATACGGTAGGTGAGTAGCGTGAGTTGTTAGTGCAGGCCAGCAGTAGTGGTGGTGGTGGTGGTGGTGTGTGTACCTATGCAGCAGAAGTAGTGCAGTCTGGGATATGATGAAAGTGAGTGATGTCCATCCACTACGTACATCAGAGGGAAGAGAGCCGGAGTGGGTGAGTGAGCGATCACTGTGGTGTCCAGTACAGTAGGGCCAACACACACAACACACACCTCACACATACATAATACATACAGTACACACCTCACACCCAGACAAACGCCGGCGCTCTGGGATTGAATGCCGTGCCAACTTCTACCTCCTCTTGGCACTGACGCAGCGGACGAACGTGTCCAGCAGCCCGGGAGCTTTTTCCTCACTTTCAAGGTTGACAGCGGTTGACATCTGAACTCTAATCCGCCGGTCGCAATATTAATAAACGCCGAGATGCTGGCTGACGTCTTCATATGTTCACGGGATTTTGCTTTTCTATCGTCTTGATCGGAGACCACTACGGTAGAAAGGAACTGGGTTCACGGACTGGGAGATCTATTCGTCGTGTTTGATTGATACCACTTTGCCAACTGTAATGACACTGACACTCACTGTGCACAAGGGATGCAGGACTATCCTGCAAATCATGAAACCCTGTGCACATGCGCCCGGGGAGAATCACCTCAAAAGGCAGGCGCGAAATGGGCTGAATCTTCTCCGATGGAAAAGAGTCCAGTCTCGTACAATATGGGGATGCACAATCGCTTGCGTGTCTTCTTCATTACCGCCGAAGTGTTCACGCATGACAGAGTACAGTAAGATGACCATCATCATTAAGAGTCATAGGCGAAATGAAACGAAGATCCGCAGCACGCACCATGTCCTACAGCGGGTTCAGATTTGGAGACGGAATGCATCATCATTCCTCTCCTCATCACTCGGGAAGATTCCATACAAGGATAATGTAAACAACAGATATTGCTGACGGAGCGCCCGAGGGATGAAAGTGCCCCAGCAGGAATAACATGAATACGAAACAGGGCAAGTCAGGTACCATCTAATGGTTATTTGATTATTATGGTGTGTGTGTGTGTGTGTGCATGGATGGATGGATGGATCAGCTGAATGATCGCCTCTAGGAGGATCATCGTGTTTACCTCATCGCGGCGAGACGCGTGGAGGGCTTCAGAGAGGAGAAGCCCATCGTCCAACGGTCGATCACATGATCGTCACGTTCACACGCTGCTTATGAGTGTCGCTTTCACTACCTACAGTACAATTACCTACAGTACAAACAGTTGGTATGCGGCATGTTCGATTTGTTTACCAGATTGGCCAGAATAAATACGTGATCGGTCGAATATGCCGCACGAGGACTTAATCATCCGCATGGGCGGACAAAAGGAAATCAATACACCACGATGAGTCCACGAGAGTTCCCAAACAATGTGAACGGCGAAGATAGAGCAAGGCAGAATATAATACGATCCATAGCCGAACCAAGGTCATTCTTACATACGATTGACAGGCTGTACGGTGGCATGCGTGCGTCCATTCAGAGACGCCATCGCAACAACGCCCTCGACTCCAGCATGACGATAGGTAGCCCGCCCTGATGACTTTGGCTTTCATCATAAGGCTTCTCTGCCTGCCCAAGTCAATTTTACCAGCCGCCGCGCTAACAACCAACCCATCAGCCCAATCCAGCAATCGGGAAGTTTTTCCCCAATCGTGTTTTACCCTGGTCCTCGGCGCGTCTCTCTCCCTCTCTCTCTACCTACCTAGGTGGGTACCTAGGTATTTCTCTTTCTCCCGTTCATGACTTCATTACTCATCCATCCCTAGGTATTGTTATTGTCAGCTAATTAGTTGGCTTTCGGAGCGACTTCATGGCTATAATCTTAATCCACGTCACTCATCGATGTACCGCATCAGATCTCTTGGGCGAGGACAACATCATGAACGTCATGGAACACAGTAGACATCGTCGCGGATTTTCATTGAATGCTGACCGCGACGATGGCACGTATTATAAATAGTAACAGGCTCGCTAAGTATCCCCCATGTTCGAATGCGCGACTAGGTGCGGCGTGGTTCTTCAGACAGGCAGAGCTTTCTCCCGCGATTTCCAAGGAACATTGACATTTTCGACGCGATGGAACGCGCTCTGGACGATTGATATGTTATAAATGCTCCCTTTTCCTTGCATCATGATACGGAGCAGAATGTAAGATCACAAGGAAGAGAAGGCGAAATGAAACGAGGATATAACAGTATAAAAGTGTTTTTCAATTCAAAAACCCATCAGAAGGATCGCGACAGAATGCGCGCCTCCCTTTCACCATGTTCGCTTCACGCACGCATACACACAAAAATCTGCAAAAGGCATGATGGTCCGCCAGTACAACACGTAGAAAAACGCCAGGCAAACGCCAGTCTGCTCCCTTCACCGCCCACTGTGGACTGTCCACACGTGGCCGGCATCACCACCTCCACACACACACACATACCAGCCCCTTATAAATAATCTGTAAGCACCGACGCGTGACACCTCCCGCTCAAGGGTAGTTCAGAAGAATGTCTTGAAGGACGGCAAAGAAGTGCCGAATGGAGCGGGTAAGCGAGAGGTGCACACATACGGTGTATTACCCAACCTCCCCGGAAGCGATGGGAGGAGGCAATTCGTCGTCGCGGTTTCGTAAAATAAAGAAGAGGGTTCGGGGTTATCTTGAGAGAGGAAGAACTGGGAAAAGGCAAGAAGAAGCAGCAACGTCAGTCCGAAGAGGTGACTTCCGGAAAGGGCGGGCGAGTGCAGCAGCAGCGATTTCATCACGCGTGCGGGTTCGTCGCTCCAGTTCTGGGGAGTAGGGTATTCCTCTTCGAAACGATGACAAGACAAAAAAAAGCGCCGAGGGAAGAATCGAAGTAAAGTCCGAGTCATGGCGGCATTTATGCCTTGGTCGCTGTCGCTCCGGCGGCCTTCTTGGGAGTGGCCTTCTTTGTGGCGGTGGCGGCCTTCTTCTTGGGTGCGGCCTTGGTCGCAGAGGCAGCCTTCGTCTTGGTGACACGGCCAGACTTGGTCTTTCCTAGGACGACAGCAGCCTTGTCCTCAACAGCGGGGGCCTGGGAAAGGAAACTCGAATTAGTAACAGAACTCCGACAACGATAATCGCGTGCATATCGGTTTAAGCAACGGCGGCAGCAAAGAAACTTACAGCCGAGGCAGGAGTCTTACGCACCTTGCTAGTGTTGGCCTTGGTCTTGGTAGCCGGTGCCTTCTTGGTGGCAGCAGCCTTGGGCTTTGCCTCAGCCTTGGTCTTGGTGGCGGCGGTCTTGGTAGTCTTCTTTGCGGCAGCAGTGGTGGCCTTCTTGGGAGCAGCGGCTTTGGCGGCCTTAGGCTTGGCTTCGGTCTTTGCAGCAGGCTTGCTGGCAGCAAGCTTCACGGGTCCGGAAGGTCCTGTAGAAAACGAAGACGACGAGGTCAGCCATCTGCCTGCTTTGATCGAGCGTCGATTGGATAGTTCGATGGCGCAAAGTGCTCGTAGAGAGTACAAGATCATTGCGAATCGATTGCAATGGTTGGCAACATCTCACACAAAAAAAAAAAAAAACGCATCATTGGAAATTTGACTTACCCTTGGGGCGGAGGAAGACACCGCTGTCGGTACCGCGCTGGAGAGCCTTGTTGAGCTGAGTGGTGAAGGCATTCTCGCTGACGTTGGTGACGCTGGGGTGGTTGGCCAAAAGGTGCTTCTTGATGGCTTGACGGCTGTGGAAAAACAAGACATGGTTAGCACGAGGATTCAAAACAAATCATCAAACCCCACCAGCCGCCCAAACTTGGCAACGACGGCGGTGGCGATGGGAGTAAATTATTAACTCACCTAGATCCACCACGGTCCTTGAGCTGAAGCGGCGAGCATATTAGTACAAAGTTCAAAACGTTTTGATCGTTGCTGTCGGGCGCAATCGTGACGCGAAGTCACCGTGTCGCAATCCTGAAAGCGGACGCGCGAAACGGCGGCGAGACGAGGTTTTGCGCCGGATGAAGCACACTCACCTGCAGAATAGCCTCCTTGATCATGTCTATATGCAAGAATCATCAGTAAATGTACCAGAACATGTAAACATCAATCTGACGCGAGAACGCGCGAAATGGTGATGTTTCAATCGGTGTTGGAGCATCACTTACCCTGGTAGGAGGGATGAGCAGCAGTGGATGCGGCCTTCTTGGGCGCGGCCGCAGTGCCAGTTGCCTTCTTAGTTCCAGCCATTGTATTGATTTGGTTTTTTGATGTGGTTGATGAAGCGAGATCTGATCGACAAGATGATGTATTGGAATAGACGAGAAGCTGTGTAGAAGAATTGTTGTTGTTGAATGGCGATGGATGATAATGGAGGAGGAGGGAGGGCAGGGCAGGTGTGCGCGATGCGCGGGGACGCTCTGGTTTTGAAGGCCGGGGTGGGTGTGCCAGCTTCGCTCTAATCAATCTTTCTGCTCTGCACACGCTACACACACTTTCACCACACAGTCTCAACTTTCACATCCGCACACTTTCTCTCTTTCTTCCACAGGCTGGGCCTGTTCTCCGTCTCCTCCTCCTTTTCCTCTCTGTTATTTCTGAATCAAAGAACCATCGATATCTTCCATTGATATAACGCTAACGCCATCGGGACGACGTCCAAACAACACCTCCTCCCATCTCGTCCACGTCGCGTCTGTCTCCGCTCTCGTGGCTGCCATTCCTTTCTCTCTCCCTCACTTCGTCTTCGTAGTCTTCGTCTCACTCGATCGGACCCTGAACGTGCTTTCGTCATCATTCACCGCTCTCATGTGGGTCGGATGGAGATGCTCAGTCGCAGTTCCTCTTGGTCGGTATCGGCGCGCCCTCGCGGCGCTTGGTTCTGCTCCGACGCGCTCGGTTTGTTTTGAAGCATTGCACACTACGATTATTTGGAGTATGCTTTGTGCATGTGTTCATCGTCCGACACGCGGTCTTAGTCCCCAATGCTGGAGACAATCTGTACGCCATGTGATCCGTTTAATGTTGAGCTTTTCATCACGATGAGTGTAGCTTGGCAGATTTTTGTCAGCAGATGCGACGAGCTTCACAGACTCGACTTGTTGCACCACAATAGCGACAACAACAAACACAAATTTCGAGATGGCGAGCCATACGTGCAAATAGACTCTCTTTCATCTGAATCGTACATGCTGTCGGCCTTATTTTTGAGAGAGTTCTCCCATCTTTCCTGAGGCTCGCGCAACAGTCCGGTGACGCCCGAGACGCAAAGCTCAAAAAGCTGTCACCTGATCAACAACGATCCAACGTGACAACAATCCTTTCCAAATGATGACTAGAACTTGTGGTTGGGAAAATGCAGATTTTCCATAAGTGTCATCTTTAGACGTCCTGTGTCTGAGTATCATTGTGTGTATCGTCAACATCGACCGTCGTCCATTAGTCGCGACGAGCCAACCGTCGCAACCCGCAGCGCACTCACACGAGCTGCCTCTCCATTCCATCGAGATTACAGCAATCATGTTGGCCAATTCACCCATGGTGGATTGAGAGCGTAACTTACCTCGCCAGGGCAATCAATTATGTTTTTAAATAATAGACTGCAACAGCGATGCCATAACAAAGTCCTCGCGTGAATAGATCCCCGTCGCGCGTCGGCCAATTCCGCCAAGCCGTCTCCCGAGTGCGATGAATTTCTCCACCGCCAACAAAACAAATCAAATGCTGAAAATCCCGTCAAGTAGCTGAAGAGGAAAGCGTCAGATTTGATCGATTGGGATCGTCAACGGAGCGGGTCTTTCTTTGCGCAAGGAAGCACTCTCGCGGCGCAAGCTCAACGAGCAAACATCTTCGAGTTGGAAAGCTTTCGGTTGGTATCTCTGACGACCTGGGCAAAGCCTGCCACCTTCGCAAAGACTGCGATGCGGCGCTAGATTTTCCGTAGACTCTATGAATCTATTACAATCTTCAATCGATTCCATATCAATCAACGTATGATACGCGCAACATTGTCATGATCGTCAAGTCATCATGAACGAGGATGGTTTCCCCAACGCGACGCCGAAGCTCCCAGCAACACATCCGTCACAGCTCACAACCCGGAAACAACGCATGAAGACGGCACGGATGCGGCCTGGGCCGCCATCCCAACTGCATTGAGTATCGGGCGCGCCTCCGCACAGACCTCTTCTCGTCTCTAATCCGATCACGCATCATGCGCTGAGCCCCAAGCCGGCGGAGGGGGAGAGACCGCCAGCCGAACTGTACACAGGTGTCGCGTGAACGCACGCAAATTGTAACGGGCCAAGACTTGTGAAAAGCTCCCGAGGTCCAAATAGTGGAGAAGAGGATGAATACAGTCACGTAGCAAAGTACACACTATCATCATACGCGGAGAGCGGATCGAGGGTGTTCTGCATTCAAGTGGTACATACGATGGTAGATGGGCCATAGCGCTATGTCTGAAGGACAAAAGCTGCTTTCCCTCACTGCTGTGTCCGCCGTCAGTATGACCTCTCGCCTCCTCGACTTCCAAAAAAAGGTTTTATATATTTTAGGGTGTGGGTCCCCAAATTTGCTTGCTTTCCCTGGTGATGCTGATGCCGGCGTATCCTTTGGGCATACGATGAAATTGAAAGAGGCGCGAAGATCAGTGCATCAGACCTCCAAGACAAAAGGATAAGTCTTCTACACTTTGTTGAATGAAAGCAAGGGTCTTGACAAGTGGGGAACATATGCTGTTCAGATCAGCGCTGCTCAGGCTGACTTCCACGTAAGCTTGAGGGAAGGATTTGTCAGTGATCAGCAGATTGTCAGTTTTTGACGCTTTATTGGCTGCTGCCATCGATGGATATGAACTCGTGCATCAGAATGTTTGAAATTTGTTCGACGAAATTCCGGCAGCGCCTGTGTCGGTCTCCATTGATAATTGGCCGATTCGAACTATGCCAGAATGGCGAAAGGGAACCGAAATTATGTTGTCTTGGGTGCGCAAATGCCCGATTGTTGTATTGTCTTGTTCAAGACACGGTGTTGCAATTGTCGTTTTGAACGGAGCCAGCGTTGTTGGAGGAGTCGGCAATGCTGATGAGGTGATGTGTTGTAGCCAAGATCGACCGAAGATCTCGGAATCGTTCTTAAAGTAAGGAGGTGCGGTCGTGAAGGGATGCTGTAGTACAAGCCGAGGTCGCGAGATAGAGTGTGAAGTTTTTGTGATGATCAGGGTGTAGAACTGATCACTTAGCTGTAGGAAGTATACAGTGCATAGCATACTCCATGTCAGTGCAGTGTCGACCCAATCGGTGTCCAAGAAGTCGGTGGGTTGAGGATTAGCGTTCAACACGAGAGATCAAGAAGAGAAATCGTAAAATGAAGCAAACGCGCAAAAAAAAGCAACAAAGCAAGCAGGTCGTCCGTCAGATCATCTCGCCAAAAGAAAAAAGGTCGTCGCAAGCATATCGCCGCCCCCGGGACCACGAAAAACGTAAGCGTCCGTGTCAGGAAACCAGATCCCGACGATCGTCAAGGAAATTCATGCTCGTAGAAGGAAACTCCAGGCAGCATACCAGCTGGCCTCGTCGTTGTCCCAGCAGAACCACAAACCCAAAAGAAAAACGCCACGATATACTCCTACAGAACTCGCTCCCCAAGGCAGATGATGATGATGACCGGAGCGGCCTGCGCTCCGTCATTTATGCATGCGCAGCTGGCGGACCCGGGGCTTGCGATGGTCCACCGCGCGGTGCGAAACCGCCTCGTCGAGGCTGCCCTTGCGAGCCGTTCGTAGCGACTTGGCCCTGCTGATCAGGACGAGGGCCGCCTCTCCCACGACCAGCGTATCCGCCTCGTCCTCCACGGTGGCCAGAGCCAGTCCGGTTAGCAGGGTTGAGAAGATCTTGGCCACTGCCCTGTTGACGCCCATTCGCAGGTTGGCCAGATTGGTTTGGAGGAGCAGTGTTGATGGGGCGAGGAATAGACTCTGGAGAGTCATAGACATAGAGAGACTTGTCAATAGCAGCCGGGATGGGCTGAATTTCAGTGCCCAATTCCTGCTCAATGCGGTAAAGATTGAAACGATCCTCCCAATTGATCAAATTAATTGCTAGACCAAGGTGTCCAAATCGACCAGAACGACCAATACGATGAAGATATGTCTCTGCATTCTTGGGAAAGTCAAAGTTGATGACGACGTTCACAGCCTGAATGTCAATACCTCTGGTCAACAGATCTGAGCAGACAAGGTTGCGCATGGCGCCGTTGCGGAAGTCATGGAAGACGCGATTTCTGTGATGTTGTAGCATTTTGGCGTGAGAGTAGAAACAGGAATAACCCAATTCGGTGATCTTTTTAGCCAGAAGCTCGACTCGGGTAGTGCTGTTGCAGAAGATGATGGACTGGTTGATCTGCAGGCGACTGAACAGTGTGTTCAAACAGTGAACCTTTTGCTTCTCCTCCACAAAGGCATAGTATTGAGTAATACCGCGAAGCGTCAACTCGTCCATCAAGTTGATTTCGTGTGGGTCATTCATGTGTTTATCCTTGAAATCCTTCACGACAACTGGGAATGTAGCAGAAAAGAGCATGACCTGTCGATCTTTCGGGTGGAATTGTAGGAGCTGTTCGATGGTGACGGTGAATTCGGGTGACAGCAGCTTATCGGCTTCGTCCATGACAAATGTTTGCGCATGTGAAAGATCTGCTACTCCCTTGGACGCCAAATCAAGAATACGTCCAGGTGTGCCGACAACGATGTGAACAGGTTCATTCAAGCGCATGATATCATCGCGTAGGCCAGTACCTCCGGTTGTGACCATGACATTGATCCCCAAGTGCTTGCCGAGGGTCTTGCATACTTGTGATGTTTGCAGCGCCAACTCTCGCGTTGGCACGAGGAGAAGAGCTTGGATTTTGTCGACCTTTGCATTGACACGTTCCAGTGTGGGAATCACGAAGGCCGCAGTCTTGCCAGTACCGTTCTTGGCACGCGCCAGAACATCCCGCCCAGTCAGCGCAACCGGAATGGTCTCTTCTTGAATGGGTGACGGCTTCTCAAAACCAGCCTCAAAGATTCCCATTAACAGTTCTCGCTTCAAGTAGAACTCCTCGAACTCTATTCCCTTTGTCGCCGTAACATCTTCGGTTTGGTGTCGGTTGTCCTTTGGTGGGGCCTTTAGGCCTGCCCGATAATCGCCTGCATTTGGTGTGCTGTCGTTGAGACTGGTCGCCTCGAGCTTATTTGACAGCTCGGACGCCATTATAATGGAGATGTAGAGTCTTCTGTGAAAGTTCTCTCACACTTGCGCGTGCTCTTGTCCAAACTCAACGGTGGTGTTGAGAACAGAATTCCGGTAATGAAGATCGGTGTTGGAAATTGAGACCTGTCAACTAGCCGGCGAATGCGGTGTGTTCGATGTGAGAGGTTGATTTGGTCGCTAGACACAATATTGGTGATACAACCACGATTGATGGGTCGAATCGCTTTCACGCCTTGATGATGAGTGAGCTGAAGATTGGCCAAGTCGTGGTGAGCGCACAGCAAGCCCAGTGGTGAGTTCCGGTTCGGCCACAGGATAAAGCGGATCTGAAGATGATGTTTTCGTCGAAACGGGTCGGGTGGAAGGATCAGAGTTGGGTGATGAGAGGGAGTGGAAACAAGGTGATAGGTGTCGAATTGTGCTGGTTGTAGAAATCTGGTAGCCCTGGCATGGAGAAGAACCAGAGCCAAAGCCAATGTTGGTGGTGGGCTTGGTCCAAGCTGGGCCGCAAATATTATGTATGTACTGTACCGTACAGTCCAGGATATGGCGAGTACAATAATCACACCTGCATAAGGATATACTCATCCCTTGCTTGACCTCCGTCTCCTCCATGCATACATATACGTGATAACGAGGTTGTCCACGCCAATTCAACTCTGCTTTGCCATCCAATAGCTGCTTCAGACCGCATTTCCATTACGACCGCTTAATGGATGCTTGACGATCCGTTGGTATCATTCTACAAGAACTTCCCGAGATCATAGCTTCTTAGTTGCGTTGCCGCCATGGCCAGTCCGAGAATGTTGGTGATAGCTCGTATGCCTGCGTTGCACGCTCAACGACCGTTTGCATCAATTTGTCGAACATCCAGGGCGTCTCATCTCTCATCATGGGCATGCCTGAACTCGTCGCAGACCACAATCAAATATCCACTCTCTCGACAATCCCGATGCAGACAAACCACAACCAGTTTGTCTCTGGCAAGCCTCAAACCGCACAATTTGATACGATCATTGAGCCAGTCGCGATCACTAGCTGAAGATCAGAAGCCACGGAAAATGAGCGACGATGCTCTCCGAACGTGGGCTGAAGGTTATCTCGCCTCGGGCGGTGGAGCGACGGCTATGCTCAAACTCGCCAAGCGTCGCTCCAATGCCCTTCTCGCCATAAGTATTATCATAGGGATCAATGCCGCAGTCTTCGTCACGTGGCAATTCACATTATCGACAAACAATCAGGTACTCTCCACAATTATGCAGTCACAATTTATGACATCCAACTTGCACATGGCACACAATTGCTACTTCAGCCTGGTCGGAGCTGCTTTCTCACATACCAGCCCGGTTCACTTTTTCTTTAATGTGGTGAACCTGTGGTCTTTGGGCTCATTTCTGGTCACGATACCTGGGATCGGAGCAGCTCACGTCATTGGCATTACACTCTCTTCTGCTATCATCGGCAACCTTTGCCAACTACAGAGGAATCCTCCTGGAGACAGGATACTACTCGGCGCCAGTGGGGTCGTAATGGGCATTGCGGCCGTCGCGACTTGTTGTGCGCCGTCTGCCCCAATGCGCCTTTTCCTCATCCCTGTGAACTTTCCTCTGTGGGTGTTCACGGTCGGCTATGCGTTGGTCGACTCTTATTATATCAATTCGCCAACAGCCACTACCGGACATGCCGCACACATCGGAGGCGGACTGGCCGGTGTAGCATATTACTGGATTTTTCTCCGCAGATATGGTGCTCAGCAGCTGGCACGTAAATTCTTGCGAAGCCAACATAAGTGAGAGCTCAATGGTACGGAATTCTACTGGTCAACTCAGTGATTTGGGGCCTATCATCAAGCTTACTACTCAGCTTTCGATGGATCGCTATCTTGACACAAGTGCGACGTAAAGCCGCAGGCAGGAGCCAATGATAAGCGTGAGATGAATGATCTTCGAGGAGCTCCTGCCTGACTTGTTTCATGTACGTGTAAATTTCCGAGGTCAGAAACCTTGACACGCCCTGATGGTAGGTTGGATACGAGAGTTCACTGTACATAATCATTTCTCTGATCGCTACATATGCAGTATCAGCATGTTGGCATTACTACTGTTCTCCGTTCTCCTGCATTTCGCCACTGGGACGACCCGAGCTTTTGAATGCCATACGACCCCCAGCTCATTGTTCTCGCGCTGGACTGCTCCTCTGGCTCGTTTGGTATCCGATTTTTTGCATAGCCAATGCGAGAGCCACAAAGACCTCTTTGAAGACAGGAGAATCCATATTGCTACGTGGCCGCAATATGGAAATTTCACTACCACAGGCACGGAGTTGACGACATTTTCGAGTGTCCAAGGTTTCGCATTCGCTATACCCAGGTGTGCGTCAGCCGGAAGCAGACAAGCGGTGCTCGACGACCTCATGAGTATGATGGGATATGAGATGGGCAGTATGCTGAACTTCTCGATGCCGGTTGAGTGGTCAACATTCTCGATTATCGGTGGGCAGCCAACCTTGCATGCAGCTGATAGAAGGCCGTCGATTGCAGAAATTGGGCCTCGAACGAACAGGTTTGGCCACTTTCGAACCTTCTATTCCAGCACAAACAGAAAAATTGAGGTGAACATTGATGCGCAAGGTCACTGGTTTGATAACGCAAGTTCCCATCTGAGCATAGCAGGTTGCGGCGAAGCTGACATGCGCTCACGACTGGTCACATTGGAGACACATTACTTTTCCTCGGAAGGATTAACCATCGTATCAGATGTGGATGATATTCTTCGAGTTGCCGAGATCTGGAATCCTAAACAGATGATCTTCAACACCTTTGTGCGGACCTTTCAGCCTTGGTTGGAAATGCCCCAGATTTATCGAGACTAGCAATCCACGGCACCTTCAGCACATTTCCATTGGCTTTCAGATACGCCGGAGCTTGGCTATGACTTTTATGTCCAGGGTATAAATAAGTAGTCAGTATGATTCAAGACCCTTGAACGAGTCGTTAGGCAGCTAACTCCCAATGTTCAGTTATCCTGCAGGCACGTTTGACTTTCGACCGATGATATACGACAGCATCCACGAGACGATGAGTCCTCGCTACAACAATCTGCACCGGCTCATGGAGTCCTTTCCACGTCGAAAGTTTGTCTTCGTCGGCGACACAACGCCAGGTTCTACACTTAAGACCTACATCGGCCTCGCAAAAGAGTACCCGGATCAAGTCCAGTGCATAATTGTCAGGGATGTTTCTGCCACGGAGCCAGCCAACTGGATCACACCGAACTTGAAAGATCTGCGGAAGCTCAAGGGCAAATACATCATCTTTGATACACCTCAAGATCTCGACAACACTACTTCTTTGATGACTCGGTTGCAGAGTGGTGAGCAGGCTGGATGCGGCGGTGTGGACATTGATACCGGCGCCCATGGTTACGGTCCCATTAGCTCGATGGTGATCTCAGCATAGCGTGCTGTCAACATGTTCACTCGATGTTCGCTTCTCCTGTGGAAGAGACCTCACGTCGCTTGTCCAGCAGATCGGCGCACGGGTGCTTGGTACCATCACGGAGGGTACGAGCCGCAACATGATCATGCAATAAGGAGTGTTGTAAAGATGAACTCCGGCTGGGGGTGAGCCGTCCGTAGCGGGAGAAGCGAGATTGTTCTTCCGTAGATATCGTGCTTTATGAGCGATGATACAGCTACCTAGGTAGTCATTCAATGTCGCCCAATTTCTGCCAACCATATCATATATCATGGTGCCCATGTGCTTTCTAGAGTTTGATGAGCAGAGCCAAAATCTGAAGCCTGAGGCCTAAGCGCCCATGAGCGGAATATTCCCGCTTGCCAAGATCTTTTCGGCTTTGCTTGATTTTGTCGCAAAGAGCTTGAAGCAAGAAAAACTAGCTGCAACTTCAAAATTGCGATTACTCGCGCCAATCGCTCGAACTCCGCAGCGAACACTTCCGCAACATCAACAATTTATACAGGCGAGACCGCCCACGAACAATGTCATTCCGAGGGGGCTCACGAGGAGGCGGTGGAGGACGTGGTGGATTTGGCGGCGGTGGTGGAGGTTTCCGAGGCGGCCGTGGAGGCGGACGAGGAGGATTCCAATCGAACTACGGACCACCAGATGCAGTCTTCGGTGAGTTATCTCGCAGACAACCGTCTGGAAATGTTTTTGATAACGATGGCAATCTAACGTGGCCATCGCAGAGATGGGTGAATTCCTACACTCGACCGAAGGCGAGCTCGTCTGCAGCTCCATCAACACTAAAATCCCCTACTTCAACGCGCCCATCTACCTTGAGAACAAGACCAAGATCGGACAGGTCGACGAGATTCTCGGCCCGCTGAACCAGGTTTATTTCACTATCAAGCCGCAGGAGGGCATCCAGGCAACTTCTTTCAAGACCGGTGACAAATTCTACATCGGAGGCGACAAACTCTTGCCATTGGAGAAGTTTCTGCCTAAGCCAAAGCCGCCGCCAGGAACAGTATCGAAGGTCAAGAAGCCCGCACGTGGCGGTGCTCGTGGTGGTGCCGGTGGTTTCTCTCGGGGTCGGGGTGCGCCCAGAGGACGGGGTGGTCCACCTGGTCGCGGAGGCTTCGGCGCAAGAGGCGGTGGTGGATTTGGAGGACGAGGAGGTGGCGGCGGGTTCGGTGGTGGACGAGGCGGCAGCGGATTCGGCGGACGTGGACGTGGAACGCCTCGTGGCCGTGGCCGGGGATTCTAGGGGCTTGCGTCCTCAGCCTCCTTCCTGTCCTCTTGTGTTTGCATGGCGAATCGGCGTTTGGAATTACGGGTTTACACGAGATGTTTCGTGTCTGGTTTACGATCTGCTATCACTTGTGTTGTCGTTGTGGGGGCATGGCGTAGAGACACGCTGCAGTCGGATCAGGCTGACCCCTATGTACTATGCTCAAATCTGATGAACCACTGTCATATTGCATCTGTTTACACTGTGCTCCCTTTGTGCCGTGTCGGGGTCCTCGAAATCGCGCAGTGCACTCGTCACGGGCATCTGACAATCGGTTGAACACGTTTTCTCGCATTTGTAAGTAGACACAGCCCAGACGTCAACGCTTTTCGGTACATAAGCAATGAGACAACATGCAATCGCCACGATCATATATCCACCACCAGATCTCAGTGCATATAAACGACAGCTGAAGATCAAGATGAATATACAATATGATGATATTGCCATGCAAGGTCATGATCAATCATGTTGAGCCAAACGGTCGCTTCGCGCAAAGACCGCAAACGAAAAGCGAAAACAACCCAAACCCTTAATCGACCCTAAGGGCCAGCATCACTTGGGCATCTGGGCACGTTGACGCCCAACCCCCAAAGCGTCTCAATATCACCTGGGCAGGTTGGGTTGGAGAACCCGCAGGTCACACAACGACGCTCACATGAAAGGTGAACCAAACTAAGCCACGCTCGAGTATAATTGGGCTTTTCCAACAAGACAGATATGACCTTCTACAGAGTGCTTGATCGCACCAAAGAAACCAATGGCACAACACTCGTCAGCATTCATACAGTCCTTCTATTTCCCATCATGCAACAACGCCTAAAACCAATGTAGAGTGCGATCACCCCAACCCAGCAGTACCAAACCTCATCCGCTGCTCAACGGGATTGATCAACCCCTCACCCGATTGGCCCAAACCTTTACCCTCCTGCCATCCCATCTTCTGCATCATACGATGACCGAAGCTGTCGCTGCCAATCTTCGACGCCGATGCGCCGACGATTTCGCCATTCCGGGGAGCGTGACTACCACCTCCGCCACCCCGGCCGCCGCCAACAGTCCGTGCAGCTCGGCCCTTACGGGCGAGGGCATTCTTGAGCTTATACACCTGGCCGTGGGTGGCGATGGTGCCGGAGCGGGCGATTTCGACGAAGGCGTCGAATTCGGCGTCGCCAGGACAAGGGGTGCGTTGGGTTTTGGTGATCATGGGAAAGCGGTGCTTGCCTGCTCCTTGTGACTTGGAATTGAGATGAAGTCGCGTACAGATCTCGTGGAGAGCCTTGCGGTCGGCCTTGTCCATCGGAGGAAATGCGCGCTGTTCGAGGTCGACCTCAAGGAGGAAAGCGTAGAGCTCGTCGAGACATTGTTTGATTGTGATGCCCGTTGAATATTTCGCCTTAAGGTCTTCGCGGCCTGTTCGCGCGGCCTTGCCAAGTAGGCCATCCTTGCGCTGCTCTTCACGTTCAAGCTTTTTGAGTCGCTTCTTTTCGCGATCATTATCCCACGACGCCATTGTGACCTCGAGGAGCTCGTCGTCCGATATTGCCTCCAGAGCGGCTGGGATCTTGCCCTTGCGACCCTTCTTAAGAGGTCGAAGCGAAGGGCGGTCAAAATCCATTATGTCAAAGCCGTTATTACCATATTGATCCAAGCTGTCAGCGAGCGCAGTGGCATCGACAAAACGATGAGGTTCTCGTTTGCCTCCACGCCTGGAGCGCTTGCTGGGTGTACTACCGAAGGTGAGTTTGCCGATGTCAGCCAAACCGAGCTGTGCTGCTTCGAGGTCGCCAATGCCATCATCAAAATCACCATCCTCAATGATCAACTCGTCTGCGTCGATACCCCATTCTGCTTGTTTGGCAAAGAGTCGGGCAAGTTTTTCATCCTCCATGCGCTCGATCCGACGTCTTCGCAGGTCGTCCTCGTCATCGTACATCTGAGACTGGTTGTATTCAATTTCATCCTCCAACTCTGACTGACCCTCATCGGAGTCCTCACTGTCGAAGTTTTCCGGAACATCAGAGCCATCACTAACCCATGCGCTGTCTTCGCTTGCATCTTTGCTCTTGTCATCATCTTTAGACATTTTTAGCTTGCGAGGAAGAACTTCATCGTCTGGAATGATTCGTCCGTCGACCACGAGCGAAGGGCCTTCAAGACCTGCTGTGCGTGCGAATGCCAGCATGCCCGAGACCGTACCTGAGCTGTCGCCTGTCTGTTGTTCCTCCTGTTCCTCCTGTGCTAATTGCGCGGCAAGATTGGCCATATAATCGTCGTATGCTGCTTCTGCGCCATCATCGTCTTCGTCTGAATCAAGAGCAGTTCTTAAGGCTCGGTTGCCCTTCTTTCGGCCCTTCTTACCTCTCCTCTTGGAAGTCCGAGCATTACCATTTTCCTGGGCCTGAAGCTCGTGATTCTTATTTGTGGCATTTTTCTCACATTGTAGCAGTGATGAAATTACATCCTCGGCATCCTTATCTCGAGTCATCTTTGTTTCCCTGACCGGAAGATTGAGCTTCTGCTGAGGTGTCAGCGTCGGCTGTTTGGACGACGTCGCCATTGCAGTCTCGAGGGTAGGTTGTTTTTCTCCCGGAGCATGATTCCTCCACCACGATCCGGACGGTGCAGGAGTAAAGCCCTGTGATTCCTTTGTTGCATCTTTTGCTAATTTTCCAGGTCCAACCCCAAATGCGATACTCGTTGCAGTGTTTGACTCGAGTCGATCCGCGACCTCGAAGGCACCTGCTGTGACTGTCTTATTACTGACGTGCAGTGGGTCGTTCACAATCTTCGTGCGTCCTCGGCCATGAAAGACGACCTGTTCCTCACTTGAGTCCGATCGAGCTGGAGACGGAGACCGTCGGAGAGGGACATCGTGCCTGACCTTGCTAGGTCTGACGAGCGTCTCGTCTCCGGCGGTGTCCACTATGAAGAGAGGGGCCTCGATATGGATCGAAGTCTCAGCAGATTCCGCATTGTTGACGCTGGCGATGCGTGTATGATGTGATTGTTCCTTGTCGATATCCATTTTCACTTCACGATCTTCAAGAATCATTTCGGCCATGCTGTGATTGGGCACTGTCGCGTCAATGTCCGTAATGATGTTCGTGATGATTGTGCTATCCTCATTATCCTCATCCATATCCTCGGAGTCCTCGCTACTGCCATTGGCGATCTGATGTTTGAGCTCTATTGGTGGTGTGCTGGTGCCGGCGCTGATAAATGCGATTGTGCGGTGCCTAAGCTCGACACGGTTACTGCTAGGCGTGGACGTGGCTTGAGTATTTGTTTGCGTGAAGCCACGGAACCCGGTGTAGATGTTATCATCTGTGTTTTGGCGATACAATTTCAGCACTCGTTCTGATCAAGATTGAGTTGTACGAGCAGTGGCGAATATGACCAACCATCATCGTCGGACCAGCCATTGGCTCTTGAAGCACCGCCTCCAGATTGCCAGGAATTGCTCTTCTGGGCCTTCTGCTTGTGCTTTGCACGACCCGAGGTTGGCGTTTTGCCGCCCTTCTTTTTCGCCATGATCTGTGACTGGTTCGCGTCGCTTACAGATTATGCGCTTCAAGCTTGAAGACGAGGACGCCGCGCTCTGACTATGCGATATTCGAGGTGACACTTCCTGAGGCCAGCAAGATAAAACGACAGAGACACGTCAATAACAATTGCAACCGGGAGGGACTTAACGATCCCTCAAGTGAATAAGAAAGTTTGCGATTGCCTTCAGTGGACCCCGTCCGTTCCTGACATTTATTACCGGACGATGACATGCACGAGTGATGAGCAAGCGCGGAGCTCAGGGCAATCATGCAGGTGTGCTTTGAGCTACAGTGACCTATCGATAGGCGATACCAAACCCCCGCCACCATCGGGCTGCCTGGAATGCGACAAGGCAAGTAAGCCGGGCGACCTGGAGGATCATCGCTGCGCAACAGGGCAGGACTATTGTGATAAGTGCGGGCGGGCACGCTTCCGAGGGCCTGCGTCTCGTGCTCACTTCAGATGACACATGCTGCAGTGCTTGCACTACACACATTCAACTCTTCTGGTCAGAAGCACTTGGAGCAGATCATAAACCAGATACAGCAGCAGCAGCCTCCCCGTGATTGTACAGTAGTCCGCTTGACGCACATCGAAGCACACGACCGCGATTCCCATATACTCGGGCTCCCGTCAGCCAGACCATAGAGACCTGGACTGCTCTGGCTGCACTCGCTCACTATCCTGGCATCCTGTGGATGTGAGTGCAGCGACAGAGCAGACCCCACGCAACGACCTCTCCTCTTACTTCACTACCTTCTATCGCACCTCTGGTGTCCCTCATAATGAACGATTTCGCACGCATCTCTAAGCGCGCTGTGGAGTTCATCTTTGATCGTCCGCCACGTAATGACGACTCATCACCGATCTGGTGTCTAGGCAAATCGTATGACTCTTCGCACATCGATGTCCGTTCTATCGCCTCAACAGGCAGCTCGCCCTCCGGCCGATCCGACGCCGCAGTCTCACATCCGGATTCCGCCGTCGCCGACGATGTATCTTTACAGCCAAGGGAGCAAACAGATGAAGAGCTAGTGAAGACCTTCGACCAGGTTCAGGTCTCGAAGTCGATGGATGAGGAGGATCTAGGATGGCCCTCTGAGTTTCTGGACGATTTCGAGTCGCGGATCTGGATGACATATCGGAGTGGCTTCGCGCCTATCGCCAAATCGTCAGATCCGGCGGCCTCAGCTGCCATGTCGTTTACCACGAAAATGCGCAATCTCGCAAATCAGGGTGGCTTCACATCTGACGCGGGCTGGGGCTGTATGATTCGTAGTGGACAGTCTTTGCTGGCGAACACCGTCTTGACGCTGAGGTTGGGAAGGGAGTGGAGGAGAGGCCAGAAGCAGAAGGAGCATGAGGAATTGTTGTCACTCTTCGCAGATACACCAGAAGCGCCGTTTTCAATACACAAGTTTGTAGAGCACGGCGCGCAGGCGTGTGGGACTTATCCCGGTCAATGGTTTGGACCAAGTGCGACCGCCAGGTGCATTAGGTGAGGCAGTCGATGAACGTACGCTTTCAATACCAGCGCTAAATGTCAGACAGCGCGCTCACTGAACGATATGACCAAGCCGGACTGAGAGTCTACGCAAAGCCAAATGATGGAGATGTCTATATTGACTCACTAGTCGCGACGGCCACACAGAAAGATGCCGACGAGCAATTCCAACCTACGTTGATCCTTCTCGGGATCCGAATAGGAATCGAGAAAATTACACCCGCGTACCACGCAGCTCTGAAGGCCGTGCTGGAATTACCGCAGAGCGTGGGCATCGCTGGCGGCCGGCCCAGCAGCAGTCACTACTTCGTCGGTCATCAAGGCGACCACTTCTTCTACCTCGACCCCCACTACACTCGACCGATGCTCTCATCACAACCACAAGCAGAGGACGTGGGAACATGTCACACACGCCGCCTGCGCCGGTTGAGCCTAGCGGAGATGGATCCATCCATGCTGCTTGGTTTCCTCGTGCGTTCAAGGGAGGACTTTGATGACTGGCGAGCTGCAATCGCCGTGATTCCTGGGAAAGCCATCATTCATGTGCACGAAAAGGAGCCGAAATATGCTACCGGCTTTGAGCGACCTGGTGCTGAGGACGAGGTTGAGACCATGGACGATGACGACGATGATGACGACGATGATGATCTTGGTGCGGAGCCGGAGGAGGTTCATAAGGAAGGGAGCTCAGAGGAAGACGGGCCTCGCAATGTTGGTCCATCATAAAGTAATCCCTACATACAGCAGTCTCCCCGAATGCGAGCATAGAGCCGCAATTATGCTGTGACTTTGTGCATGGAGGGACAATTGATGTGCATTTTTACGCTTGTATGAAGGAGCGCTTTGGTGGGCGATGCAATCCATAGGCCGAGGGTACATGAGAAAATCACACGGCAGTACGATGAACTTCGCTATATTATGATGAACTGAAATATTGATCCCAACGCGATCAAAGTTCTCATTTCGCTATGTCTAATCAATCGCATGTCGTCCAAGGTTCCCAGCCTCGTCAATGGAAACGGTATGACGCACGGTGCATATAGCGGTGCAACATTTTCCCAGCGCGCGTGTCAAGTCCAGGCGCTCGACGCGAGCGCGACACGCTAAAGCACATGCGGACGAATGTCCAAACAACACCTCATGGAAGCCCCAGTCCAGTTGGCCCAGCCACACAGTATTCACGTTGAATCGCTCATCTTGTAACCGTTAAATGCCAATGGCAACAAGATTTTGAAGCGAGATTGAAGGCAGATTGTAGCCGTGGAAAGAAGAAACAGTTTTCAAGATCATGCATTCATCTCGCAGCTATGTTTGGTAATCGCAGCAGCCATCCCGAAAGATTTCCTGGTGCTGGTGCTGCTACTATACATTCCTTTCCAGCGAATAACGCTCACCAGTTCGGCGCGCGACCAGCTGCATATGCCGGCGCCGATGGTATTTCTGAGAGCGAGAAAGCCGGAGAAAACATCTTTCAACTCGAAATGTTCTCCATTCGAGTTTCACAAAACAGGGAAAATAATAATTCAAAACCCAGCCCATGATCGCATCACACGAACAAAAACGCCACAGAGCCCATCATTCATGAGCCCAATTCCCCCTGAATGTGTTAAAGAACCAAGTCGCAAAAAGGAAAACGCCCCATCAGATCCAAAGAAGAGACAGAGTCGCTTATTTGGTGGATGAAGAGTACTTGGTGACGGCCTTGGTACCCTCGGAGACGGCGTGCTTGGCAAGCTCGCCGGGGAGGATGAGTCGGACGGAGGTCTGGATCTCACGCGATGAGATTGTGGACTTCTTGTTGTATGCGGCGAGCTTGGAGGCCTCGGTGGCGACGCGCTCGAAGATGTCGTTGACGAAGGAGTTCAGGATGGACATGGCACGGTTGGAGATACCGGTGTCGGGGTGGACCTGCTTGAGGACTGCAGAACAAAAGACGCGTCAGAATTATGACTCATGATATCACATGTGAAAGACCGGATTGGACTTCGAGGTTCGAAGTGGCAACCGAGCTTGAAAGCTGACATACCCTTGTAGATGTAAGAGCTGTAGGTCTCCTTGCGGGTCTTGGTGCGCTTCTTCTTGTCACCGGAGGGAGCGGCAGTCTTCTTGCCAGCCTCCTTCTTCTCGGTGGCGGGAGCCTTGCCGGCTGGGGCCTTGCCAGCGGTGGTGGGGGTCTAAAGGAAAACACGTGTCAGAGATGCGATGCGCTCAATCAAAGGGCGGAATTGCGCGCAAAGTCGCAAACTGGTGCTAAATACCTTGGATGCAACCTTGGGAGCCATTTCGACGATTTCGGATTTGTTGGAAAGTAGAGGATGAGCTTGAGATAAGTCTGGGATGAATAGCGGTCAAGGTCGATGAATTCCTGCAGCAGTGGGTTGGTTGAGGAAAGAAGAGAGGGAAACGCGTCGAAGGTGGAGAGGCACTGGCTGGCTTATGTAGTGAGCGTGCAGCAGCGGCAAAGCCCGCTATCAAAGTCGCGCTCGCCCGCTGATGTTGTTTGTGGTCTGTCGCGGTCGGCTTAGCGTCCTTTCCGCTTTGGGAATGGTCCAGCCCATGATTGATCTTCTGGGGAAGACAGCGCGCGCCCTGCCTCATATAACCACAGCGTCGCCCACTTGCGACATCTTCTGGTTCTCTTTCCATTTCTCAACTACAGCATCCATCTCTGCCATTCAAAGCCATCTTCTACGTCTCACGACACCTTCAACACCTCAAACCCAACCACCACCACCAAATCAATCAAAATGACTGGAGGAAAGTCCGGAGGCAAGGCCAGCGGTGCCAAGTCCAACGCGCAATCGTGAGTTTTCGCCTTTCCTCGCGTCCTGCGTCTCTCGTCGCAATCTGCTCTTTGAGTGATGTTTGGGCTTTCGAATCCACTTCGATGATGGGGATTCGAATCCTAATCGCGTCCTTTGAGTCCAATTTCATTGACATAGGCTAACATGATCAATCCAGTCGTTCATCCAAGGCCGGTCTCGCGTTCCCCGTCGGTCGTGTCCACCGTCTTCTCCGAAAGGGCAACTACGCTCAACGTGTTGGTGCCGGTGCTCCCGTCTACCTCGCTGCCGTCCTCGAGTACCTCGCTGCCGAAATTCTCGAGTTGGCTGGTAACGCCGCTCGTGACAACAAGAAGACCCGTATCATCCCCCGTCACTTGCAGCTTGCCATCCGCAACGACGAGGAGTTGAACAAGCTTCTCGGACACGTCACCATCGCCCAGGGTGGTGTTCTCCCCAACATTCACCAGAGTAAGTTTTGTCCACTACAATGCCCAATCATTGTACGATCATTAACATTATCTTCTAGACCTCCTCCCCAAGAAGACCTCCACCGCCAAGGACAAGTCCAGCCAAAACCTTTAAGCGGTTTCTTTTTGAGGTTTTTCGAATGCAAATGGGTTTACGGCGCAGATTTTTGGGTTGCTTGATGATAACGGGCTCATCAACGGTGGACACGAGCTCTGGTTACGGCGTGTCTTTTGATTACTTTATTGTTCTACCTCTTTTTTCCGATGCATGCGGGCTGGCTTCTGATCTGTTCGAAGCAGCTGACAAGGCTGTACAATATGCCTAACAGGCAGCTCACAAACTGGCTACAGTGGCCGAGAGCACAACCTTTACGATGATACCAAGAATTGAAGCATCTGATCAGAATTCTCCGTCTATTTCTCTTTTCGCACCCATGAGTTCCAAGGTTGCTTGAATTGATGACTATCATCAGCAATGACGTCTTCTGCTGTGCTTACAAGCTTGCTTTAGCTCTGCGCCGAGCCAAATGCGCGTTCACGACATCAACGTCCAAAAAATGTCGAACACAGTTGCAGCGTGCTCGAAATACGCCAGAACATGTTTGCGAAAGATCAATCACAGAGGCGACAGGGGACGCATTTAAGTGGTAGCGAAAAAGGCAAGAAATTATACAACGACTACCGACGCCATAGAAAATGAACAGATGACAACGCCGCGGAAAAGCCACGTTGTAAGAACTTTCGATGTTTCGAGAAAGGATCCGGCCCAGTAGAATCAAGAAATCAACCCAAGGTAAGTCTAGAGGAGGAGCATGCGGCGCGGGTCCTCAATGTATTCCTACGGTAAAATCATAGTTAGCATGACAGAGCCATCTGACTTTCTAGGAATGAATGACGTACCTTGATCTTGACCAAGAAAGTGACGGCCTCTCGGCCATCCAGAAGTCGGTGGTCGTAGGTCAATGCGAGGTACATCATGGGGCGGATCTCAACCTTGCCGTTGATCGCAACAGGCTTCTCCTTGATGGCGTGCAGACCGAGGACGGCGGTTTGGGGCAAGTTGATGATGGGTGTACCCATAAGGGAACCGAAAACGCCGCCGTTGCTGATGGTGAAGGTACCACCAGCCATGTCCTCGATGGTGAGCTTGTTATCACGAGCCTGACGAGATCTTTGTTAGTGATACACTCGAATACTCATCCTGTTAAGTGTTCTCTACCTTCTTTCCAAGCTCAGCGATGCCAGACTCAATACCAATGAGGTCAAGCGCCTCAGCGTTGCGGACGACGGGAGTCACAAGACCCTTCTCAGTGGCAACAGCCACGCTGACGTCTACGTAATCTCTGTAGACGATGGTGTCGCCGCTGCCTGGTCCTTCGATGCTGGCGTTCACAGCGGGAATGTCGCGCATGGCCAGAATTGAGGCACGGGTAAAGGCACTCATGAAACCAAACTTGATGCCGGTCTTCTTGAGAATCTCATCCTTGTACAGCTTGCGCATTTCCATCAAGGCAGACATGTCGACCTCGTTGAATGTGGTGAGGGAAGCTGCAGTGTTCTGGGATTGCTTCAGGCGCTCTGCTATCCTCAGACGCATACGGTTCATCTTCACTCTGCGCTCCTCCCTGTTACCATATGGTCCCTGGTCTTTCGACGATGATTCTGACTCCTTCTGCTTGGCCTCGACCTTCTTTGGTTCCGACTTTGATGGAGCAGGCTTCGATTCCTTCTTAGGCTCTGGCTTGGGCTCCTCCTTCTTAGGTTCTGGCTTCGACTCCTCCTTCTTAGGCTCAGGTTTTGGTTCCTCCTTCTTCTCTTCCTTCTTTTCCTCCTTCGGCTCCGACTTTGCTGATGGCTCGCCTCCAAGCTCAATCCTGACTAGATCCTGACCGACGGTCACGGTATCCTCCTCGTTCGCCAAGAACTCCTTGATGGTTCCAGCAGCTGGCGCATTGACTGACACGTCAATCTTGTCGGTCTCGATGGTTGCAATCTCCTCGTCTAGCTCGACATAATCGCCAACCTTTTTCGAGAATTGCTTCAAGGTACCCTCACTAATCGACTCTGCCATTTCTGGTACCTTGACAACTTGCTCCTCTACAGAAACATTTCGATTAGCCGTCAACTTCAAAATTGTAGGGCGCGCTCGTTCCTACCATGTTGTCGACTTGATACGCTGAAGTAGCGCGACTGAAGAACGGGGAGCGATTTGCTAGAAGCATATCAGCTTTGTCATGACCACAAGCGTGGCCTGCGTATCATTGCATACATGGAATGTGTTGGGGCGACGTGCGTCCTTGATGGTGATGCGCTGATCGAGAGTGATCGTGCTGTTGCGCAAGAGCGCAATAGTCGAGCGGAAGTAGCAGGAGTTTGACGGAATAGCGCAGTAGAGCGCTGTCCAGAGCTACCAGCCAGCCGGCGTAGGCATTGTGAGCTCGACATGTTGCGGGTATGAGGCGTATAATAGATATGATCCTCTTCGTACAGGGTTGTCACGATGCTTGGAAATGCCAGAGAAAGAAAAGGGACAGCTATGTAGACAAACAAGTCAGACTCCCGAATGACCCGTGGTGTGACGAAGCGGCTCAACAGCCTGAAGCAGCGAAAGCCAAGCTGCACGCCTGCGTCAGTGCGGATGCGTGGGATGCAAATTGGTCGCGGCACTACCCGCTCGAGGTGAGCACTCGCCTCAGATGCCGTCTTAGGGTTTGGGTAACGTCTTCGCCTTTTCATGGAGAGATCCTTCCTTCTTGTTGTCCTTGGAACCATCCAATTTTACAGCGATACCAGGCATACGTGCTGCCGTGAAAGTGAGTATTCGGCTGGTTTAATAGAGCCCGAAGGCGGAGTGGAGCAATTTGCTCCTGTACACCAGAGGTGTGCTAACGCGAGGCTTTACATGTATTCATAACTCAGAGGATACGGTCCATAGTACCTTGCCTGCTGAATCGCGACATGCATAGGATACGCAACATGGTCTATGTTCACCCCTTCAGGTTCGAACACATGCCAATGTTTGCCCCAGATAAGACTCACGAGCTGCACAACATCAGCACTTAGCCTGCCAGCGTCCGAGCAATTGCCACTTACAGTCGCGCCGAAAGACCGAATATCTGTTGGTGTCGACCATTGTACCTGGGTTAAACCTTGATAGACCTTAGTATAAATGCTTAGAGAGTTGTAAAAACTGTACAACGATGAGAAAGTTAAGAAAAGGTTACTGGTACCTGGATTCCTAAATCTACCTAGGGACATTAACTAGTATAACGACCTTGAAGGCCTGGGTGAAAGTAGAATTCACCACGGTGCCTGAGGCACAGAATTGTAAGAACAACGTAATGACATTACAGAAACCCTAGCAAGCTCAGTTGCCCTGTCTGTCCGCCCGGCGCGATCGACTTCAGTTGCCTTCACGAGACCAGCAGCAGCCTGCAACACGAATCAACAGCGGCGGAGCGCAAAAGTACGTCGATAAAGCACCCTCTCTGGCCGAGCGGGCCTCCTCACAGCAATATGGCCTCCACCAAGCTTCACGTTCTGTACGGCCACTCCAGCCATTGACCACCCAAACGTGTTCTAATCCCTCTTACAGCTCGCTCTATCGTCGCTCTCTCAAACTCGCTCTCGACTGGGCTGTGGCTCGAGATGTCTGGCGTGGCCAGGCTGTTTATATTCGCGGACTGTTCGACGCGAACAAGACTGTCTCGCAGCCTCGACAGCAAAAAGTAGGAGTCGGCCCTAGGTTAGATCATTGGACACGGAAGAACCAATGTTGACCAGGAGAACAGGAATTGATCGAGCAGACCGAGGCATTGCTTGAGAAGTGGAAGCACCCGGATCCATACAGACCACCTACAGCACCAGGTGGAAGCAAATACCAGCGAAACTTACCATCACCACGACGTGACCGTAAGTGCATTACCCCTGTGAAATGGTACCCTGCGCTCACTCTCTTTAGCACCCCCACCCATGCATGTATAAGAGGAACAGGAGGATCCGGCGTTTCTAGAACTGTACATATGGATACCTTTGTCCTATTGAAGGACGACGACACAATAGAAAATGTTTCATTTCTCATGCACACAATCCGTGGTACATGCAATATTTATTACAAGGAACGTACAGCTCCGAGGTTTGGTCGATCATAGCCTGGCTCCACGTCTAATATGTGTGCTCATTGTGCCCACTCGACTGATTGCCCAGGAACGCATAGTGGCCACCAATCTGTCTATCTGGTCAATCGTGTTGCCGGCATGCAAACAGACACGGACTCGCTCTGATCCTGCCGGTACCGTCGGTGGCATTATGCTTCGAACTACGAATCCACGTCGCTGGCAGTGTTCCGCGAGCGCTTTCGGGTCCGAAGAAAGCACGGCGAAGATTGGCGTCTTTGGGCATCGCGAGGGACATTGTATGAGTCGCTCTTGGCCCTGGGGAAGCTGCAGTGACTCTTGCATTTCCAGCAGCCGCACATGGAGTGCTTCGATCAGCACTTGCAGATCACGCATTAACGAGACAGTCTTGCCCTCCATCAGGAACGAATACGATGCCCTCACAGCCGCCTGCGCAGGATAAGCCATAAACGTCGTGTATATCATCGGCCGAGCGTAGTTGATTAGATATTCTCTGATCAACGCATTGCAGAGCAATATGGCACCGTTACACGCCATCGCTTTGCCGAACGTGTGAAGCCGTACTGTGATATCGTCCTCAAGACCAAGCTGGCAGACAAGACCTCTGCCCTTCTCCCCAAATATGCCGGTCGAATGTGCCTCGTCGACGACAATATGACCATTACCCAGCGGTAACAGATCCCTCACGATGTCGACGATAGCTTTCAAGTCTGCTATGTCGCCATCCATGCTGTATACGGCTTCCACTGCAACAAAAACATTCCGACGGCCCTGCTGGATGAGAACGTCCCCGTTGATACGTGACTCCAGTACACTTCTCAATGATCCGATGTCGTTGTGGGCAAAGCTGACCTGTACTGTAGCTCGTGACAGTCTCATGCCCTCGTGCACGCTTGCGTGTATCAATTCATCGTGTACGATGACATCTCCCGGCTGAGGAAGACATGAGAATAAACCGACATTTGCATCGAACCCCGAATTGCATAGTAACCCAGTTGCAGCTCGGTGAAAGGAAGCAATGTCGTGTTCTAGTCGCTCGGTGTATTTCGAATTCCCATCAAGAAGTCTCGAGCCTCCACTGCCAATGTTGGCCAGGGCGGGTTCTAAATGCAGTTCTTGTAGAAATCTAGTCCTCAGCTGTGGTGAGGATGCCAATGAGAGGAAGTCATTGGATGAGAAGTCCACCGAACGCGGCGAGTTGATAGTCAATTTTCTTATCGTCGATTGTTGACGTCTTTTATCCAGTGCATTCGCGAGTGCTTGCTCGAGTAGTGATAAATTTCTCTCTGCCATCATTCGGTAACATCGTGAACGAGCATGATCATGTTTGCGAGTCGGGAACACGCTCTAGATGCGAATGCCGTGGCGTCGCGCGATCTCGGACCGACTGCCCTGTTGAACTTGATCTCCCCACCACAGCGCTCGGGCCTAGCCAATGCCGCTCGTGGAGTACAGTGAGCCATTGGGTCAAGCTCTACGATAACAACACATGATACTTCTTTGTGCTCCATTCGCTGTCTGACTGTCTGCATATTCTCGATATGCCGCAGCTATGAGGCAAGTTGGCTCGGTCTTATGGCCGAAATTGAGGATCCTTCAAATATATGGTGCAAACACTGGTGTCGGCAAGACCATATTCTCGTCGGTACTCTGCCGAGCTTTCAAGAAACACATACAGAAAGTCCACTACCTCAAGCCCGTCTCAACTGGACCGCTCAATGAGGCCGACGACCAGTAAGTAACACAGCACAAGATATACGAAATGCATGCTCGTTGCTTCAATGCGTCGCCAAAGCATGATTGTCGACATCGGCCTAGACCACCAACCCCAACACCAACCCTATACCGACCCTGATCAACTGGACGGCTAACATTACTGGCTGGCAGTCACATGTCCACATTTGGATCGAATGTCACGTCTCAATGTCTGTACCAGTTTGATGAGCCAATAAGTCCTCACTTGGCGGTGCGTTCCGCTGCGAAGGTATGGTCGACCATGGAAAGCAAGCGCACAGTAGTAGCTGACATTGACAGCCCTTGTCGGACGCCGAGGTACTGGAAGGTGTTTATCGAGAACTGAAATCGTACGCGAATGGCGACGAAGGCGTCTCAGTCGTAGAGACGGCTGGTGGAGTTCTGTCGCCATCGCCTTCTGGAAGCTCACAGGCCGACCTGTATCGACCTCTGAGGCTACCAACCCTGCTTGTGGGCGACTACAACCTTGGTGGTATTGGTACCACCATCTCTGCATGGGAGTCACTACGCATACGAGGATACGATGTCAACCATGTTGCATTGTTTGCTGAGGATCGGTACGATAACCACACGTACCTCAAAGAGTATTTCCATGATCGTGGCGTCAGTGCGTTCTCCATCGCCCCTCCACCGGAAAGGGTTCCATCTCTCGAGGAAGACACCCAGGCCATGCTTGCATACTATCAAAACTCCAGCGAGACGGCAGAGGTACAGGGCTTCATCGGAAGATTCCTTGCAGAGCACGATCAGCGCATCAGCAAAATCAGATCTCTTCCCGAGCAAGCCGAGAAGGTGATATGGCATCCTTTCATGCAACATACTGAGCGATCGAAAGACACTATCACGGCTTGGGACTCAGCATACGGAGACTTCTTCCAAAGCTTCACAACAAAGCGGGACGTAGCTACTAATGCACTTTCAAAGGCAGAGAAGTCACTACTTCAACCAGCCTTCGATGGCTCAGCATCGTGGTGGACGCAAGGCTTAGGCCACGGAAATCCTCAACTCGCGATTGTCGCTGCACATGCTGCGGGTAGATACGGGCATGTCATGTTCGGTGGAGCGATTCACGAACCCGCTCTTCAACTTGCTCAGACGCTTGTCGAGCGACCCGAGAACCCTCGACTAAACAGGGTGTTCTACTCGGACAACGGCAGCACCGGTATGGAAGTCGCCGTGAAGATGGCGCTGCGAGCATCGGTCAACCGCTTTCTTGGAAAACGAAGCGCCGACCACAGAAAACTCGATATCAGGATATTGGGCCTCAAGAATAGCTACCACGGCGATACCATGGGCACCATGGACTGCTCAGAGCCAAGCATATACAACGAGAAGGTTGAATGGTACAAAGGTCGGGGTATCTGGCTAGACTTTCCAACAATTAAGATGCGACAAGGACAATGGCTCGTTGAACCCTTTGATAGTAGAGACGAAAGTGCATCCAAGAGTTTGTCGTCAGAGACAAAGTACTTCGACACCATTGACGATATCTTTGACTTCAGCAATCGCCAGCAAGAACACCAAGCATACACCTCTTATATCCGTGCAAAGCTATTAGAAAGCGTTGAGAAGCATGGAGTGAGCTTCGGAGCACTGATCATCGAGCCAATGTTGCTCGGGGCTGGCGGTATGATGTTTGCAGATCCGTTGTATCAGAAAGTCCTAGTGGAAGTTGCACGGGAGTTTCATGATGATCGCTCGTGGCTTCAACAGGAGTATGATGCGAGCCAACAAGAGTCTAACGACACCAATTGGGCGGGCATGCCTGTCATTTTCGACGAGGTGTTTACTGGACTGTACCGACTGGGACGCTTCAGCGCAGCCAGCTTCCTAGGCGTCCACCCAGATATCGTCGTCAACGCCAAACTGCTCACTGGCGGACTTCTGCCTCTTTGCACAACAACAACCAGTGAGGCAATCTTCAGTGCCTTCCTGAGCAATGACAAAACCGACGCTTTGCTGCACGGTCATAGTTACACAGCTCATCCCATCGGCTGCTCTGTCGCAAACGAAAGTCTGAAAACTTTGACCAAGCTTGATACCGATGGTACATGGGAGGCATACAAGAAGGACTGGACTTCTCAGTCGACATCGACAGCCGCAACGCGTCATCGCAACAAGAACAAAATCTGGAGTATGTGGTCTTCTTCGTTTCTTGCATCGGCCTCCCACAAAAACAGCGTTGACAATGTCTTTGCCATTGGATCGGTGCTTGCGTTGACACTCAAAGATCCGAATGGCTCGGGATATGCGTCTACGGCAGCAACTGGATTACGCGATAAGTTGTTGGCGGGCAGCGGGCAGGACGATGCTGTCATCCATTCCCGAGTGCTTGGCAATGTACTGTACCTGATGGCAGCACTCAACACACCCGGAAAGACACTGCAGGATATCCAGGAAATTGTGTTGAAGGCGCTGAAATGAAAACGAAGTGTTGAATGCCGCGTCCATTTCCCGGCCCTTTCCCGGCTGGTCTTTGACTCTTTGCATGACTCTTTGCATGTTGCTTGCTGCGATGTATGCTCAGGTGGACCACGATCCAACGGGTTCGGCCACGACGCGGAAGCCGCAGCAGGCGCGTCCTCGAAAGTAGCGCGTGCTTTCGTGTTCTGCGGCATTTCATGATATGACCGCCAACTGTCATGCCCATTATATACTAGAGTTTATCAATAACCTACCTGGTGCACGATCATTCAATGCCACCATATCTTACACTATCAACGATGAGTTGTAAGACTCTGGCTGACCGACACAGCTGTGCGACGGATACTATTGGCGCAGGTGAGATAAGCAGCAAGCATAGAAACCCGAGGAATTTCCCGTGAAAGGCGCCGGTGATCCTGCGTATTTATAGATGCCTCGTGTGTGGAAGCTCTGAGAATATCCACTGTAGCTACTGCATATCTAGGATATTAGACGGGCTTGAACGAACTAAGTACGATAGAAAGCTGGCCTTGCAGCGAACAGTCCCTCAAGATGAGCCTCACCATGCCACGGATCGTGAGCGAAGAGGAGTCGCGACACAAACCACGAATCCTCTGCCTACATGGCGGCGGAGTCACAGCCGAGGTCTTTGAGATGCAAGCGCGGTCACTGATTCGCTGTCTTCCCGACTTTCGACTCGTCTTCGCCGACGGGCCATTCTTCTGCGATGCCGGACCCGGAATCATGTCCGTCTATTCAGAACACGGTCCATTCCGGAGATGGGTACGATGGCTGCCCGAACACCCTCCGATCGATGATGATACTGCAATAGAAGAAATCATGTACGCGATCAACACATGTAAAGAGAACGATCGAGGTGACGGGCCATGGGTTGGCTTGCTGGGCTTCAGCCAGGGCGCCAAAATCGTATCGAGCTTGCTCTACGACCAGCAGATTCGCCTTGAGAAGACGGGCAAGGCGGACACGGATTACAAATTTGCGGTGGTCATGGCAGGACAGGGACCGCTGGTGTCGTTATCCGAGCACAGCCAGAGTCCGGCCATGATTACCGCTGGCGCGATGAGTCAACGGTTTGAGGGTGTCAGCCCACATATCGTCAAATTGCCTACAATCCATCTCCATGGCTTGAGCGATCCGGGCTTGCCTCTTCATCAGCAGTTCTTCCGCCAGTACCACGACTTGTCGAGCAGTTTGCTTCTAGAATGGGCCGGTGCGCATCGCGTACCGATAAAGAAGGAAGATGTGGAGCCTCTTACGGAAGCAATCTATAATGTTGCTAGAAGACAGGGAGTGGAGTTTGAAGACGAGTGAAGACGGATGATGACGAATGTTAATGATGATAGAGTCCGCATGACAAATTGATAGATGGAGCGCTAGCTTCAAGAAATGAATCATACAGCTACAGCGCCATTTCAATAGGACGTGGGTAATGATCTACAGGTCGGCATCTAAACATGAACTGCCTCGTTCATGACCTCAACACCAGTCGTGGGAGCGGCGGCGCGTCTCAGAACGTTCCACACACCATCGTATTCAGAATGGGCTGGCTCGCGCCGTCATTGCTGCTCGGAAGTTGAACATTCATATCTTACATAGGACTTTCCTGGTTCACGGAAGCTGTATACACGATTCATTAAAATGTCGGCGCAAACCTGCATCAATCAATCAATCAATCAATCAATCAACAAATCAATCAATCAATCAACAACATCGTTTCTAAGCGTGAGAAGCTGCTGCACGACCTCCTCCATCTTGCTTCGCACCGCATCATGGAACATGACATTGGTAGTGAAGACTTTGCAGCCCTTGATCTTTTTCGCCGTCTCCAACGCCAGGTCTTGATCCACGTACATGTCGTGGATATAAGATGCAGCATAGACAGGAACCTCGTTCTTCGCGAGCTGCGCTTCATCGTAGAGAGCCGGCCAGTCTTCGATCTCTGCGAGTCGCTGTCCGACCTCCTTGACCTTCTTCAGCTGGGCGTAGTCGTCCAGCATCCAAGGATAAATCATTTCGCCCGTGAAATTGACGCGGTCGCTGGCGAGCTCGAAGTCAAATTCAGGATATTCACGTCGAATGCGATCGGCAGACCAATTCGAAGCTTTGCCTTGGCAGTAAATTGATTCATGTAGGATGCAGTAGAGTATGGAATTGTCGAATGAACCCGCTGCGTCTAAAGTAGCCAATGTTGTGTCTGTGAGGAATCCAAAAATCTCGAGATCGTTGGTCGCTTCGAGCACGATGTTGTGGATACTGTCAAGGCCACCGTGCATACCGAATGAAATGCCCAGCTGCAAAAAGCGACGGCATGTCAATCGTCCTCCAGACGGGAGAACAATGTCACCGTCACCGCCTCGTTCCAGGTGTCCACTTTGAGGTATTAGCAAGAGGGCATCATATCACTGCTCAAGAGAAGGACCTACAGAATCTGCTTTACTCTTGCCACATCTTCAGGATATTTGTTGTAGTAAGCATCATTCCGATCGAGAACCTTTTTGTACAATCTTTTATAGACGTCGTCCGGCGAATTGACAAGTGGTCCAAGTCCACCGAAAAGAAAGCATTCTCGTAAAGCCTGAGGATATAGAGAAAGATACGTCAATGTGCAGAAGCCTCCAAATGATTGACCAACAGTGCTCCACTTTCGCTTCGCGTCAGGCTCGCCCTCGGTCAAGGCCTGACGGATCGCCTCAGCATCGCGAACGATGTTGTCAGCTCGGAAAAGCCGGAGATATTCGACCTGCTCACGAACGCCGCCGACCTTTTGCAAAGTGGAGGCTGAAATCGGCGTTGAGAGGCCGGTGCCTCGCTGATCGAGGTAGAGCATCTGATAACCATTGTCGAGCATTTTATGAGTCCAAGGATAGTTCTGTGGTGATCGACACGACATGCCAGGTCCGCCTTGCAGATACACCATCCAGGGTAGTTTCGTGTCCTTGGAAGGGTCGGGTACTATAGGAACCTCGTGCTTGCGGGCACTGCGTGCGAAGATCCGAATTGTACCATCTTCAGGCTTGGAATAGTCTTTTGGAACATCGAAGAAATGTTCGGTGATTGAAAGTTTGCCTGTCGACACGATATCAGCCGTCTAGTCTAATGACCATCCATCGTCTACAGTAGATGACCGCGCTGACCTGCTACCTGGTATGTCGTTTGTTTGACAATTTTGGCTGGGGCAACAGCGATGCTTGCCATTTTGCTACGCATTACGTTCATGTGTGTGATAGTATCAACTTATGCAGAATATCCTTGTTCGTCCAGCCGTCAGCGTGTTTCGAGATGTTGACCTGGTGGACGTAAGCTTTCGTCAGGGTCGAGATGGAGTTGCGTCAGGGTACAAGAACACTCAAATTTGTTTGTACTGTACAACCATTCGAATTTCATTTGTAGCACGGATCAAGGATCCCTGAAAGAGTGATCGTTTTATACGCATTCAGTCGGCAGATTCGCTCCAATGGTCAAAGATACCAAAAAGAAAAAAGAGGCCAAAAAGGCTCGGGTGGCAGCCAAGCAAGACAAAAAGGCTACCCAAAAAGAGAAGAAATCAAGTAAAAAACCCAAAGACGACGACAGCGATGCCGAAGACGCCGATCTCGACGCCATCTTGGCTGAGTATCAGAAACAACAAGAACAATTTCTGAAGGTTACCGAAACCGTGTGCGAGCCTCCCTCTGCTCGATCTTCTGCGACATTGGTCGCCTCTCCCAGCAACAGTAGCGAATTATTTCTATTTGGTGGAGAATATTACAATGGTGCTCTCGCATCCTTCTACAACGACCTCTACGTCTATAAGATCAACCAAGACTCATGGCGTAAGGTGACCAGTCCGAACACTCCGCTGCCGCGGAGTGGCCACGCTATGTGTCAAGGTGGCAATGCAGGCGGCATCTACCTGTTCGGCGGCGAATTCTCGAGTCCTAAGCAAGGAACATTCTACCACTACAATGATTTCTGGCGACTGGACCCCAGCACACGTGAGTGGACGAAGCACGAGGGCAAAAACGGTCCTCCAGCCCGCTCGGGGCACCGTATGACATTTTTCAAAAACTATATTGTATTGTTCGGGGGGTTCCAAGATACCAGCCAGCAGACCAAGTATCTTCAAGACGTCTGGCTGTATGACACACAGAAGTACACGTGGTTTCAAGCAAATCTGCCAGCGCAGACGCAGAAGCCGGAAGCTCGATCCTCGTTTTCATTTCTGCCTCATGAGCAAGGAGCCGTCATCTACGGAGGTTACTCGCGTGTCAAAGCTACTATGAGCGCCGGGAAATCGACCAAAGGCGGTCGTCCGGGCTCGCGCGTCGTGGTGAAGCCAATGGTGCACCAAGATAGCTGGCTGCTCAAAATCATCCCTCCCGCAACTGATGCCCCAGCCAACACCGCCCCGACAGTCAAATGGGAGCGGCGCAAGAAGCCCGTTAATTCGCCCAATCCCGCGCGCGCTGGTGCAACCATGGCCCACCATAAAGGGCGAGGCATCGTCTTCGGCGGCGTCCACGATGTCGAGGAGAGTGAGGAGGGCATGGACAGCGAATTTTTCAACCTGCTGAACGCATACAACATCGACCGAAATCGGTTCTTCCTCCTCACACTCCGTCGTCAACGCGCCGCAGCGAAGAAAGTCGTCACGAATGAACGAAATCGTCGTGGTCGTGGAAAAGCCGACGAAGAAGAACTCCTCCGCAATCTTGCCCTGATCGAGAAACGTCTCGGCGGCGGCAGCGGCGAGAACGAGTCCATCACTCGGGCCGATGGAGCAGACTCTGATTCCGACTCAGATGCCTCTGACAAAGCAGCCAAAATAGAAAAGCCAGTACACTGGGAGATGCCGCACCCGCGCTTCAACGCGCAGCTTGCAGTGCAGGATGACACTCTCTATATCTACGGCGGCACCTTCGAAAAGGGTGATCGCGAATACACGTTCGATGAGCTGTGGGCTTTAGATTTAGGGAAATTAGACGGCGTGCGGGAGATTTTCAAGCGCGAGTTGGAAGACTGGCAGGGCAGCGAGGATGAGGAGGACGATGAAGAAGATGAGGATGACGAGTTCGAAGACTCGGACGACTCGGACGCAGAGCAAGATCCCGACAAGGCACAAAGCACACCCGCGACTTCAGTCGCCCTCGGGGAAGAACTTGCCTCACTTGCTGCCAGCTTGGCCGACGACGAAGTCGAAGACGACGGCCCCTCGGCCTCTGAGAAAGACACAACGCCGCAACCTCGACCCTTTGAATCGCTACGGCAGTTCTTCTCGCGGACGTCGCAGGAATGGCAAGAGACCATCCTGCATAAGATGCAATACGAGCGGGACGCGGCTGCAAATCCGGCGTCGGTCAAGGAGATCCGGAAGCGGGCATTTGATTCGGCGGAGCAGAAGTGGTGGGATTGCCGCGAGGAGATCGCGGCGTTGGAGGACGCGCAGGAGGAAGCTGGCATCGGAGATGTGGTGAGTCTGGCAGAGAGGGGTGGTGGAGAAGGCGGTGGCGGCGGTGGAGGAGCGGGAAGGAGGCGATAAGGCCAGCGGACCGGGCACAGAACGCATGGCATGTAGCGCACGAAAGAAAGAAAGACAATTATTGGATCAAAAGAATACATTTCACAGCGCACGCGCACACTCAGACATACCTACCCGCACGCCTCGCCGCATGATATAAAAAGCAAAAAAATACAAATAGACAGGGAGAGAGGTCGTCAAACGAACGCGTGCCTCCCACCGCCGCCGCCTGCAACCCAGGAAAAACCCAACACGTTGACGCTGCGCAACAGACACACGACCAAACGCCTTTGCCCATTTTAACCTTCGCATTCCCGATGAAATCCCCATCACCGCCCGTCTCTTCCTCTTCTTACTGTTGCAGTCGCCCACGGCTCCCCCAATTATCAAGAACGAACCAAAATCCGCTTCGCTCCGATCAATTCCGATTGTCCCTTCTCGAAGAAGGTCCAAAGTCGGCCTCCACAGCTTGCTTCCGCTCCTTCCGCTCCTTCAGCGAGAATTCTATCAACAGTGGAAGATGGTCACTGGGAAAGAAGTGGTTAGGCCAGCCAGGCACGCGCGCCATGTATTCCTTGTCGACCTCGCCGAGCAGCCCTGTGACCTGGACTGTGTTGGTCGAGTAAAAGACCCAATCGATGACCTTGCGGAAGTCGGGCGTGTAGTTCGTGAACGGCAATTCGTTGATGTGGCTGTAAGCGGATTTGAGACTGAAAGGATGGCCCATCCCGTGTCGTGTGAAGTCACCGTATTTGTTGTCACCGAGCTCGGAGTGGGAATTCGAGAGTGATCCCTGTGTGATGAGATCGTACACTCCCGAATCACGGGTGGAGTTGAAATCTCCGCAGACGAGAAGTGGAATCTGAGTTGCCTCGTCGTATTTCATCGACGGAGCATGTGGCGGCTTGACACCATTCGCAAGGTCGACGCTGTCGTCGTTGGCGTATTTGAACAGCTCCTTGTCTTTGCACGGCGGCCATTTGGCGTATGTCTCGGAGAGCTTAGCGAGGTGCTCCATCATGATGGCCACTTGCACGATTTTGATATCACTGAACCAGGGCTCCCATGTAAGATGCGTGTTCGCAACGATCATCCGAGCTCCTGTTTGTCGGTTCTCCAAGAAGGCCACGACAGCGACGTGGTCTCTCGGCATGACACGGTTGTAAACGTCATGTTCGCCCTTCATGTCGGGTCTGCTGATTGCCTCTCGACTAAAGATGATCAACTGCTTGTCGAGCAGAATGTACTTGGTATTCTTGTAGAAGATTGCGCAACCGTCAACCACCTTTGCCTCCTTCTCCGCCATGGTTTGTGCTCGTGACTTCGGCCAAAAGACGCCCTTATAATCGAGAGGAGCAAGATTCGGTCGGAAGAATTCATTGAAGTTCTCCACATCCATTTCTTGCAGGCACATAATATCGGCATTACGACCCGTCATTTCGTCGAAAATCATGTCTCGCCGTCGTGGCCAAGATAGCGCTTCAGAAGGCGTGTAGCCGTACATCGCAGCCGTGGCAGCTCGATCGCAGAGAGTGTTCCAGCTCAGGATGGTAAAGCTGTCAGCCTCTCTTGCGTCTTCGACGATGGGAATCCAAGCGCGGTCATTCGGTGGTTCAGGTCCTATTCTTTGTTAGCAATTTGGTCAAGCAGTCAATAGTCCTATTCAACACTTACTGGGAGCTTCTTCTCGGAGAAAGCGAATCATCTCCTGAGTGCCCTGTTCCATAATCCGGTCCTTGTAGTCTGGCCGCATTGGATTGCCTTCAACACCCAGCGATTCTAATTGAAACAATGAACCGAGCTCGAATGGAAGATCGGCAAGATTGTTGTCGAACAGCGTTAGCTTTTTCAAGTTCGTCAACATGCCAATTTCCGGAGGCAAGTAGCTCAGATTGTTCATGGAGAGATCCAAAATTGTCAAGAACCGCATTTGTCCAATCAACGGGGGTATCTCAGTAAGCTTGTTCCAGTTGAGGTATAATTTCTTCAACTTGGGATATCTTCGAAATAGCTGCGGTGCAATTCCTTTCAGTCCTTGTCCTGATAGATCCATCGAATCCCAGGTTGCCATCTCGTCACCGTCGTCCACCACTCGCCGCCGGTCCGTCGGTTCATCTGCATCTCCTCGCGCATTGGCCGAAGAGGGTAAGTTCCCGGGATACCTGTTCACAGATGGCGCGATTCTTGCGTAGTAGTGTGTTTTGTGGTCTGCCAATCGCAATTTGTGGTATTCTCTGATCTGCTCTGACCAATGCTCGTTCGCAGGCTTTCCTGAGCTTTCTGGCGTTCCGTTTTGCAAATTCGCAGGAGTGAAGTGCGGTGTGCTGTTGGACAAAGTGCTGGCAGATACGGTATGTTGGTGGTTGCCATATGAGGTCGCGTGATTGTTGATGCCACCATGATCCTGATGCTGGCTGTTCACATGATGTGTCTGATGATTGTGGTTTTGACTCTGGAAGTTCTTATTCAGGTTCATCTGTGACTGAAAATTGTGGTGTTGTGTTCCTCCATTAAGCAGGCCATGATTCTGTCGGTGGCTGTTGTGACCGTACATGTTGTAGGTATTGTGTGCGGGCGAATTGGTGCCTGGAGAGCGATTGGGCGAGGAGGCGTCCGCACTTGGTTGAAACAGTCCTCGCGTATTATTGATAGGTGAGCCGTGTCGCTGGTGAAGGTTGCGGGCGTGGCCTGAGTTGTGATTCTGGTATAAATATTGGCTGCCGGTGTGGAACCGGTTGAAACCATCTGCCATCACCAGACGGCGGTACACGAGAGGAAGAGACCGATGACGGACTCACGGCTAGAGCAAGTTGTGGTCGCTGTCGTCGTAGCAATTGAGGATGAGTTTCTAGGGAGGAGGAGGTTCTGGCCGGCGCAGTCTGCGATTCCTGTACATGGGCTCCCGACCGGCTCGGCATGAACGGATGGAGTTGTCTGGGCGCACCAAGCCAGGTGATTATTGTCGAAAGGCCAGTGATAGGTCGCCGTGTGTTGTAGATGATGCCGCTGGTGGTGATAAAACGATTCGATAGACCTATGAAACGATCTCGTAATCCACTTAATGGAGACAATATACCGCTGAAGCCGGATCAATGAATGGCGCTCTACACACTCGGCGAGCTGAAGACGAAACTTGTTGAATGATGTGCTTGTGGAGACGTATCGAATGTGTTACAGAACGTCGACTTCGAGCTGTTCCATAGAGCACGTTTGCGTTCCGCGGCGATTGATGCCCTAGCCCATTCACGTGATGGGTCTGTTGTCAGCTGCGCCGATCCCCAGACTGGCCTAGGCGGGAGGACCCGTTGGGCCTCAGCCTAACGCCTCAGGCTTATCTCTACCAAATGCTTCTTGAACTGGACTGTCCCGGGGACCATAACAACACTGGATGCAGCTGGAGGTCATTCTGTGGAGCTGTTGTCCACGGGTGGCACCATCTAGACTCCCCGTAGAGCCGCGGGCGCCAATCAACAAAAGGAGGACCATGAGTGGCCTTAATCAATTTCTACAGATCTGGAATTGAGACTGGCGCAACATGCATTGCAATCACTGAATCATTCCATCTACATGGGTATCCAAAGACACTGCTGCTAGCTTGAGAGGTCGACGACGATTGTGTCTGGTGGAGCAGGATCAGGCGCGATCCGCAACGATTAGGTGGCCTGAGACACTTTAGACGCGATGCCCACATCGTTGACACGCGGAGTCATTATGGCCCAACCCAAGCAGCTGACAGTGTCAAGCAAGTAGCCACAGCGGCCTACTGTATGCTGTGTCGTCCGGTTTTGTCACTCAATCATCGTCTGACTTGCAGTCCTGCAGCGTCCGCTTGACGCGATATATATATGGCAAAGGTCACTCCTATCCGCTCCAATGATAGGAACAAGCAGTGAGACAAGACATGCTTCTGCCTGACCAAAACTGACGCACAGGCAACCTTCGTCTTTCGGCAGCTCTCAAATGGGTCAATGGCTGGGAAGGTACCGGCTATATACTGTTCCCTGCCCCAAGGTTGAGATACTCGAGCACCTAGAGCACCGTCGCCCTTCCTGAGTTCTGCTGACACATTCCGCCAAGGTCCTTGCATTTATCGAGCGTGATCCCTCGTCTGAAGACCACTCAGGATCGCTTACTGTTCAAGGTCTGCTGCGAGATGTGTCTACCCATCACAAACTACTGGTGGCTGCGACCGGCGCTCCCAGCGACAGTATTGATAGCACGTAACAATAGCCGGCACGTCTCCGTCTGGCCAACGTGTCAAGCAAGGTGTCACACGACTGCTCATCCGGGAGGCGTGTTCGGTGTGAATGCAAGGCTCAAGGCATAATCTTGTTGTTGACTTAGCAGGTCCCTTGCGTCGGATTCAAAAGCATATTTGACTCTCGAATCCAATGCCATCACCATCTGGACATGGATGTGCATATGCAATCACTCAATAAGGTTTTGAGATCATCCGGGATTGACCGAGAGTCAAGGGTCGATCAGAGGAACATTACCATCGAGAAAGCCCGGACCGAACACATGCTCGTTTATCGCGGAGCAATGTCCAGGGTACATCGAGAGCTTGGGACCAACGAGATGCAAACAACCCAGGCAGCATGGCCGCTTATCTATCTTGTACCATGACCAAGGTGCTGCGAGAACACCGTGTAGTAAATGCAGGCTTCATCATACATGTTGGGTTTCTGCACCAGTGCACCTGAAGCATATGTGTACCAGCTGTGCGAGGCTCTCGTCGCATGGCGTGATCGTAAAAGAATATACGACTCAGACCTGGCGACGCACCTGTCAATGTCAAAATAGCTCACGAATCTACTCAGCAATGGCGAAGAAGACTGCTCCAGCGTATACTTGAGGTAAGCCACAATGATCAGCCGATCGCCAGTGTCCTGGAGGCCGTGACTTTCACCGTTCTTTTCGTCCTCCCGATCCCTGCCTTTCCTTATCCTTGACTCCTGAACCACGCAAGATCCGCATGACGAGTCTTTCACCACGTCAGTGTGCAGCAAGCCGCTGCAGTGGATTGACTTGGGGAAATTGTTATTCCAGGGGTGGAAGACGAAAGTGATGATAGTGTTGCGCGCCAATGCAGCATGTAAACGGATTTTGTTTCCAGTAGTGTAATGAGAAATTCCTTCCTCTGCCTTGCATGAAGTAGCTGCAGCCTGTGGGAGAATCCTAATTTCATGATCCGATTGCTGCATGGCTAGACAATTTTTCCGTCATGCAGGTTGCGTCGACATGACCACAAATGCACGGACTGGTCGGTTCATGCGGCCGCAAGGAACTCTGATGATCAGGTTGTCTAAATACGCGCACGACATTCCAATTGACAAGGCAGGTGATTGGAAATGACAGCGAAAAGTCAGAGCACGCCGTCGTGTCGTCTTATGTATGAGTTCGTCATCGCGGTCCCACTTGGAAAGGCAATGATAGCCTGATCCTTAACGCTGCATGAGTTCAGATCGCTGGCGTGATGGATGAAACAACCCATTTGCTGGTTACCGTGCGCGCCTGCATGCGATATATGCAGGCGCGCAAGGAATAGATTGTCTACCTCGGAACTTCACCTTGGCCTGCAGACGACCAACAACGTCTGCTGTTAGCATTTGGTGCTCTCATCGAAGGAGACATCTAACGGTGTCGGATGACATTCACACCGTTACAAAGGCTCCTCATCGTCATTGTCATCAACACCACTCCCGGTAGATGAGAGCTAACCAATGCAGTGTATACAAATGCACACATTGAACGAGTTCCGCCTGACCGCGCGGGCGAGTCGCAGCCAGCCAACCAACCAGCCGAACCCCAACCCCCTCAATCCCAATTGAGAAGTTCCCTCCTTCCACATTCTGTTGACTGTGGCCCCAGCAAATTTCCAATGGTGATTCGGCGGCAGGTGGCATACAGGGCGAGTCCAATCACGTCCGAAGTTGTTGTTCCTGCGTCACAATACGCGCGCGTGACAGCTGCAGGTTCGGGTGTAATGGTTGGGTACTCTGGGAACGTACGGACGGTATGTACAGGAAGACGCATGTAACATATGTCGTGATAAGTACGCCTCGTCGCAGTAGAGGCGCGCAAGCACATGCCAATGAGGACTGAGTGGAAAGCCTCTTTCGCTTCGCGTCGAATCGCGCGATCGAGGATTGAGGAATGTGGAGTGATCGGGGCATTTCTTTCGTCTTCAGACCATTGATCCCATTGATCCCATTGCACATTACCTACACTTCCCTTCCGCCTTCCCCAGGACCGGCACGGTGGGAGACACAAACAGCGCACACGTTGAATGACCACAGAGTGATCTGTCTGCCGCCCCTCTCCAACATCCATGTGCCCTGCTTTCCTCTCCCCTGGTCCGGACACACAGACTGGCATGTGAATATCCTCACGCACGACGAGAGACAAAGACCACTGGCGAGAGAAGGATCTCGCGGGCCCACAGTCCTTTTGCTTCTGCTTTCATCCCATGGTGGGTAGAGTTGGATCCGGCGCCGCAGCGTTGACTCTTAGCGCTTCGACAGCCACGTGCTCAGGGATTGATCATTCTAATCACTGTTCGCTCCCCAGACAGAAAGAGCGACAAAGACAGAGGCGAAGAGAGAGAAAGTGTGCACCGACCCACAGACACACCCATCCAGTACGTTATTATTACATATTCCACTATAGCCATCGGCGGTAAGGATTGGGGATCGAAAGGACCGAGCGCGCGCGCGATTCGAACTTGTTAAGTCATGGCGGATGGCTTTGGCTATGCCTCTCGCAGTGCAAGGAGTTCCGCGCAGGAGGCTCATATACAAGCTCGCCTGGCCCAGGTCGCTGCGCAACGTCGACGACAGAAGCAATCCGTGTCCTCGTCGTCCGAGTCCAGCATCAGCGTCTTATCGTCGCCGATTAAAGGCCAACAACAACCTCCGCAGCCTAATCACCACCAGCAATTAATCACCCAGCTCCGCACGGGCACCGGCTACTCGTGCGAGAGTAGCACCAGCACCACCAGCGATTGGGCATCCCGCTTTCGGGACTCGATATCATCTGCTTCTGACACTCATCGCCGGGATGAGTTTTGGAAACGTCGCGATAGCTCCCACACAACCACTGATATGGATTCACTACGCGCGCCGATGGCTTCCAGCTCGAATTCATTACATTCCGAATATCACCACGAGTCGTTACTGAGGGATCCCTACGAGATCCACAATGGCCGTCGCTATCTGCGCGAAGTGCCCTACCCGCTGCCCTGCGATCTCCCCGAGATGCAACGACAGAACCTGCGCACGCTCCTGGGATGTAAGATCTTCGGCCGCGCCGTCTGCTCACCAAATTTCGGTCGCGAAGCCCCGGCCAGAATATTAGAGGTCGGCTGCGGCACGGGATACTGGTCGGCCATGTGCCATGACTATCTCTCCCGCTCGCAGGGTGCGAGGAACGTCGCGTTCACCGGGCTCGACATCGCGCCCGTAGCGCCGGACCTCAACCGCTCGGGAATGAAATGGAAATTCGTTCAACACGACCTTCGACGGGTCCCGCTGCCGTTCGACGATGGCGAATTCGACCTCGTCATGATCAAGGATATCAGCATGACTTTGTCCTTTGGCCAACCATATCAACAATTTATCAGCGAGTGCGTACGGATTCTTCGCTATGGCGGTAGCATAGAAGTCTGGGAATCAGATCACATCATCCGCTCACTATTACCACACCCTCCACCCGCTCCGAACCGAAACCCCCAAGAACGCGACCTTGCGGAAAAGACCGCAACATATTGCCTTACCCATAGTACGCCCTTCGCGCCCGCCCAAAATCGCTATATTCGGCAAGCCAATGCTTGGATGGCGATAGCCTTGGACCGCCGGAAACTCACTCCCACACCATGCGCGGGCATCATGCAAATGCTCAGCCAAGAACCTACCCTCAGCGCCATCGGCTGTCGCCGCATCGCTGTCCCACTGAACGAATTAAGCTGGGAGCGCGGCATGTCGCGCACCAACAGCCTCGAGCCACACGACTCGCCCATGTCCACCGAATCTCGCATGAAGGGCCGACTCGCAAACCAGCAGCTCACCGAAGAGCAATGTGCTCTGCGACAGACAGCGCTGGTGACCGTCATCCAGATGATCGAAAGCCTGGAGTTGGTCCTCCGCGATGCGAGTGGATATGGCTCCGAAGAATGGAGTCATTGGTGGACTGCCATGATGGCTAGCTTGGCGGATCCAAATTCATGCTCGCTGAACGGTGAGTCGCTTGAGCTTGGTGCGTGGTGGGCGACGAAACAGTACTCCGAGTATTGAGCGCAGCGTACGATATTTCGAGGATGGCCCATCCCAATGCCTCTCGCGCATCAGATTTCGTCGAAACACCATCTATGACGGCACGTCGTATCGTTGCCTCAGCGCTCGATATCGCTTGAGATAATACCTATTACGGCCAAACATTTGCTTCGAATTAGGGAGGGATGCTTGCTTTCTTTGACGTTTTCTCTGCGGCCCAGAAGATACCACACGATTTTTTTTTCGCAACACGTTTTGTCACCCGATCTTTTCTCACAGCTTCCTTTTCGATGGAATGTCTTACGAGATCAACAACTTACAATGCTTCGATTTCTGATGATGAGAATAATGTCAGTTCATGTGCCGCGAAGGTTGTTTCTTTTCTTTCTCCTCTGGACCTTTTCTTTTGTCCCTTTGTCCTGCTGCAACATCACGATCGCGATGGTCTGAACACAGTTATGTATTTATAGACGCTCTGAGCAAAGAACGAACACGATTCACATCATCACGTACCTTTCTTAACAAACTCCGCCTGCTGAATGCCCTTGCGGATCTGAGCTTCATCTTCGAGGCCTGCTTTGGCCGCGAAGGCTTTGTGTAGACGAGGCCGGAAATAGTCATATCCCAATGGATACTCGCGGCCGAGATAGAGTAATTCTGAATCGCGTGAGCGAATCGTCATGATGTCATGCTTTGTGAGGAAAACGCGTTGAGATAAAGGCGCAAGGCTCGGATCACACCAGCGCGGGAACACAGGTCGCAGTGGGAGGAAATTCCTCACCTTTGTAGATGCGAATCACGTCGAGACGGAGGGGCGAAGTTGAAGCCATTGTGTAGTAATGTCGAATGGGATGATGGGAGAAGATGATTGGAAACGTGAGCAAGTATTCTCACATTCACGAACAATTATGAGCGCGAGTGTTGCCTGACGCGGGCGAAATCTGCACGGCTTTCGCCCCACACCATACGAGCGGGCAGAGCCGTGTCGTGTCTTGAGTGCGGCCAATGCTGTCAGTCTAACCGATGAGCTCGCCATTGATCATAAGCCTGAGCACGTGTCGAAACGCCATTTGGCTCACGATGTTCAGCAAGTGCTGAGGATATCTTGACTTGCGAGTATGCTATGGCTAGTAGAGCCAGCTCTCTCTCGGCCCGCTATGTTTCTCAAGAGTGCTCCCATTTTCGGGAAACCAATGGTCTCGCCGATCATCACAAGATCTGACAGCATCCAGCGAACAGCCCTGTGTGCATTTCTTAGCACAGCAACACCATCATCCCAGAAACAAGGAAAGCAGAAACCCCCATCCACCGCATCGTTGAGTCCACGATGGCTTTCCGACGTCAAGCAACGCATCGGTCATTGCCTGATGTGGGGTCTTCAGCCTGCACAAATCGATGAGGCTGGTCAGATCCTGCATGAAATCGCCCAAGATTGGCGGGAATTGGTCGCTGGAAGCGAAGGTTTCCTTACGGATCGCACGCGTCGAGGCTTGTTCCGCCAGGAAGTTGTTTGGGGTGAGATGGATTCTATGGTGAGTGTCATTGCTGCATCCTCGGTCCTTTGCATGGCAGGATGTGTAATGGCGAGGGATTTGGACTGATCGATAGATGTCTCGGAAATTTGCAGGCACATGTCAATAATTGCACGATAAATCGCTATGCGGAATCCAGCAGAGTCAATTGGGCGAAGAATTATGGTCGATTCATCGATCCCGCGAACAAGGTCGCATGGGAAAACCTCGTCACGCCGCGTGGGTATGGTCTCATTCTCAAAAAGATCACGACTGAATTTAAATTTGTGAGTGCATCATATCATTTCGCGAACTCTGGGAATCCCTCCGAAGAAGGTATCGCGATTCTGACCATCATCGTTCCAGCCCATGACTTACCCCGACCACGTATCCGTCTACCACCGTCTCGGCGCCGAGCCCACCGCCGGCAGCGACACCTTCATCTTCCATGCCATAATCCTCTCCGAGCTACATCAACGACCTGCGGCGCGCTGCGTTGAGGAGAACGTGCTCTACGACTACCGATTGGCTCGCAAGACGCCTTTGCAACCTTTCATGCTGGACGTGCTCCGCGAGACCTGGAAATTGCAGGAGGCGGCTAAGCTAGAATTCTCGGAGCGTGTCAATCAGTTACTGGCTCGCGTACGAAGGTTGGAGAAGGATTCCTGGGACCGCCCGGATGCTGCGGAGTCCTTTGGCCCCTCTTAAGCGGAATAATCATAATCCGCTCGGCCCGAGATCATACAGATCAGAATCATCACGACACGATGCTAGTCTTTATTCCCGTGGGATCTGGGCATGTCATCGACACACGAAAGCCCTGTCGCTTACACAAACAGCGCTACTTCAGCGACCGATGTCGCCAATTCAATAGCATCTCTAGCCATGTGTCACCATTACGAAGGGCGGTGCTCCCGCATGCCACGTACGCGAGACGCCGGCTGCTGGGAGGGATACACAAGGTTCCACAAGAAATTCGCCTTGCAGCGGTGGAAACGGCGAATGCATCATGAAAGGTCGATACTTGGAAAGCAACCATCATGCCTAACGCTCCCCTTGCAGAGAAGCAGTATCGGAAGCTGGGTCGGTCAACGCCCACGTTATTGCACGGCCGCTGGCCCGCCGGTCCGCGTGAGACGGGCGTCGGATTCTTCGGTAGCAATATGATACTTGCTGGGGTATGTCAACCGAGAGTTCGAAGCTCTAGGAATATCGATGAGTCTAGAGGGATGGATGATAATGACATTCCATCATCCAGCGGAGTTTCTTGCTTCAATGTAGCATATCGCGAAAACCAACAGGCTGTATAAAAACGGGACAAAGAAGAACGACTGTCGCTGCATGTTTAGGGTGGATGTAGTAGAATAACTAAAATGTCATGAAGGAGCCCTGGATATCCGCAGTATACAGTCCTAATTGCTCACGTCGCGATACAGAGAAGTGGTGCTCATCTGGGCGTGCACAACAAGACGAAAGCTGATCTCGCAATCTTCAGCCAAGCAAAACTTTTAGCAAGGGTGCACCCACTCGCCCACGCTGGTCGGCGATCAATTGCCTCTTTCCACCCTCTCACTCTTTGTTGTATAACTTCTGCCCCGCTCCGCTCGTCGCCTGCCCGCCCGCATTGTCAGCAAAAAAGCAGATCTTTTGCTTTTAGCGCGTGGCCAGGTGCGCAACGACGACGAGCTCTCTCTGCCCGCGCTGGCCCTCTGATTTCTCCGCCTTGTTTGAGCGAGTCACACAAAGTCAAGGGCTGTATTATTACCTAGCACTTGCCTAGGTATGTATAGAGTTTTTCTTTCTCGCTGGCGTCGGGGCGACCATTACTAGTGCCGGCTACGTTATACATCGTGAGGTCATGACGAAGAAGACTGAGTAGCGCCAGGGTGAGGTTCTCTCTAGGTATGTCAATGGTGAGACCGGGTTGACTATGCTTTGATTGATAGTCTCTGGTACTGGACTGTAATATGCATGTCTATCGAAGTGCGTCCTCGTAATGTGATGGGCGGTGGGAGGTAGGGCGGCGGAGCGGAGCGGAGGGCCGGATTTGATGATAATGTAACCCAGACCATCCTGAAATCTCGTCGCTGCGTGAGAGGAACTGTATACATATGTGTCCCGCAATTGAAGCCTCGTCCGGCACTGTCTCCACATGAAGCCAAGACGTAAGGATTTGCAGTGCGTGGGAGATCATCTGTACATGCAGCACACCCTCGAAGGCTCCTCGACGCGCCTGTTTCAAATTTCCTGTGCACAACTAGACTTTTTTTCCGCATTCTGACCGCCAGCCTCTCATCACTGTCGGCAGTAGTGGATACGTGGAGCATTGCCGCATGTCGCACCGATTAGCCCCATGAGTCATCAATGCTGGAAAACCTTGCAGGCCGATCTGTGATAACCAGAATGAGAGCGTGTGGGACGTGGACCATGCGTGCGGGAATGATCGCGTGGTGACAACTTTGGAATGTTCCTCTCTGCCCCAGATTTCCTCACCTGCACCTCCAGGGCTGCACTGACTGTTTTCCTACCCGTTGATCCGCCCGCCGCCCCGCCCCGTTGTTTGCTGCTGTCTATCGTTTGCAGTTTGCGGTACTGGACACGCACCACCACGCATTGTCTTATCCTTCTTCATTCTTCCAAGGCTGTTCTCTGGCTACGCAGTACAGTGCAGTGCAGGCTGGGCCTGAATGTATGGGTACAGTACGTTCTGCAGGTACTGCCGGCCTTTTTCATCCGTATATTGCCACCAGTACTGCGAGTAACAACGATAATGATGATGCATAGCACAATACGGCAACGAATGCCATAATCGGCAGGTTGCAGGCAGGCACGTTCACCATCGGCACTGGTGATCGGGTTGTCAAACCGTCCAGACTGCCCAGGCGTCTCGCGCTATCATCACAGGAAGGACCTGTCGAGCCAGCCAGACTGCCGCGCGATGGTCGTGCTGCGGTAGAATATAGGATGGGAGTAATCTTTATATTTAGTAATGTCATACACCTGGGCACTTTCCCTGTCCACAACTGGATTGGAATGGATTGGTTTGGATTGAACTGGACTAAAACAATCAACTGCTTCACCGGGCGGCGTTGCAACCAGCACTACTCCATACTACATCCTGTACTCCACATACTTCCACTACAAACTGCTGGACTTGGTCACAGAATTCTTCCATCACTTTAATGAGTATCCCCACTCTCAGTCATTCTTCTTAACCTCGACATCGCTATTTTTTCCAACATCTAATCGCTTCGCCCTGCACCTTCGTGTCTCCCTATCTGGCTCGCCGTCGACTTTGACGGGCCAGAAGGGACACAGTTGCTGGTGCGCCGAACTGATTACAACCCGGCGGGGACTTTGATGCCTCCCAAGGCTAAATCGAAAAATACTCCAAACCAGCACGACAAACGTCACGAGAACGGACTCGCGCCTCCTGGCAAGCGAGTCACGAAACAGCGCTCGACCGGCCAGCTCAATGGACTTGGCAATGGCAAACCCACGTCCACCATTACGCCGCCGGCGCTGCCTTCGACGGGCCTAAATTCAGGCTTTCGGTTTTCACTACCAGCAGACAGCAACCGATCATCAATTGCAAATTCTACGACTACCACGACCGCTTCGACGTCCTCATCTTCCACGGCCATTCCCATCGCGGCGAGGAACAATTCCATCGTCGATGTCGCCAGAAAACCCGCGGTATCACTGGAAGGACAGGCATTAAGAGAGAGGACGTCTTCAGATGTGACGGTGGAGGAGATGGATGTTTATGGAGAATTGGGAAGGGACAGCCTGTACGAGCACTCGGCTTTGCTCGCAGGTGATTCGGCTGCATACCGGAGAAATTCAATATATGCGGCAGGATCTCTCTCGACCTTTTCCACCATTCTGGCATCCTATCCTCTCCGAGACGCCATCTGCATCCTCATCTTCCTGCTGTGCCTTCCACCTTCTCTGGTCGTGGTCGTCCAATGCCTCTTTGCTTCGCTCAACTTCGTCCCGCCTACCGCTGGGCTCTCGCTGTCCACTCTGTCCAACATCAAAGAGATCTTCAATTCTTCCAATGTCGGTTACCCTGCCGTGGCGACATTGCTTTTTGTCGATCTAGTCTTCTGGGTCCTCTGGCTGCCGCTATGGAAGCCCATCCAGGGCATCATCCTGGATTTGTCCCAGGCAGTCATCGCAATCTCTTTGAGTGGTCCAGCGGCCAGCAATGTCGGGCCGACGTATAGCATTGCAACATGTGCAATCGCTGTCTGCATGGTCCATGTGCTTCGTTATCGGGCAATACACCTAACTGCCCTTGATTACCTCCGCTCCGTCATCCACAAAGTGGGCATCAATTCTCAATTTGATATGCCTTTTTTCGCGACGTCTTTCTATTCTTCTTCGGCCATCGAACGGGGATGGCCTTTTACAATCGTTCGAACTATACTCGGAATACATATATTCGCGCAGGGCATCACTACCTGCATCCGTCACACCCTCGTCAAAGCTAATGAAAAGGATGCCGACCTGACGTTACCTAAGGTCGATCCTGAGCAAACGTCTGCTGCAGATACAACATCGTCCAGGCTGAACCTAGCCGCGACAGACATGGTACAGCAGCCGCATACAGCCCCGAGCACTGATGGCCGTCCACCAGGACCCTCGCCCGCTTTGCGAGGGTCATTTCGCGACTCAAATCACAAAAAGAAGCGAAAACAGGCCAACCAGGTTCGGAATCAACAGCCGCTCTGGGCCGCTATTGCTAGTACTAAAGTCACTTTCGTTAAAGAAATGGAACAGCGAGACGTTGCTGATGATGCACGTGAAGCCGCTGTGACGGACAACACTACAACCTCTACACTTGCAAACACTACTAACCACACCACCACCTCTCCTCTCACAAACACTCCCAACGCCATCGACCGGATCTGGATATATGAAGTTCGCGATACTGAAATCCATTTCGGTGTCGACCTCTCTGTGCCTTCTGCAACCGCGACGAGCGAAGGACAGTGCAAAGCAGACACCTTACCTTCGACGATCGATCGTCTCAAGCCGTTCTTCATCCGTGTGAACGGCGCCACCTGGAGCTCAACGCGAATTCACGCCATGCCAGCCAGTGAATCAGCCAGCCTTCAGGCGCCCCATCACTTCATTGGCGAGATCTTTGGGCTCGCACCTCTCAGCAGCTACCGCTGCGAGGTTGTAAGCATTGCCAGGATGACGCCATTGTGTTCTGCCAGCTTGATCACTCGGGCTGCGCCCACAGCTGAGCAAGTAAACGCCGCTCCTCCTCCGCCACAGCATCCGACCCTTCGGCCTTCTTCGCCGAAGACAACGCTCAAACAGTCAATCCAATCTGCTGAAACCAAGCTCAGCGACGCTCGGAATCGGGCCAGAAAAGCCAAAAAGGACCAGCGAGCAGCGCACGCCCATGTCAAGAACGAGATCAGCAAGTTCAGATCCGCGCTGGATAATTCGTCTGCCAATGATGAGAAACACGAGCGCCGACTTTTGCAGATCTCTCAGCACAAGAAACAAGCCGAGGAAGCAACCGCCGAACTGAAGACGCAAATCGACAGCTTCGGCGAGACTCCCGCGGCAGAGCAAGCAAAATATACGGCGAAGAAAGGAGTTTACAATCTTGCTCTACAGGCGAAGAAAGCTGCGACCCAGGATCTTGACAGTACGAAAGCTGGCTTGGAGAAGGATCTCAACTCGGTCAAATCGGAAATCTCTTCGGCCGAGGAGAGAAGTGAGAAGCTCAAGGCAAAGATCACCCAACGCGCTCAAGAAGTGGAGAATATGCAAATCAAACAGCAAGCCGATCTCGCAGCTCAACAGAAACGGGACACGGACCGCGGTCACATGTATCTTGGGCGCCAGAACAAGGAGCAAGAGATCCGCTATATGATCTCTAGTCTGGAACATGAGATGCAGACTCACTCGCGTAAGGCGCAAGAAGTCTGGCACGAGATCTCCGCTCTCCAGCACTGGCCCGGCCAAGCGCATCCTAGCTACCCCAGCGGCAACAATTTCGCTTCGCCCTCGCCTCCAGACAGTCTCAGTTCCAACGGCGCAATGAACGGCAACAATGTTCTTCCTTCCTCCTCTCACAACTCCAACGGCTTCTCCTCCAACGGTACCTATCCTCATCAAGCCTTCCAGCCTTCTCTCCTCTCCGCCGCCCCACTCTCCACATCTTCCTTCGCCCCCCGCGGCAGGAGCTCCTCCATGCTCAGCCAGTACTCCGGCTTCACCGACAATGGCGACGACACGGCCATCCCTCCCGAGCACCAACAACAGCCCCGTCACCCCAATACCTGGCCTTATCCAACTCCCGACAACATCAATCGCAAGGCCAGCGACGGCGAAGCTTCCTCGGAGAATACCTCGGGCGGAGGCAGTCTGACGAACGGTAGCACCAATGGCTCTAACAGTCCTCGTCCGGACGCGAAGCCTTTCATCCCGGCAACGGTGGTTGGTAGGAAATTGGAGAGTCCTGGCACGATTGGATCAGGGAGATAGAGCGATTTTCGTGGAATCCGGTACTGACTGGCTGCCTGTGTGTGTCAGGTGAGGCAAAAGTGGTAGGTGTTTATTGGTACATTCTTTGCAAGACATAGTGCGGCAATTCAACGTATGTGTGTGTTCTGGTTTACTTCTACTCCTTTGCTCTCCGTCTGTGCGCGTCTACATTCCCTGCTTGCTTACACCAACTTTCGTATTGTTCCGTGATGCCGAACGGTCCATTTGATGCTTGGACGCCAAATGCGGTGTCCCGAAACGGTCTAGCGGGCGCGGGCAAGCCTCCGCCAACACGTCGAGAAGACTTCCACATAAACTGATTGAGATATATATCGTATAGGTCGATCTGCAACTGTTAGTGTTTTGGCATCCACGATTAAACTCACGTGGCTCAGTGGCTACAGTCCTCCACTCAACAGATTATGGAGAGTTCCCTTGTTCGAATCAAGGCGTGAGTAACTACAACGCTTGCTTTTTGGTGTTGGAGCATACCAAAGTTGTAGTGATCTCTACCTTGGTACCTAGGTACTGTTTGTTACGTGCAGGCTTTGCGCCTGGAGCTGGAATCTCGAGCCGTTTTCATATGGCTCTTAATCGAAGGAAAGTGTTTCTTCTTCTATAGGTCCCAATGTGCATCGTTCACCGGCCCAGTAGCTACAGCCTTTCTTTTGCTCTAAATGAAAGCATCGAGGCCATGTTCGAAGCAAGTGTTGGCAAGTCAGTCTCCGATGGCTACTGGGGTTTTTGGAAGATGTAGCAGTTTTGTGCCCTTCCTCGGCTGTACTGAAGCTGGGGAAAGAATGGGTCGGCTGTGGGATTGCACAGCTTCACAACTTTCGACGGACAGCATACCACTTGTTTGTACTATGGCAACTGCTATTACAAGTGCTTCGAGGCCACGAACTACGGCGAGCAGATCATATAATGTTCAGGAAGGTGTTGGTCCATATTGTAAGTGTGACAAGCAGCACATTGGCGGTGTCCCAAAACGGTAAAGACGTCAGGTTGAGGCATCATATATTGGTTTTATCTGATTTGTTCACCATCGAGGATCCTGGGAACCTTACAACATCGCTCACGTGGCTCAGCGGCTACAGCCTTCCACTTAAAGACTTTGGAATGATCCCTTGTTCGAATCAAGGCGTGAGCAAGAAGCCTGCGTGAAGCAGCCAAGCTTTTTGCTTATCTGCATGACCATCTCAGAAGTCCTGTGGACATCGACGGGCGACGATGATGCTTGCTGGTCATCGATTGTTTGATCTTCAACACTGCTACTGAGTGCACAGATCTGCACTACCAATCAGGAATCAGATCGTTGACCTTCTTTGAGTTTCCTCGTAGGATCGCTCTTGCCCCTTCGGCGCCAACCACAGGGAGTTTCGGCATGCCTTTCTTCTTCATGTGGCCGGGAATAAGCTTGGTATCTATCAGTCCCGCTTGAACCAATACACTGGCTTGGTCCCAGTAGATGTGCTCACTCTCCATCTTTGAGCCGCGAACATGGAAGATTGACACTATCACAACTTCGATCTGCAGATTTGTCGGTGGGACGCCGGGGAGTAGCCATGGGACCGCCTCGGAGTGCTTGAAGGATAGGAATAGCTCATCGACTACTCGATCTGTACCGGTGGTCCGGCTCAGAAGTCGGATGTTGCCATTTGATTTGACGGGGAGAGGCGTAAAGAAGTTGGTGTTAAAATCGTCAATGTCATCGGTGCCGATCCCGCCCGTCAATGTTGGACCAAAGATGACTTGTGCGCCTTCATGAACGTTGTCCATTGCCTTTTCGGCCTTTCCCGATTTCACGAGCTGTGTCTGGCGATCTCGAACCGCCTCGATTTTATTTTCGATGCGGAAGTCCTTTCGGACAGTCGAAATGCTACGAGTAAATGCTACGCCATCGGCGACAGCATCGTATTCATCAAGATTATGCTCAGCAAAACCGGGTTCCACGCCCGAGTACGTGTATGCTTCGTATGCGAGCTCCAAGGTCTGGCCGTGGCCAGCTCCTGGATCAATACGTTTGCGGACACTCTTGCGCTTGCCTTGAATTCCGAGCACCTCGGAGGTCTTTCGAACATCGACTTCGCCGCCTGCGAGATGGACCAATATTTGCACGCTATTCGGGAACTTAGTTCCGATGGCTGGAATTGCACTGGGATAATACGCCACAATTGCCACAAGGCGAGGATTGTTCGGCTTGGTGTGGGCCTCCAGGATCAACGATGCCGCATCGCCAAATGCTATTGCCACAGTATAAGTCATTGCATGACCTGAAGCCGGTGTTCAGATGCAAGGGCGGAGTATTACAGTACCCACGATGGCATACTGCTCCGACACGCCAAAGTTGTCGCCGACAGTGTGGACCCGTCGAATGAAGTCGTTTCCTCCTTTCAACAAGGGAACATATTGCACATCGAAGCCTTCGCTGGTCCATTGCTTGATCGTTTCGTCGTCGAAGTCCTCGGATTCCGCGGTGAGGACGATATGTGCGACTTTGGACTTATTCAGGACATTGGAGAAATTCCTTTCTTGACTGTTGAACCATGGTGTATCAAATGCTGCCATTTTGTGTCGGGTGCATAGTGGTTGTGAGGTTGATGCTTACCACGCATCTGAGGTCGAAGGTTATCGTGATCGGTACTTGTGTTCAAGTAACACAAGTAACCAGCACATACCCGATGTACGTAGTGCGGAACAACGCCGGCTTCGAGCGAGCCGGTCACGATGCGCAACATTTCGAGAAGTACTGAAGCGAAAGTGTTGCAGGATCCCAGCTGCTGGTGAAGCTGAGGCTGCGAAAGTGCCGCTGCTCGATGCCGTCATTGGGCGCGTCTTCCAAAATTTGATCGCGTCACCTTCGTGAATTCAATTCAGCTTCTCCACAGCAGTGTCCCATCAACCATCAACAGTATCTCAGCAAAGCTCTCTTTCTGTCGGCTGCTCCGGACCGATACTTAGTTGTGAAGATAGCCATGTGAACTTCATGCAAGATCGCATCGTCGAACTCCCGAGTGGTGACAGTTCATCATGCCTCTCGGATTTGAGCGCTTGAACGAGCGGCAACAGCGCCCTAATGCGAACATCAACTTCATCAAGCCGCTGGAGACGGCAGACAAGGCGATTGCCGAGGATTTCTTGCAGCGAATCGCGGCGCAATGTTATCCTGTCATGAAGAAGAACCACATTTCAGTAATGTCATTGGAGGAGTATCCGCCCAACCCCGAATTCCTCGGTCGCAATTTCAACGCCGGCGAGGTCATTCAGCTCGTACTAAAGAACAAACAAGGTCAGTGGCTTAGCATGAAGTTCGTCCAAATGGTCATGATGCATGAGTTGGCGCACTGCAAGCAAATGAATCATAGTCGCTATTTCTGGAATGTCCGCAACGAATATGCAAAAGAGATGGAAGAGCTTTGGCGGCAGAAATACGTTGGCGAAGGCATGTGGGGGCGTGGCAGAGGGCTTAACAGCGGTCTATTCATTCATGATCGTGCCCCGGATAACTCTGAGATCCCAGAGCACTTATGTGGCGGATCATATCGACGGCGTGGTCACAAGCGAAAGCGAGGCGCAGCCGTCGGAAGCGAGACTCAAGAGAAGTTGACGTATGCGGAACGGCAGCAACGGCGCATTGCTCGGAAGTTCGGAAAGCATGGAGAAGGATCTTCGCTGGGTGATGATGAGCTGCTGCGTGGTGCACTGGAAACAATGAACGGTGGAAAGCGCAGTGCCGGCAAGCCTCGAGTTGCAAACAGTAAGCGAGGGAGAGAGCTTCGAGCGAATGCCGCTCTGGCGCGATTCGAACAGAACAAAATCAAGAAAGAGGAGCTGTGTGATGGGAGCGAGACGGAGTCCGACTGGGAGGATAATGATCAACCCAGAATATATGCCGAAGATGGCGTGCGAATCAAGGACGAACACGGCCATGATCTGATAAAGGTTTGTGGCGAAGGGGGTGAGGATGAGGAGGACAGTGCGAAGGATGAGATGAATGAGTTGCGTCAGTTGGGATGCGTACGAGGTCAGAAACCCAGCGCCGACAGCACGATCAAGACTGAAGAAATCGATGGTTCTGAGACCGAATCTGAAGCGGGTGACTCGAACACGAGTATGGACACAGATCATGCCCGCCTAAAAATTCGCGAAGACCAGAAATCGGTCGTAGAGCCAAGATCTGAAACCGAGAGCGAAGTCGAAGACATACCAGAGAAAATTACACGAAATACGCCAGCCGCAGTCAATGGCAGTCCTTACTCTACGCTCAACGCACATCTGCAGGCCAACGACAGCATTACAACTCGCCGAACTGGAGCTTCCCCCGTTGTTGAGCCGAACATGCCTGATCAGCCTGCAACAAGCATGGCGACAACTACAGCACTATCGTCGGTATCGCTTATCTGTCCAATCTGCTCTCTGGAAAACAATGAGGCGTCCCCAACCTGCATCGCTTGCTCACATGTACTCCTGCCACATCTTATACCAAATCATTGGCGATGTCAAAGTGAGACCTGCAAGATGTCAGAATATATCAATGCTGGCGACGTCGGTCGATGTAACCTCTGCGGAGCACAGAAGCCCAAGGCTATAAGCTCGGCTCCTGCTGCGACTGGCCGAGATTTTGGCATCACGAGAGCTGATATCTTGAGATGGGATTAAATATGAGCTCATGCGAGTAACGATAATGACTGTATGAGCACAATGATTTTGTTTTCAGGATCGGGCTGAATCCCTCGACGTGATAATTTGCTTGCTTGATTCCAGGTGTCCATAATTTTTATCACAACCACCGACATGGCTCGATCCCTTTCCAGTCCCAGCAGGCTGGTATTTCTGACACCATAATATGGCTGCGTGCCGCTGCGAGTAGGACCGTTCCGTCTGTTCAGCCATTAGATCCCGAGTCAAGCCGTCGTCCCGTCTCCAATAACCGAATTTACGGGGCTGATTTCCGATCGTGAATCGGCTCGGCTGCAGCCGAACCTTGAAATTGGTGGAGCGCGAGCACAGACGGCGGTTTTCGTGGCCGCGCTCCATGAATTCAAGTAAAGATTTATCACACCTTTCTCCCTCTGGACGTTACACATGCAAATGCATTTCGAACGATACGAATGAGGGGAATAGTGCTTGACTGTTCAGTTCGTACTAATTTCTTTTGCGCTGCAGTCGGGATGTTTGCTTCTGTTCCCAAATTTCTTTCACGACCAAAATTTTCTCCTCGATTATAGCGAATCGCAAATCGACACTGCAGGCACGATAAATCACACCCGCTCAGGCTACAAAGCATCAAGCCTTTTCAATATGAGCAAGAGTGAGCCGTCTGCAGCCAATCATGGCATCAAACGCAAGCGACCAAGATCCGATGGACCAAACTCATCACCGCTTGCGGCCAAGAAGCAGAAATTATTGCAATCGCGGCAAAAGCTTCCCATATTCAGCCGCGCGCGGGATATACGTTCATTGATGAGCAAGCACAATGTCCTCGTTCTCTCAGGTGAAACGGGTTCTGGAAAGTCAACTCAAGTCCCGCAATTTCTACTCGAATCCAGATGGTGTACGGGCAAAATTGCCATCACGCAACCGAGACGAGTTGCCGCAATCAATCTGGCCAGACGTGTAGCAGAGGAAATGGGAAGTCCCCTCGGATCAGCAAGTCCAGCTAGTAAAGTCGGGTACAGTGTCCGGTTCGACGACAATACTAGCCCATCCACTCGGATCAAATACCTCACCGAGGGTATGCTTTTACAAGAGCTTCTTCGCGATGCAAAGCTGAGTCAATATAGCTGCATCATAATAGATGAAGTTCACGAACGAAGTGTCAATGTCGACCTCCTGCTAGGTTTCTTGAAGGCTTTAGTATATGGCCAACGGAAGGACTCGCTGCGGATTGTAGTCATGAGTGCAACAGCGGATGTGCAGGGTATTTCCGAATTCTTTGCGACCCCACCGGGCCCTGCAAAAGACCCTACAGATGGCACTGTTGCAGTTGCAGTACAGCCGTCGGACATGGTCGGAATATGTCACGTGGAGGGGCGACAATTCACAGTCAAGACGCACTATCTCGACAAGCCAGCAGAGCCACTGAGCGATGCGGCGATGTCTCGAATCTTTCATATTCACATCAAAGAAGCATTACCTGGAGATATTCTTGTGTTCATGACCGGGCAAGAATCGATTCAAGGACTACAAAAAATGGTGGAAGACACCGCAGAGAGACTCCCGAATGACGTTCCAAAGATGCTAGTCCTACCGCTCTATGCCGCTCTGCCACAAGAGGCACAACAGCGCGTCTTCAATCCGGCGCCGCGATTCACGCGCAAAGTGATCCTGGCTACCAACATTGCGGAAACATCCGTCACAGTACCCGGCGTGCGATTTGTCATCGACGGCGGAAAATCGAAAGTCAAGAGATTTCACAATACCCTAGGCTTCGAGTCTCTCGTAGGAAAAGCCATTTCAAAGTCGTCTGCTGATCAGCGCAAAGGTCGTGCTGGTCGTGAAGCGCCAGGGCAATGCTATCGACTCTATACAGAGAAAAGCTACAACGAACTCGAGCCTCAAATGTCACCTGAGATTCAGCGTAGTAATCTAAGCTCTGCTGTTCTTGCCATCAAAGCTCGCGACCTCGATACCTCTAGCGGCGGTATGGACGACATCCGCTTCTTCCCGTTTCTTACACCTCCAAGTGACGATGCACTCGAACGAGCTTGTCTGCAGCTACATTGGATTGGCGCACTCGATGCGAAGACCGGTAAGATCACTCCTCTCGGTCGCCAGATTGCTCGAATGCCGCTCCCTCCCCAACTCGGCCGCGTCGTGCTCGAAGCAGCGAAACCAGAGCGCGACTGTCTTCGAGACGTAATCGATATCGTAGCTTGTTTGAGTGTTGAGAGCATATTTCTTCCCGCAGAGACCGAAGATGCCAGAGAAAAGGCTGCCGAGGCCCGGTCACAGCTGTTTCGTAGAAGCGGCGATCACATGACCTTACTTGCCACAATGCAAAGCTACGCTGCGGAGACCAGCGATCGCAAGCGATGGTGTCGCGACCACATGTGCTCTCACCGCGCTCTCAAAGCCGCAATGGATGTCAGGAAACAACTCCTTTCGCAGTGCATTTCGCAAAGAATGCTGCCTGCCTCCGCTGTCGACACAAACGCTTCGGATGGGCCGCGGATACTTGATGAAGCTGCCGAAGCGAAAATTCTCCAGTGCTTTCTCCGTGGGTTTGTGGATCACCTCGCGAGAGTCTATCCTGATAAGGCCTATCGCTTGATGAACGGCAGCGGAAGCGGAAGTCATGTTGTGGCGATTCACCCTTCCAGTGTACTGTTCGGGAAGAAACTCTCTGCTTTCATGTTTAACGAAGTCATTTACACTACTAAGGCTTACCTACGGGCTGTCAGTGTGATCCGGTTGAATTGGTTGGACGAGATCCTGCCGCATGGAGCAGATGCAGCAGTAGAAGGTACCGCCATTGATGGCCAGTAGACAAATATCAGGGTAACCTGTTGGGTGTCGCTGCGAAAACACGATTTATCCGTCGGAACAAAGCCGCCCTCGAACGATTCTCAGCCATTATGATTGCTAGGAGTGATGGGAAGCCTGGAGATCGTCCCAGATCATCCGAAAAAAGCGAAGACTTTCACTCAAATGTGAAAGGCATACTCAAATGTATGCTCAGAGGTAGAGCTAAACATCGATGACCAGCTTTCCAAGAGGGCTTCCGAACTTCAAGCGGTCACAACCGCCAGAAATTGAATCAAGTCATCGCGGCCTTAAGCTGCAAATCTTTGCGCCCTGAGCACTAACAAGCGATGAGCAACACGGCCAGGATTGTGCTCTTTCGTCATCAGTGCACCAATCGAGAATCCACTTCTCATGATCATGGGCACTCAGGTGTGGCCTGTGTCATTAGTCTCTCGGGCCTGCACTACAATGAGTGAAATTTGGACAGCTTTTTCTGACTTGGCCACTGCCTGCCTTCTGTTTCTTTGTTCTCTGAAACGCAGATCATATCTTGCAGGGCTTCCTGGTGACGCCACATTCTTCGCGAACGTAGATTACGCAATCGACGTTGGTTCCCTGGCACAAAATTGGCTGAGTGTGTGCGGTGCCGTGTTTGATGTTCCCCGTGACAAATCCCGTAGATATTTGGCGAGATTTATCTACTACCCGCTCTGATATGGAGCATCAAGCATTCATGACACGTCCTCAACAGCCTCAAGCCATCTAGTCATCTCAATCACGTTTCCATCTAGCAATCATGTCGGACGGATCGAATCTGGCAATGAAACCTCAAGTCGTTGGCATATATGGCATTTCAGGCTGTGGCAAAACGACCCTGATCACGCAGCTCAAAGAATGTATATCTTCTGATCAATTTGAGTTTTATGACAGGAGCCAAGTGCTCTACGAAGCGGTGGAGGGCGGATAATTGGCATTTGATGCTGGAACTGCTGACGAAAAGGGTCAATGGCGTCGAAAGGCTATTCGACTGATAGCGGAGAGATGTGCTGAGAGCGGCCGCCTGGGAGTCGTTGCTGGCCACCTGTCGTTTCGGAAGAATGAAGCCCAACTCGAACGCGTGGACGCTGAAGATGACTGGGCCGCCTATACTGCCATCGTGTATCTTAACTCTCATCCGAGCTCGATTGCGCGATGGTTTGCAGGAGACCAGACGCGCCAACGGCAGACACACAGCGCCGAAAGTCTTCGAAGCTGGCAAGACCAGGAAAGGCAGATATTGCCGTATATTTGCCAGCAGCATGGTATTCTTCTCGCTCGCCTTTATCCCGATGCTCATGGAAATTTCCTCACAAAAGGTGCACGGCTCATTCAGGACCTCTGTATACACAATGAATCCTACAACATGTCGCAAGCCATTCGAGCGGTGGGCGACTTTTATCATCGTACCAGGCACTAAGTGACGATCTTGCTCGACGCAGACAGAACGCTGACGCCTTCCGACACTGGAGCCGAATTTTTCTCAGTATATTCACCACATCAAGCGGGATTCACGATGTCCTGCGCACTATGATGATCATTCTGCTCGTTTCATGATAGCTTATCCAACGAATTTGCCGAAGACTTGGCCTCCGCATTTTTCGTGAATCCATGGTTCACATCCGTAGGCTGGTGGCCGCCAAACCAGCATAAGCCCGTAAGTTTCGTATGCAATGCAGTATATACAAACGCCACGCATCTTGTGGGCCGGACCGTCATGACTCAAATCTACATAGGAAATAATGTCGCGGAGAAATGTACATGCGATGCGTTATGGGCCAGTGTTAACGACGAACACTTCGTGCGGTGTTGCCAGTACAGACCAGCTCCAAGGCGCGGGCTCTGCTCCTGTCCCTCGACATGACCAACACATCGCACCTTCCAACTTTTGAAGACAACAATTTGCAACTTTGATCACGGACGTACCTCTAGAAGGTGTTACACTCACGTTGAGTACAACGTAAATGCCCGCTGGTCAACGACGGAGACTTGTTGCGTACCTGCAACATTCTGATCGAATATGATATCAAGCAGCGACCTCGAGGTCATCAATCCCAGGAAAATGTTTAACCCAAACCCTAAGTTCACACAGACCCGTGGACATCCTTGACGCGCTTGAAGCGTAATACGCTTTGAAGAGTACACTGGTCACTTTGGTTTTCACAATAGCAGGAAACCCCATGCCACATTATGCTCTCAGCACTACATGAGGTCCTGTTTCGCGACAGAGGGAGTGGGCCATCGATGGCGACGAGATCTAGCTCTACCCAACTGGATCATTACAGCAAGTTTCCGAAGGTCAACGAGCCGGCAGGACTTGCACTTTCCAACGCAACATGAGTCCATGTGCCGCTCGCACTATTGCAACGCTGATCAGAGGGACATGTGGAGCGTATCACGCAAACTCTCGGCGAAATACTGTACTGCTGATGGAAGCCCGAGACATCCACATTGGCTGTGCCATGGAATGATTCACCTGCATTTGGGCAGAAAGAGAAACGCCAGGGTCACCTGATCCAGTGAGCAAAATGCCTCGAACGCAGCATCATGCGGGGTGGGACCGTCGGCACGATGCCGATGATATACTGTGATGAAGCACAAATGACCTGAGCAGGAAGGACCATCCAGCTCCCTTGCTCGTTCGGATAGACAGTACCGTGGTACCTGGACACCCTGCACAGCACAGTATATGCCTCTCTCTTCGGCGCGAGATTGTGCACGTGTGGCATATGGGAACTACCTGGGCATTCTACGGATAACGTTTCCTATGGGCGGGCGCTTGGCTAGAATGTGATGGGGTAGAATCGCCTGATCGACTGGCTGGAGACGGCCGAAGCCGCGGGGATGTCGGCGGCCCGCGAAGCTACTGACTTCTAAATCGATCACCTTTCTCTCCATCGACAACTTCATCGACCACTCCTGTGCCCTGCCTGTCACCGGTGCGTTTTATGCATCTTATAATCTCACTTGAATTTTAGCTGCAGGTGTGCAGACGTGGCAGAAGCCGTGAGGACTATGCGTGTCTACCCATCGTCAGCCATCACCCGGCCACCTCTCACCTGCCTCTGTGGAGCCTAAGTAAGCATGATCCACCGCCGCCGCGAGAAGAACGCACCGCTTCTCTGGCGTGCTGTGTGCTGCGTGATGCGTCCTGGTGCTCCCGGGGCCCAGTTCTGGTTTGCCTCCACTTTCCTTCGTGATCAAGACCGCCGAAGTGTCGCCCAAGCGTCCACCAATTCGACATCTCGCCGACCCTCACCAGCCAACCAATCAACCAACCAAGCGGAGGCCGAGACACCCATACTGTGCATGCTTCGGACTTCGCCCTCTTTGCGATAGGTGATTCGTATCGTACAAGTATACGTGCTAGGTCCGTGGAGGTTTATGTGCTTATTATTCAGACCCTGTCGTTATTACTAGTGACGGGATAACATTACCACCAGACATGCTCGACTTGCATGTGCTGTGGTGCCGCAGTGGTGGTGTTCCCATCTGTACCCTGGTGGAACACGCTCGGCACCGTTATCGGTACACCGATCACGCTGGACCACGCAGATGTCTACCCATGGTCGACATGACCTCTTGCCAACTTCAAAAGCCACAGTCACCACCACCACCATTCGAATCTATTCTCCGATCTCATGAGCACTCCACTCTCACCCAACAATGATATCGTTTTGACAATATAACCTTCGTCCCCTAATCTGCCCTCACCACAACATCCCATTTCAATTCACGTCGATTGTCCGACCGCCATTTTCTCTGAACACCATCACCATCATCACCTTCACTATTTTCGCGTATACATACCACTTATAATACACCTTCCAAGAAAAATTGTTCGTAATATATCACAGCTAGATCACTGATCCCTAACATGTCCTTCTCGCACATTGCCCTGACCGTTTCTCATCTTCCCAGTGCGGCATCATTCTACGCGGCTGCTCTGCAACCGCTTGGCTATCGGTATATTGGACAGGACGGCGATGCACTAGGATTTGGGGTGGACTCTGCCGACTTTTTCATTACCCAGGTTTCCCGAGGGTCAGTGGCGGCAATGAGCTTTCGTGGATTCGCCGCACCTTGCTGATGACGATGTTTAGATCACGGGTCTCGCCCACGCACGTTGCATTCAAGGCAGAGAATCAACAGATCGTCCGTCAATGCTATTCAGCCGCAATACGAGCACGGGGTTTGCCTGGTGCGGAGCCAAATTATCGTCACAGTACATGTTCCTGTTACAATGCAGCCGTAGAGGATCTCGACGGCCATAAGATCGAATTCATTTTCCGGCAACCGCACGGAGAACACTTTGCGAGCGATCACAGATGTGATGATGCTGTGGCCACTTCTGAGGATGCAAAGCCCGTAAAGGAGGATGCATGGGAAGAAGAACCCGAGCAATCGTCGAGCGACTCGTCGACCGCCCGCGGCATGAACGGCAAGAACATGCTGGGGCTCGGCGTTGCAGCCGTGGCCGGCGCAGCTCTGGTGTACTCTATGGTCGCCACCGAGAGGAAGAATGCCAGAGACGAAGCCGATTACCTCGCGTCACGGAAGTCGAGCACGAGCATGCGGAGGGCGCCTCCAGTCATGGTGGAAACACTACCTGCAGCACCGCCCATGCGAGAACTGCCCGAACCTAAGCCCAGACACCGTCGGAATTTCAGCACAACTGAATCAAATTACAGTGCGGTCAGATCGCAGCATGTACTGGCTCTGGAAGAGGAGCCTTTTGAGAGACCAGACAATCTGATCGACCTCTACAGCGCTCGACGTGCGCCCATCCGTCGCGTCAAGCAGGAGTATGTCTATATGCCCCCACCGAGCACCGACGATGTGTCCAGCTACACGGTTCACCGCGCGCAGACGCTCCCCCTGGAGGACACTGCACCTCGATATCTTCTCGAAGCTCCACGCAGCAGCGTGTCATCTCAAAAGTCATCCAGGCACGCTGAATCCAGACACGCCGAATCCAGGCACGCCGAATCTAGGCACGCCGAATCAACTCCCCGAAGTCATGCACCGTCGATGCACAGCTCTCGCCGTTCCCATCATTCCAGCAACAGCAGTACTCGCGACGGCAGGAAACTGTCACGCCATGACAGCGGGATCGAGATCCCCGACGCTTCGCGTGAGGAACAACGCGAAGCTAAAGTCGAAAAAGCCCGCGATCACGTGAAGAGTTCTTCCGCAGCCGGTAGCGTACGTTCTGCTCGTCGGGAGCCGAGTGTCCATTCTGCAGCGAAAGCGAGCACACATGTAGACACCACTTCCTACTGGCCAGCAGGCGTGCCTCTCCCACCATCCGTGTCGGGATATTCCGTCGCCAGCAAGAGCTCGCGTAGATCCGCGCGCCTCCGCCCAGCTTCGTACTACGAGTCTGCTGTTGAGGTTCCCCTCCCAGGTTCCACAACAAGTCGATCGAACTACACAGCCAGCAAAGCCTGCGCCATTCCACTCCCTGAGTCGCGAACCGGTGTCGAGGATTGGGAAGACGAGGCCGGCTCGGGCTACGACAACGACGACAACATCACTGTCGCTGAGCTCGCTCCCCACGACAGTATCTCCTGCGTCGGTCTACCAAGACAGGAGCCGCGGCGCCGCCGCCGCCACTCGCATCGCCCCTCGCACAAGGAAGACGGCGAGTCTGCAACATCAAGATACCAAGATGCCCCGAGTAGACATTCGCATCGTCGCGAGCGCGAAGAGCTCGAAGTGGTCGAGGAGAGCGGTGATGACCATAGCCCCCGATTTGTCCCTTTGCTCCGGAAAATTGGAGTTACGGGTGGCAGCCGTGCTGGGAGTGTGACCCGGCATAGTGTGATGACGTTGCCGGTGCGCACGCGAACTCCGGTCTCGATGGTGAGGCGGGTTGCGCATAGCCATACTCGATGAGGTGATTCTGAATCTGATAGGTGTTCGCTTGGTCGAGTCGTAGTGCCCTTGGGTATAGCTAGCATGCATGCATGAGTAAATCTGTATTGACAGCAAATTTAATGATTCAAACGTCGGAGGCGAACGTGTCAGTGATATGAATTTTATTTGCCGTGGGAAAGGCGTTGTGTCCGGAATTCATCATTCGCGCCATTCTACGCTGCGAATATGAATCTCGGATTGCGTTCACCAAGAGCCAGACATGCATCTTCCGTCAAGCCCTTGATGGTCTGATCCCGATCGCCTCTCGCGCGTTTCCGATTCTCCTGCTTGTAGTAGAAATACATGATTGCGTAGATGATAATGCCCGCTCCGACCAGCGACATGGTCACTGCGTGGCCGGTAATGTAGCGAGGGCTATCGCCACTGGGATAGAGCTAATATCTGACAGTCAGCAAGACTACAAACACTGCCAAAAACCTGGTTGCGCAACTTACGAAAGGTGCCATGACACCGGCAGCATTTCCAATCGTTAACTGCAAACCAGTGGCCGTCGTCCTCTTTCCATAGCGGGGGTTGTTGCTTGGAAGCCAAGCTAAGGGAATCCCAACAGAAACGTATAATCCCATCGCCACGAGAAAGCAGCCTGCGTAGTGTGCTCCCGTCGATCCATTCGATATGAGCAAGCCGTAGCCGACGATAGAAATGCACCCGAATGCGCAAATGACCGGTGCCCGCGATTGTCGCACATCACTGAAGCGCGCCGCGGCCATGTAACTGATAGCGCCGAGGGCATAACACGGGATAGTCAGGACCTGCACGATCGCCCCGCTGGAACCAGGGCGGATGGCCTTGATGATGGTCGGTAGGAAGGTCGAGAAGCCGTAGAGCATTGTGTCAAGACAGAATTGCGCAATGGCGAACGCCCAGATCGTCCAATCCTTCAGCCCGGCGCGCGCGTCGCACCACTCGAAACGGTCGGTCTGGCCGGTCTGCGTGGCGCGGCGCGCGAGAACGAGTTTTCGTTCCGAGTCGTTGAGGTAGTATGCTGTCTCGGGATCGTCGGCGAGGACCCACAAGCAGGAGATGCCGAGGATGAAACTCGGTAGACCCTCGATCTAGGGATAACAAAGTCAGAGAGTGTTTTCGGATGTACAACCACACAACAGAGATGGGAGGGAAAGAAACACGCACGATCAGAATCCATCGCCATCCACGCAGGCCCGCGATCCCATCCATGTATCCAATCCCGTATGCCAAAAGTCCTCCCACAGCTCCCGCGAGTGCTGCCGAAACGAAGAGGTAGCCAATGCGGAGCGCCAGCTCACGTTTCGTGTAAAAGAACGTCAAATAAATGGCGCAGCCAGGAAACAAGCCGCCTTCGACCAGACCGAGGAGAAGTCGACATGCGATGAGACCACCATAAGTCTGGGTGACACCCGTCAATGTCGCTATGATGCCCCAGGAGGTCGTAATGAAAGCCAGCCAGCGTGAGGGCGAAACATAGTGCTTGATGATCCAATTTGAAGGGAGTTCAGAGAGGAGATATGTTACGAAGAGGATGGATACGGCGGTTTGGAATTGAGTGGGTGAGAGTCGGAGGTCCTCCTCGAGGCCGTAAAGTCTCGCGTTTCCAATGTTCACCCTTGAGAGAAATCAGCCTTGCGATATTTGACCGCACCCCAGAATGAGATTTGTCCGCGTGGACTTGCTCCCGACAGTTTGAGAAAGAAGGCCTTACCTGTCAAGAAATGAGAATAAATAAAGGAGCATCACCACCGGAATGATATGACCATCGAGTTTGCGGACGAGCCGGGCTTCCTCTCGCGGATTGATGTCATCACCACGATGGCTCGAGTTCGGATCTGTCACAGCCATGGTGACTTGGTCTTGGTCTTCTTACTCAATCGCCTCATGTAAACCAAGCTATAACATCGCCAAAGATCGAGCTCGTCGAATGATAATTTACAGCGCCATAAAGAGGTCGCACGCGTGAGTTACGAGTCTAAAACAGTGATGCTGCTCCAAAAACTGAAATGACGTACGCGAACCATGCGATTAAAAGATGACGATCAATACATGCCCTACTGTACTGTACGTTACATGGCATACGCATTTCTATGCAATCGCCATTCTAACCAGGAAAAATGTTTTCGAGAATCGTTGTGTCTCTCTAGATCGACGAAGACTGGATGAGGGATGTCCGACAAAAATGCAAAAAGCAAGAGTTTGCTTGACCCGAGAGTCGAACGTTCCAAAGATTTAGAAAGCGGCGTTTTGGCTTGACCTACGGGAACCGCTGGTAAAAGGCAAGAGATTCGTTGATTAGGCCAAAGCCGCCGACAAACAGCCCCAGAATTTTGCTATATTATATACCTCACAATTTTGATGGCTTAGTTCTTGCATCGCCATCGGGCCATTGGCTTGACAATATCAACAGCCCCGTTCACCAGATCATGCTCCGTGCAAAGAAGTCAAGAAATCTTCATATCATGAATTCATGTTACATACATCATACCATCGTATTGTATCGTGTCGGGAGCAGGCCAAACTTGTTCAATCATCAGGATATTCCTCCACAATATTACTGACGAATTTGCCCTCACCCTCATCCCAGCGCTTGAACCACCTTCCGGCCATTCGAAGCAGTGACGGCGGAGGCTTGCCTGCAGGACTAATGTAGATGTTCTCTTCCGCGACGTATCGGATCGAGTTGTCATCCGCCCTAATGTTACGAAGGAAAAAGAGATTAGTACAAGTGTGAAAAGGCAGAAGAGCAAGGGGCGAAACATGGAAGGATGCAACTTACAGGACATTGTAGAACGGCTGCGTGCGTCCTCGAGGTAAGCTGTCGACGCGCATATCTCGGATCCAGTCTTGTTCAGCCGCGCATTGCGCATCCCAGCCGATCACTATTCCCGCGTAGCCATATCTCTTGTGTAGGAAGGCCGTGCCGACCTCGTATCGCACCGCACGCGTCGCATCTGAATCTCGCGGTGAAGGTGGAGGTAGATTTCGGTCTGCTGCTCTCACGGCCGCGATGTATCGCGAAAGATCCTCCAGGTCCCGAAGGTCTTTGTCGGCGAACATTGGAATGACGAAATCCTGGATCAACCCGAGGTCTTCGGGATTGTACTGCTGTACGTGGCGTTGCAAGTAAGGTAGACAGTGGCGGCGCTGCTGCAGAGCGTTGGCACCGCCGAGGACCATGAGAGCCCAGAGCATGCTGTACCAAGCTGCCTCGCGCTCCGGATGCTCGTCATCGTTATCACCCGGCTGTGGCTCACTGCGACGAGCTTCCTGGACCGAGTTCATGATGTTGCGCGCGGTCCGCTGGACGATTTCAATGATAGTGGCCGCGCCGAGATGCTGGTGTAGCAGGTGTGAGGGTGCACCCATGAGGAGCAGTCGTTGACGCAACTGTTGTTCCGGGATCTCTTCATTTGTGTTCCAGGGATCCAAATGCATGATTTCGAGTTCGCCCGCAGAGTCAGGAAGCTTGGGCTTACCATCCAAAGTTGCGTCACGAGGTGCCTCGACCACGACATGGACGTGTTGGGGGTAGTTCGATGGTTTCGCGTTGACGCCGAGTCGACGCGCGACTGCACAATAGATAGCAGCAGTTTGCAGCGGTAGTGATGTGTGTGGAGGTACGAATAACGCCATGCTGATATAATTGTTGCGTAAGGCGTGATAGTCCACGGTCTCGAGTGCCGAATTGCCCACGAGGCCCTTCTTGCGCAGATACTCTGCGACGCGAATGGCCCTGGCACGAATGCTCAAATCGTTGAACTTGGGATCCTCTTCTCGGATCTCTCGCGCAAGGTAATCAAACTCTTTGGCGATATCGTTTAATCTTGCACTTTTCCCAGACATGGCAAACAGATCGAACGAGCCGAGAACTTCCTCCAAACTGACCATCTCTTGCCGCTGCAAACGGGACCACTTCTCAAGCGCCAACTTCCGGTTCATCCTGCCCAAGATTGCATTCGCAAAGTGGCGCCGCGCCAGGACATCGGGGGCGTCGTCAGGTGTTTCATCCTGATGCACCAAGAGAAGTTCTCTAACGTCATCTCCATGATTGGCGATTGTTTCTATGCGTTGTAGTCGGTGTTGTTGGGTGTTCAGCAACGCCTCGAACAGCTTTTCTGTCTCAAAGTCGATGCGCCGGCGCTCTTTGTAGAGCTGTCGCCATTCCGTTTCCGCAGGCCGCTCGCGAAGCTTCTTCCGCCAATCGTGTCGTTCGTGCCAAAACCACCATCCTTCCTCACAGTGGCGACGCCATACCAAGGCCTCATCTGTGATTTTGTTACATCTCTTACACGTGCTGCCGAAAGCGACAGTCGAGCTCGGAGAAAGGTAGTCTGTGATCGACTGGAGCAGCTCATCTGGAAGTCCGAGGAGTTGAGAATGACGCTCGTGAGGTGTATCAGCCATGGCGGCGGCGGTGGGTCATTGGTTTGGCGACTCCAGCGTTTAATTTTGAGCGACGACAAGCTAAATTGTAATTGACGATTGTCTCAAGTGGCGATTGACTACATCGTGACGTTGCCGTTGCACCAAAGTTAAGTCATGACAGCTTGGTGGTTGTCCACTAGAACAATGTGCAGGACAATAGAACATCCGGAAAGGGACAAATTAGTGACATAATACTGTAACCACCTCCATGCCATGCGGAGACTTTGATGGTGACGATGAAGAAGTGACCCCCCACCTTCAGCGCTTCTTTGTTGGTGCACAACCATAAAATCACAAAAATTGCGTGTCGGATTTGTGCATTGCTCGCACATCTCGTCATTCCATGGTACAGTACCTAAGTAATCGCCAAGATAAAATTTATTATCAACCTTGGAATCTATGGATGGCATGCAATTCATCACCAAGGTAGGTTCCTATGCTGCGCTGGCGTTGTGTTGTACACCTGCATTGTCGACATTATGCTTCTCGGCGAATAGCACGTCGGACAGAGCGCTATTATGCACTGAGAATTGTGCAGTGCAGACAGACACTGCTCTCTTGTGCGTCATTATTCGATCATGTTTAGTGTAAGAAACAAACCCACCTGGGCAACGACGATCCAGGTCGTCTTTGCTGCTGTTATTACACGACGATCCGTCTTCCAGCATCAATGGTCTCTTGCAGCTCGGATGGCGGACGCTTTCAACCGATTACGATCTGATAGGAATAACGAAACTTGCTGGCCATATATAGCAGACCAGGAAGATCGTGTCAAGTAAATTCACGTGGAAATCTCGGAGCCGAGCCGGACAAACTGAGCTTAATAATGCCTTTTTTTCCCAAAGTCCGACAATCCGGGCCTAGATGACGATATCTTCCAATCGCTTCCAAAGCCGAACCGTCGTAGATTCAGGTACACTTAACGATAAAACAATGATAGCCGCCGTAGTGAATTCCAGTCCTTCCAGCTGACAGATCCGGCACCTTTCGTGCTTCGTGCTTCGTGCATGACTTGTCACTAGACATAGATCGTGATATCCGAACCCTCGCTCCCCGAACACAAGCCCCTGTATATTCTTATTCGTCCGTCTTTGCACTCGTTCCGTCGCGATGAGCAGGCCACAAGATCTGCAACGCGTGGACTCCTTCCAGGTAGGCCGACATTGTCGCGAGCAGCCGCTACTGTTTCCCATGAACCCTGACTTATCGATTCCAACTCAAGTGGCCGAAAGGGCATGTCGGACAGCTGAGCGAGAGCCAAGCAAAAAGTCTCGACGAATTCAAGCAATTATGTCAAGACAAGGGATACTTCACGCCGGGAGACAGTACCAGCGGCACCCGAGCCACTCACGATGACGAGACAATGCTGCGCTATCTCCGGGCGCGCAAGTTTGTCCCGAACGATGCTTTCAACCAGTTCAAGGACACCGAGGATTGGCGCAAGGAGAACGACATTGATAACCTCTACGAGACCATTGATATCAATGAGTATGAATTCTCGCGGCGTTTGTATCCGCAGTGGACCGGTCGACGCGACAAGCGTGGCATTCCGTTCTTTGTCTATGAGATTGGTAGCCTCAATTACAAAGACATCACGGCCAATGCCAACGACAAGAATCGGCCGAAAAACGCGATCCCCATGGTTTCCAAGGCACCACGTAGACTGCTAAACTTGTTCGCGTTGTATGAAAGCTTGACTCGATTCTCCTTGCCAATCTGCTCTGCCATGTCAGATCGTGAGAATAAGGCAACTCCGATCAGTCAGAGCAACAACATCGTTGACATCTCGAATGTTGGCTTGACCACCTTTTGGAACTTGAAAAACCACATGCAAGACGCGTCAAAGCTGGCTACCGCCCATTACCCAGAGACTCTAGATCGCATCTTCATTGTGGGTGCTCCAAGGTGAGTTTGTCGTGCGACATGAGCTATGAGCAATATTGACGCGGTTCCAGCTTCTTCCCGACCGTATGGGGCTGGATCAAGAAGTGGTTTGATCCAATCACAGTGGTAAATATTCAATCGAAAGCATGCATTACGCGTCTTGCTTGGCACTAACCTATACCTCAGTCCAAAATCTTCATTCTTTCTCCCAGCATCACCGCATCTACACTGGAACAGTATCTCGACAAAGACAACATTCCCAAGAAATACGGGGGCAATCTTGACTGGAGCTTTGGTGACCTCCCCAACATCGACCCCGCCATCGCGGACCGATTTGAGTGGCATGAGGAGATTCTTCAGAAAGGACACCGCTCTTTACCCATCGGTCCTTTGCGCTTTGAATACAACGAAAAGGACGACCTCGTCCTCTACGCAGTCGGTTCCGAAAACGGCGTCAAACGCAACCTGAAACTCGGCACTGTGCATCCAGAGGAAGGCGTAGCAATGCTCGACGTCGGCATCAGCCGCGGCAAAACCGCAGGAGTGGACGTACCAGCATCCGCCGGCGCCGCATCAAGCATAAGCAAACCCGAGCCAAGCACCGCCAACGCCAACAATACCACAACTGCTACCAACGATCCCGCCGCGGTCATCGCTGGCGGCACCGCTGACATCCCGTTCCACCACCCGGAAGTTCGCACCGGAACCTCCAACACCCGCCTTGACCAACAAGCCGGTACGCACGCCGAGGGCCAGGCAGAACACGGCTCCCCCGAGACGCGCGTGGATGGACAAGGCACCGAGACATCCATCATCGAGACTGCGACTGTCGGCCAATCAGCCAAACACACCCAGCTCTACGAGGAGGAAGAGCATAGGCCGACTCTTGTGGAGCAGGCGCAGAATGTAGTCGGTCAAGCGCAGCAGATCGCCACCAGCGGCGTCGCAGCGGTCGCGAGCGCTGTGGGTTTGAGCGGCGAGGAAAAGAAGGAGGAGACGGTAGCCGAGGGAGCGAATGAGCCGAAGACGCATCCGGCGGACGAATTGAAGGATCACCAAGTCGAGGAACTCCTGCGAAGTCAGACCATGAACAACAAACCGGGTCACGAGTAGAACGAGATGACCTTCTGCGGTGACTGCATGGGATTTCAGGATTGCGTCACGCGTCGGTGTTTGCTTGACGGGTGTGGAGGCATGGAAGATCGTTGAATTATTGCGGTCATGGTTAATTAAAAATATAGACAGGAATGAAGTTTTTCTTCTTTGGGGAATCTGTTACGGTAAATTCACATTTTCATCCGTCAGCTACCAAGCTCGATGCGTTTCCTCAGAAGATCTCTCGCCTCACTCTCCGATAGCGAGTCAAGACCAAGTTGCTCCAGAACTTGTCTCGCACCTTCATTGTCCTTGAAAACCAGTCGCTCGGCCTGGAACAGGCTCATCTTACCATCACTGACCTCCCCAGACTTCTCGTCGAGTTCGTCCCAAGCCGCGTCGTCACCATCTTGATCAGCGTCTCCCGTAGAATCGGCAGATTCGCCAGATCGGCTAGGAAGCTCGCGCTGGATCTCACCTCTTACAGGTAATCCCACCAAAGTCACCGCCTGAAGTAGCTTCTTCAGACCCCGCTGAGCCTGGCCAGCACCCACGTGTCGATCGACACCCGCGCACAAGGCCTGCATATCGAATGTCAATTGCGCCGCGCCGGCGGTGGAAAATGATACACGCGAGGATAGTACGTGGTTCATGATGTAATTCTGGATGCCCTGGCAAATTTGTCGGGTGGTGCTGCGAAGTAGCAGTTTACCATTGGCCCGCGCGAGGAATCCGAGATACTGATCTATGAGACGGAGGGCTGGATCAAGCTCGTTCGAGATAGAGCTTCCTGCAGCGCTGGATGGGATCGAGGCCCATGTCGTCATGGAACCGTATGGTCGGAGTGCTTGCGAAATTTGTGACGACAGGGTTTCGACCAGAGTGTTCTCACAGCGAACTCGTAGACGCCGGTAACTACCCGAAGTCTCGTCGAAGAGAGCTCCATCCACTTTGCCCTCGCTGTTCTGTTGACCGAAGGCAGTGGTTGCTCTGTCCTGAATTTCCTTCCAGCTATATGCCGAACTGTTGCCCGAACTGTCGCGGTGCTTGGTGCGATAATCAAGCTCCATCCAGAGCTCCAGGAAAAAGAGATCGTCGCTCCAGTCACGCATGGCGCGCTCGAGATAGTCCGCTGAGCCCAAGATCCGGCATAGTCGGTCAAGTCCCTTGACTCCCTGGACCTCTTCCTGGTCGTCTTTGGAGATACTATGCATCGTGCGTACCAAACTCGAAGTCGCGGTCAGATACGCGCTAAGACTATCGTTCAATCGACGATAATACATATCGAAGATCTCGATTTGTATGTCGATCAAGAATTTCACCTTCTGCGAAAAGCTTGATAAATGACGATAGCGCTCGGTTATGGTTTCCAGAAGATCGTTCACGCGAATCGCTGACTTGGTTGGCTTTGTCGCATCGGCGGCTACAGCGTCGTAGTCGATTTCACCAGCATCAGGTGCTTCTACAATGGCACGATACCTCTGCAGCGCAAAGTCCTTCTCGGCGCTGAGCCAGCGGTCGAAATGTGCGCACGTTGTTAGGAAGAAGTAGGCAAGCCCAGACCATGGCTCATCTGGCGAATTTGGCGCATATCCGTACGATTGCTGAAGTGTCGTGTCGAAGGATATAACTTCCTGCACCAGATGACTGAGGAGAGAGGGCTGGCTGACAATCTCAGAGCCGACGGAGTAGAGTTTGTTCTTAAGCATTGGAATCAAAGCGGTGATGAACGCCGTTGTCGCATCGATGCAGGCGGGGAAATCGAGGAGATCCTCGGAATCTCTGAAGTGTCGCAGGACTATAGGCTGCAAATTATCTTGCACAAACTGCGAGTAGTCCCGAATAAGTTCTAGTACGTGAGACAGGAAATATTCAGGCTTCTCGAGTCGATTTGTCGGCTTGTTGCCCGAGAAATGGTAGTTGAAGCGTTGCTCGAGCGGACGAACGAGAATCTGCAAGGGTAGGAGCGGGATCGGGTCATCATAGACGCCGGACGGCTGTCGTCGAAGCTTGAGGTCAGGTCGTTGCAAATCGAGAAGCCTGCCAACATTGAGGGTCCATTCTTCGATCAGTGCCATGGGAACCGCGCCCGTGGCTTTGGGCCAATTCATCTTTCGAAGTGTTGCTTCGAGATTGTCCACATAGGCCTTCTCAATCGTATGTCGGAGTTCTTTCACTGTGACTTGGACGTGGTTGATCAAATGTGGCGCTGCGCCCTCGGCTGCTTCTTGTAGTGGCTGAAGGTCAACGACTAACTGCTGCACTTTGCGATAAGCTGTCAAGGTCGAGTCCGATGAATCTTGGAGTGTCTGAAGGCAATTCGACCTGTATAAACAGCGAGTCAGTACCACATCAAAAGCTGGGACCAGTTCGGCATGGATTTTATCCACAGACCTTAGTCTGTCTACTTCCAACAATAACTCGACATATCCAGTGGTCAGGTCGATGTTACGCAGCCGCGCCATGCTTGCTTCGAAGCTTCTGACCGCATCATCGGCAGAGTCTGACTGAGTCACAGCTAGCAGCCTTGCATCAATGTTCGCCTGTACTGCCTGGTAATCTTGCGCATCGTGTAAGACCTTCTCGCGATGGTTCCGCGTCTGTGCTTCCACCTCATCCTGTGCTTCTCTTGCAACTGCGAGCTATTGGGCGTCAGAAGGACGTCTCCGGGTACTAAGAAGACGTGGTTCATCTTGCCTGTTGCTTGAGAAGATTTTGCTGTTCTCTAACGTTGGAAAGCAAAGCATCGAGCGATTCCAGATCTGCAGAGGCCTGGAGCTTGTCATCCAGGTAGTCTTGGACACGGGCATCCATGGCCGGCATTTTTCAATGCTGTATTCGTTCTGCCTCGGGGCCGCTGTATTGCGGGGCGAAGATTGCACTTTTGGCGTAATGATCGTTCGGAATTTATTTGTGGTGGTGGTAAAACTTGCAATGGGAGATCATCATCATGGATGCCAGTGGTCTGCATTTCCTCATGCACATTTGGCCCGCAGATCAGGGCAATGACATCTGCCCAGCCAAGAAATTGACCGCGGACTTCCAAGGTTGCCCAGATGTTCCAGAGAATCATTCTACGAAGGAAGCGGTGTCCCACTATATTTTATCACTTGCATCATTCGGGGCATACTTGATCCATCAAAAACATCTCATGGACACTTCCATTGGTAGTGTTTATAACTCAAGTAGTACCTGGCTGTTCGTCTGCACTGTGGTGCTTCGCGAAACCTACCTTGTCCCGCTTAGGGATGACCGCGGTCGATACATCCCATTTCTTTCACGCCTACGCAACGGATCGGTCAAAGAGGCCAGCGGCGTGCTTCCATGGCCACCTGGGCATGCGATTGTTCCCAATGGCTTCTCATCCAGCGCAATTTGTTCACAGGTGCCCGCCAGGCAGCGATGACCTGTCACAAGTGCTATAATCAGCTGGCATTGACTTGCGCGTTGAGTGCGTGAAAATGCACGTCTGGTAGATTCCAAGGTTGGTAGCGTTCGAGGATGGCGACAAGCAGCTGCAGCAACATGACCTTAACAGCCCTGGAGTTGATGATTTGAAAGCCATGATGTGCAAAACTTGGGGAGTTTTGAGTACCTCAGGTAGGTAGCACATTTGCTTGCTATAGATTGCTGTCATAGATGGTTTCCTCTTTCAGATAGGTCGACACCATCTCTTTCAACTTCTCCCCTGTCGCTCATCATGTCAATTTTTTGGATGATCATCTCCTCTCCCACAACTCCACTCAAGTGAAAGCTCGGAATTCGCAGGCGTACCGCGTTGTACTCATCAAAATCCTTGTCTTCGCTCACCTCTGCTACATCGTAATCGACCAGCTTTTCCCTTCTCCCAAAACTCATGTCTACACTAGACCACCTTACTATGTTTCACAGACAACGGAATGGTACTGTCTCATAAATGAAACCCGCGCAATTTCATCACCAGATTTGGCCATAACTTGTTCAACATTATGAACGTTTTCATCAAAGGCATTCCTGTCAACGCGACCGACAAAGAGGTCACAAAATTTTTGCGTCAACCTCTCAAGGAGTGCGGAATTGATTTCTACCAACTTGATAAGTCTCGTGCAAAAGACATTGCATTCCTCACAGTCCCGACTGTTGAAGATGGACAGCGCTTTCTTCGACGATATGGAGCCTCTTCTGTGTCACGATTGAGATGGCACAATCAGAATATCCTGTTTCGAATAGCCGACAGGGCCCCGAGTGACTTTGCAGTCCGGGCATTGGCATACGAAGGAGCCAAAGCTCCAAAACCTTCCAAAACATCCTCGAAGGATCACACAAACCACGACATCACGAATCTCAGATGTGGCACGTGGGCCTATACAAATCACCCAGAAGGTAGAGCTACACAATTGGCATTTGTCTCGCACTATCTGGACCCGCGTAATGGAACAATACATCTTGGCCGAAGAGCCGCGATCGTCATTCTTGGCGATCCGAGCTCAGATCAAGTGCGCATGGATATCAACTACCGAGACTGTGCCAGCATTACGGTCGGCTCTTCGAGGGATCCTTCGGTCTCGTTCGAACTGTACTTCCCACCAAAGCTCTACAAAGTCGGCGCAGCTGCACTGACACTCGAGTCATCAATGCAGCGTTTGGGATTAGAGCCGTCAACACAGTTCAAGAAGTACGAAAAGTACGAAGAGAAAAAGGAGCGGTTGTCATCCCTGATTCCAGCACATGCCCGTACTGTCGGCTCATGCTTTGTCTATCGATTGAAGTTAGCTGATGCTCGCCGGCTATCAACTATTCTCAGCCAGCTCAAACACAATGCTACTGGCTGTTCGGTACACGCAATCACTATACCGAAATTTAGCCTGAATGAGCCTTATCAAGATTCTGTCGATGAATTGAAACATCAACTTACTGACACCGGACGTTTTGGCAATTTGCCCTTCGGTCTCTTGTATCAGGTTGAACGGCTCGCACAGAACGGACTACTCCCTCCTACTACAGTCAGGAAAATGCTTCTCCCAATCAAGCAGCTGTACACCCAGCACGGCCTCAACGCGACCATTTCCGCAATCAGGCAGTTCTATCGCGAGATACCTTTGCCAGGGCCAGAAACCGAAGCACTTCAGGTCAGTGATTACGTGAAATTGCTCGGCGATTTTGCTTCAAGCTATGATCCAGATGCGCCAGAGAGCGTCTACGAGCTGTCCAAAAGGCACACACACATCAATCTTGTGCATCGGATTGTTGTAACACCGACAAGAATACGTCTTGAGGGCCCTGAGCCTGAACCCACAAATCGAGTTCTGCGCCGACACCGCAAAGATGCTGATTATTTTCTGCGGGTTGTATTTCAAGAGGAGGACGGTGGTACCTTTCGCTACGATCCGGCGGCCAGCCAGAAAGCCATCTACGCTCGATTCAAAGGGGTTCTTAAGGGCTCTATCAATGTCGCCGGCCGTGGTTTCTCCTTCCTGGGATTTTCCCATTCATCCCTTCGCAACCAAACGTGCTGGTTCATGGCTCCATTTGTCATCGACGGTCTCTTATGTCTAGCGCCTCAGATCGTCAGACAGCTTGGCGATTTTAGTCATTTCCGATGTCCTGCCAAATGTGCCGCTCGGATCGGTCAGAATTTTACTGACACGAATGCGACTGTTGATGTCTCTCCGCGCAACGTCGGAGAATTGGCGGTAGTTCAGCGCAATGGCCGTGATTTCAGCGATGGCGTGGGGACAATTTCTTATGATCTCCTACAGCGTGTCTGGCGTGTGTACGGGTCGAAACGTTTCATCCGTCCAACAGCGCTTCAAATTCGCTTTCAAGGAGCGAAGGGCATGGTATCGCTCGACACCCGTCTTCACGGGGAGCAGCTTATGCTTCGATCAAACATGAGAAAATTCCACACATCTACAACATGGAACCTTGAAATTTGCGGAGCAGCGTTCCAACCGCTGCCCATGATTTTAAATAGACAGTTTATCAAGATCTTCGAAGATTTGGGCATTCCTCTGGCGACCTTCCGTAAGCTTCAAGATGCTGCGGTCGGACGCTTACGTCGAATGACAGCCACTGCACCCGATGCAGCATCGCTCCTGGACGACGCTCGAAGCACAAGCCGTATTCCGTCTCTTATTCGGCTCTTGCACGAGCTGGGCATCAATTTTCATGGCGATGATTTCATCTCGGTGATCATTGAGGCGATCATCCTCTCTAAGCTTCGCGACATCAAGTATCGCGGTCGCATCCCAGTCGAGAAGGGCTGTACGCTATACGGCATCATGGATGAGACAGGAAATCTACAAGAAGGACAAATATATGTCGTCACAGAGCACGCAGACTTGGGCAAGCAAGTCATCGTAGGGGAAAACGTTGTGGTCACACGTTCGCCTGCTCTACATCCTGGCGACATCCAGATCGCTCGTGCAGTTGATGTGCCAAGCTCCAGTCCTTTGAGCGCCCTTTCGAATGTGGTCGTATTTAGTCAACACGGTAGCCGTGATCTGCCCAGCATGCTTAGCGGTGGCGACCTCGACGGAGATCTTTACAATATCATATGGGACCCGGACTTGATACCCACAGTCACGTACCAAGCTGCAGACTATCCTCGCGTGGCAGCGATCGAATTAGATCGTGAAGTCAGACCTGATGACATGAGCAACTTCTTTGTCGATTTCATGGAGACCGATCAGCTCGGCTACATCAGCAATTTGCATCTACAGATTTCTGATCAGGAGCCCCTCGGGACTTTGAGTCCCAGTTGCATTAAGCTCGCTGGTATGGCATCGACTGCCGTCGATTTCTCTAAGACAGGTATTCCGGTGGATATGAAGCAGCTTCCGAGATTTGACCGATGTCGCCCAGATTTCATGGTAACGCCCTCTCATGTGAATTTTTCAAGGATACATCAGCTAACGATCACGACAGGCACCGAGCCCACGTGTGTTCGTTTCCGAGAGCGGCTTCCTCGACCTCGAAGACGACGACCGCGAGCCCGATGATGCCTTTGAAGGTCTTGACGCTGAGCGTCGACCACAGAGATACTACGAAAGCAACAAAGTGTTAGGCCACCTGTACCGTGATATTGACGAGAGAGAATTCCTCAATGTCATGCATCGTGCGCGCGACAGTGTTCACAACGAGCAGCCTGTCGGCGACCGGGATCGACGACAGCCTCTACAGAGACTACATCGCTACCTGCAGCACTGGGCTATGCAATACGGCCTGATCTGGAAACATCACCTTGCCCTTGCTCGTGACATCAAGGAGACCTTCGAAGCCAGCGTCGCCGATATCGCCTACGACTTCGAGCCTTCTGCGCACAACCCGTTGACGGAGGCCGAAATTTTCTCCGGCACGATCCTTGGCCGTCAAGGTGGCGCGCAAGGAAAGACACTCCGGGAATTAGACAAGAACATGTGTCTCCGCTTCGAAACCGTCATGGAGTATACCGTCATGCGCATTATGAAGGGCGATCAACAAATTCGACAAGCAGACGATCTGGATGATCTTTACGATCAATACTCCGAGCGTGAGATTGAGGCACTGCCGCGAGCTTTAGCCTGCCTGCAAGTGGCGATGGAAGAACCGGGGTACAGGGATCGCGCGGTGGGCGAACTCAAAGGCTTTCGCTACGTGGCGGCGGAAGTCGCGTTGAGCGAATTGAGGAGGTACCAAATCACGACTCTGGGGACATATTCTTTGCCTCTGGCTTGAAGCAGGTGCACAGAGATGGGGATGCTCGTTTGATCAATTTCATACGTTACGTTTGTTTCACAAGTTAGAGCGCATAAGGCGCGTGTTGCATGCTCAGCAGCAATGCTCCGAGATCGACTATTTTGGAAAAATGGAATCATTCAAAACAATGACTTCGTGAGGGAGAGTAGTCGATGTGTCTGCTGGGTCTGATCTGTCGGTTGTCGATGACCTCGGTCGTTCATATTGCATGGGGGGTCTTTGGATTCCAAGCCGACTCGATCGGCCACCGTGTTCGTTGGGCCTCGGTAGCGAGAGATTTCGATATGTCGTGGATGGGGATCCTTCAACGCAGTCCACGAAGACCGCAATTTCTTGCAAGCTTTTGATTATCTTTTGATGGTCCAAAGCTATTCGAGCGATGTTGACGACAACCACGTTTTGTAACAGCAAGCGCAATTCCGGAGCTTTGAATGTCACGAAGTCGTTTTGATGCTCGCATTTGTCGATGGAAATTTGGCAGCATTCGTGGCTTTCTCTCTTTGCTTCGCCACAATGATGTTCTCTTCGATTTGATGCTCGGCACGGGGTCGAGGAACGATCTTGGTCTTCTTCGGTGCCTTGGCTACCGCCAGTGCATCTTCTTGGAATTGTTTCCAGGCTCCGACGCCCCAAAGCCTCGTCACGTCGAATTTCTCGGTGTACTTGCATGCGAGGTGGTGGTCTGACATGATTGATATGGTGGATTCTTAGCGACGAGGATATCGGAAGTCTCTCCACAGAGAAAGGCGCTTGTGATGTCATTCGCCAGTACGCGGGTTCGAGTCTTATGTGACGTGGCAGGCGTTGATCTGTATGCTGGATGGCTGCTCAACAGAAATGCGATCGAATCATACTTGATCGCCGTGGTGGAAGGAATTTATGCAGCAAGAGTCTGTCACCTTATGACAAGACCTAGTATGCCCAGATGGTCATCACTCACAAGGTCGCACAAGATCCACAGTCTTCGGGGATTGAGCGACCGGTCAGTTGCGACACGTGCTGTCATTGCGGCACAGTCAACGTGATCTCAAAAAGTGGCAATGTCTGCTCCCACATTGGCATGTGCGCTCATCTCCGGAATCGCTTGGGCAGTCACTATTTGAACATCATTGTCTTCTGGTCGCGGCGCAGTATGAGTGGCAGACAAGGTTGTCACTCTCCTGGGAGTTAGAACAGAATCAATTCACTTGATCTACCTTCATCATTCTAGTATCCGGAATACGCCAAATGGACGTTTGAAATGACTTGAGATAGAGCAAAACGCAATGAGCCATTTTGATCAAGGTTGACAAGGCGTTTCCTTTGCAATCACTGATTGACTGATGAGGGCGCCTTGGCCTCGAGATCTAAGGATCTCATTGCCCGGCAATGTTGCCAGCTCTCATTGACGGCAGTCATCACGTGCACATGAACAATCCGATCAACAATTTGATTCATATATCATTCAGGAATCATGTCCATCGCGTGCGACAACGACCGCACAGATAGTGGACTATTTTGACGTGAGTACGTATATCAATTCGTGTTTGACTGGGAGATGTGAACCGCGCCGGCACGTGATTGGACGTCACTTTGGGACTAGCGCTATTGGCCGTCCGCTTCGCAACAGTCCGACACCCAGCTTGCCGCTGATGACGGCAGTTGTGCTGGCTACCTGCTGCATATCACAACTCAAACATCCTCAACCGCTCACCACAAAGCCAGCCGCTGTCACAACACAACTAGTTCTTGTTGAGCCTGTCGATTCCAAACCAGAAGACTCAACAATCATGGCATCTGCCGAAGTTGCCAACCCTGCCCACACAGAAGCACCCCATCAAAGACGCCAGATCGCAAATCAGTCCGCCACAAAGGTAGATAGCATTGATGGTCTATCAGACTCAGACGACCAGTATGCCACCTACAAAAAGCTACAGCGTCAATTAGAATACATCAAGCTGCAAGAGGAATACATCAAGGATGAACAGCGAAGCCTGAAGCGGGAGTTGGTACGCGCACAAGAGGAAATCAAGCGGATACAAAGTGTCCCACTTGTCATCGGACAGTTCATGGAAGCGATTGACCAAAACACCGGCATTGTGCAGTCATCGACTGGAAGCAACTATGTGGTCCGCATCCTCAGCACCTTGGATCGGGAGCTGCTGAAACCTAGCTCAAGTGTGGCGCTCCACCGACATTCGAACAGCTTGGTCGACATCCTTCCGCCGGAAGCTGATAGCAGCATTGCGATGTTGGGAGCGGATGAGAAGCCGGATGTGTCATACGCAGATGTCGGAGGTCTCGATATGCAGAAGCAGGAAATTCGCGAAGCGGTGGAGTTGCCGCTCACACAATTCGATCTCTACAAGCAAATCGGTATCGATCCGCCCCGTGGTGTACTTCTCTATGGTCCTCCTGGAACAGGCAAGACTATGCTGGTCAAGGCGGTTGCAAACAGCACCACAGCGTCGTTCATTCGAGTGGTTGGTTCGGAATTCGTTCAGAAATATCTTGGAGAAGGACCACGTATGGTCCGAGACGTCTTCCGTATGGCTCGGGAAAACAGCCCTGCAATCATTTTCATCGACGAGATCGATGCTATTGCCACAAAGCGTTTCGATGCACAGACCGGTGCCGACCGAGAAGTTCAACGTATTCTGCTGGAGCTTCTGAACCAGATGGACGGTTTCGATCAGACCTCTAACGTCAAGGTTATCATGGCCACCAACCGAGCAGACACACTAGACCCCGCTCTTCTACGACCAGGTCGTCTTGACCGAAAGATCGAATTTCCTTCCCTTCGTGACAGACGTGAGCGTCGTCTCATTTTCTCCACTATCGCGTCCAAGATGAGCCTGTCACCCGAGGTGGATCTCGACTCCTTGATCGTCCGCAACGATCCACTCTCCGGTGCCGTGATTGCAGCAGTAATGCAGGAAGCCGGTCTACGCGCTGTCAGAAAGAACCGCTACAATATCATCCAGCAAGATCTGGAGGATGCATATACCAGCCAGGTGAAGGGTGCGAGCGAAGCTGACAAATTCGATTTCTACAAATGAACGAGTTATCCAATTTATGATTGCGTTGCTACGGGGAGACGGTCATCGAGACTAGACGAGGGTTTTTGATTCGACGTTCGGATCGACAGCTAGAGAAGCCTCCGCTTCCTGTCCTGCCGTATGTACTATAGAGCCTGGACTCGAAATACATTGATGATGCATGACCATGGCCATGACCCAATGTCCGGGCTTCCATCAGTATGATGCGGAATGTATGGACCATGAATTACATTAGGCAACAGACCCATGTCACACCGCTCGGGAGCATTCCCACTGTAACGAATCGCACAACACTTGTTGGTGCGATTGCATTAAGTATGCAAATTAGGGTTGTCATTGTTGTCGTCAACGTTGGGCTTACGTTAGATTTTAGAGGCAGTTCTTCTTGAAGTAACAAGAAAAACGATGATGACAGCGTGCTACGAAAGACGTCTACGCTCACCCTACCGACTTGCGTACCGTCCATGAGGCTCAAGTATGACCCCTAAGTAAGGTTGGTGCTCCCCCGAGTGCTTGTCAATCACAACCTGACATCGAATGTCCCCTCGGAGACGACGCAGCAGAAAGGGAATTACTTAGCGGCCACGGCTTGTGGGCGATAGGGATTGATCCGGAGATAACGGGACGGTGTCTCTGAAATACAGCGATTTGCGGATTTTGCGACAGTGCCGGACTTGGTGTGGATGGGAGTTAATATCCCTAGTATATATATTCTGCGCGTATGTCAATAATGTAGGTTTAGTGAAAGTCCATGTGCATTCGACCGTCATCCTTCACGATCAGAGGGATCTCCCTTATGATCCGCTATAACACTATCATAATCCGCAGGGTAACTTTTCAAAGCCACTGCGAACCATTTCCGTGCCGGATGATCCGGATCTAGGAACTATGGGGTTTCGCCCTAGCTGATCCGTCTGAGTCAGATAAGTTGTCAGACGATGACCTCGTCGGGTACTACTTTTTTTGATTTCAAAGCATGATTGATGAAGGAGAGGTAGGAATACTCCTAAATTTCGCCGTTGTAGCCGGGCAGTGCTGAACCGTGGCGGAATCAAGTTTTAGGAGTAACCAGCGCGAATATGCATCGCTCATCTTCACAAAAGAAAATATCTTGCCCAGAAAACTTGGCTGGTCGAATTGAAGAACGTAGAGCAGACTTCTGGAACGTTCTTGGTCGCCTGGACGCTCATTGTTCTTCTGCGCCAGGTTTGTAATTCGTAAGCAGTGCCCAAGCGTTGAGCTCTGCAGGCCCAAGTTTGGCCCAATGAGGCGGCGGTCGGCGCCGGGGGCGCTTCAAGAAGCGAAGGACAGAGGATCAGTCTGACAACACGTCTATTGATCCAAGAATAAGTTTGAATGAAAGTCACCGATGTTGATCAGTTGGAACAACTCCACGAATCTGACTTGTTGGAGCACTAGATTGTTGGATGATACGGCCTGGAAAACGAGCCCTCGATCAGTCATTTAGGTGCTCTGCAAACTAGATACTTTCGGTCATCTCCGAGATGTTGGAGACCACCCCAAAAGGTGAGGAACCCGGTGAACGATGCATGGTTTCACGGGCGTTGGCCACGCGTGGAGTGCCTCGGGTCGCCCTCATGAAGAGAAACCGTACGGGTAATCCGATAGCAACTCCTGCTCAACAAGCAGATCTGTCCCTCGATATTGAAACATGAATGGTTTGCAGATCAATTTTTAGGCCGTCCAATTCTTGGCCTGCAGAGTCATGTTAGCACGGCGAAGGCCGAATCCTTGACGAAGGCAATGTCGCGATTCTCTGCAGAGGGGGAGAAAAACATATCTGGTTGGCAACGAAGGAGTTAGATGCATGTAGAGTGTCCTGTCCTTTTAGGGGAGGCTGGAGCGGTACTCTACAGAGCTACGCTAGCCGTCTAGAAATGAAGCAGTTATCAGAGTCTCTGGAAGTTCTTGATAATGGCTCTTCTTTACAAGAATTTAATTGACCGTCAACAGATTTTGAGGATTGGCGAGTTTTCTTGCGAGGACGCTTTGCTTTGGGTTGATGAAATGTGCGCCATACGTCGAAAATATGCCGGATGGACGACTGTTCGAAGTGCTGTGATCCAATTCTGATTGCAGGAGGCCGAAGCATCTCGACAAGCCTGGACAATATCGTGCTTCTCCGCCCCAATTGCGCGCCAGGTTTCAGCTAACCATCAGCTCTGCTCGCGATTATGCATGCTTGCTTGGAAGGCCTGACTTTGGGCCCCCCTCCGCCCTTTCGCTACACTTCGTTTCGCTTTATTTTCCACGCTTGCATTCGTGGTGGAGGCTGTGTCGCATTCGCCAGTGTTGGACACGGTCGTTTTGGCAGCACACGCATTATTGTTCATGGAACAAACGCGAAGCCGTGTAGCAGCTCATCTGCGGACCAGAATCCTGCAGGCTGAATTGAGCCTGAGGGGCCAGCCCGGCCTGATCTGACCGCATCATAATCACATCTGTTCATAGGAGACTACGTTCCGGAGACACGGGAGGTTATTTCGCCCGACCTCAGACGACCTGGATCGTGGTTTCCTTCCCACCACTGTGATCGGCACAAACTAATAGCCGAGACTGCTGTATTGTTCGACGCGAACGGCAAGCGACGTGATAAGTACAGTAGGGCGGTGCACAAATGCAGGCTCGCAGGAAGGAACCCCCACAAAGACCATCAATCACTCCAATCTTACTCTGGGCGCGAGGCCTAAAAATGATGGCCGCCCAATGAATGTTCTAGCGACGCTGTGGATCCTGCAGCCCAAGAACCCCGTGGCAGAACTAATGCGCCGATCGATGGGTAGGCCGACGAGCAGCACGCGTGCGTGGGAATGCCATGTGTCGGAAGGAATCTGTGCCGGGAGGGATCAAACAACGTTATGGTCACTAGAAAGCAAACTACTGTCTCGTTATGGACACACCTGGGCAGTCCTGATTCTGGGGCCGTCGGCGAGATGAAAAGTGCGAGCTTTTGCCGTCTTTTCTCCCTGCGCGGCTTCGCATCACTTCGGATGACGAGTGCTAGTTCTCTTCGAAAGCAATGATTGCAGGAGTGGTACACACCTCTCGGTCATCCAATGCACGCTCACCATTTGCTTCGCCACCCTTTTGTTCTAGTCTACACGATTGAATTCACACCTTTAGTGCGGGTTTGCGCAAGCAGGGGTTCGCAAGCCATTGTGGATCGACGTGGGCACGACTCGTGAGAGCATCGTGGATCCAGTGCTCGACTGTGGCGCAATTTCAGCGGTATGTACTCAGGTGAACATCGTGAGGCCTTAGGGCAAGGGCGGGGCGGCTGACGCTGCTTCGCTCTGCATTATGATGGTTCCGTCAGACAAACAGTATGTGAAGTTTGGTGCTTCAAGAGGACGAGGTAGTCACCCACGGTCTCAAGTCAGAGCATGAATCCTGATGAGGTGCATTCGTTGCCTCGATGCAGCCATCGCGCACGGCATACTGCATGCACAGGACGTGCAATGACTTTCGGAACGGACACGCTCTATTAGCATTCTTTCGTCCCGTTCTACCCGGGACTCACCGCAAGGGTTAACAGTCTTGGAACGAGAGCGACATCATTCGTCAATGAGGAACAAACAGACACATGCCGCCGTGACATACATGCCAACTGTTGCTCGTCACCAACATCTACAACCCGCATAGATTGTTCCAACGATGCCCTAGACTGGAAAAGCGTCACACCGCCGGCCGACCACACCACGCACAATTTCCCACGTTGGCATCGGTTGGCACCATAGGAGTCGTTGCCCAGTATGACAGTGATCGTCGCTGTTAGATGGGCCGCTATGGGACAATCTGCGAATGAGAGGGAGGCATTGTAAGTATTGGTTTCCTTGTGAACTGTGCACGAGCTTGGCACGGCTTCGCGTCCGGCACCGGGCCTGCCTGCCCTACCATCAGCACTCGTGCTGATACTGATACTGCACGCTGCGCACATGGGTATGCCCGCCCTAGTCATCATCTATCCCACTTCCTCATCAGTGGCTCGCACTTTGCTGCTGTTGATGCGGATTATTTTTAGGTCTGACTTCCGAAACCCTCGAGCTTCAGGGCTACGGACAGGGTGGAAGAACGCGCGAGGCCGCATTCAGGTCGATTTTGCGAGACCGAGTCGACCACTGGCCATCATCAAAATGGAATACGATCGTCCGTAATGATTGCGGCTTGCTGATATATATGGCAACGCGCGGTGTCCGTATGACGGCGACACGGAATGTGATGAGGCAGGGGAAAGCGGGATGACGTTGCGGAGGAAGTCTGCGGCCAAAGGGTCTGAGACTGTACGACCACTGTAAGATGTCCCGAACATTCAAAGAGGATGTGCACCATCGGAGCCATGTGGCCATATTCATCTATTGAGACCTCGCGTAACAAACCGACAGCGCGGGGTGCAAACATTGCGGGAAGTGAATTCGCGTATTGAGCGTCGACGTGACGCGGGAGACCGAAGAGCGAGAACATGGGCCGCAAAAGAGCTCTGTGGCCGTGCGGCAGTAGCCTTGCTGCTTCGACTGGCCAATGGAGAAGACCATAAAATGAGACCGGAGAACAAACGACCAACTTGGCGATAGTCGAATGTTCCATACCTTTCATCGCTCATTGGTCGCAGGATCGTGCGAACGGGTGCCATCGTGGGCTGTGGCGTCGCAAATGGGCCTATTGTGCTATGTTTGTATGCACGCACTGTGCATAGGAATTGATGGGTGATCGATATATGATACAGTACAAATCGTGGTACAATATCGGCCCACCAAAGAGAGGGAGGGAGAGACACACCGTGAGCAAGCGGGAGAGAGCCCGCGCGGACAAGGCGCAACGTCGGAACTTCGCCTCTCCCTCGTGGCCCGCCGCCCGTGAGGTTCTGGCGTGAAACGCTAATTCCCAGGCGTACATACGAAAAACCCGCCCTTCCATCGCTTCTCACACCATTTCCTTGTTGGGAAAGGACGAGCGAAGCCACCACCTTCGAAATCTTACACACCTGGGCACACACACTTTCTCTTTCACCCTCATCATCATTGTTCCACACTCTCACACGCGAGGTGCAGCGGCACACACCTACATATCCAGTCTGATACGCGCACAGGACATCAGAGGACAGCCCGTAGCAGGGGAATCGGGTAGCCGGTGTGCATGTCGGTACTGAGGTACTTGAAGTATTTATTTTTACATATTAATATCATGATGCGGGAAAAAAAACAAGGTCCTGGCAGATCGGGTCAGCACGGGGGCGATGTACCACCGTTCTGGAGGGAGTGTTCGGCGTTGTTCCCTCGGGGGCCTTTTCCTGATGGGTGTGTCAAGCCAGGCCCGTCCGTCCGCCAGCCTGATCGAAGACGGAAATGATGATGGACGATTGCTGCGTCTCCGACCGAAGATGTGGAGGGTCTATCCACTGATGAGGTGAATGCTGGCAGTGGTGGTGATGGTGGTGGTAATGGTGTTGGTGGTGATGATGATGGTTAACGCGTGAGTTCTGCGGCGGCGGGTGTGTGTGTGGTGGGTGGGCCTCCTTTCACGACCATCTCGCCCACCCTTTCCCACATGCGCACGTTGTCGACTAGCACACGTGGTAAGCAAGCTGAGCGTTGCTGCCCTGCTAATTCTCGCTGGTCGCGCGACTCGTCTCGTTTACGTCTCATAATGACTCTCATTCGATCACTGCCCTGTCGCGGTGCCCAGAGCTTTTTGGGGGGGTGCGCAGGTGCAGTAGAGTTCAGAGCCTAAAAGATGTTAATCCTGGACAGACTTGAAATGCTTCATAGCGCCGCCGTCTGGTGAAGTCTTTCTCAATAATACTACACACCAGCAGCCCTTGGACGATCGTCCTGGGATTGATAAAAGTATCTGTCGGTCCTGTTCATCTGAGGTGCGTCTCCACTCTCGATCCCTCCTGCCATCAATCGTCGACGACTGTGCGCTTTACATCCCATTCACATGCCTCTTTGGATGAACCATGGACTCACCAGCAGCCTTTCAATCGCCTAGCAGTCATCCTTCCCGCTCTCGTGCTCAAACCAATAACCTATCCCGCCCTCGCACAACCTCCTACGCCGTCGCCGTTGATAGCCGCGGTGCCATACAGAAACGGTCGAGACAGAACGATCATACCCGTTCCATCTCCTTGTCACAGGATCGTCTATTCCGGCTGGCCACCGAGCAGTCAAACGCTCAATTTGTTCCTCCAACAACTTCCATACCGGACCCGTCTCTGGGTCTTCAACTTCAGTGGATCACTCCTCAACACTCCCCACAACCTCAAGGATTCTCAGAGCCCGTTATCGAAGCCTTCCCGCAGTGGTCCGTCCCGACTCCTCCCCGATCAGACTCAGGTATCCCGAACGTTGTCGACGCCGACGATTCCTCCGCTTGCATCGGCTCCTCCGCCGGATTTGATCACTTCGAGCCTGCAACCGCCGCCGAAGAGATGAGGTGTGTTACACCAAAACGAAACGCTGTGTTACGAAGATCTGACGACCGCGATAGCTCATTAGGCTACCTGCTGCCGTCGCAGTATGGCGCATCACCATACGAGTCGGAACAAAACAGCAGTAAGCTTCTTGTTGGCAAGCATCGACGACGACTCAACTAACCACCATGGTAGACTACGCTCCTATGGAACCCAACTCGATACCACCTATGCGCACACCCCAAACCTCGACAACAAGTGCACCAGCTTCATATGCGCCTGGCGCATCTACCAGCCCAGCTCTGTATCAACACGCCCGACATCCAGATGCTGCCCGACGTTTCCCTGACTCTCCTTCATCCTACGAACAAAGCTACCGAGCGGTAGCGACAAGTAATCCTTACGACATGCGTCCGAGCAGCAACTACTCTGTTGTCTCGGGCCCAACGATCCCGCCCATCAGTGGCCTCACACAAAATCAACTAGGATCACCTCAAGCGAGCCAGATCTCACACTATACCAGCGGGCATCTTCCACCAAGGTTGGTCCAACGTTACAGGTCACGACATTCGATGAGCTCTGCTGACCGGTCGTCTAGACCTTCATCATATGATAATGCTCCTGCATACGGCCAGCCTTCCTCATACACTACTGCACCACCACCGCCTTCAGCATATGGCATGTCAAGCCAAAGCTATCCCGGTCCCTCATATAGCAGCAGCAGTGCCAATGAACTAGCCCATCAAAAATCACCAAGCGGTGACTCCACGGTCCGCGTACTGAATCAACGACCGAAACCACAATGTTGGGACCATGGATGCAACGGCAGGCAATTCTCTACCTTCAGCAATCTACTACGACATCAACGTGAAAAGTCGGGTACCGCCGCTAAATCCTACTGCCCAAGATGCGGCGCCGAATTCACACGCACCACCGCGAGAAATGGCCACTTGGCGCATGACAAGTGCACCAAACAACGGCAAGGATCGGACTCAAAGTAGGCGAATCGATCCCCCAGATTTCGCGCGCGCGTCACATCACGCCGCATCTGTCACCGGTCTACGGCTCACGGCGCTGCACTGTGCCGCATGGTCAACGCTGCGTATCGCCTGCGGCCGGGCGGCACAAACACACCTTTCCGGACGAATCACCGTCCGAGAGCTTGCTTGTTTTTGCATGTATTTCGTATCGACATCTGAGCAATCAATGTCACGAGCGACGGGACGGACTTGCCCGTCAATTTTCTGTTGCTCATTCTTTGTGGCGCGTAGGTCACACATATGGGTTGAGTGGGATGACAAAGGCCAGCGCCTCTGCGCCCGAAATACCATTAGGTCTGGAGTCTGGGAAATTTTTCGTGTTTGGGAGAGAGTTTTCTATTCTGGTTTTACTGATGCTGGCATTTGTACAGCGAACACATCGCACACATAGTGATGTTGTGAATTTTAGCTAGAGCGAGATCTGGGTCGCGCAAGGGAAGGAAATGCGGTGGAGCTGGTCAGACGATGGCGTACAGTACGATCTCCGCTACAAACCGGGTTCGCTATGCAGACTATGACAATGATTTACATACAGATCGTTTACCGACCGCCGCGTCCGCGTCATCAATCTGAATGGTATCCAGACCGTTCCTGTGCCGTGGTCGGTGAGGATGACGTTTTGACACCCAGAGATTGTCCAAGCACGAGGTCGCTTAGCAAAGAATCCTTCGGAACTTCACCAAAATCCCATGGAAAATCGTCGATCGAGCGGACGTTTCTTCCTTGTATAGGAGGAGGACAAAAGGAGCGGGAGGAGGAAAGTTGGTGGATGCCCAGACGGTTGTGCCGCAACAGCATCCAATCTGGCACAGTTCAAGCATAGAACCCTAAGACACCAACCACATGGGGTGCCCCCGATCCCATACCTTTACTCTCGCGTAAGATGTTCCACCCGAAGCGGGCCCTAATTGGCCTAGTGGAAGTCACGAGGAAAGGCCGACATGCGACCAGGGAAAGTGTATCGTGGTATTTCCGGTGGATTGCCTCGCTGATCTTCCAATAGGCGTGCCACATTTCGTGAGATGTCATTCAGGCATACATGACAACGCACACCTACGTACAGCAGGTGACGATCTACACCACGATGGCTCTGCGCCCAGCTGTTAGGTGATAGAGGCAGAGAGCGAGCGAGCGAACAGACAAACGAGCGAGGGAAACGGGGTAGAAGCGGTGTGGAGTCATGTCAGATCAGCCCTACTTGTGATGCACATCGCGTGCTTCGTGCACTCTCGTGCGCAGGAGAGCACAGTGCGTTGCGACTCGTGTTTCATCAATCTGGTCCCCATCCATCGCGCAGGGATCGAATCCTTGCACGCGACGAGTTCACTTTCTGTTCACAGTCGATCCTGACCGAAGGGAGGATAATACAAGGGAGCGCCGGCAACACCATCGCTAGGTGACCTGTTGGGCCAAACACTGGTGCTTGTGACAGGCCCCTCCATAATCGCGGGCATTCGGTGTGAGATCAGGCTGATCCGCCAACATCGCTTTCGTGCGTGGGTCCTCCATCCCTTCCCCTTCCTGCGGTGTGGTCGTCTATTCGCGGCGCACGTATACAAATCCAGAAAATGATCAGCGTCTCCATCGGGCACCTTCTTGCATAGGCAAGGATAACCAATATCCCTTGTCACTCGCACACACACACCGTGACAGCTTCAGCCGGCCATGTCACTACATGCGACACGCTTCATGTGTTATGTGAATGGTGGTGCTCCATCCCGCAGCAGAGATTATGCATACGCAGCTCAAGTACGTAAAGAAGCGAAGACGGAAATAGCTTCATGCGCTGGACCCGCACGTTCGCATTTTAGTCCCGTCCCAGCCTCATGTCCCCATGGAGCAGGTGGGTGTGCGTGTGCGTGTGCTACTGTAGCCCGCCGCATGGCCAACGCGTGGGCGACGCGCGCCCAGCGTGCAGAAAAACGCACGACGGAAGACCCGGCATCTTGGGGCTGCTCCTTTCCACGGGCGTTTTTGGCGCGCAACGACAGGAGCAGGAGCAGGAGCAACAACAGTATCTCTCCGTCTCTTCTGCATTTCCAACCTGATGGGTAGGAGCCATCCCTTCCGCGCTGTCCCCAGATAGGAGCCGACAGGTGACATTCCTTCTTCCTGCCCCGTTCGCTTGAGGCCATCGGCGGACGTTTTACGGTGGAGCGAGCGGCGTCAGAGAACGTGGTCGCTTTGCGGAGACGCATTCCTCTATGCAGGCCGTGGTCCTTTGAAGGTTACACAGCGCGGACTTCACGTTGTCCATCATGAGCAGCACCGTATGTTCGTCACTCGTTTTGAGATTTCTGTCAGACCCGCGCATGGCGAATTTTCTCCGGTAGATGCTCTGATGGAAATATTTCGCAGCATCATTTGATGCCTGTCCATTGCCCCTCTTTACGCATCCCGCACGTCTGCCCGGAACGAAGATTATCCGCGAAATTTGTTTACGGTGTCCGTATCTATTACGATGGCAGAGCTCGGACCACACACGCCTGCTCCGGCGGTGATGATTGCTCGATGATGATGGAGGGCATTGACCACCATGGGGTTCCGCAACACCATGTGTTTGACCATACTCCGTTAAGCAAGAAATCCGCAAGATAGTCGACGTCGACGATTCGAGTTGTGCCTAATCGACATAATGATCGCCATCCTGGTCACAGCGATTCACTCGAGTCCTGCCGACTCGACACCGCTTTCGCCTTGGCTGCCAAGCGCAAGGTAGCGAGCGCTTCAAGGCGCGCAACGGCAGAACTTCACGAGAGTATGACGATCGAACGAAGGAGTCTGTAAGGATCCCAGCACGAGCGCGACCCTGTGCGAAGTTGCTCGATAGACTCAACGGCCAAGCATAGCATATGAAGAAACACGCAAAGCACTGGCCGGGCTGGACCACGCGTTTCCACCTAGCCGGTACCGCTTCGCTTCACGAATATTTACGCCTGCGACTAGACTGCAATGTTCTGAGAGAGAGCTTCGAACAGCTCCGAGTGAAGCGACACCGAAGCTCTGCGCACGCGAGATTTACCTGAATTCCCCAATGATGACCGCCACCGGGATAATTCATCCTACAGCATCCCCAAGATTGCTTTTGATCGAGCCAGGAACTGCTTTGCCAGAAGCAGCAGTATGGCCCGAAGTGTGGGACTTTACAACACCACCACTACTTTCAGAAATACGCGAGATGCTCTCCCTTGTACTATCTTCATCTGGAACGGGGCGCAACCACCGGCCGCCACCACAGCGATTCACGTGCTGTTCCCGGCGGAGCCGCAACATCACACTGCAAAAGCAGCCCAAAACAGGTTTGATTCGATACGCCACACGAGATACCAGATACACGCGGTGGGACCGTGGAGTGTCTGAAGCTATGGAGCATGTATGAGGGGCAAAAGCGTAGGATTCGAAAGGAATGCCACGCTGCCCACTTCCCATGGCCTCGCATGGCCTCGCATGGCCTCGCATGGCAAAGGTAGGATTCCATAGTGGGCGACTCGCGTGCGCCATCGTCGTTGCTTTGCCTGCCCGTTTCACTCTTGCTTCGACTCTAGGATTCCGGACCATCTCAATTTGGTCGATGCTATCCTCAGATCCACAGGGTGGCAAAGTTTGGCAATTGAACGTGTACGGCACTATTGACAGCCGAACATGGTTCATGCCCGACGCCGCCCTGAGCGGTGTCTCATGTGTTTTGTCTGTATAGTGGGTACTGTAGTCATTCCCCCACACTTCCGCGCAAGTGATATCTCCGAGCAATTGAGCCCAAGTGCTGTGTTGTGAACATTGATGTGGCTTACATAATCACACATGAGGCAAGTCCTGGTCGAGGCGAGCGAACGTTGGCAAACCGGCGGAGAATTTTGTGGAGATTCAACCACAAGAACCCTGCGGTCTCAATGTACGAATGCGGCGCGGTGCAATACTCTGGGTTGATGAGTCACGTGAATGCCATGAGTACAATACCAGTCATACCTTCAGGGCTCAACACGTACCCTGAATTTGGGGTGAGACGTCACTCGTTGTCCTCTGGTCGGGACTCTTCACGATCACATAAACACGCGGATCATGCGCAACAAAGAGTTCGAATACCATGACTTCCTCCATCTGATCAGTCGACCCGAAGCGCAGCTTGAAACCGCTTAAATTTACCATTTCCCGACAACGTTACAATGTACGCATCGATGGCCCAACAGTTCCGCATTCACCAGTCCCATACGAACACTCGCTATATAGCGCGGCATAAACAATTACAGAAGTGAACAACGCATGTTCCGAGGGAAATCCACTTATCTAGAGCTTTCATGACTTGGTAAAGCGATCATCAGCAAGAATTTGGGCACCGGCTCAAGCAAAAGTGGGAAGACATTGGAGGGAACCGCTTGGCGATATTTGATAGCTGCACAATATAATGGCCTCAATTTTCACCTATGATCCAGACCCGCCACGGGTGGCATCGCCGTGGCTACAAGCCATTGCCGACTTGCCCGACGAGCGTCCAGACGCCTCTGGTCCTAAATTATCCGTCCCGTCAGTTATGGAATGTAGGAAAGTCACTCGGTTGCAGGCTGAGCCTCAGGAGGGCCCCATTGAGTACAAGTTGCATTTGCTTCTGCGCCCGCGGCGGAAATTTCGATCGACAAGCACAGGTGGTCATACTGCGCCACCGAAGCATGCGAAATTTGGTCAGGCGATACCTGGACGTCGAGTCCCAGAAGCAGACGGCGGCCATGGCAATTATAACCCTGCCGCGCCAGCTGCGGCAATCTCAACTCAGCAGACGCGCCAATTGCGATTGGAGAAGCTTACTACCCAATTGATGTGGCGTCTGCAGCAATCTTCTCCACATCACACATCATCTGCCACTAATACCATCATCCCGGCGTTCCCAGAAGCGCTTCCAGAGCTCCAGGCACCTCAGGAGATCTCGAAGCTACTCCATGGCCTGGAGGAGAGCAAAGGCGCTCTTTATGAGATTGGGGTTACCGACGATGGCGCGCTCATTGGTCTTGCTGAGGATGAGATGTTGGAGAGTTTGAACAACCTACGAGCCATGGCGGCCTGTCTGGGATGTACGGTCGAAGTCCTGCGCAAAGAGGTAGTCGGAGAGTGTGAGTGGCTAGAGGAGTCTATCTCTGGAGGCAAGGAGCGCAAAATTCGCCGGGTTGGCAAGTTGATCGTTGTCGAGGCGCTCGTGAAACCTTTCTTGCATGCCAAAAGCCCGGTGATCGACTCCCTGGAGCTGCCACAGCATCTACCCTCTCTTGATGGGATCACCAATGATGCAGACTTGACTCCCTCGAGTACGGAGCAGCTCCGCATCACTCTTACTGGACCGACCATGTCGGGAAAATCAACCTTGCTAGGAACGTTGACAACTTCGACACTGGACAATGGTCGAGGAACTAGCCGTTTGAGTATGCTGAAACATCGCCATGAAATCACATCGGGTATCACGAGCTCCGTGACACAAGAACTGTTAGGCTATCAGGACGGTACCGGAGGAAGTCTGGAGGTTGTCAATTATGCGACTGAAAATGTCGCAGCATGGATTGATATTCATGTCGCGGCGGCAAACAACAGACTAGTCCTGGTGTCCGACTCAGCCGGTCATCCGCGTTACAGGCGCACTACATTGAGGGGACTCGTTGGTTGGGCACCTCACTGGACTTTACTCTGTATACCTGCAGGCGACGTATCAACCACGTCCAACATCGTAGGATCTCCGCTGCAGCAACCTGGCGCTGTCATGTCCGAAATGGACCTTTCGGGTGCTCAGATGGACCTATGCCTCCGTCTGTCGCTGCCTCTGGTCATCGTCATCACCAAGCTTGATCTCGCATCACGCTCTGGCCTCCGTGAGCGTTTGACTAAGATTTTGGACACGCTTAAAGCTGCTGGGAGGAGACCTGTCATCCTCCCCAATCGCCCTGGTGCAGTGTCCGAAGAGGATTTACAATCCCTTCCCACATCTGCCCTGGACAGCGTGCGCAGCGCTATTGGCCCGTCATTCGAGGACAAGCTGTCCATAGTGCCTATTGTCTTGACAAGCGCTGTGGATGGTACTGGCATTGGAAATCTTCATTCTCTGCTCCATGTATTGCCCATTTCAGCTTCGCCAGCACAAGTAGTGCATGACGCGCAGTCCGCAGTTTTTCACTTGGAAGATGTTTACAGCAAGCCTGCTGAAGGCTCAGGCGTCATCATCTCCGGACGCTTGCGATCAGGCTTGATCTCAGTCGGAGATGTGCTAGAGCTCGGCCCATTCTCGGGTCATGACCCTCTCGACGACTCGGAGGATTCCGATGAACGACCTCTGCGCAAAGCCAACGCCCAGCCTCTCGCCTCTCGCTCATTCCCTGGTGCCCTGCGAGGCGCACATTTCGCCTCCCCCTCCCTTGCACTTCCCACACAAGAGTGGCGGCGTGTCAAGGTCACTAGCATCCGCAATCTACGCTTACCAGTTCACTTCCTAAACGCCGACCAAGTCGGCACCATCGCCGTCGTGCTAGAAAACGAGGACTCGGCGAACAGGCGAGCTTCTGACCTTGCACTCTCCCGCATTCGTAAGGGCATGGTCCTCGCGAGCTCGCGACCTGTCGCGACCCGCACTTTCAGTGCGCGCTTCAAGCGCGAAGACCTCGAATCGCTCGCCGTCGGCAACCATGTGGTGGTATACATCTCGAGCGTGCGCGCGTCCGCAAAAATCATCTCCGCGCGGACGCCCGATACTGCGCCCGCGTCTCCTGTCCTGGATGGACAGAGTCATGAGCCGTTCTCCTTTGATGATGTTAATGCTAGTCTGATGGATGGGAAAGAGATGTTTGGACCTGTGGCAGGAGTGGTCACGGCCGCGGAATTGGTTGTGACTTTAAGCTTCGATGCGGCGAAGGAATTTGTCATGGTTGGTGATCAAGCTTTGCTCATGCCGGGAGGCGGACCAGGTCTGTATGGTGGGCTGGAACGTGGAGAGAAGGGTGTAGCTGGCTTGGAGGGCTTTGTTGGACTCATTACGGAGGTCCATGCGTGAAGCTTTGTGCGCGTGTTGCTTATCGCTACGTGACTCTGGGCTGAGGTGGTTGTGATGTTGGAGCATGGTGGTACCGAGACAGATTGTAGGCTCATTGATGTGAGAAATGAAACTGCAATGCCGCGTTGATCTCGCAGGACTTTCGTAAGACGAACTGTCGATCCTGCCTGACCACTACATCGATTGATTGACCTCAAAACTCTATTCATACATTCGTCATGCTTTCGCGCTCTGTCATTCCGAAGCTGAGCATTGTCATGCTATGGACACAAAAATTGATCGTAAGACCTTCCCGTGTGGGAGCTCACACACACTCCGCCTCTCATGAATCGCCAAAAAGCCCCGCAACACCATCCAGACCGGCCTCGTCTCCATGGTCGATGCCAGCCTTTTGCTCGACTTTCATATACTGTTGGGGCACACTACTCCGCCGGCCCTTCTTAGCCGCCGCGAGCTCCTTCCTCCGGTCGATCTTGCCAGCTTCATGGATACTGACGCCGCGCACTCTTTCTAGGAGCTGGAGTACCATGGAGCGTTGATTCCGCTCGCTCTTCGCGCTTGAGCTGAGGAGCGTGCGAATCGTCGAGTCCACTGCGTTCGGATCCATCGATGGCAGGGAGGCGATGACCTCGCGAGGGCGCTGCGATCTGGGCGAATAGAGGACGATGATTTGCGTGATCAGCATTGCGAGATCTTTCTGCATGTCGACGAAGTAGGGCTCGTTGAGTGAGGAGATGCAGGCTTTGAGGACCTCCGTGCAGATGAAGTCGCCGACTTGTGCGGCGACGACCTCGGTGATTGATGTATGGTTCGGCGAGGCGAATTGAGGGATGATGCTGCGGAAGATTTTGCAGATCATTTGGCAGCATCGTGTGTCCTGCATGCGAAGCGCGTGGGTACAAAATAGGATCAGCGGTTCCAAGATACTCGGATCGGAGAGAACCATGCTGGTCACAGAAGGTTTGTCGGCGACGCTGACACTGCCATTCTCCGCGGGTGCGCTGTGCGACTTTTCGTGCTCCAATAAAAATGAGACGAAAGCGACCATACTGTAGGTGATCTGGCGCAGAACGCTTTCAGTCCGCATTTCGTCGCTCAGGTCATCGTCCTGAAGTTTGTTCTGTTCAGCCGTCCGGGCGACCGCATCCCACTCTGCGGCAATCTTGGCATCGAGCGCGACAAACATCTTTTTCAGCAAAGCCGGAAGGAAGTTGACACGATGATGCGCAGGGCATCGCTGCACGAGACCCGTCGCGAGGTTGATGATGGCAGAAAGATGGTTCGTTCCCAAACTGATCACATCGTCGAACAAGGCGTCCGCTAAAGGTTCTGCCAGATTCGGTAACCCGTAGAATGTCTCCTCAAACTTTGTCATGAAATATAGAATGTGATAGCCGTTTTCGCGAACATTCCGCATCGTTCCACGAATGGTGCTCGCAAAGCCTTCGAAGGACGTTTTCGAGCCAGAAATTCGAGCGTAGAATTCTTCCTTACTCTCATTGGAGATACCCGACTGCCAAAATCGATCCTGGAGTGACCTTTGAATCACCGCCTGAAGGCCCGGCGGAAGGTCTGACCAGTTGTTCATATTCGAGAAAGCTGATGCTTGTCGAAGCATCGGCAGCAGTGGAGGCAGTACGAATGGAATAAGCGTGCTCCAGAGCTGCGTTGCGCTTTCGTGCTCGTTCGTCCCAGGCTTTAATTTCTCGCACGAAGCGGCAAGCATTGATTTAGTCATGCGCAGCGGAAGACGATCACTTCTCTGCTTGACGAGATCCTGCTTGGCCCGGCCAGCTTCATCTAATTGCTGCGCAGACCAATCCTGAATCCGATCGAAGCCTTTCTCCTGATAGAATTGTGGCAGATCGTGTAATCCCAAGAATTCGTTAAAGCTCTTGAAGCTACTCACCGAAGTCGCCAGATCTGGGCTTGTCCATGCATCATACACCGGCTTGAGCATCTGCTCGAGGCGCTCATTCCGGACGTCCTGATTGATGTCGTTTGCGCGATGAATGATCATGAAGAGGAACGCTCTGTATCCCCACACTAACCTTGCATCGTCTTGATATTTCTGGGTCATTTCGTTCACCCGTGGCTCAAGATCGCCGTACACGTTGAGCAACTCGTTGGGAAACAACAGCGCAAGCTTTTGGAGCTCTATCGCACGTGCATGCTCGAACGACAGTACCGCTTCTGTGTAGGCTGCATGTTGCGATTCCACTTTTAACTGCATGACAAGAAGATGGTGCACGACGTCCAAAGCGAAGCTAGACGACACGGGTTTGAGGATTTTTAAAATGTGCACGATGATGGACATGACCTGTTCAGTGACCCCTGGATCATCAACTTCAACGCGCGTAATATCGGTGCACCACTGCTGTAGAGCTTGAGCTGCGTCTTCCTTGTCCTTGTCTGCCTTGACATGAATCGGGTCGGCGGGTGTGAGAGCTGCTACGTCCATCGTCCATGCGCCATATCCTTTCAATGCGCTGACCACGACATTGTACTGAGCGTCAAATCTGAGGACCGATAATTTGTTTTTCGAATATGTAGCAGCATCGAAATTGCGTGCTGTAGTGTAAGGTCCGCTCACAAGCATTGATTGTGTTTCGCCGAGAACATAAGAGAGTGCATCAATTGGCTTGGTGCGAGTGATGGACTGGATCACAATGTTACAATACCGACGGTAATTGCCAAGAAACGCATGTCGCTCTGGGATCGTGTCGAAATCTTCATTCAAAAATTGCAACGTCTCGTCGATGGTATCCTCAGGGAGCGCTTCGTAGCGGAGTAGGCGTTCGCTACATATTTGCAAGAGCGAGGGCAAAGCAGCCAGGACTAGATCTATGATCACATTCTCCTGCACAATCAATTGTTTGGTCCAACTGTGAACCGCCGGTATCGATACTGTGAGGCTCTTGCTTTGTGATATGAGCAGGAGGAGGCCGTAGAATGATTGCAGGTCAACGGATTGGTCAACAATCGCGATATGCTGCGCTACAGCATCTGCAAGAGTCGAGACCAACTCGGACATCTTCTTCTGAAGAGTGTGCTTCTCGTCGTCCTCGCCAGGCCCTGCATAGGCTTGCTCAAAGGTGGACCGAAGAGCCGGCTGCCTGTCTGCCCTCAACATTTGTCGTATCAAGCCCATCCAGGTCTGTTGTAATGTTGATTGTCGATGCGCTAGGGCAAGTAGAACTTCAACGGCGGCGGTATGCAAAGCCACATTGTCGGTATGAAAGGGCAAAAACAAGCAGTCTACCAGATTCGCCTCCTCGACGGCTTGAAATGTGATCCAGCACATAATCGACTTAACGGCGTTGAGAGACTTGACAGCACATAGCTCCATGAGTTCGACTGTTCGCGAGTCACTCCCCATCCGAGATTGTTTGACGGAGATTGAGAAGAGCTCGCAGATTCTGCCAAGCCAACCCTGTCGCCCAGATCTAACTTCTTTGCTTGTGCCACGACTTGTCAGATGGGTCGCATAGACGTCTGCTGTGATGACGATCTCATTCAGCGCCGGGCCCAAAATGTCCAAACGCAAGCCAGCCACTGTGTCTTCGCTGTTCATGATATCTTCGCTTAACATCTCTAGGATGTACAAAACCAGCAGCTTGTTCACGAAGCTCTTCTCGTTCGAGGTATCCTCCCAGAGCATGACCAGTTGTTCGTCCATATCGATCCAGTCTCCGGCCCAGCATCTTTTCGCGACCTCGACCCATAATTGACCAATCTTGTTGCGAAGAAATTGTGCCTCATTGGCTCGTAGGTTTGCGGCGAGAGTCTGAACCCAAGTGCGAAGTTGAGTCGTTTGTTCCTCACTGTAGTCTAGCCATTTGTACTTGACACCGAAGTCGAGTAGTTGGAGACCGTAATACCGTACGGCGTCATTCTGAGCGGTGTCGCTGGCTAACGCGAAGCCATTGAGTGGTGCATCCGCTTGTGATTTGACAGCCTCCAGGTGCTGCAGGGCTTGTTGTCGAACGTCATTTGGCACACGCGGATCGAGAGTTGCATTCAGCGCATTGCTGATATGCTCGAGGCTGGACGTAGAAGGGCCTTGCGCCGATTGAGTAGGGTTGTCCATGTGATTTCGGATAGTTGACAGAGCTTCTACAGAATAAAATTCTTCTCAACACACGTGTAAGGTTTATACAATGTTGTGAGAGTGGTCGTCACGCATTACTACCGTCGGTCTTGTACTGATGGTGCAGGGGGCGCGGGAGAAACCAGTAGCATGATTGTAATTTGCGCTGAGGTAGTGATTGCGCTTCTGCTACAGACAGAGTAGAATGTTGTCCCATCTATTAACTAACCCGGGCAAATCAAAATGAGGCAGGTGTAGTAGATTGGATAGATGCCTGGGGGAAATTCTGATGGATCTGGACGCGTTGGTGGGGCGGTTCTAACGCCGAGGCTGCATCGAACGGCTGTCACACGATGTAGATCTTTGTGCAAGGAACACACACTGTACAGAAGATCGTTGGGAGTTACACAACATAGCTGATTCATTGATCACGAGTCTGACTGACGAATTGGTGGATTCTCGACCGTCTCTCATCCATGTACCATTTCATGATGGTTGGTTACATGATCATACACTTTCTACCCAATCTGTCTACTCAATCTCTCAAGTACTAGAGTACACGGCGGTACAGTAACGTCCACATTCCACCTTTTGTTCAACACTAACTTTGCGGCCCTTTCCATCTTTGCCCAGACGGGCTGTTTGTCGAGGCGTGATGTGGAATCGATGCTCTTCCCTTCCACCACTGCTCTTCTTCGCGCGCTTGACCTCTGCCTGCATATCTAAAGGCTGGATGTACACTGGCTGCGAAACATTGTTCCGCTTGCCGGTACCAAGCTGATAATGCTCATTGCCGCCCCAGAACACTATGTCTGCGCCCCAGTTGGTGTCGTCGGTACTTGTCTTGTCAGACGCCGAGAGATATGTGATGTTCTTCATGACGGCACTCGCGTGTGTGCTTCCGACGCTGAGATGTGCAAGACGGATCGGGACGGTTGTAGAGGTAGGCTCGTCATATTCGAAAAGCCCGGATAATGTCGGAATACGGGCTGGGGTGGATTGAATGTGCGTCCAGCGGTTGTTGGCAAGGTTGCCCTGAATGCCGGAGCCGAAGGCGAAAGTGTCGGCGGTAATGCGGCCGATGGACCGGTTGGCAGCGGGATCTGATGACTGCGAAGCGACCTTGACAGCGTCGACGGTGAAGTAGCTGTTGTTCCCGCCAGCAGCGATACTGGTGATTTTCGGGATTTGAGAGGTACCTGAGTACAGCTTCTGGGTAGCAACGAGGGATGGAACATCAACAATGCTGGCTTCGGTCGTATATTCGAAACCTAGTTGACCGCTAGCATTGTCTCCCCAAGCAAACACGCGGCCATCTTTGTCCAATGCGAGCGAGTGGTGATCACCGCAAGCGACGCTCGTAACATTGAATCCGCGCAGAGTGGTGATCTCATGTGGCTGATCAAAATTGCCCGCAGGACGAGTTGACCAGGTTAAACCAGGAACTCCAAGCTGCCCGCGCGACGGGAAACTGTCCGTAGCAGAGGCAAACGAGAAGACACGTCCGGAGTTTGTTACCATAACTGCATGTTCAAGTCCACTAGCGACAGAAGTAACTTTTTCGGAAAATCCGAGATTCTTTGGAGTCAACTGACGGTAGGATATCCGACTGCGCCCGTTCCAGAACGGAATCCAGCTTGCTTCTGAGACTTTAATCCCGCTCGCTTGATCGTCGGCGGAAACAGGCACGGTGTACACTTTCCCACCCTTCGATAGACCAATGATGCGATCCTTGGAAATCGTCAATGACATCAGATCTTTGCCTTGCAGAGTCTTGACCGGGTTTTCGATGCCAGGGGCATATTGGATGCCCCACTGTAGTAGATCTCCATTTTCATCGATGGCAGCACCAAAGTTGCGATCGAGCTTCAGGTCTCGTAGCAATTTTCCATCGAAGAAAGCTATTCTGCGTGGTGTTTTGATAACCGATTCTGTGCTGTCTGGTGCGACCACGCGACCGACGTTACTTCCCCAAGCGTATACGCCTGGGTTTTCCCAAGATCGCTTGACCTGATGATGCTGACTCGAAATCAGATCGCGATTCTCCTCTTTGCTCACATTTGGCTTTTTCCGTGACGCTTCGAAGATGAGCGGGTTGTCCTCCTCTGCTTCCGGTGCCTCGGCATGCGCAGATCGCAAGATTCCGCCATTGTTTATGTAGAGCTGCGATGCTGTAGCCAAACCGCCGGCAATGGCTATCGCATATATGGAGCGGACAAGTTGGCGTTGCTTGCGATGTGCTCGACCGTGATATGAGACCGCGGCAAGGCGAGAGTAGCCGGTCTGTTGGTGTGTTAGGAAGTTCGCTCTACTTGACGATGATCGAGCTTTGCATGTTGATGGTGCGGTCCTGGCTGCTGTTCGAGCAAGCGTCTTTGGCATTTGCGAAGACATGATGAAACTCGCGACACCTCCTGTTAGATGAAGGTTGGATTGTGAAGGTCGTCAATCATTAATTCCAATGCGATCCTTGGGTGTTGACGTAGGTAGAAATGGGGTATTTCGATGGTTTGCACAATGGAAGGCAGATTAGATGCAGGCCTGGCGAGTCGCACGGCAGGGGAATGTAATTGGGTGCCCAAGAAATCGATGGTCTAGACGATAAGCTCGCCGCCACTGCTCGGGTCCTGCAATAGAGAACGTCATATACATGGAGAACGAGAGGTGGAATTTGCGGACGCTTTGCCCCGTGGAGAAGCCAGATCTGAAGATCTGACGCTGCGGCTCGGGGCGTTGCGTAGTGTCTTTCAGTGGGGATCGATCCAGATCGCAGCAACGTCGGACCCTGTCACATTGCTGGATATTTCGCGCGGGGAGTGGTCACGAACTCGAGAGTACGAAGAAAAGTGACCAAATATGTTTCAAAGGTTGGTTTGCACAAAGGATCGTCACTTCAGCAGTTATATCTGCTCATCATTAGGACTGTTTGTACGGCGAGGAGTTCAAGTCGAATACGTTTCGAAGGGTTTGCAATGTATTTGCATAGAAACATGGTACAGACGTGCAGTAGAAGCTTTCATTGTGTTGATGAAAATCTATTTGTTCGCCGAAGGTGCACATTATGGCCAGAATAATTATTCTACACGAGAATAACGTACACACATAACATACCAATAAGTATATTGTGAAGCTGCTAATACGTTGAATAAGCTACTTCATCACTACCTGCTGAATTGCTCTCGTACCCTCGTCACACCATTGCATAGCGTTTCCTTCCCAGTACCTGAGCTTTGAAAATGACCAAACACCGCGCTGTGTTGAAAAACTTTCCTTGGTGCAAGCCGCCCGACCAAATTGATATACCCAAACGCCTTTATATGCACAATTACGAGAAAATCGTACGCCTGGTGGCGTCTGCGTTTAGACGGGCAGAGGGAAGGTGCTGGCCCAGGCAATGATCTCGTCCTTCATGGCCTTAATCTCGGGGATGGTGTTGGCACCACCGGCAACCTTCGCCTTGAAATCCTTCTGCTTGTTCGCCTCTTTGGGTAGCTCGGCTTGAATCTTCTGTGTGAGCTCGATGCACTTGTGGACATATCCGGCGATGCGGTCGAAGTCAGCCTCACCCATGCCACGAGAGCTCATGGCAGGAGCACCGATTCGGATACCACATGGTGTCAGGGCTGACTTGTCACCAGGGGTGGTGTTCTTGTTGCAGGTAATGTTGACCTGCTCCAAGACGGCCTCAACACGGGCACCGTCGAGGTTGATGGGCTTCAGATCGACCAGAACCATGTGGTTGTCAGTACCATCAGTCACAAGCTTGTAACCAAGAGCCTTGAATGACTTCTCAAGCTGCTTTGCGTTCTTGATGACTTGCTGCTGATATTGAAGGAACTCAGGGCTCTGAGCCTGCTTAAGAGCGGCAGCAAGGGCGGTGATAGTGTGGTTGTGGGGTCCTCCCTGGTGACCTGGGAAGACAGAGAAGTTTATGGGGCCCTCAAGGTCGTAGAGAACCTTGACTTCCTTGCCGGCCTTGATCTCGGTCTTGCGGACGCCCTTGCGGAAAAAGATCATGGCACCACGGGGACCACGCAAGCTCTTGTGAGTGGTAGTGGTGACAATGTCGGCGTACTCGAAAGGTGACTTGTTGACACCGGCAGCGATGAGACCACTGATGTGAGCCATATCCATCATCAAGTATGCGCCGACCTTGTCGGCAATCTCCTTCATCCTCTTGTAGTCAATCTCGCGGCAGTAAGCGGAAGTACCGGCAACGAGCACCTTGGGTCGGTACATGAGGGCGTTCTGCTCGAGCTGGTCGTAGTCGATGATGCCGGTCTCCAAGTTGACGCGGTAGGGGAAGGTCTCGAAGTAAGTGGAGACGGCACTGATTTTTCGCTGCGGAGTTTGGTATCCGTGGCTCAAGTGGCCTCCGTGGGGCAGATCAAGACCCATCAGACGGTCGTGCGGCCTCATGATAGCCTGGTATACTTGCAAGTTTGCAGGACTGCCGGACAAGCACTGGACATTGACGCCCCACTGCTCAGGGTTCAGGCGGAAAGTCTCAAGGGCGCGCTTTTGGCAGAGGAGCTCAATCTCGTCGATGTGCTCATTACCACCGTAGTAGCGGGCACCAGGATAACCTTCGCTGTACTTGTTGCTCATTGGCGTTCCAAGAGCGTCAAAGACAGCCTTCGATGTGACATTCTCTGAAGCGATGAGCAGAATGGACTCCTTCTGTCTCTTGATCTCCTTGTCCATGATCGCGGTGAGCTCAGGGTCGAGCTCGACCAAGGGCTTGTGCATCAACTCATAGTGTGTCTGGGAGAGCGCGTAGCTCGGTGGCAGAGTACCGTTGGTGGCCATGATGACGTTGTGATGGTGGTAAACGTTGATATCGCGGATGAAGAAAAGATTGAGATGTCCGCGAGAAAATGGGAATGTTGGGTGAAAGTAGAAATTAACAAAGAAAAGAATCTTGGGACACCACAGTAAACTATCGCTCGGCGACCATCATCGTCCAAAAATTGCCGCTCGGTGACTTCCAGAAATTCTCACTTGCCCCTCCGACCGTGCGGACATCGAAGGTTACCGGCTCAACTATAACGGACGTGTCTTCCTGGAGTCTCATTAAATACTGTCATCCGGTCAGTCGTCCTATTATCTATCGCCTGTAAGTAGCGTGTTTAGTAGAGATTCTTCGTGCTTGTTAAGTCATAGCCATGTGCCAATGAGCTAGATCACTACAGAATCTCCCCCTCTAAAAAAGAATCAGGGTTCTGCCGATTGCGCTCCAAGCGGAGTTTCTCTGGAGTTTCTCCGCCAAACCCTGGTCCCTAGTCGTGACCATTGATGATGAGGACCTTAGGACCTGACAGCCTCGCAAAGATTCTTGCTCCCTTGCGGCCTTCTCCGGCGTAGGCTGCTCTATCGTCCATTGCCCTCCTCGGACGACTCCGGGCTGACGACGTCCACCCATGCATCAATGCATGTTTTCCGACAAGCAAAGGTTCACGGATAAAATTGGCATTTAGATCAGACTAGGCACCTCGCGTAAACAACAAACGTCGTGATAATGCTGTATCATGATACATAGATCAAAGGTCGTTACTACACGCGCAAATGAATGAATGGTCACTCAGAGATCAACCTTTGCGGGACTTTGCCTTCTTGCCGCCGGCTTACTCCACTTGTCTATCAGCAGTCTGGCCACATTTTTGCCCATCAATGCATTCGTCTCCATGGTGCTGATGAACGAGTCCATACCACCGGTGTAGTAAAGACCTGACTCAAGCTCTGACTTCTCGAACGTTACGCGAGGGTATTCGTAAGGATAGCTGTGCCAGACTTTACGGTATATCCAAGTCACGTGCCGCGAGACATCATGATGCGCAGCAGTGTCTAGTGACTGGTCTTGAAAGCGGAACAATTCCGCTAAAAATGCTTCAGTGACCGCATCGGGCGAGAAGATCTTGTAGATGCATTCATGCGCCTGTGTGTTTGGGTTGATTGTCGTGTCGAGAAGCGAGATGCTGAAGAAGCCAGGACTACCGACGCTCGCAGGACCGCTTTGAGCTGGTTCGTTCTTGGGCAGGGTCGTCAGGATGACTTTGGGAACCAATGCGTCTGGCTTAAGACCGAAGAAGACTGGCGATAGACGGTACAGAGAGGTGAAGATTGTGACATGTAATTGCACGTAAGGGATTTTGTCAACTTGTCTTGAGACGTTGAGGAGCTTGAGACCGGAGAACTGATGTGGTGCTGCAAGGATAACTGCGTCGTAAAGCTTCGACTCTGGACCCGTCTTGCTGCTCTGCGTAGCGACAGAGTAGGTGCCATTTGATAGTCGTTCAATACTGCGCACTCCAGACGACAAATGTAATTCAGCCTTGGACGATGCAATCATATTGTCGAAGATTCGCCAATTACCCCCTTCCACGGCCATTGCACCTTCTGTGGCCATACATACCATCGCTTCCAGTCCATGAATATGAGCCAAGTTTTGTGCATAGTTGACGCGGGTACTCGCTTGCACGACATCATTCCCAAAATCGCCTTGAATTCCGTTCGCAAGCATGAATTCTTCTCCTGTAGATGCAGTAGCAGACAACAATCCGACGCTCACTGCTGCGGCTGTTAGAGATTCAAATGGGAAGATGGGCGAATCATACACCTTGAGAAAGGCTCCGACGGTCGCCTTCATAAGGTTGATTGTCCGGACAGGCGCGAGACCATATTTCCAAAATAACTTGGCAAGGTCGAACCAACCAAAGGCACTGCCGTTTTGTATGAGTCGAAAGACTTGGCCGTCCCAGACACCTAATGCCGGACCTCCATTGGGCTCGTCCCGCTTCAACGAAGACGTGGAGAGGTTGAAGTCGTTCACTGCATCCACGAGGATACGGTTGACTTTGACAAAAATACTTGCACCCAGTTCCACCGGCTGAAGGGGATCGTCATACGCGTTTACTGTTGTTGACCTACCGCCAACATAGTCATTTCTCTCCAGAACGTCAATGTTCAACGAAATATCGTCCAGTTGCGCATACTTGGACAGGTGATAGGCCGCAGACGATCCTGCCGCTCCAGCACCTACGAAGTATCAACTGCTTCATCTTATCTGTCTGCCATAAGGTGAGACTCACCGACGATGGCGACATTGAGAGAACGTGACGTCGATCTGGTTTCGATCTGTTCTGCCGACTTCTGCACTGTCGCAGCTGCTGGCAACCCTAACGCAGTGACTACCGCGATCACACATCGATATCTCATCGCGGGAGCTATTTGTCCGGGCGGGTTGCTTCGCGAGATCGAGAGCACTTTGCTTGATGAGGCTATGTTCAGCCCGAGTCAAGCCCGACAGATGTAATAGACAAACTCGGTTGACAAAAGTATTCGTGCCTGCGTGAGGCAAAGACGCGGGGGACCGCTTTACGACCTGCTAGGCGTCGTCATGCACAAAATACTGGTCGGCATATGGGGTTAAAACAGTACACCTGGGGACTGTCATAGTACTGGAGTTGAACATCACGAGCAAAAACATATTGGCCAAGGGTTGGACTCCTTCTACATGGAACGGTGACGAAAGTCATCTTTGATCAACCTCACAGTCACTAGCGATTTCACTGGAGACGGTCAGAGAAGCCCACAAGGGGTTGGGACTTTGATGTGTACGTCGACCTGGAATAGAAAGCCATCGTCTTACCCCTGGTGCTGATTAGCATCGCCACGTCCATGATGATGTGCTCTGTGTCGCACGGCGTCGGTGGACGGAAGTTTGGCTCCGCACGCGCCAGGGCCGAGGGTGCAGTAGGCAGATGTGTTGTCGAATGCCTGCATCAGTCCTGCATTGAATGTGACAGCGTTATTGTGCATGATCCTGCGGGGTTGGAGTCTGCCACAAGCAGTCCATTTACGATATTCGTATCCGACTGGGTTCTCTCTTCCCACAGTGTCGGGCTCCAAGAGTATCTCTCCGTGATCACGATGTTACCAAGACCGGGGGCGGGCAATGAATAATGAACCATTTCATTAGGCGTCTACAACGGGGTTTTCGATAGATTCCAACGTTGATGGTACGAGTTCAAGCGAACCCAAAGCAGTAATAGCTCCTTCAACTAGCGGCCTCCATCTCCGCCCCAAAACTCCTGAAAGTCTGCAGGGACGTGCGGCACACGATCGGCCCCTATGTGCGGACATCATCGTCACTTGTTATTCCAAACCGAGCACTTGAGTGGGTCTGTCAGAGGATACAGCCCCTCAACGTGAGACTCAAAGATCAGCACGTGGTGCTGAAACGCTGAGGGAAACCTTGGACGTCTTGGAGACTCAGCTATAAAGGCAATGAGAACGATATTGGTAAAGCGCACCCCTCTCGGCAAGACCATCTCGACAGGGTTTATTACTTCGCGGCGACAGCGTGTAGACTAGACGTGCGTGCGTGCACACTACGGTGTTGGTATTACTCTTCCACACTTTCCTCACTCTTTGATGCTTCTCTTAACATTCTTGTCAACAGGAATATTCTCGGGCTGGAGCTTTCGCTCGTCCGACTGTATAACTTTTTACGAGCCATTGAGTTGCTCGTTCTTGTCACATTTCTCGAATCTCAGTACGTTGTCGACATTCCTTCGTGCCGCGACATCGGCATTCGCGACGCGTATCTTATACACCACGCTCCCTCATAAATTTAAGCCGCATTTGAAAGACCGAATCACTTGATTGGCCGCCAATCATTCATGCCGTAAAGGCATAGTCATTCTTACCCAAAGTATCTCTTTACTGGCCGCATACACAACATGGGTAACTCCGCCTCAAAGAAGGCGCTTCTTGAAGCTGCTGAAAGGCGTGCTCTGGCCGTACAGTCCGATCTCGCCGCCCGCGAACGTGACCTGGCTCGCGTGGAGAAAAACCTCGAAACGTCAAACTCAGAGAAACACAACGCTTCGAGCGAAGCCGCTAAACTTCGAAAATTAGTGCAAGATCTAGACGTTCAGTACGCGGCAGTCGACGAAGAGCGGAAACGAGAGATTGAACGCTTGCATGCCCAGGTGCGACAGAAAGGTAGCGAGACAATTGCTCAACAGCAAGTGTCGAAGCTTCGCACCTCTGAGCGCGACGATGCTCGTCATGCCCTGAGAAAGGCCGAGGAGAAGTCAGCGAAGCTTGCAGACGAGCAACAGGCTCTCATACAACCGTTGAAGAACAGAATCGAGGAGTTGGAGGCTGCGGCGCAGGCGTCCGCCACCGACTCGCACGATCGACAGGGAGAAATACAGGCTGCACGCGCAGCACACACTTTGGAGTTGGAGGCCGTGCAGAGCAGGCTGAATGAACAGGAGGCTGCTTATCTGGAGCAGCTCGCGGCGTCAAGAGGAGAAATCGAAAAATTGCGCACTGCTCATCTCCAACAGCTCGAAGCCAAAGACAAGGATCTCGAATCTTTGAAATCAGCACACGCACAGCAGCTCGAGGCTACTCAAAGGGAAGCTAAAGCTGCAGCATTAGTCCATGCTGCCAAGACCGAGAACCAGAACGGGCTTCAAAGCTTGGTTGACTCTCTTCGGCAGTCCAATCGTGAACTCGCCGAAAAGCTCGCAGTCGCTGAGGCCGCAGTCGCCGCCAAGAACGTCAAGACTAATGCGGCAAACGAGTTGAACCTTGTTCGTACTTCCACCAACGCCAGTACAAATGCGAAGCAGTTCTCAGCTTCACGCGCCCTCGCAATGCGTATCTGGAAGCTGGCGAAGTCTGAAAACGCAGTGCTTGTGGCCAGCAGTCCTCGCTTGACACATCAATCCAGCATGCTCAGCGTGCGCGACTTCATGGAGCCCGCCACGCCCACTCCTGCTCTCACCACAGCCAGTACTCCTTCCAGCTCACCGGAGCGCGCCAGTCCTCTTGCCACCAGTGTGGCCGGTGAGAAAGACTTCTCAAAGCCGGTGCGCTTTTCTCTTTACCCTCGCATTGGCAAGGACTTGAGGATCGAAGTTGGAGACAATGAAGAAGAGGTCATGGTCGAGATTCGGGAGTGGCACCGTGGTGTGCGATCATTCAAGGTAAGCTATATCCACCAAGCCGCGTTGAAGATAGTCCGTGAACAATGAGTACTGACACACTGCCGCCCAGGGTATCTCAATCCCCGTTGGAGATGCTGGCGAACTCGTCAAAATTCTTCCAGACATTGTGCGCCTTGCAGAGCTCAAAGAAGACAGTATTCTGAAGGCAGACCTACAGAGAGAAGCCGAACTACAAAAGGCCACAGCTGGAAAGATTCCTGAGATTCAGATCGAGTCATGAAGGGATAAAACACACGATGAAGGCGTTCTACAGGCCAGCCGTTTACCGTTCTCCACGCCTTGGTGAAATAGTTCACCACCCCTCCACACTTTGCGGACCAAGTTTTGGACCCTATCACCCTATCACCCGTTCCTTACGATTTGGAGACCATTCGGACATTTATTTCACCACCTTGGACAGTGGTATCACCACGAAGCGCATGACGCGCATCTCTTTTTGTTTACAACTTGTCGATGCCAATGAATGTTGGTCTGGAGCGATATGCCCTGCTTGCGACAAGTTTGTACGTGCGAGTCGTTGCATCCCGACCTGATGGGCTGCTGACGTAAACTCGTGATTGTTTCGGTTCGAGGCGTTTGAGCGTGTTCATATTTTAACTGATCGCAACTGTATTTGGGAGAGAATGTCTATAGCGCTCGCTTATGATTATTTGTCTTCAGAGGACCTGGGCTGCGATCTTCAACATACTAGGTAGTCATACATCGTATTGATGGACTGGCACTTCAGCCATCACACTCACGTACACCCGCCGTTGCCTTTCCCCAAAGCTACGGGCTTTGGCACTACGACGCCAGGACCCTGTTATAATCTCACGTGTTGACGCGTCCCCTTGGTAGTTTGCCCCGCAACAGTTATCCCGCGCGCAATGTTTACGCTAGTGTCAACATTTCGCAGCATGCGCTCACTGCTTTGAAAGTAGGCCCGAGGACAATACGATCGGCGAACGGCAAACACACTCATATACGCAGCACTATGCCTTCAGAACTACCCATTCGCGCTTCCCGTCGTGTCGCGACTCGAAGGGCTGCGGCATCTAGCGAAGCCGAGGAGCCTGAACACAGTGCAGGTCAACGCCAGGGTCAAAATGAAGATGAAGACGCCAGTATCCCAGCAGCCAAAATTTCTCCACGACGAAGAGCAGCCACTTCGGAATCTTCAACCAAAACTAGGCTTCCGTCGAGGAGGACCAAAGTAGCGACGGAGCCAGAACCCGCTTCGGAGTCTTCAGAGGTCCTTAGCCCATCAAGTAGCATAGCTGAGGAGCCACAATCACCAACGCGATCAGCTCCGAAACGGCGCACTGTGAAAGATGCACGCGCTGCGCGAACGAGTCGAGCGGCACGACCATCGATCGCGCCCCAAGACGTTCCGCCCACCCCAGAACGAACCGCGACTCCAGAAACGCCTTCGCAACAGGATCGGATGTCAGGAGATATCACAGAGACAATATTGAACGAAGCGACTCCTCGCCCCAAATCGCAACGGGTGATGGGAGATGCGCTAGACGAAGACGCGAGAGCGGAAGAGGAAATCAAACCAAAGATTGAAAGGACTTCCGAGGAGCTGGAAGATGTTACGGAAGTCACCCAGATGACCAATGCGCCTCGATCAGAGACGGTGGTCAAACGAGTCGATCCGAGTGTAACGAAGCTTGAAAGGCCGATGGACATCGTTGTACGGAAGCGAGCTGTCGGTATTCAACCATCAAACGAGACCAATGAGCCGAAGGAGCGGATGACAATTACATATTTGATCCTGACGAATTTCAAATCGTACGCTGGCCGGCAAGAAGTAGGCCCGTTCCATGCCTCATTCTCGTCGGTCGTCGGCCCCAATGGATCTGGCAAGAGCAATGTGATCGATTCATTGCTTTTCGTTTTCGGTTTCAGGGCGAGCAAGATGCGTCAGGGTAAGATCTCTGCGCTCATCCACAACAGCGCGGACCATCCAGATCTGGAATTTTGCGAGGTCGAGGTACACTTTCAGACAGTTATGGACCAACCTGGAGGCGGATCTACAGTCACTCCAGACTCACAGCTGGTCATTTCGCGGAGGGCGTTCAAGAACAACAGCAGCAAATACTACATCAACGGGAAGACATCCGATTTCACGACCGTTACAACACTCTTGAAAGATCGCGGAGTAGATCTTGACCACAAGCGTTTCTTGATTCTGCAGGGTGAGGTTGAGTCAATCGCGCAAATGAAGCCCAAGGCCGCGACGGAAAATGATGACGGACTTCTCGAATATCTCGAGGACATCATCGGCACATCAAAATACAAGACCCCAATCGAAGAAGCCGCAACAGAAACAGAGGCTCTTAACGAGGTGTGCCAAGAGAAGAGTGGCCGAGTGCAGCATGTGGAAAAGGAAAGGAACGGTCTTGAGAGCAAGAAAGAGAAGGCACTCGCGTACATTCGCGACGAGAACGACTTGGTTATCAAGCAATCCGCTCTTTATCAGGTCTACCTTGCGGAATGTAGCGATAATATCCTTGTGGCAGAAGAGGCTGTGGGTCAAATCCAAGCCCAGCTCGAAGAGGAGCTGTTGCGACATGGCGGTGCTGAAAAGGAGCTCGAAGCTATCGGGAAAGCGGTCAAAGCCGAAGCGAAACACTTTGAGAAGATGGAGAAGCAGACGAAGGACCTTATCGACCAAGCTAACAACCTTGACAAGGTGTTAGTCAAGATCGAGGAAAAGAAAAAACATCTATCTGGCAAAAGGACGAAAGCGCAAAAGGCCCTTGACAGCGCTGAATTCAACATCGGTCAATCTGAAACAGGTGCTCAGCGTGCTCGAGAAGACGCCGTGCGGCTCTCTGGTGAGGTCGAGGAACTTGAAAGCGAGATGGCTGCAGCAGAAGACGAGCTGAGCAAGATCCGTGATTCCCTCAAAGGCAAGACCCAGGTCTTCAGTGACGAAATTGCGACAAAGCAAAAGCAGCTTGAACCGTGGAGCGCGAAGATCAATGGAAAGCAGTCTGCTATAGCCGTCGCGCAAAGCGAACTGGATATCATGCTCGAGAGGGAAAACGCTGGCGCCAAGGCTGTTGCGGAGGTGGAGGCGAAAATTCAGGCTTTGACGGAGCAGCGAGCTGCAAAGCACGCGGAGCTGAAGACTTGCGAGCAGGAATGCGCGTCCGCAGAGAAGGAGGCCGAAGCTGCGAAGAACCAGCTTGAAAAAGTCTCGGCCAAGGAGCCTATAGTCAAATCAAAGTTGTCTGCTGCTCGCCAAAAAGCAGAGGAAGCCCGGGCCAGCCTATCTGCCACTCAAAGCCAAGGCAGGGTGCTTGCAGATCTTACGCGACTTAGAGACTCAGGTCGAGTGGAAGGATTTCACGGACGGTTGGGCAACCTGGGCGCAATCGACTCAAAGTATGACGTTGCGATCTCGACTGCGTGCCCCGCGCTGGACAACATGGTTGTTGACTCTGTCGAAGCCGCTCAGCAATGTATCGACTATCTTCGAAAGAACAATGTTGGCCGCGCGAACTTCATCTGTCTAGACAAGCTCCCCCGACGCGATTTGTCGCAGATTGAAACACCTGAGAATTGCCCACGGCTGTTTGATCTTGTCCGACCGAAGCACGAGCGATTCTTGCCTGCCTTCTACAGCGTGCTCCAGAACACTCTAGTGGCGAAGGATTCAGAGCAAGCTGATCGGGTGGCTTATGGCGCAAAGAGATGGCGCGTTGTAAGCATCGAAGGCAAGCTGATTGACAAGTCTGGTACAATGAGTGGTGGTGGTACGAGAGTCGCTCGTGGTGCCATGTCATCGAAAGTCGCAGGAGACATGTCTAAGGAACAAGTCGTCAAACTAGAGCAGGATCGCGATACAGCAGAGAGCGAGTACTCCGAAGTCCAACAGCATCAGCAGGACACCCAACGCGTGATCGAGGAAATCACCGCTCGGATACCAGAACTCAGGACGAACGCTTCGAAGCTGACTCTGGAATTGAGTAGCATCGATCGGAATATCCAAGATGGCAGGCAACGCGTCGATGAGCTCTCCGCCGAACAGCGATCATCAAAATCAGACAAGAGCAAATCGTCTGCACTCGAGAAGACAATTGTAGCGCTTGAGAAAGACGTTTCGAAGTTGCGATCGGAGACCGAGGGTATCGAGGCTGCTATCAAGGAGCTGCAGGACAAGATCATGGAGATTGGTGGAGTAAGGCTTCGTGGACAGAAAGCCAAGGTCGATGGTATCAAAGAGCAGATCAAGTCGCTCGTGGAGCGACGGGACGCAGCCGAAATTGACCAAACTAAGGCCGACAAGGCTAAGAAGAAGCACGAAAAGGCGCAAGCAGATGCTACTGCTGAGCTGGCAAAAATCGCAGACGACCTCGCAAAAGTTGAGGAAGAAGTTCAGGCGCAAAAGGATAGCTCTGGTAATTCCGCCCTGCGCCGACAGGCCGACGAGGCCAAGGAGGCCCTGGAATACAAGAAGGAAGAGCTCAATGAAATGAAAGCCGACTTTGATCAACGTACTGCAGACCTCAATGCCACTCGTGGATCGGAGGTCGAGATGAGAAATCAGCTCGAGGAGAATCAGAAGCATCTGGTTACCAACCAGAAACAACACAAGCACTGGCACGAGAAGATGTCGAAATTGACTCTACAAAATTTCACAGAAGACGGCGAGGAGCAGGAACCAGAGCCTGTTGCCGAAATGAGTAGAGATGAGCTCGAAGACCTCGACAAAGACGAGCTCAAAGCAAGCATTGCCACGTTAGAAGAGCGCACATCACAACACGTGGAACTCAGCGTTCTTGCCGAATATCGCCGCAGGGTGTCAGAACATACTAGTCGTCTGGAAGATCTCAACGCAGCTTTGGCGGCAAGAGACTCTGCCAAAAAGCGTACTGATGATCTCCGGCGCCTGCGGCTTGAAGGCTTTATGGAAGGATTCTCGACTATATCGCTTCGATTGAAGGAGATGTATCAAATGATCACCATGGGCGGCAATGCCGAGCTCGAGCTCGTCGACTCTCTTGACCCATTCTCCGAAGGCATTCTCTTTAGTGTGATGCCCCCCAAGAAGAGTTGGAAGAACATCTCGAACTTATCCGGTGGCGAAAAGACGCTGTCCTCGTTGGCACTAGTCTTTGCGTTGCACCACTACAAACCTACGCCGCTTTATGTCATGGACGAGATTGATGCTGCCCTGGACTTCCGAAATGTCAGCATCGTTGCGGCATACATCAAGGAGCGCACCAAGAACGCGCAATTCATTGTCATCTCGCTGCGAAACAACATGTTCGAGTTGGCGGCGAGATTGGTCGGAGTGTACAAAGTCAACCACATGGTGAGTCGCAATGCCTTTTGCTTGGCGGATGTGCTATCTTACTGACCATTAATCTTTTAGACCAAGAGCGTGACAGTGGAGAATCGTGAATATATCACACAGCGAGCGTGATCGATGATGGATATGCTATCATATGACAAGTGCCACGATTGAAGGAAAGCATGACTATTGAGACGAAAACCTTTAGTACGGGAACATGTTGGCGTTCATGTTCATGTTCATCTCACATATGGAATACTACTTGGATAGCAGTGCCCATAGTGCTTCGATACCATCCGGCAATTTCACGAGTCTGAGTCTGTAGAATTGTGCTGAGTCTGTGACGCGATGTTCTCTACATGAACCCTCCAATATCTGTCTCTCGTCGTGTATCGTGTGACGCGTCAAAACATGGACAGTCGGATAGAAATGCCCGCCTTGTTTTACCCCGGCTTTTCTATTTCTGGCGGCCCTGCAGGAACTCATCATCTAGCTCGCGTCACCTACGATAGGCCAAGCTTGACCAATTTTCAGATTGTCAACACACATCAATCGACGCGCATCGCGATAACGACCTCGATGCCGGGCTGACGTCCTACGAGCATGTCCAACTGAAGCCAAAAGCGCAAATATCCTCGAAGCCCGAAGCATCCACGCCTCATGGCTGCCGCCGCCACAGCCCTTGCGCCGAACGCGACCAACGGCGAATCTCCGAAACTCGTCAAGAAGATCGGCGCGAATTCCACCGCGACCACGCAGACCGTGTTTGGCTGTCGTAAGTCTCGAATCAGCCCACATTGGTATCGAGAGTCAATATTGACACCAGTAAATCGCAGCTCATATTAAGAATCTGCTCCAACAAGCCCGGACGCAAGCGGTTGATGGCTACACCAAGGTGATAACTTCGCTTCAAAAGGAGGGAAACCTGAGTGATCGAATACACAAAAGCGGCGCTGCTCCAACAACTAGTGCTCGGGGCACTTTCTTGTGTTTGCAGTGTCCTTATGTGAGCAACGTGAGGGAGAAGCACCACAAGAGCCATGGGTTTTGTAAGCACGGCGCATACATCGATGACATTGATAGAGACTGACATCCTATCGCAGCTGTGGATTCTTCAACAGGATTCATATACTGCATAGAATGTAAGGACTTCGTGTATGATACGACCTTTGAGGAAGTGCGCACCGCCAGCAGCACCCGAAAGAGAAAGCTATCCGCCACTCTGCCAGATACCGACAGGAGGCTGGTCTCAGCAAATTCTGCAGCGACACCATGCGCGGCGACAGGACTGCGCGGGTTGTATAACATGGGGCAAACCTGTTTCATGTCCGTCGTTCTTCAATCCCTCATTCACAATCCGTTTCTACGCACATACTATCTCTCCGAGGGCCATCGGGCAAATGATTGCGAACGAGAGGCCTGCACATCATGCGCGTTGGACGCTATCTTTGATGATTTCTTCGCGCAAGAGAAACACGAGGGATATGGAGCGGTGCACATGTTACAAGGCTGCTGGAAAGGTGGAGGTAGTCTTGCCGGATACAGCCAACAGGACGCACATGAGTTTCTGGGATTCATACTGAATAGTCTTCACGAGGCCATCACGGAAGATGACGAGAAGATGAAAAAGAGCAAGAATGGCAAGGACTGCACATGCGTCATCCACCAGACGTTCGGCGGCCAGCTGCGCAGCACCGTCACCTGCCTTACGTGCAGGACCACAAATGTCACCTTTGACCCATTCATGGATCTAAGTCTGGATGTCAAAGGCGCAGGGCCGGTGCCAAAGAAGAAAAAATTGAATGCAGCAAATGGAGCTCAAGCCAAAGATGTGGCTCCAATGGACCTCAGCGAATGTCTGGAGCGATACACGAGCGCGGAGACTTTGTCAAGTGACAGCTACCACTGTCGAAAGTGCAATGCATCCAGTGAGGCCAAGAAGAGGCTCAGTCTCAGCCGTCTTCCGCCTGTCGTGCCAATTCACCTCAAGCGTTTCTCGCACTCGAAAGCCAACTCTCAAAGCAGCAAAGTCAACACAAAAGTCCGCTTCCCTCTCACACTCGATCTCACTCCATACATCACCAAAGCCGCGGCTGCTGCCGAACAAAAACCTCCGCCCGCAAACGATCCTGATGACGAAGATGAGCAAGACGATAACATCGATGTCAAAACTCCCACTAAGCCTGGCGGAAGCAAGGATGCTCTAAGCCAAACCCACACACCCGATGCGAAATATCTCTTATCGTCGGTGGTCGTCCACAAAGGCAAAATTGACAATGGTCACTATATCTCCTATGCACGGCAGAACCGGGAATGGTTCCGATTTGACGACAGCATGGTGGTGCGCGTGGAGGAGAAAGAGGTTCTGTGCGCGGAGGCGTATATGTTATTCTACGTCATTGAGGAAATATGAGATTAATGATTGTTGACGAGAAGCACACATGGCAGAATCTCTCAGTGACATCAACGTCGATGTATCAGTCCTGAAGCTCCTGAAGATTTCAGACAAGCACCTTTCCTTTTCACATGGCGAACATCGCGTCGGGAACGATGTACCCCTCCGTGACATCGCTAGGGGTACCGCTAGGATAATCCCAATGATATTCCATCACCTGAGCAATCTTCCGCGCCCCTTCGTAGCTGGATATCTGGCTCACAAGCCAAAACACAGAGTCAATACCGCTACTGATCCCGCCCGACGTGATCAACCTCGCGCCCTGCGGGGTGCTTCCCGCGTCAACCCACCGCTTCCGGACCACGGTGGTCTCTGGGCCATCGCCTTGAACGGCCGCACACGTCCGACGCAAATCGTCCAGGGAGAGAAAGTGCGTCGTAACGGTTTTGCCTGCGAACAGACCTAGCTCGCCCAGAACGAGGGCGCCCGTGCAGACCGAGACGATCCATCGGCTGTGGAACTTCTCGCTCAGGTTTCCATCGAGCTGTGCGAATGCTTGCACGACAGGTGCGAGGCCGGGCACCGCGGCATGGACGTCTTTGCCCATGCCACCGGGAACGATCAAGATGTCATAGCTAGCCAGCAATGTGGCGTTGTTTTCGAGGAGCTCGTCGAAGCTGTGGTGCCGCTTCATGATGATGTTCTCCAGCGCGGTGGTGTGTTCCGTGGCGGAGGCGATGGCGGCGGTGTAGGTCGCGCCGAGACCTTTCAGGACATCATTGTGGTTGAAGATTTCTATGGGCCCATTGACGTCGAGGGTGTTGAAATTGGGAAAGAGGAGGAAGAGGACGGAGGCGACGTTGACCATTTTTGTTTCCGGGGAGGTGAGACTGGTTGATTGATGGAAATTTCGAAGGCGTTTCCTGTGATTGTCGATGCAATTCTACCAATGCATTCGCGTTCTGATAACTACGAGCGTAGAAGTTTATGTATAATAGGAATGGCAGAGGTGACGGCGCCAGAACCTTGTTTATCTACATGCCCAGGTGTGTACGAACAAGAAGCCCTCCGTGAGATCGCAAGGATGGTTTTACGACGGATCATTATTATACCCCTGAGCTGATGTGGCAGTCCTCGTGGCTGCCCGTGCCCACGGCGGTGCGCAGATTCGGCTCCGCAATGACGAGCTGTGACTCACGATGAGCAAGTTTTGGTACCACACTATTGGAGAAATATCAAGACGCTCGAACAACAGGCAATTAGGTGGAAAATACCAAGAGAGTTCATGAGGTATTGTAAACAAAATCGGACCTGCCGAGGTGTGTGGCTTGCTGCGGACGCATGTGCATATGGGCTTCGGCGTTGTCCGCTCTGATTACGTTGTGTGAAAGCTCCAAGGACAGGCGAATACTTCGCGTCACCCAACACTCTTGTCTATGCCATTCATATTAGGATAGATCGATACGCATCATTCGTAACATCGACTGGTTCGCACTGCATGAACAAGTTCTCTGATGTTGGCTCCATATATTTTCCCAACATTACATGATTGATCGATGAGAAACCCGTAGGCTCCAGTGAGGAAGGTATATGGTTTGCACATCGCGGGTCTCCGTCATTGTTGTTAGATAGAGACTTTGCATCTGTCTTTTATGAGCACTCACCAGCATCGACATAAATTTAGAAAGATCTACCTAGGTATCGAGTGTGCACGTTGCATTTCGGCGTGGGATTCGACGAGAGCTGTGATTCGGATGAGCAGAACACTTCTAGTCCTGGAGAGCATCTTTACCCAGCACACTTGGCATGTTTGACATTGCCAATGAACGACCTTGATTCACCTTTCGAGATTCGCCTTCAGCGACGCTTCCGGCATGACATCAGACCATGTAGTCTTGCACAAAGCTGTCGAGGATACCAACGATGCTTGCTTCATGCTCAGGTCAAGTTACCTTCCGAATGGTTGACCAGATGGCTATTCGGTTACCCTCCGAGTGATCATCGAGCTTTCCAATGGAAAAGGCCACCGATTGCAAATGGCCTTTTGGTAGCACTCCACCCCGGAGCTCTACAGCGATTCACCATTACGCATAGCAACGCATAAAGATGTCCATCATGCCCACGCTATCATTCACAGATCTTGGCTGTCAACGTGTGTTATGTTTGTGAAACCGCCCATCAGAAGTTGAATGGCAACACGAGAACGCATCTCCGAATACATAGGTAGGCAGCCAAGAACTCGGCGTTATCCGATCACAACGGTCGATGAAGATTGAACCCCTTTCGGTCGGGTCGCATGGCAGAGGTCGGCTTTGTTGATCAACTCAAGAGTTGCACGATGCCCGCCGGATCTAGCATTGGATGTCCAGCTGACGATCCGATCGTCACCGCCAGATCTGGACGCGACCTGTGTTGCGTTTCACAAGGTATCGCAAACCATTATTCGGGACCTGCTGACATGCCTGTGAGACGCAGAGCGACTGCACCAGGCTGGAAAGATATCTCGCTGAGATGCGCTAATGAGCTAAATCGGCGTAGGAAGGGTTCCTAGCTCATGTGTGATGGATGTCTGTGAGACAGGAACGTCGTCGATCCGACGCGAAGAACATTCTCCAGTAGAGTCGGCTTCAATGATACATGCAGTATCAACGGTCCCGTGCACGCGAGGCGGCTGAATGCATGTCGTCCACGTTTCCGTTAGATAAAACCTATTGTACTAATGTACCTCAATCATGAATCATGTGCTGGTTAGTGTAGGTGGCTTTCATTATGATTGAATAGCACATACGAGGATCGTCGTTGTCTAGTGACTTGGGATGAGGGGATTGGTCCTGTATCTAATAAGATGATATTATTGTCTGGGTGGGGCACGCGGCGGGTGGCTTGACCTACCACAGATGCCCGCGGGCAGATGGATGCAGATGTGCTGACTCGTTCCGCTCCGTTCGTTGGACTCCAGGGCTTCGAGGGCTGGACAAGCTCGCATGAGGAGCCTAAGTTCCTTTGGGCCCTTTCTCCATCAATCCATGTTTCGCAAATCGCACAACTTAGACGTGTGTCATCACTACGAACGATCCATGTCGGTCTGTTCACATCGGACAATGAAAGACGAGCTGGACGATGAACCTCTGGACCTGTATGCGTTTTATCATCTCACAAACGTATGTCCACAGCCTCCATTTAGGACTGGTTTACCACCCTTCGGCCAGTACAAATGATTGGTGACAACGCCACACGAGCTGATTCGAGGGAGGAGATGATCTGCACTCATCAATGCATACGGTATGATGAGTCTGTATGACAATCCTGCGCGATAACAACCGTCTCGAAACGGCGATAATGCTGTCACGACATAATGACCAGCAAGCATTTCATCGCACCCTCTCGAGTCGTTCTGCACCAATCTCCGTCCAATTCAACCAATCAAGCCACTCAAGATCGTCCCGCCTGGCGTTGCTTGATTACACGCGCTTTACCTGTCAAGGCAGGAGACCGAACTCGTCTTAAAAGCTTACACTCAATCCAGTATGGCCGCCGGGCTATCATTCTGGCTCTGATAGCGACAACACCTTTAATTATGCGGATTAGTACCTGCATCTGTATGTGCTGCGACTGTCTGATGTGACGATGTGATACTACAGGCTCGGCAAAATGATTGCGGCACAGTCTCTAGGGATATATATCCCGTCGTATCTCTTGTTGAAAATGTCTCTACTCCGAGTACCTCAGCGATTGAACCCGGCACGATGCAGATTCACGTGCGAGCGTCTGTCATTGGCGTGCTGACCCTTGCCACCGCAGCGATTGCGGCACCCAAGCAAGCGTGGTAGGTCATTGCATGCTATGTTCTTCAAAGAGGGATCTTGCTGGCCGAGATGTTCGGTCAAAGCGTGTTCCTAATATAATCTACTCAGGCCTGATCATAGTCCCTACATTCCTCATCAATACACTCGTCCTTCGCCAACAAAATATGGACACGCGACTACCACAAGTCCTTTGAGCTATGGTTCAGGTGGACACACATCATCGTCCACGACAATCCCAACGAGTTTAGGCCCATGTGGCCAAGTGTCTGCACTGGCATCTTCCTTCTTAGTCGCAAGTCCTAAAGCCACTCCGACGGTGCCTGCTCAGCTAGCATACGAATGTATAAACTCTGTGCCGTTCAACCAGTCTGCAGCACTGGCGTACATGGATTCGATTCGGCCGTATGTCGACTGGCAGACATCGATCGAGTATCTGAAGAATCCGCCCAGTGAATATGCTAGCAAGATTCAGCCAGCATACGATTTCTATGCCAATTGGAATTCCATTCGCAGCAAAGCCGCTGCTGGCTCGTATGCTAGCGAGTATGCTTTTGGCCATGACATCTATGAGGCCTTTCACCTGGCCCACGATGGCCATTTCGTTATCTACACGGACAGCTACAACTCTGTCTTTTCCTATGGTCGCAAGACTCCGCTTGTGTCGGTATCGCTTGATGGCGTGAGCATTCCTCAGGTCTTCGTCTACCAGGATATCCTCCAATACGTGTCCAGTAACTCGACAGGCCGCAAGCCCAGTCCCTTGAAGTTGATCAACGGCCAGGACAGCACCGAATGGCTTCTCAACTTCTCGCAAGTCGGAAGCCTCCAGGACAGAGATGCTCTGTGGAACAATATGTTCTATCTTCTAGGTCAAGTCTCGCTCGGTTCGTCCGGCTCGGGAACTGGAACGTTTGCCGGTAATGGACGAGGACGATGGTCTTATCCCGGACCTACCACGTCGCTTACATTTGTCAATGGCACGACCGTCGTCTTGGACAACTTCGCCCGCGTGCTGAAGCCTTTTGATGGTATTCAGACTGGCGCCGATATCTATCGCCAGTTCTTTGCTGTGCCTGCAGGAGCTGTTCAACCCGCTGCAGCAGCTGCTGCTCCGACGAGTTCATCAGAATCATCAAGTGTGTCTACAACAGTGCCTTCGAGTGCACCCACATCCGCAGCTGCTTCGACCAAGGCTGCACCTCCCGGATATCCTTCGCCGATCGTCCGGGAAAAGAACAATCTCAACTCGGGCTACTTCCTCTCTGGCGCCGGTTACGATGATGTAGCAGTGCTCAGTGTACCATCGTTCGTTTCGACCGGCCCTGATGAGATACCTTTCCAACAGACGAATGAAATTTTGATAAATCGAGCCATCGCAGGTATGTGCAATGCTCTTCGACATAAGGTGTCCACACAGCTAACAAACAGACAGAGAACAAGACCAAGCTCATCATCGATGTGTCCGCCAATGGTGGTGGTACGATTCTTCAAGGTTATGATCTTTTCAAACAGCTGTTCCCTCACATCCTACCCTACGGCGCTACACGGTTCCGAGCTCACGAAGCATTCGATTACATTGGACAGGAAACCAGTTACTTTTCTGGCTTAGTCCCAAGAAGTCTGGACACTAATGATACCGTACAGGGGCTAGTCTCGAGTGCCTTCAACTACCGCACGGATACCGACATCGATTACAAGCCATTCACCAGCTGGGCTGAGAAGTATGGACCGCATGCATATGGTCCTCAACCGGACAACTTCACAAGCATCATTCGTTGGAACCTCAGCGATGTCCTGACCCCGGACAATTCTGGTGGAATCTACGTCTCTGGCTATCTCGAACGTGCAAACATCACGAAGCAGCCATTCAAGGCTGAGAACATCATTATCGTATATGATGGATACTGTGCTAGCACATGTACGATCTTTAGTGAGCTCATGCGACAGCAGGCAGGCGTGAAGACAATCGCGCTTGGCGGGCGTCCCAATAAGGACATTATCCAAGCGGTTGGCGGAATCAAGGGCACCAATGACTTTCCCATTGACGACATTTTCTTCTACGCCCAAGTACCGTACGCCTACCAATACAAGCATTCGGCAGCATTCTACAACAAAACCGCACTGGGCGAGTACAATGACCTTGTGCTCATCCGGTCAGCTGCCACGGCTATGAACGTCCGGGATGGCATCCGCCAGGGTGATACCACAGGCACACCGCTTCAATTCCGATATGAGCCTGCAGATTGCAGAATCTACTACACTCCTGCTATGGCAGTGGATCAGACCGCTGCATGGAAGACGGTTGCTGATACCGCATTCAACGGCAAGAATCATTGTATCGCCGGTGGATTGAAAACATATGGTGCTGCGAGTGCCGCGGCGGGACAGGGCCGTGTCCAGGCAGAACAGGCATTTGAACCAGTCTCTGCGAGTGGCGATGTTGACTATGAGGCTCATTTCAGAGCGATCGACGAGGTCTGGACGGGACGAGGCGGCGTGGAGCAAAGAGCAAATTCGGTCATGTTGTTGTAGACGATGGATGAACTAAGTTCGCGATGGTGAAAGTTACACATGAAGTATACAATGTATGAAGGATTTTCTCTCTCTCCTCATCAAGCAGATCGCGGCCAACCTACCACGGAGATCTCCGTGCATGCAATACGTTGACGTACAGGCCGGCATCTGTGTAGCCGCGGCAACTGCTCCGCCCATGCTATTGAACTTGCCAATCGGACGAGTCCCCGGCTGCTTTCGTGACGGTGAAGGAGGAACGAAAATAACGGTGTGATCCATGTACCAGACGTGGATGGGCTGACAAGTGTTTTATCCTCAAGCGATGGGACACGAAGCCCAACTCCCGAGCCCGAGTCCGAGTTGCAGAGGGAAATGCATTCCCACCCGGCATATCGATTCCTACGTGGCTTCCCTAGCCGGACCAAACATGCAGATTGTTGACGATGGATGATGAAAGGTCGGCGAAAAGTTCCCACGCATACCAACAATCAAGATCCGTCGTCTCATCTCACGCAATGCATATATTTCATGCATGCACGCACTCATCCCGCGCATATGAATGCAGCAGAACAGCCATGCGGCCTTGCAGCAGGGGCATTTGCAGCACACATTCACGCATCCAAGAGCCGGCTCGCCAATCCCCGGTCCTGGGGAGAAATATCCCTTGTGTTGTCGCTGGGTCACGCCGTTTTCCCTCTGTACGACACCATTGCCCATACCACACCCATCATCTTTATTCCCTGCCCGACAGATTTCTCAGCCTTGTAAATATTGCAATTATGCAACGCATCCCGTGCACGAGTTGACGCGCGAGCCAGATCATCGGAAATTTCCTCCCTTGCCACAATTTTGTCGGCTCGGTCGCACTCCGATGCGTTTCCTTTTCCATTTTCTGCCCACGCGACAAGCGTCCCATTCAGTCTGTTCTGGCGCGGAGAGTTTCGTCCGCATATCCTTCTCGGTGACCGAAGAGTATGATGATGTTTACAGACGACCTCGACCGTCATGGTCAGACGCTATCCTATCTACCGATATCGGAAATGCTTGTCCGGACGACATCACGCGAGTCTAGAGCAGTCTTCTAATGAGTAAGTTCCCTCCTCTCGTGATCGAAAATGGAAAGGCCGCGCCTTGGGTCACATTCGGCGGCGGACTTTCATCTTCTGTGGTAGAGGCTACTGTAGGATGATGAGAACGAGGACTGATAGACAATGGTCACGTCACCGGTGATTTCACCGCCTCGGCGCAAAAGCTGTCCGTGTACAGCATCTCGACAGCCGGCATCGCATGCTGGGAACCCCTCATTTCGTACCACGTTGCATTGAGGATCGACCAACGACGGCGTCGTCGACGATGTGACGATGGACTCCCGGGGCGACAAGGGCTGCCGTGGCCGCAATTAGACTGCATGAAAAACTGGTCAGCAGACTCGTGATAATGGATCTCAATCGATGCAGATTTTGTGCGATGGTATGCACGATAAATTGAATTCTCTGGGCAACATGCTGCTGCGGCGACGATCTCCTCTCTGTAGCCACCAAACAGGGTTGAACATCATCATCGTAACAAGATTGATAACAAGCGAGATTCGATGGTGATCGATTTCGCGATTGAGGGTGCCATGTTCGCGCAAGAGATGGACCGATATGATACAGCACATGCATACGCCTGCGATCTACAGTCAACGTGAGTCCAGATACACTCGTTCTTACAAATATAAACAACACTTTATCAGCGTGTGCATGCAATGCAAGTCAACACATGCCCACGCCGATCCTCCCCGGCCGGGGCCAACACGCGCAGTAGCAGGCAGTAGTGCCATCACAAGTAGCCCGCGCTTCGAAAGCCCGATCCTCGAAGAATGAGGTGTGTTTTCCAATTGGACGGAACGGTCTCCCATTGGTCAGGGGAAGCTCGGAAGTTGCTCCCCGAAGAACGGGGGAGGGGCGGACTCGTCAATCCGATTCTCTCTCTCTGTCGTACGCATGGGGAATCGTCCGACAAGGTTTCGAAATAATTTTTCTCGGCGTTATGTGCGCTCGGGATCATCATCATCATCATGCATCTCCCTACCTAGGTAGTACACCCACAGTACTCGTATACAGTACTTGGGATTCCGGGCGGTAAGTCTGAATGGATTGCTACGACCACGTGCGGGAGTCGGAGCCTCGTAGCCATCAATGATGTGATGTGATGATGAGGCTTCTCTCGCCCGGCTTGCATATCTGCCGGGCGTGTACATGTAGCACGACATCGACAGGAAACGCCCCACAATGCAGATACTTTTCACGGACCGAACGCTCCGCCGTGTTGTATCGATCACATGGATGATCTTCATTAAGGACTCCGCTATGATTTTCCGTCGCTGTCATAGGCGCCCCTTGTGACTCAGTATGATGCAGTGGTCCATCTCACATCCGTCGGGCAGGACAGGGATGCACGAAGGCTTTTGCGTTCCCCGTTCGCCGGGATCGTGACATGGGTACATGGAGAGAAAACACCACCCCTATTGGGAAAGAGCGAAAACGCCCCAGTAGTTCCCGCAAACACGGGCGGAGGCGCGACCCAGCCCTTCGCGGGAGGACATTCCTCCCGCGGTGACGACGACGACAATGCACGACGTCGTTCGAGCGTTGCATGAAACGTACAGTAGACAAGGACTGGCTCTCCATGAGAAAAAAACCTGATCTCTCCGTATGCGAAATTGGATTATTGGACAATCCCACGCGCGCCGCAGCCAGAAACCTGCGAAGGAGCCAATGGTTGAGTAACAGAAGGGAGACCGGATGGCATGATACGTCTATTATTCCATCGTCACTATCACTCCCGAAGAGGACGTACGCGGAACATTGCAGGAAGTCGCTTACACCCGTATGTGTTTCGTGTGGCAATCACAATGCAATATGCAGTGACATACAGGAGATGGGATACAGCCGACGGTCATCACGTTATCAGATTGCTATGCCGGTAATGAAGTTTGATACCGCACTTATTCGACGAGAACCGTGTTGTTACCATGATTAAGTCGTCTGTGGGATGATGAAGCGATGCATTGGGAGTCGTGCGGTACGTGGCACCGGCACTTGTCGTCGTGACCCAAACAGACAGCACAGGAAAGCTCTTTCTGCCTCGGCGATACTGCAGTACCAGCGATGAAGGAGGAGATGTCGAATGTCCGTATGGATCGATCCAGGAACAGAGAACGAGGAGGAGACGTTCTCGCCCGCCGAGGAGTCGATGAGTCACTTGTAGTGTGTTCCACCATCAGTAGTGTACTTGGAATCCAAATGTCGAGAGTAGATTGCGATCATGATCATGATGATGGCGATACGAAAGGACGCATGCGGCAGTTGTAATGATGATCGAGACTGTCACGTCTAGCATAGCCTACAAATTGTTACATGCGATACATTCGGACGGGATGAAATGAGGCTACAGGATTTAAGATCAAGCCCTGACCGGGACATGCAGCCGCGGATCTGCGTTCCGGAATTTCCAAGACATCCTCGTCAGGCCCCAACGGCACGCTACCACCACACCGGCCGTTTCTCTCCCTCCGACACAATGTTTATTCAGGCGTTTCGACGATGGTATTGTTCGTCACCAACTCGGTTGCCGTGAGTGTGGGACAGTGACCAGTATACTCGCTCTGCCGAACGGATTCGAGCACCGTGCCTGACAGACCGACCACCCACGGCGCGGTACCGTCCAGCATCAACAGCATCACCACTATCCGTGCACTGCTTCAGTCCACTCGCTCCGCTCGTGCACCACAACTCAACGTCCACAACGGTTCAACGTCCACAGGCTCGTCGTGACCATCATCGCCATCGAGATGACGCTCTGCACGCTCGTTGCCATCAATATCCTGCATTAGACGGAGCCATACTGGCATCAAACGACGTTTGAAGCCATTAATTACCGCCTTTGAATGCCTCGAAGTCATGTCTATAACATTTAATACAAGATTCAGTCGTTTACGACGATCCTTTACCTTCTCACGAGCAAGTACTTTATCAGCCTTCTCTGCCTCTTTTTGACGTCTTTTTTGGATGACTTGACGTGCTTGTGCTGCAGTAAGGACTCCTCCATTCTGTAGATACTGGCGCTTCATCGAGCGACGCTGATTGCGTACGTTCTGGGCAACCGTCGTATGTTGAAGTTCATCTACAGCCTCAGCTCCAGCGATTGCTATGGCGTATGCGCCACGGAAGATCCTCTGAAGCTGCTGCGTCGCTATAGGCTGGTCAGCTAGAGCAGAAGCAATGAATTGGCTCTGAGTACGTGCCAGAGTCCGTACTGTACGTGGTGTTGTAATCATCGTCGTCTCTAACGTAGCCTGATCAACTGGAGTTGCTGGCCGCGCGAGTGTTGCTGCTTTCTCTCTAAGGCTTGAAAGAACAACGTTTGGATTGAATGGATAAAGGCCAGTCTTTGCAAAGCCAGCACGTATTGTATCCGGCTTCATAGTCTTCTGTCTAAAGCCCTCGAAGGCAGCGAGGAACTCTGTCTTATTGAAGTCAATACAGCCGCTGCGCGTAGCATAGTCAACTGCTTCTGAATGCCAGTGTTTGAACGGCTGAAATATGGCTACGTCAAGCGGCTGCATAAGATGCGACATGTGCGGCGGCAATACAAGAGGTATAATAGCATGTTGCTCACAGAACTCGACGAACTCGAGGGTATAGTGAGATCCATATCCGTCGAAGACAAGTAATCGCTTCACGCCACGCTGGAGTCTTCGCGACTGCTCCTCCCAATGATACAGCCACTGGAGCGTCAGAGCGTCTGTTGTATAGCCTGTGTCGCTCAAAGCAAGCATTGTAGCTGAATGGAGCTCTGTGAACCACGCGTCTTGAAGTCGTTTGCCAGGGAGGATCACCATCGGCTGGATTGTTGCGCCAGCTGCGCTAATGGCCTCAACAACCGTCACTGTCTCGCGATTGTTAGAGCTCGGCGTCCAATTACGCTGCTCCGGATGCTGCGTTAGCACGTGCTGCGTACGTGCCATACCAACACGAAAGCCAGTCTCATCCATGTTCCAAATGTCGTCTGGAGGTATGCCTTCGGTCCGGACGATCTCTTCGAAGCGAGAATACCATAATCCAATACGGCCTGGCTGCTCTGCTGCTGCACGTACTGCATCAAGTGATCGTGATGGACGCTTATACCACTCAGGGTGGCGTGAAATGAAGCGTGAGACCCACATCTTCGAGACGTCTGGCGCTGGCCCTTCGAGATTGTGGCATCTAGCTAGGATCGAATTGGCAGTCTTATGCACGTCGACAACGCGCGCAGACACACCTATCTTATCACATCGCTTTAGCCACGTTATTAAGGCCTCTTCTTGAGCGTTATCCAGCTTCCTATTAGCTGGTTGCCTTGTAGACTTGCTTTTCAATCCACGAGCGCGTCGTTGGAGTCGCTTGTACGAAACTCTAAACTCCTTTGCTAACGTAGTCAGAGGGCCCTCAAATTCAGTCTCCTCGCGCCAGAGGAGTGCAGCATTGATACGAGCCTCTTCTTCAGCGTATTCAGCCATGTTGTGATGGATACAAAGACGCGTTCAATCTACAATCCTATTAAGTCGCATCGTGGACGTTGAACCGTTGTGGACGTTGAGTTGTGGTGCACGAGCGGAGCGAGTGGACTGAAGCAGTGCACGGATACCGCAACCACCACAACCACCACAACCACCATCACCACCATCACCACCACCATGGCCATTCTCAAACGCCCGTTTCCCAATCCTTCTACCATACACTTACACCACCATCCACACCCGCAACCCCACTAGAAACGTACTCGACGCCACCCCTTCTCCTCTCTCCCTCACTCTGGCCCTACAGTACGTTGCCTTGCGCGCCCGTTGACCGATCGGTACTTTCGGCTCGTCTTCCGATTGTCTCCCGCGGGCGTCCTTCAATTGAGCGGTCAACGACTCCTCCGGTTCCACAAGACACTTTGTGCCGGGTCCGGCGTTTCCTCCCTCAGCCCAGATGACAGCCCTGCTCCATTGGAGACACGTCGGTTCCAGCGTGGGGCATGGCCATGACGAAACACTACTAAAACCTGGTGAAGCGCCGTCGTCCGGACATTGTTTCCACTGACCAGCACACCTTCTGAACCATATCCCACGCCAGCCCTTTCCAATATACATATCTTTGCGACGGCAACGCCAAATTATCGGTCTTTCTCACCATTACGCCTCACTAAGCTTAACTCAAGATCCTTCACTCGAACATCAGCCTCACGAATACACAAGGCTGTCTTTATTGTTCTTGGTCCGCACATCAATCATTTCACTTCACAAACTGCACAACATGCCGTTCGTGCTCGAAGAATTCAACGACTGTATCACCATGGCTCAGGACAAAACGCAAGATCTTCACTCCACTGCGCATGGTCTCCCATCACCAACTGCGACCCACAATGGAGAAGCTTGCCAGACACAAGACGCTCGTCGCGCTTCAATCAAGTCCGAGAACAACACAGAGTCACACTTTCAATTCTCCGATTCAACAAGCGAGTCTGATTCAAAATACTACGACTACGACGAGGAAGAAGAGGAAGTTGAAGAATAGTAAGAATATCACTTCTCCACATCTTCACTTCGAACAATGTTTTCTAACCTGCAGTTATAGCAATCAAGAATGCATTCAGAGAATGATCGAGCTCGTCTCTGCCAACGATGCTGCTCTCACCCAACTTAGTCGGCGCTTCGATTATCTTAACAACCGACTCAGCAAACTTGAAAACGCCATGGAGACATCCAAGAATGCGACTCCGTCATCAGGAGACAAGTCAAAACCTATGTCAACGAGCACTTCCCGCGGCAGCTGAAGCTTGAACTATGAATCATGAATTTCGAATCACGCTCACTGCCCAAAATTCGGTGCCAGACCATGAGCGAACGTGGAAGTCCTTGCCGTGCAGGCGATGCCACGTGCCGGCGGAGATTACAAACCTCGCGCTCGACCAGCCAGTGTCATGATCGCGATGCTTATATCAAAGTTCCGAACCCGACTCAACCGATGAGACGATCTTATTATTTGAAAAGAAAACGGAGCTTCCACTCACTTAATTCCACTTACAAGAACGACATGCTCTCTACTCAAAACTGACACGATTCAAGAAATTGCCGCTTCTGATCCACACGCATACAATCCAAATTTACATAATTAAGACCCGTCAGTCGAATTCACACGACTTTCCCCTCACATCCTATCACGCGGAAGGACTTTCTGTCCGGTCACTGTCATTTTTTTCCCTTCCGGCGTTGAACAGCGGGGTTGTATCCGCACGTTTCCTGCGCCCGGATATGCTCGCCAGGCTACGCGTGCGCACGAGAGAGTGAGATAGTTCGCGATACCCAATTTGTACATTTTGACCCGAGAAAGGGGCTTGTGGCGGAGCTTTTTCTTCATCTTGCTCGGTTCATGAAAACACGGCCGGTGGTGTAATGAGTGTGGGAAGGGAGGCACGATTGAAAATTCTCCTGCGATACCAATAGATCTCTTGTTATTCTTAACACAAATTGAAATGTGTCCCCCGAGAGTACTTCCGATGAAGAGTAAATGAGACAATTTTTCCCCTGGAAAAGGTGGCCAGTGATCTACCATGCTATTTCCACGTCCAAGAAAATTTGCAATCGTTCCTACCCTGCCTAGGCACCCAGGAGGACATTTATGCGATGGCTTTACGACGCCGTGTGTACGTATGCGCCGTTCTGGAAACAGGAGATAGACAGGCAATGATCAAAGCAATATCGTGGTATTTCTGCGAGTTTTGAATACTTTGTACGAATCGCTAGACAGAAAACGAACCCGTTCTACAACTATGAAAACGCCCCAAATCGCCAGAGAGGCCGGAATCATCGACGGCGCGAAGCCTGCCTACGATCCCTTCTTTTCTCTTTCAATGACCAAACTCCTCCACGTTAACGTACATATCCTTCCCTGTAACAGCCATGCAAAACACCGCCGTCGAAACACGAGGCCAACCAAGAAAATTTTCACCTTCAGCCATATCTCTAAAATGGGAACCCGCCTCCAAACTGGAATTGATGCCCATTCGCCTGACCACCCGCAGAGAATTTGAACCCGCTGCCGCCGCCACGGCCGCCTTGCTGGAAGAACATCTGCTGGCCGCCAAACGGACTACCCTGGAAAGGATTGCCCTGCTGGTTCGCCATCGGATCGTTGGGATCGTCGCCGCGGTCGAAGCGCTCGCGGAGTTCCGGGTCCGAGAGGACTTCGTAGGCCTCGTTGATCTCGCTCATTTTCTTCTGGGCGACTTCCTGGCTGATGCCGTTGCTGGCGGCCTTGTCCGGGTGGTGCAGGACGGTGAGTTTGCGGAAGGCGCGCTTGATGTCGCGGGCGTCAGCGTCGCGGGTGATGCCGAGGACTTTGTAGTAGTCTTTGGTTTTGCTGCGTTTGAGGAGCGTGTGGGCTTTGTGGAGGAGGTCGTTGAGTTTCTGGGAGGAGTTCTCGCCGTGCGCTTCTTTGGCGCTGTTGAGCGTGCTTATGGCGGGCTCGAAGTCGTCGGCGTCGAGTTGCCGTTGCGCTTTGGAGAGGAGGGCGTGGAGGGAGGTCGGATTCCAGGTCAGTGCTTCGTCGCAGTACTGGGCGGATTTCTTCGCGTTGTTCATTTCGCTGTAGGCTTCGCAGGTCTTTTCGATGAGAGTCGCGTAGAGCGCGTTGGTGGCTTGTTCGTGAATGTAGCCTCTCTCCCGGAAGGAGTTGGTGTCGTCCTTGATTTCTTGGAGGAGACCTGGCTCATCATCGCCTTGCGGAACGAGAAGCTTCACAGCCGTGGCGTATTGCCGTCTCTCGAAGAACTTATCGAGCTTCTTGACTGTGCGATCGATCGCCTTGAGGCTCTTGCGCAACGCCGCGCACTCTTTGTTGTCGGGGTCGTTGTGTAGGCACTTTGCGATGGCTGTCAGGCCTTTTTCCGTCTCGCCCAAGGAATAGAATGTCATAGCGGCTATCCTTAGATGTGGCTCGGTCAAAGCAGGATTGATCTGTGCGACGTGGTAGAGGTCAGCGATGCCCTCCATGACCTCGCCCTTGGCGAACCGACATCGTGCCCGCCGTTGTCGCAGCTCTGGTGCTGTGCCGGCAACGACGATGGCAATTCCCGCGTTCGTCACACATGCTTCCCAGTCTTTAGCAGCTTCGGCGTCTGCCGCCAATTTCTCTGCGCCCTCGGCCTGCACGAGATCCTCCATCTCCTGGCCATCCGGCCTCTTTGCCTCAATGTAATCCGCTTTCGCGCCTGCCCAGTCGGCTTTGCGACTCTTAATCTTCGCTCGCTGCAACAAAGCACCTTCAAAGCCCGGCTTCAGTTGCAGGACCTGGTCGAAGTCGCGACTTGCGTGGACGTTCTTGCCCACTGACAAGTATGCTGCGCCGCGTTTAAAGAGGGTGAGGTAGTTTTTGGGGTCTTTCTGAATGGCGACATCGAAATAGACGAGCGCATCTTGCGCATTGCCCTGGGCGAGATTGGCATTGGCGCTGGCAAGAAGTTGTGAAACGGGAGTATCAGATGGGATATCACTGGCGGACAAGGCGGAAGCGAATGGGGTGGCGGAAAGGCACAAGGCCCCAAGCGCGACGGTCGACAAGCGAACAATCATGACGACGGTGATATCGATTGCATGTAGGCGGCTGGGTGTCGAACAGATGTAACGAGCGTCCGGAGCAATTGAGAAGACGCAATGGTTGAGGCGCAAGTGGATGTGGACTCTTTTCAATCGCACGTGCTATTGAGTGTCAGTCAGTGGTGTATGCACGCCTGGGAAGATGCAAGCTGGCGCAAAAGCTAGCGTCGAGTGAAGTATGACCACATTTGGAAATGGTAGGATTATCACTATTGTTACCATGCCATAAAAGTCTATAGTACTGGATTTAGCAGCCTCAAACCCCCCAATACCTACCTAAGGCAGTGCCAATCAATTCGAGCGGCGGCAGCGGGCGTCTGGACCCTGACACATGGAAGAAGGTACTCGCTACGGTGGACTGACCGACAGGTGGAAGATGATGAATCCTTTGGTATTCCGTTCAGAGCCAGCCATTCCAGAACTCACCTGGGTATGATGTCGTCATGCTTACGATATACTTCGGAGAAGCTACTGGAGTCATTCGTGGGAATGACGCCTGCCCGGGCGATGAGCTGCAATCGGATGAATGATGATGTGAACTGGCGATGTTCAACTGTCCAGCGATGTCGACGAGGAGCAGACTTCACCATTGTTGGTTGAGAGGCCTAGACTGGAAGATGAGATCCGTCTCCACTACAGTAGACTACTGGACTGCAGAGGAATCGTACCACTATCGTCGACCCTGCTCCTGCCACCGTCTTGTAGTCTGCATAAGGAAGGCTGTAGTATAATAAGCCTATTACCGTCTCTGAGAATTCCGTCCTAATGTATATTATGGACTGGTCACGATTGGCAAAGAATGATCTTTCCCATCGCTAGAAATTTGCTACAATCATAATTGAAGGCAATCGTTGAGCCGATACGTGCCACCATTCGTTGCACATCAGTTGCGCACGCGTGTTGTCCCCACGCGACCAACACCACATCCAGACCCTTTGCCATTCGCGCATCCCGTTGACTGTCGAGATCTCCACCATTCACACTCCCTCTCAATAAAGATCGCAACGAGGCCATGGCGGCACTGCGACTGCACATCGACGGCGAAACCTTCCGGGATCCTGAGAATCGTCAAATCATCCTGCACGGCATCAACATCGCGGGCGACTCCAAATTCCCGCACTCGCCTGACGTCCCATCGCATGTCTTGGAGCACTTCTACGATGGCGACGACGTTTCATTCGTCAATCGACCCTTTGCAGAATCCGAGGCTGACGCCCACTTTTCTCGTTTGCGCTCATGGGGATTCAACACCATTCGCTACATCTTCACCTGGGAGGCGCTTGAGCACGCCGGGCCTGGCAAATACGATGAAAAGTTCATAGACCACACTATCGCCATCCTGAGGAAAGCAAAAGAGTATGGATTCTACATCTTCATGGACCCGCACCAGGACGTCTGGTCACGCTTCACTGCTGGCTCGGGCGCTCCATTATGGACGTTATACGCATGTGGCCTGGACCCAACCCATTTCAGTGCTACCGAGGCCGCTCTCGTCCAGAATACATGGCCCGATCCAGCGAGCTTTCCCAAGATGATCTGGGCGACAAACTACACCCGCCTGGCTGTCCAGACTATTTCCACTCTCTTCTTCGCTGGTCGGGACTTTGCGCCCAAATGCATCATAGATGGCAAGAACATTCAGGACTATCTACAAGGACATTTCGTTGACGCTTGCAAGTATTTGGCGCAGCGCATTCATGATGCTGGTGGACTACATGGAGACGTCGTAATCGGTTACGAGACGATGAACGAACCAAACAAGGGCTACGTCGGACATCCTGACCTTAGCAAAGTGCCTGCCGACCAGAAACTGCGCAAAGGGACCTCGCCGACCGCCTTGCAATCCTTCTTGACCGGCTCCGGACGAGCAGTCGAGGTTGAGGTTTGGAATTTCGGCAGCCTTGGTCCCTACAAAAGCGGCTCACAGCTTATCGATCCGAAAGGAGTATCTGCCTGGCTAGACTCGGATTGGGCGGACAAGAAGTATGGTTGGGAGCGTGGTTCGGATTGGAAGTTGGGCACCTGCATCTGGGCACAACACGGCGTTTGGGATCCTGAGACTGGAGACCTACTACAACCACAATATTTCACCAAACTACCACAGTCTGCAAACGATGAAAGCGCAGCTGAGATTGATCAGGAATACTGGACAAACCATTACTTCATGCATTTCTATCGGTTATACAGAGACGCCATTCGAGAAGTATGGCAAGACAGCTCTCTCCTCATCCAACCTTCGCCTTTCGAAATTCCTCCCAACATTCGCGGCACACCGGATGGCGACGACAAAAACATGATTTTCGCATCGCATTTCTACGACGGCATCACTTTGATCATGAAGAAATGGAACAAAGTCTGGAACGTTGATGTTCTTGGAGTGCTACGAGGACGATACTCGAATCCTGCATTCGCCATCAAACTCGGAGAGACGGCAATCCGCAACTGCTTCCGCGACCAGCTACGAGAGATCAGACGGGAAGGCGACGAAAACATGGGCATTCACCCTGCGTTATACACTGAGATCGGTATCCCATACGACATGGATGACCAGTATGCCTACAAGACTGGTGACTACTCAAGTCAGTCCGCAGCCATTGATGCCAATTTCTTTGCTGTCGAAGGTAGCGGTGTATCCGGCTCGACCTGGTGGGTCTACACGGCCACAAACTCTCATTACTGGGGAGACAATTGGAACGGCGAGGATCTATCAATTTACTCCGCAGAGGATCTCCCCTTGCCGGAGCCCTCTACCAGCGGGAGTCATCTCAGTGCGGATCCTCACAGCCCATCATACTCAGCCAGTCAGTCCAGCCTCCCCATTACTCCCTCGAGCATACAAAAGACCATGACCGTTGACGCCATGACTTCAGATCGCATCAGCAGCAGCAGCAACGCCAACACGGGCGACCAACCCAACAACACCATCACCAGCACCAACGACGCCGAACCCAAAAAGGGCTACCGCGCCGCCGAAGCCTATGTCCGACCCGTCCCCATCTCCGTCCACGGCACAATAAACACCTACGGATTTGACTTGCGCAATTGCACCTTCAACCTCACCTTAATCGCCAGCACCCCCACCAACAAGGACTTCCCCACAGAGATCTTCCTTCCGGCCTACCACTTCCCCCAAGCCCAGGGCAAGACGATTGTGGAGGTCAGTGGCGGCAAATGGGAGATCTCCATCGTCCCGGTCGGCGATAATGCCACGCGCCAGGTTTTGCGATGGTGGCATGCCGAGGGCGAGCAGAAACTTGTGGTCCATGGTGTGAAGCGGAGGAGAGGACAGGTTGGCGATCAGCAGATCGAGGGTGAGGCCGGAGACAGTGCTGGCTACGTGGAGACGTTGTTTAGGATGTTTGGAGGCCGCGGCTAGAGGTGTGCTTGGGACGAATGTTTTTTCTTATCAATAATTGCATCAGGGCTGGGATTTTGTGACTTTGATTCACTCTGCCCAATGACGATACACGACATTATCCTAAGTATTTCCGCATCAATATGATATAGCACTCCGACTGAGCGCATGCAGTCGCCACCTGATAATATCAATGACACCCCGAGCCACCATCCATGCTACAATTACAGATGAACTTTGCATCCCAAACTTCACAACCAGCAGCCCTGGCTTTGTCTCAATACGATTCTCTGATGCCCTGCCCATCCCTCGTACTTTCATACGCCACAAATGAAAAAGGAAAGTCATCGCCCTTGCCGTGCACATCTCGACGTCTCTCCTCACGCCGAAGACGAAGGCGGTCTTTCTGCCAAATCCCGGCATCGAGCACAGCCCATCTGCCCGAGGACGTTGCGAATGACCTGCGCGTGAGCGACCTTGGCGCCAACGCTCCTCGTACCGCCAACATCGCCGTCGTCGGCCGTGACGTCTTCCAGCTGCACTAGCATCGCGCGGGCCGCGGATGAGTCTTTGGTATCGGGGTGCGCGTCGATTAGACACGGCAGGTGGTAGACGTGGCCGCAGGTGAACCCTAGCAGGATTTGCTTCTCGTCCTCGTGGAAGATGTCCTCGCAGCCGGAGCAGTGGCCGGGTTGGACGACTTTCCGCGCTACGATGGCGGCAGAGGCTGGTCTTTTGGTGGATTTGCTTTGTGGGGTTGGGAGGTTGTCATTGTTGTCGTCTCCCAATTTGATTGCGGTTTTTTCGGAGACTTGTAGAGGGACGTCTTTGACTTCGATTTCGACTTCGTTGGCAGTTTCGTGGATGACTTGGAAGGAAACGCCTTTCCTTCGTCCGGCTCGCAGGATGTCCATGCCGGCAGTGACTTCTCCACGTAACACTCTAGCTACGCCTTCGGAGATGCTCATCTGTATTTCGAATTCGCGGATGAATTTCCACAATCCGCGCTTGAGGCCTTCGATCTCGAGACCTTCGGGAATGCGGCGCACGACATCGATAGGATCAAACTCGCTGCCGAGACTCACAGCTCCGACTTCTTCCAGCAGACCGGTGATGAATGTGGGTTTGTCCATGGAGTAATCCAACAGGTCGCCCCACAAATCCGGATGCTCTTTGGCGAAACCAATGGCCTGTTTGACATCGCCGAGCTCACCAATGATCAGACTCAATGCTCGTTTGGTCTCTCCTGTTTTGCTCAGAATGTGAACGAGCTCGGGGATATAATGTCTGCGCTCGAAGATTTCCGTCGCTCTTCCAAGACTGTAGCGCTCGCTCTTCTGAATGAAGGTCAAGAGAAGAGGGCGGTCGTACTCGGCAAACAGTGATACTGCCAGGTCGGCAAAGTCATCGACGAGAGCATGGCCGTCGTCCACGGCGCCGAAGTTTCGCCATCGGCTGCGGGTGAGCGCCGTGCCTTTACTACTGTTCCAGAGCGCCCGAAGGTAGAAATACAGAAAAGGTTGGAACGCATCGCCTTTCCGTTGTAGTTGGTCAATCACGACAGCAGTGGGGACCGTCCCGCGTTGAGCCTCGTCAGCCAATAGTTGAATAGCCTCCGAGGTACCCTCCTCCAGCTCGCTCAGCGGGGCGGATCGTATCTGCTGCTTACTGATACGAAGCATGATCAGCCCAGGGATATCCTCTGTGACAGTGTCGAGCAGCTTTGCTTCCCGGACGAGCGCAAATGCTCTATCCGCATCTTGCAGCCGAATGTAGCATCGTAATGCATCTCGTGCACGACCATCAGCCAGATACAGTTTTGCGAGAGACTCCATGAGAATGCGCCAGTCATTGCTGTCCTCTGCGACCTCGTCACTCGCCAGCCTTTCTTCGATTGTGGAGATGACGCTTCGAACGTCAAATAGCTCGGGATCCCATTGGTCTAAAAGCTGCGCCAGCCTCTTCCGGTCTGTGAAGATGTAGTGGCCTAGTACGACCTCATATACCCTGCTGGGTAGTGGCGTTTGGTCGTCGTTCGTCGCGGGAATGTACGGCGTGATTTCATCAAATTTCTCTGCTTGCGCAAATGTCCAGACCCAATGCTCCCACCGATTGCTGTTGCCGAGGACTTTTCCGGCAATCTTGCCAGCCTCGACCCAGTTATCGTCTGCAATGAGCTGCGCCAGCCACAGTTGTCCGATACGGCGTTTTTCCTGTTCCGCTCGGCGTATTGCGAATGGCGAGCCATCAACCCCGCCGAACTGCGAGCTATTGTCATCGGCGAAGAAATCTGCAAGGCTTCCTTTCTGGCCCTGCTGTTCGGTGCCGCTGCTTTTTGTTGGTGAACCTGGCTTTGAACCTGCAGACACGAATTGATCAACGGCAGATGCTGACTTGTCAGCGATATTGGGATGCTTGTCGATCAGGTGCCATGCATTCGCATACTGTTGACGCTCGAGCAGCCACGCCAGATGGTCCGTCAGCTCACGTCGAACCGCCAACACGCAGTCGTAGGGACTAAACATGAACAGTTTCAGCCCAGCCTCGAGTGCATATGGATGTGCGGCTGTAGGCTTCTTTTTCGGCTCTGGTGTGGCGGTCACGTCTTTCCCGGAGGACGTGTTTTGCGAAACAAAGGAATGCGCCCGGCTCGCCCGACCCGGGCTGTCGTTACTCCTCACACTAGTCGCTGATGTGAATATGCGACTAACATAGACTCCGCTTGCTGCATCCCATATACCCTCCAACGCGCCCTTCGCCAGAGTATCCTTGGCAGCCTTGGTGGATTGTGGAGCTGGCGGAGGAATATAGACCGTTCCCAAATGATAGTCTTGGCTTGAAAGGGTCTCGAAACGGGAGATATTGGACAATTCATCCAGATCGACTTCTTCGCCATTGATCACGTTGACCAGGCGCAGCTGCGGCGCTAACCCAGTGTGCCTATGCTGGCGACCCTTGAGCGCGGCTTTTGCAGTCTGCGCGTTGCCCTCTTTACCTGATGCTGCAGGGGCCGCGAGAGGTTTGTCGTTGTCGTCCCTTGTCCGGTATGCAAGAATTGCAAGGAGTGTTGGGGTGTAGAACGCAATGCCTGACACGATGCAGTCCACAAAATGTAGTTTGTGGATGATATCCGCGCTACCGACCTGTCGCTTGCCAGAGCTGGTTGTGGCGTTAGTAGAGTGCACATGAAGCAACCACGCTGTATCACCCCATCCCACGACGAGCTTCTCAAATTTCGCCGATTTCTTCGTCTTGCTTGTCGCGGCTTTGTCGTCCTCGGCTTCGGGGATTTGCTCGTCGGCCTCGAGGCTCTTGTCATCCACCCATTCACAACGGCCCTTCCAGACTCCCGCCATTTCTTCCCATATCTTTTTGTTCGGCTTCTGTGCATGTGCAATTCTGCGCCATGCGTCCTCGCTGTCCTCGCTTCCTAGCTTCAAATGACTCCGCATAACCTTTATTCCCTCCTCATTGATCCAGGCGACCCACTTTCCGCTCAAGCTCCATTTGATTGAGCTGATTGCTCCCTCTCCTGAATGCAAGATCTGATCACGGCCAGTATTACTACCGAGACCGATCGCTCCTAGCCATCCCGAAGCCGCAGCCGCGGCGCTGTTCGTGTTGGCATCGGTGCTCACGCCTGATTTACCCCCAACGGTCATGATGAGATTACCAGCAAGCCCACCCGAAAGATACGTTCGGTCATTCTTGTAATCCGGGGACAGCGCGACCGCGTTGACTGGTCGCGCAAAGTTTCGTAGCTGTACATCCTCGACATTGACCAACGACTGGATACAAACATGTCCGTCGAGTGAAGACGTTGCGATGTAGATGTTATTGCTGGGCGTGTTTGGTATCACCTGTGGCGGCGATTGTGTTGTGCGAGTACTGCGTCCGTTGTTCGTGGCGGGAGGTTTCTTCGCCGCGGTCGTCGATGTGCTTGAGGCGGGTTGAAAGACTGCCAAATTTCCACCCTCAGCGCGCATCAAGACCGGAGGCGGCGGCACCGGTGATACAGAGACACTGGTGACACTGGCTTGGTGTGCGCGATATGTCCGCAGAGTCTGAAGCGTCGGTATTGACGAGACATGTATACTCCCACTGTGGGTTCCAACTACCATCTTGTCTCCGGCGACGATGAACGCGGATGTCGAGTCACCATTGCGATAGACATTGGCCAAGCTCCCAGTCAACTTTGCGTATTTCAGTTTCGGCTCCTCCTCTTCGTCCCCATCCTCGTCAGTCAACTCGTCCGTGTTCATGTGTGCTTTGTGTCCGACATCCTTGTTAGATGTGACGTCCTGCTCGGCGACGTCATTGTTGTTACTTGCAATCGCGGACGTGACTTTCGCTCCAGTAGCGTCCTTGTTGTTCTCCTCTGCCGGGGAGTCGGCTGACATGCTGCAGGCATGGAGAGCCCGCTCCGTCGAGATGACCCTAGTCCTGGACAGTAATGAGTTGTTGTACGAGTGATCTATGAAAATGAGAGACTCGGCGCAGTCCATGTAACGGGCTTGGACAAGCCCGAGCTCCTAGCGTGTTTGGAGTGCTCCGAGCCGCCGCCCGCATGCCGCGGTGACCACCAAACCAACTGAAACTCTCGTTAAATCCAAACCAGCTCGATCTTTGCTCATAATCATGTCGAGTTTCCAATGTGCCAATCAACAATGTCGCAAGTGATAAGACTCAGCATCCGGTCAAGAAGATCACGACCTTGAAACGCGCCGATGTAGACGCGATCGCTCGTCCGAAAGAACCTTGAAAAGGCTACAGATGACTCAGCCAGTTGCTATCTCGTGTATACTACACTTTCAAAGCATTTCGTTCTGTAGGACCGAGCGATGGATCTTGATTGGGATTTGCCATCGAACGATGCGTGAGCTATTTGATGTAGGCTCCTTGATTGGCACACGTACACATGCCGCACCGGAAAGCCGCTTTGTTCTTTTATGAATTGGCAATACTCTTAATTTACAAATTTACTCTCTAATAAAAATTGCTGATAATTCTCGCAGAACCAATCGACTCCCTGCTCCCGGCAACCTTGCATAATGCGTTCGTTCATTCGTATTTTTACAAGATGGATTCCGAACATGTTATCGGCGACTTTCGGTTCGTGGCGCGCTTTCAAACTCAACTTCTGCTCTTGCCCAACTCGCTTTGAGCAGTGGACGTTGGCCCTCCCTTGACTCGTTCACCTCCAGTGATATTCTTCTCGCCCTCAGTGATATCGTGGAGGACCTGGCTCGTGATTGGCTCCTTGGCATGCGATTGTGCCTTCGCAGTAGGGCCATCCTTCACGGCGTGATCCTCGCCAGTGATCTTCTTCTCGGCAGCAGTGATCTTGGACAACGTGGCTGAGTCGAGAGTGCCAGAATGGTCCTCGGAGGGATTGGAGGAGTTGGCTGTTGCATTGCCATTACTGTTGGGCTTCGTACCTAAGCTACCAGTGGTGAGAACGCGCTGCAGGACGGACGTCGGGCCTCCCTGGTTTGGACCAACGGATCCGGTAAGTGCTTTTTCGGCCTCTGTCACCTCACGAATGATTTCAGCGGTGAGCTCTTTGTGTACGTGCGACTGGACACGAGCTGTCGGGCCTTGCGATACTGGGCCGTCTTTCTTGGTGATTCTCTTCTCTGCGTCGGTGACTTGTGAGAGGAGTTGTGAGTCGATGATATAGGACATCGTGAATGTTGTGCTGAAAGCGCGATGAGCGATGGAAGCTGATGTCACGCGTACTATCACAGGCGCACAGACATGGGCGCTTTTAAAGAGAGACGCCATAGTTAAGGATGAAGTTGGATGGAGATGATTTAAATTCCTAGCTTGACAAAAGATCGCTGCTGTCTTCAGATGTTTGAAGTTGAATGATAAGGGAAATTGCCCAGGTGTATTGATGACGAGGAATGATCTAGAGGACGAAGAAAGATGCAGTTACGGTCTATATCATGACAAGGTAATAATGACTAGAGTTCATAGATGCAGATGAAGTGGTCATGGAAGGCAAATAACGACGGCATTGTGATATCACAGCAAGTTTGTGCCTGGACCGTAGTGTCGTTCCCGCACGATGGTCGTTGAGGAACGCTTCGATCTCACTGTTCGATCGCCAGTGCGAGACTACGTCTTGGTCCCGATCTCCTCGATACAGAACTATAATGATTCCGTGGCGATTGATTGTATCGCTTCATGTCCTGGCGCACTTCAGATGGTCGTGCCTCATGTTCTGCCAGTTCTGTGATGATGAAATTCACAGGTGTTGCAGGTGTCAATTGATACCTGGGTAAATACCCTGGAAGGTGATGATGTCAGAGCCTCGCAACGCGTGTATACAGGTGCCCTAAATACATTAATCGATCGCGAAACGCGCCTCAACCGCGTGGGCGTTCCCTCAGGGCCACGGGATCCATCTTTTTTATCGAAAGCATCTCTCATTCACAACGTCTTCTAGTTACCGAATAAGCAGTGATCGGGAGTTTATATTGGTGATCAGGCCTGCGTGCGATAGTCTTGACTGGAGAAGATCGCGGGTTGAAATGTAGCGCACGTCTCGATGAAGGATCTCACATGTCAAAAAGAATTAGCACCACCCTCAATTTATTAGACACCTGCATCAATCCTCCGCTTGTGGTATCTAACTTTTCAAAACACTCCATTATATCAGGACGAAGTCTAACATTGAATGCGCATTTTGTACCATTTATTCCATCAGCGTTGTCTGAGAGACCTTGAAGAGCGTAACTGCATCATCGCTTAAAATGATTGCGAGCAAGCCTGCGACGTGGCTCGCATTTCGCGATGTCGTGCATTCCTCATTGATGCGAGCAGTGGCGCCTTCCGCATCAGTGCACAACTTCCACCTCCATTCGCTACGATCTCGTGGCTCACTTCCACCACGGTCTTCAGTGACCAGACATTTCCATAACATCGTTCCGCGCAGCAATACACAGAAAGGCAGCCTAGACAATGATGGCCCGACTGCCGCGAGAGAGTCCGTCGACCGCGGTGGGAATCGCAACAAACGTAAACCGAGCAATAAGCGGCCGCTGGACTCAGGGACATCTTTACGAAAAGTAGCAGTACAGGCGCAATTTTCGCGCCAAAGTCTCATCAAGGGTAGCGGGAAGTTACAGTACATCGATCCGGATGTGCCAACAAAGGACATCACCGCGTATTGCGCGGCCGACATATACGATCTTCGACTTGCGCGCGGAGAGCTAGAAAGAGAAGGATATCAACTTGATCCAGTGCGTACAGGCCTTGGTGATCAAGTGCTGCATTTCCAGACGCCCAACTATCTGACGCGGCATGAAGAGACCGGAGAAGAGAAGGCACAGGGTGCAGGTGATGTCTTCGTGTTTCCGTCAGGATGCGTGGTGACATGGAACGTTCCCGATCACCTGTCACGTACCATCGTTACACGATTTCTACCATCAGCAGCAGGTCGAACAGGCCATTTGGAGCGTATGGAAGCGGAAGACATGGAATACATTGAGGACGAACGCATGGAGAAGAGTCAGGTGATAGGGGACACCATTCTGCTAGGAACCAAGCAGACCTCAAATTCGTCAGAGGACGGCGCTCGAAACAAGGCTGCCATTGATATTGCGACCGGCGGAATGGAGCAAACTCGAGAACCTGGCGCTGATATTGATACGATCTTGACAAAGATTGCATTCTCTTCAGCTCTGGCGCGAAGCACGAAGCTTGCCGTGTTAGAGGAGAGTCTCAGTGCATACTTTATATCAACACGAAGCATTCCATCGACGCTCTCAACAGGTCGACCGATTCGCATCACTCGAAGGCACATCCTTCGCAAAACAGGCGAATTGCTGTCGATTCGGGCGCAGTTGAATCTCTATTCAGAATTGACCGACTCGTTGCCAGACCTCTTCTGGGACAGTCGACATGAGTTAGGTCTTGAGGGCTACTACGACATTCTCGGCAGATCCCTCGATGTGGGCGTAAGGATCAAAGTACTCAATGAGAAAATGGACTACGCAGGAGAGATCGCGGCGGTCTTACGAGAGCGACTGAGCGAGAAGCACTCGGCTATGCTCGAGTGGATGATCATCGGCCTTATTTGTATTGAGGTAGGCTTTGGAATCGTACATCTCGTCCGTGAGAAGACGGAGATGGAGGAGATGAGGCGCACGCGCGAGTTGGCGGAGCAATGGTTGGAAAGGCAGCTGATGTCCGACCTGGACAAGAAGTGATAGATAGAAATGACGACAGGAATCCAGATGACAATGTTGGGTAATTCTGAAGCAAAGAATCATCATAGCTATCAGTCTACAGTATTCGATATAGTGACAGCTATTGTTTCGAGAGTTGCGCGATGCCGAAACGAACCCGAACCCAACAATCAATCGTGAGTGACAGGCGAAAATCCGGGGACTCCAATGCTCGCACTCGTTCCCAGTGGCTCAAAGCGGGCAATCAGCCGAGCGCCCCCTCCTTTGTTACGTGGATAGTCGCCTACTTAGGTACTGTATGTTTTGTAAGGCTGGATGGTGGGTAAGTGATGCGGCATTGATGAATCGTGACCTTGTGATCAGGCATCCGCATATAATCTAGGGATCACGGTCATTCACTCCATAGACACAATTGGTAATTACAAACATACCTAGGTATATAGGTCAAACCGACTACCCGTCGAATTGGCTTTCGCCTTGTATATCTTCCCGCATTCACAACTTGCATTCTTTTTACACTGCATCACGACATCATGCATAAATCACTGCTTCTTCCCGTCATCGCTATCGTGGCATTGACTGTCTACAAGGTCTTCTCAATAATTGTCAATCGTCGAAAGGATGCCGACTTTGCCCGCCAGCACAACTGCCAGCCAGCGCCTGCTGTCACCTGGGATGGCTTCCTCGGCATCAAGGTCATCAAGGAAATGCAAGCCGCCGACCAGAAGAACATGTTCATGAACCTTCTCAACGACCGTGTGTCGCAAATGAGCGAAAAAGTGGGCAGATACTGTCCTACGTTCTCCTACCGAGTCCTCGGCAAACAAGGCTTCTTCACTGCCGATCCGAAGAACATCCAGGCCATCCTTGCGCACCAATTTGAGGATTTTGAGCTGGGCGCTTTGAGGCGGAAGGTCATGGGAGAGCCCTTAGGTGATGGCATCGTGAGTATCTCTCGCCACACATCTCGCACAACGAAGCAGCGAGTCGCGGTTGATGGTTCGACCATCAATTGTGCAACACTGCAATACACTTCGACAGAAACTCAGCTAACCTTACAACTAAACTCAGTTCGTGCAAGACGGCAAAAAGTGGGAACACAGCCGAGCTCTGCTCAGACCTAATTTTGTCCGCGATCAAGTCTCTGATCTCGACATGGAAGAGAGACATGTCCAAGATCTCTTCACCGTCATGCCGGTGCAGCAAGACGGCTGGACTGATATGACTAATGTCCAAGAATTGTTCTTCCGTCTAACGATCGACACGGCTACGGAGTTCCTTTTCGTATGTTCTTTACTCTCCCGCCAACGATTTACAGCTCATTGACTCGTTGACTATCAGGGCGAATCGACGAACACGCAAGTAACGACGTCAAATAAGAACCAGACCGATTCAAAGGGCAGATGGGATGAGCGAGCCTTTGCTAAACACTTCGACTCCGTTCAAAGACACATGTCATCCAAGTTCAGATATGGTGACCTTCACTGGCTACACAATCCTAAGGAATATCAAGAAGACATTAAGATCATCAACGAATTCATCAGCTATTACGTCGACCTCGCATTGACAAAGAGCACAGATCGAAAACCCGATACAAAGGGCGAAAAGTACGTCTTCCTCGAGGCGTTGGCCGCTCAAACCCAGGACCCTGTAGCACTTCGCGCACAGCTGTTGAACATTCTTCTTGCCGGCCGCGATACCACAGCGTCACTCCTAAGTTGGACCTTCCACGAGCTGGTCCGCAATCCTGAGATCTTTGAGAAATTGCGTCGGGCCATCCTCTCGGACTTTGGGCCCTATTCCACCGACGACCTCTCCGCAATCACCTTCTCCAGCTTGAAGTCTTGCACGTACCTGCAACACACCCTTTCCGAGGCTTTGCGACTCTGGCCAGTCGTTCCAGGAAATTCACGCCGCAGTAACAAGAGAACCACGCTTCCTCGCGGCGGCGGGCCCGATGGTCTCTCGCCTGTTTTCATCCCACCAGAAACACAGGTAGACTACAGTGTCTACACGATGATGCGCCGGAAAGATCTCTGGGGCGAGGATGCAGACAAATTCCGACCTGAGCGCTTCGAGGGCCGGAAACCTGGGTAAGCTATTCCAATCGCAGTCCCTCCCATGCGGAGACTCGTTGACAAACGTGAGACTAATCCGAATCTAGTTGGGACTATCTTCCATTCAACGGCGGCGCTCGACTTTGCATTGGACAGCAGCTGGCTCTGACAGAGGCGGCATACGTCGTAGCACGAATCTTGCAGAAATTCGATAAGATCGAGGCCCATCCGGGAGATTTCGAGGCGATCACTACACAGAACTTGACCCTCACCAGCTGCCCTGCGAAACCGGTCAGGTTGCGGGCGAGGGAGGCGAAGGCATGAACAAAGTCATTCTGCATATTGTGTTTGATTGCTGCATTTTGACAATCTAGTCATTGCGATGGCGGATAAATACTTCACGAATGCATGTCGACTATTCCCGTCATGAGCCGCAAGGCATGTCGTTGAGCATGTTCGTTGTGGTGCTCTTGCAAAACTTCAAAAGTTTGCTTTCCAACGTGATGTGAGATGGAGAAGGTATGGACAAAGTGCTCATGTGAGAGAGACCTAGTCGAGAGATAATGTTCCGTAGATGTAGAATTGCCGGCCGTGAATTCGCGATGACCACAAGCCGGGTACGTTTTCAACGTCGTGCTGCTACGCGAATGTACTCCATTGGGAGTAGAATTCCAATGCAAAGAAATCCAGTAATGAGTAGCCCGCAACGACGAGACAATATCAATTTTACTGCGATCATCAGGAAGACATGCCGGGGCAAGTCCGGAGGGTCTCAAGCTAAGCCTCGGGAGTCGAATCATAATAATCCTCCATCTGGGTGGAAAGAAAACTGATTCGTCACGCAACACGTCAAAAATGTCAAATTAGCAACGTGACCAACAAACGCCCGAATCACGCAAGACGCAGGGCGCGCCGCCAGAAAGTCTCTCCGCCCGCTGCTACACTTGCATACCTGCATGTGATGATGCAGCCATCTCTGCGGCCGCAAGAAGATCCCCCGCCAAGAAACGCAAAGACATGATTTCCACGTCATGGCAGTTGTGAAACGAATGCCGGATGGGACGTTGGTGCTAAGCAGCCCTGGAGGGCGTGCGAAATTGTCCAACGCCAACGGCGAACGGGCGGGAGGAGCCCAGGGCCAACAAGTGCGGTTTCAGATCGGAGATTATGAGCGATGGTGGATGATCCGATTTTGTGTGGATATTAGATGATGAGCTCTGCGAGAGGCTGGAGTCTGGACTTACCTGGAATTGCATGCAAGTGAGTAGCGGAAGTGTGAGGAGAGTGACAGTTCTGGGAGATGTGCCTCGGACAAGCTTGATGGAAAGTTGGGACTTTTACGTCCAGTACTTCGCTATTGCAATCATCACGCTGTGGTCGCACCGTGGTTGCATGTTGACAGTTCACAAATTCATCGAGGGCAGAAGACGTGATTGACTACCTCGTTGAAACAATAAAAAGATTACATTTCTCTCGTGGGTCTATCAAAGCAGGAAAATAATCGATCGTTGAAAGATCGAAGTCGCTGTGCAAAGCTAAACAGAAAACATAAAAACATAAAACCAAAAAGATCCAGACAAAGTGCGTTGCGGTGGGTATCGATGTTCCTGTAATGGCTGCTCGCGTGGGTGCGGCGCAGTTTTATGTAAAGGTGTCTGATCTATCTTGGGGTGTGATGAAGAGCAATACGAAAGACGGTCTGAGAGGACAGCCGGCATCGTCATGGCGTAAGAGATATGGACCGAGGTGGCGTCAGTGATAGATGAGGCCGCGTCCGGAAGTAAGGACAACCGAGTCAATGTAGAGTTCTCGTTTGGAAACCTGTTCCCGTCGATTTACCCATTCTGGTTGTCGCGCAAATAGAAATGGGGATCTTGCGAAGATCCATGAGGGAGTGGTTGTGATGCAGTATAGCACCAAGAAGGAAACTGTCGTGATAATCATGCCGAGAGAAGATATCGAGGGTGTAGGTGAGGAGTTAGAGGCTGCTTTTACTTGAGATTGCGAGCAGACTCCGATAGAGGCTAGTATGGTGCGACGAGGGATCAAGTTATAGGTAGGCGTAGACTGATGTTGTCGCAAAGCATATCTTGACATTGAAGTCATACTGGACATAGTCCAGTAGGGGTTGCAGGAGCTTGAGCGAGCGGGTCGCTTGTGCGATGGTGCACCACTCCATGCTGTTGAATATTCCGCAGCAATTCAGACATCTGTACTTGGGCACATGGACAGCATTGCGACATAGCTATTCCCTAGCATGTCGGTGAATTGTTGGCGGCAATGAAAGAAGACTACCAGCATTTGAGTCGTCTCGCCCGGTAAAGTATTTTTTGGTACCACCGCAGCCCAGACATGCGATCGGAGCCGTCACTCATGGGAATCGCTGTGAGCTCCTTTTCACTGCCATAAGGTAGAGGATCTAGCGGAAGGGTGCGGGCAGTAGAGTTGGGTAGATTGGGTGTGATGCCCATGGCATGATGTCGGCGAGCCTCAACCACACGACGGACGAGCAATGCGAAAGTCTCTTCGATGTTGACCATCTCGCGGGCGCTGGTCTCCATGAAGCCGAAGTTGCGATTCCGCGCCCATTCGAGACCGTCGCGCGCGCCAACTTGTCGATTGCTCTGTAGGTCGCATTTGTTCCCAGCGACGATGCTCACTGGGAGCGCGCGGCCTACTTCGAGCCTTGCCTCCTTCTCCATCTCGATCAATTGGTTGAAGTATTCGAGGGCCTGTAAGGAGTTGGGGTTGGTGATGTCGTAAACGAGCAGGAAAGCATCTGAGCCGAGGTTCGCCGTTGACCATAAGCCGCGATACTCCTCTTGCCCGGCGGTGTCAGTCAGTTGTAGAGAATAAGTTGTGCCGTCGATGGTACGAGACACAGAGTAGGAGTCTTCGATAGTTGGGTCATATCTAAGCGAAGAAGGTCAGAGCAGGGTTCCAGCATTTGAACCTGGCCGCGAATTCCATCTCTACTCACTCGTGTGTCCATTGACTGCGGACCAGCCGCAGTGTGATGGAAGATTTCCCGCATCCGCCATCACCACACACTGTTATTGATATTTTGTGGTTATCATCCATGATCCGGGTCGATCTGCCCGAGCTCGGTGTATGGTACGCCAGTTTTACGTGCTCGAAGGATCGGCTTCCCTTGGAAGTCGACCGACCTGGGTGATGCGCGTAGATTGATATCAGAGCCTGAAGGGAGATATCGCCACGCGTTGGTGAGATGTGAGGTGTGATCACCGATCCAAGCACAACTGCCCAGTTGTTGTGGTTGTGGTGGTTGTGGATGCGAAGGCGACTGAGATGGGTGTCTTCGTCGTGTGAGCAGGAATATGGTGGTGAAATGAGACACAGGTAGGCTGTTCGAAGCAAGGACAATAGAAGGTCAGTGCATGTAGGTGGTACTGTACAAAAAGGCAACGGCCGAGCAAAAGAGAGTGAGGCTGTGACAGCTTAGACGGGCAAGGAAAATGACTGAGGTGGGAACAAGGAACAAGATTGACAGATGCAGATTCAACAGGGGAGGCGTACCAGGATGCTGTTGAATATATGACTTTCCGGACCTCCTCACAAAGGGAGCACGACGCTCAAAAGATACCGTATCAGCGATGCTGGTGCCGCCGAGCGGAGGAAGACGATGGAGATTCGACGGTGGAAGCCGTTCAGGATGTTTGGCGCGGACAGTCGGTCCGTCGGCGGCAAGGTGCGTTACCTTTCGGACTGGCTCAAAGCCTCGAAAGATGTTGGCGAAGATCGAGGATGTCCTGAGGGATAATTTGCGATGGTGGTGGACTGATGTCGTCGTTCGCGAGAGCCTCAAGCACCACCATGCGAACGCGCAAACCGAACAGCGGCGAGATTGGAAAGGCTGTCGGTCGGTGATTGAGCGCGCGGCAGTGACGATCCACTGCAGTAGGGCACAGAGGACTCCGTGCGCTTCGGCCGATTTTTATCTTGCAGGCACGTGCTTTACATTAGTCGAGGATCAAAAACGGCTGCTGGTGTTGGTGGTGATGGGCGCCTGGTTATTAGTCCAAGTCTTGTTCACTTTCACAGTCTCAATGTCAGCATGTCCTTGATTCGCATGGTGCATGCACTGTGTATCACAGCAAATAAGCCCGCTCCTATGACAAAACGGTGGGATTGTACGGATTTTACCTTTTCTCGATTTCCGCGGCTTGCGCAGGTGAGTGGGTCAGGACAGGAGAGATACAAAAGCAATGATATGACGACGACTCCAAGCCCAGACCGGTACTTCACTTTTCATGATCTGACAGAGGGAGCGAGAGGAGCAATCGAAAAGCCAAGTGAGCGGAACCACCACAATCCCGCGAGCAAAAGTAGTCTCGTATTCATTGCACATCACGAATGTGTTGCACTCAGGAATGTCGAAGGATCTCGCTTCGTACTGTACATGTACTACTGCAGTATGCGTGGTGAGCATCCTCCATCACGGCACCTTTCTTCGCCCCACTCATCACAGCGACGCCCACCTCCTCTCACGGGCATCTGTGATTTTACCGGGATCAATTTCAGAGTAAACGTCTGGCCGCTTACAGGTCGATTGTGGTGGGCATCATAAATCCTTAAGGTGTATGATACCAGCATGTCATGATATGACTTTAGCAAGGAGAATTGTTTATTTGCTTGCGAAGTCATTCATCCCTTCGTGGTATGGACGCCAATGCGTGGTGCGTTCGGGCAATTTCCCCGCATTCGTCGTGAGCCGCGGCACCTTCCCGGCTTGATGAGGTGCTAGATAATTCCTCATGTGATGTGCATGTGCACTCTCTCGACAATGATGTTCGTGGCCATCATACCTGCAGAAGTCCCATCTACAATCACGTCTTTACAGTGTCTTCAATAGTTCAGATACCTGAGCATACCTGGCGTCAAGGAATCGATGGTGTGACATCCGTGTCCATGGAGAGCAGATCATTCATTTGAAATCACGTTCATGGATCAGCCCGGGAATGACCTGAACGTCACGGAAGAAAAAGGGCATCGATATCACCCAGAGTGCGTCACGTCATCAGCGTTCATACGAATACACGACTCACCACACCATCTAATGATTGACTGGTCCCAGTCTTCTGTCTCTTGGAATCACACTTGGCCTCCAAGGCCTGACCGTTCTAGTCGGACAAGGCGTCACAGTATGCGCGCGCCAACAGCGCAAGACGCAGGAGACTGCGACTACTACTAGTCTGCGTGCAGAACAACAACGCTTCTGCAGAAAGTCCGGCTTTGCTTTACTCAACATACTACTGCATCTATTTTATTAAAATAATCAAACACTGCATGATGAATCTCCTCTGAATTATGTCTCCTGGATTAATCTTCGCCAATGGGAAAAGGAGTAGGGGTAGGACCGGAGGCGCGCGGAAATCCGCTGGCCGAGATTTTTCCTCTCGTCATATCTCTTGTTTCACCATTACCGCGTTGTTTTTTTCGCATCCTCTTGATTTTCTAATTCTTTTCTGACATTTTTAATTCTCATCCTCTCAGCAAATCTCTTCATTTTCGATTTTTCATGGTTTTCGTGATTTTCTGATTTCTGCTCACCATCTCCTGCAGGCTCAACAAGCACCCGTTGTTCGTTCGTGCCGCTGCAGCATGGCTGTGATCTACCCGTCTACCTGAACGGTCGTCGCGTGATGGCGTTCCAAGGTTCCATCGATCTCTCCCATCGGCGCGGGGCTGTCATCGTCGCATGCGTCCTCGACGCCGCATCTCTGCGAACCACCTGCACCGAAAGTGGACAGACATACCGGATTTACAGATCAAAGCAGTACGCTGCTGAAGGTCGATCCGGCCATTCAAGGAGATTCTCGTCCAGGTCCGTATATTAGATCGTCGATTTCAAGCACGCACGACAGTGGGTCATCATAGCATCGCACAAGTGTGCTAAGATGCTCAATGCCTGGGTCATCCTTTGGCGACAGCGGACAATCTTTCTCTGTGACGCACAAAGACCGCTGTCACCCCCTCGCCTCAACATGTCACGCCGCACTCACAGATTGCGTTTGGTCAACGTTGTGCAGCAGACTATTGTTGCTGCTACTGCTGGGACTGCAGGTATCCGCAAGAGTGCATATGTGCTTGCGAGCGGGAGAGCCTTCCGGGACCGTAGCGCCGAGGCAAGAACGGGTAGGGCTTAATAGCAAATGCGCATCAATGCCAGCTCATCACTTCAATCCTCCGAACATGCGGCTCGCTACAGAAAATCGCAAACGACAGCTCTCCATTAGAGAATATCTCGAATTGATGTCCAAGCTGGCTATTTGTACTTGTGATCATTTCGCAGTGATGTTTCACTGGCGTCAGTCATCTTGTCTTCCAGCCTTCGGTTCTCGCTAGCGCCCGTTGTGATACATTCGATGCCGCACTGTGTGCGCAATCCGATCGACACTCACGGCCCGACGCGCGAGCTTTCGGTCTGAATTCCTTTCACGAGCAAACGCTACATGCATCATACCTGCCTAGATAGATGTGGTACATGATTTGGATGCCAAATGAAAGAGGACGGACAGATCCATGATCCTGCTCGGAAAATAAATTTGTCTTCTGAAGATCGCCACCAAAAACAATTTTTCCGTGGTTGTTTCGATATCGCGCCGATTATTCTTTCTTCCAAAACGATGTTTGTGGATCAATATGGCAAAACTGTCGGCAGTGAGGATCACTCGGTATTTAATAAAGGTGGAGAGCTTCCCTGTAATTTCCGGTCGTCTGTGTTGCACAGCTAGGGCTTCTCCGTCGAGGTTCACGACACTGGCTCGCCTGAATTTGTGATCAACCAAGAACACGTGGACGAAAGACAAAACCCACTTGCCAAGCACTGCCGATTCCATTTCTATTCAGAATGATAGCTCACTGCTGAATGGAGGTGTGCAAACGAGTCCGATATCGCACAGCGTTACATGAATCCTGTACGTTCCGCTCTGATGAAGCTTTCCGCAAATTTTCTTCCGGAGAAGCAGTGCTGCCCGAAATCCTACATACATGATCCGTCTCACGACGGATCATGCGCTCATAGTGGTCGCGGATGCATTTATTACTCCGAATACACACTTTCCCCCCACCCCCAAACTACTCATTATCATGATTCATTTTGTACGTTCCAGTTTCATGGTGCATTGCATTACATCGTGCGAGAGTCATGCTTGCTGATGTCTCTTCCCTTCCTCTGCGCTATTTCTTGCGTGATGTCTCTTCCTTCTGCTACCTGATTCTTGACCGCCATATTTGGTCATAGCAATCCATGGATGCCTCTGATCACGGCTCTGGCGTTCGTAGCTCACGATTAGGTACGTGGTTGTATTGTCTTTGTGAACGTTCGCACGAACAGTCCTTACGCATGGCATGACACGGCGCTAGTGGTCTCCAGAGCATGTGTACCGTTCAAGAATACACACTACTACTGAACCTTTACTTCGAAGTTCAAGGAAACGATTCCTTTCCCGCGAACGACGGAGTTGATCCTGCAGTACTTCCAAGTACACTTGCTTCGTGCTCCAGAGTGCTTGTCGTCGTAATCTGAACTCGAACAGACGGCTAGCCACGAACATCGTTATTCTTGATATCGAGGAGCAAATGAATGTCTCAGTTCACATCATCCTAGTTTCAAGAAAACTCCGCGAAATATATATAGTCTCTTCGAAGTAGTCTTGTCTGAAGCAATCCATGGTCGCTAAAGTCGTGGTGTTTCAGCAGGGCAATATTCCGGCTGAGACAGCGAATGTGCACGGACCAAGACCCCTCCAACCACTTCCCAGCCACATTTGCGACAGCCCGACGTCAACGCGAGCGCAAGTTATAGGAATTACTGAATTCCGTCGGAAAGCACCCACCACCACTTTCCAACTTCTTCCCAGCAAACGCTCTTCCTTGCTTTCGCCAGACCTCGACCGCGCATTCTTATGTTCATTTGCTGCTTGACGCCTATTCGCACCTCTCGATCATCGACTTGCAAACTGCGCATCGAATTCGCCCGTACAACGCCCCCGCAGCGACACGAAGCTGACGTCTCCGGCGCATCCGTCATCATCCTGATAATATTTCATTTCACTCTTTACCGCTTTGCAAGTTCGCGACCGACCGCACGACGCTTCAACATTTCATAATAGAATATATCAAGATATCGCCTCAGCACCTTCACGCAACTTTCCAATAATCGGCGGCGTAGGACCTTCCATCGAGCGTCCGACTACCACAATTGCCCAGTACAATACGAGGAGCGCGCCCCAAAGTGCCTGGCTATACTTCAATCGGCAGTGGGAAGACACACGCCAACACAAACAAGAGGCGGGATTCAAGGTTGAAACGGCAACATGGCGCGCAGTCAGATCTCTGCTGCCGCTTCGCGGGTCACTTCGCGGGTCGTCGTGCGACAATCATACTACTGGCCTGATTCGCAATTGAACCTGTGGATCATCATAATGCTGGGCACCGGAGGAACATTGATTGGCATTTTCGCAAACTTCATCGTCATTCAAAACACATTGCGATTAGGGATACCTTGGTGAGTGGCTATATTCCACCTTGACTCGTTCAACCGCGTATAAAGCTAACGGGTCTTCGTTATCCAGGATTATGCCTTTCGGGATTGCTGTCGGCGCGCTTACGATACTCTTCATCCTCGGAATGCTCGGTTTAATCGTTCAGCGGAGACTACTACCGGGCGTTCTGATGATCGGTTCCTTCATCTTGCTAGTTCTCTATCTCACAGGCCTGATCGAGACAGCCATCCAGCTGTTCGGCCCGGCTGGCGACATTAACGGTAAATGCCAGACCTACGTCTTTAGCATGCCTAGCACAGGCTTGAGTATCGACACCCTCGGCTGGTTGCAGCAGAACAGCATATGTCAAAGCTGGTCGGCACTGTTTGCTCTCTGGATCATTGGCTCTGTATTCCTTACCTACATGATCGTGCTAGCCGCAAAGGTTGCCCAAGGGACTTTCGGCGACGAGGTTTGATGCTCTTGGTTGTTGCTTTTCTATTACGGCGTTCAGGATTCACAATGTTTTGAGCGCACCAGTCGTGCTATGGGCTTTCCAGGGAGGAGGCTAGGCATTTTTTGGCATACATTGTAAGGCGCAGGCGGATTTCATGTAACTATACCCCGGGAGTCACAAAGTTGACTGGATGTTTGGGCTTGGGAGGCGCATGTTTGACTCATTATGAACTTTGTAGGACATCAAGCAGAACTTTTCTAATCAGCCCCATATCCCGTTCGATGTCGACCTGCCAATTAGAGATGGCGAATCGTGCTGCTGGCTTGCCGTCCCAGCTCGTACCGCTGACGTATATCTTCCGAGTTGCATTGATATTTCGAACGAGATTGGCATTGAGGGCGTCGTCCTGTGCACGGAACAGCGCCACGATATAGACATGCTCGATGGGATCGCGATCTTCTCTACTCAATCCTCCTCTCGGCAAAAGTTGAAGCCTGGGCTCACTGAGAATGAAACTCGCAATGGCACGAGCCAACTTAATCTGCCGCTCAAGAAGCTCGCGGTACCCCTGTTCTCCGTATGCAACCAATGTGCTATAGACTGGCAGTGCCCGAAAACGTCTTGAGTTCTCGATGCCAATGTTCAGAGGTGATGGGATTGTCCGTTCATCGGCCGTCCTCGTTGTGGACCCTGCATTGAGATATGCTGCGTTAGGGTTCTGAAATACTTCAACCCCAACTTCGAGATGTCTGGAGAGAAAGATTCCACAATCATAAGGCTACATCCTGTTAGTACAACATGTCACCAATGTTTTATACGTTAATTGTCCAGAACGTACCACGTTCAGAAGCTTGTGCGCATCTCCGGTGATAGAGTCTGCCAGTTCCAGATCACGTACTCCCTCCGTTATCAGGTCGAATGCTTTATCGTGTTCCGAGATAATTCGAGCCTGGAGGCCGAACGCTGCATCGACGTGAATCCACGCACCATGAGTGTCACACATTCGTCTGATAGTCTCCAGATCTCTACCAATGGTCGCGAATGCCCCCGTATTTACCTCAGCACACGAGATGGCGACAATTGACGCATGTCCAGGTTGACTGAGGGCTGCACTCAACGCGGCCATATCAAATCGATGCGGTGCATCCGAGCGGCCAACGTCCTTGACGGACGAACGACCAAGGCCAACAATAGCGGCAGCCTTCCGCAGCGATGAATGTGGAACGGTGGTAAGGATTTGGACAGTCGTGATCTGGGCAGCCTGCATCGCATCTATCAAACCATGTTCTGCCACGGTCTTGATTGATCGTTGCCGTTTAGCAGCCTCGCGGATTACAAACTCACGTCCACAAGCCAGACCGAGCACATTACTAGCTGTGGCTCCTGTCGTGAACGTCCTGTGTGTCCACTTAACCTCTGGCAATCTCGCGAGATCACAGATCATGCGCAATGCAGAGTCTTCGACATCGGTTGCTATTGTCTCGTGCGGGAGGTGCACTTGGACATTCTGGTCATAATCGGTGACGAACTTGTCCGCCAAACTCGCTGCGACAGTCGAGCCTCCAGTTACGAACCCATAATAATTGGCAGATCGGCTGGAAGAGCTCAGCGCGGGCAGAACGTCCACTTCCAAATGCTCTCGTACAGCGGCGTCACCTAAGCCAGCATGGGGGAGACTGCTGACAAGCCTGGATCTTGCATGACGAATAATCTCGCCTGGCGGGCTCACGTACTGGAGTGCCATCGCCTGCGTGGCCGGCACGACAATGTCGTCCGCAAGTAATCGGACAGCTTCACAGAAAGCTTTGCCTAAACAGTGGCCGTGATTTCTAGGAGGCTTGCAGCTTGGGACCTAGGTAATATGCAAGGTCGCAGGATGTATAGTCCTCATATCGACAATGCTGGGCAAATCGAGATCACGTGAGTGCGCGTCCCCACCCTCCCATCAAGAGGCGCGTCCCACTTTGACGTCGCGACACAGTACATAGCACCTTATCGAAAGAAACTCCATTTACATTACTGCTCTGCGGTCACGGACACTAACAATGCGTCATCCAAATGACGCGGAATAATCTCAACGAACATCTATCTTGGCTGCTGCGGACTCAGGCCTCAATCCCGTCGGCGACAACTTCATTCCCGCCACCGTCTCTGCCTGCGGCACCTGGAAGCCTGCCGGCCATACCACAGGCACCGAGAGAGAATCTCAGAGGCGACAACGACCGGGACGAATCTCTCCGACGTGGTTCAACAGAGTCGACCGCCTATGATGGGCAGGACGTGAAGCAAATGCCTCGAGTTCGAATATGCCCAGGGTCCGAGACAAAGACACCCGCCATACGGACTTTGGGCTTCCAAGAGAAATCTCCGTCTAAAGTCGCTCGGACAATACCGCCGTTACAAGGAGCTGGTGTTCCTCGAGATGATGCTCGATCGGCTTCAAAAGACAGAGCACTCCCACCGGGAAGTCCCGGGAAGAACAGTGCACCGCGCGACATCGAGGTTATGGATCTGACCGACAGCGCGAGCCCTCAGGGAAGAGCAAAAACGGACAGATTTGCGGTCCCGAAAACTGCAGGTCGCAAAAGGAAGTCGGAAGAGTTTGACGCTGGGATACCAAGCGCAGCATCAAGATCTGCGCGAAAACCTTTCCACGATGATGAATTCACTGCGATCGATGAGTCTATAAAGGAGAGCCCTGTAAGGACTGCCAAGATCTCACTTGCGGATCCGCCGCCGCCGTACTCAACGAATCCGTTCAAGATATGCGGCACCCAGATCAAAGCTTCCCCAAAGGCCTCACCGAGTCCGTCGAGGAAGACAAAGCATACTGCACATTCGCCAATTCACGTATTACAGGATTCGGACTCTGATGGAGAGATCCTCAGTTTTGCAGACATTCGGCCACGTACAGAGACGCCTGCCAAGTCAGTGTCATTCGCTCCTCCTCCTCCGATTGCTGCACAGGGGAATTCGAGGCTCGGGACAGACCTGCCCCTCACTCCGCGAGTTCATCACGACAGCGTGACCCAGAATCAGGCAACCGCTGCCGTAGTCCGTGAGAAAACCCAAAACACACCGGGAAGCGCAATGCAGTCCTCCTCGTCGGAGCAATCCGAGGAGAGCATCTGGCTGAAGCGAATCTTCGCCGCACCGGTTAGTACCATCCAGAAAACCCGGCAACGATTGCATGAGCGCATGGACATTCTCAGCGAAGAAGCTGCGGATCGTATGGACGCTGGTCTTGATGACGATCCTGAAACCAGTCTGGAGCTTGACGACCTGCATCATCGAGACACCGCCCTTGAGTCTTTGTTCGAAAAGCGTGCCTCATTCCTGCAGCTCTCTGTGAGGAAAGAGCATCTGATGACGGCTTTGAGACAAGCGGTCAGAGCCCGCAAAGGGGTCGAAGAAGCAAAGGCGGCGAATCTTAAAGCGAAGGCTGAGTTGCAGGAGATGGAGAATGCATGTTCGGAAATACTCCAGCTTTGTCAAGCAGATCTTCAGGATCTATTGAATAAGCCTGTACCTGGGGAGCATTCCCGAACCTTGCAGCAGATTGCGGTGCAATCGACACAGGCTCCTGCTGCCAAACAATATCAGGATGAAGCAATACCAAGCTCAAGCCGTATCGTACAAACACAGACGAGAACGGAAATGCCTCCACCTAGAGATGTGCAAAGGAACATCACGGTCGATTCTAGTTTTGCGGCATCGTCACATGATGTCCGGCCGACTGCTCTTAGGAAAGCGGCTCCCGCGCATCCGCATTACAGTGACACCTCGACCTTCATAGACGACGAGATAAACGATTACGATATGATCGATGCAAGCAGGGACGATTTCAGTAACAGGATGGGGACACCTCCCATGCCTCATGATGACGATGATGACTTCGGGATGGGCGACGATGATGACGTGTGGGAGGTCGCGCAAAACCTTGGGATAAATCATCCCAATAAACCCAATAACGTTATACACGGTCGACAGGTATTCTCAGAAACATCTGGAAACCGGCAGACGAAGCCCGCTTCTGCCACCAAGTCCAAGAAGATGACCGATAAACTTTCTGAAGATCTCGAACGTCGTAACTTCAGTTTTCCTTGGTCTCAGGACGTCAAGCGCGCATTGAAGGAACGCTTCAAGCTTAAAGGCTTTCGTGAGAGCCAAGTGGAAGCGATCAATGCTACTCTTGCAGGCAAGGATGTCTTTGTTCTCATGCCGACCGGAGGAGGCAAATCACTGTGCTATCAATTACCGGCTCTCGTGAGCAGCGGAAAGACAAGAGGCGTGACCGTTGTGGTTTCACCTTTGGTTAGTCTCATGGAAGATCAGGTCGCGCATCTCCAAAAGTTGAACGTCCAGGCCTTTCTAATCAATGGCGATACCTCATATGACCAGCGTGACTTCATCATGGAAAAGTTCGGCGATAGCAACGTGGAAATGTTCATTCAATTGCTCTACGTTACGCCCGAGATGCTGGGCAAAAGTCAGAAAATGCTCAATGCTTTCGAATTACTGCACAGAAATGGACGACTCGCCAGGATCGTCATTGACGAGGCACACTGTGTGAGTCAATGGGGTCACGATTTCCGTCCTGACTATAAAGCGCTCGGAAGCGTTCGACAAAAATTTCCAGGCGTGCCGGTCATGGCATTGACTGCGACAGCGACGGATAATGTTCGAATTGACACAATCCATAATCTCGGCATGAAAGGCTGCGAAGTCTTCAAGAGGAGCTTCAACCGCTCCAATCTATATTACGAAGTTCGAACGAAAGGGAAAGTAGCAGATGATGTGGAAGCCGTCGCAAGCCTCATCAAAGACAAATACCGCAAACAGACCGGAATTGTCTACTGCCTGTCCCGGAAGAACTGCGAAACCTTTGCGAAAGAGCTGAAAGGCAAAGGTATTGGTGCTCATCACTATCACGCAGGATTGAAGCCCGATGAAAAATCCCAAATACAGCGTGATTGGCAATCCGGAAAACATCAGGTCATTGTAGCCACTATTGCCTTCGGTATGGGCATCGACAAAGCTAATGTGCGATTTGTCGTCCACCACAGCATGCCCAAATCATTGGAAGGATACTACCAGGAAACAGGGAGAGCTGGTCGGGATGGGCAGCCCTCAGGATGCTACCTTTTCTACGCATATCGTGACGTTGCCATGCTTCGTAAGATGATCGACCAGAATGAAGATGCGAGCCGTGAACAGAAGAACCGACAGCGCGAAATGTTGACAAGAATGGAATTGTTCTGCTGCAACGAGACAGATTGCAGACGAGTACAGGTGCTCAATTACTTCAACGAGCCTTTCACACGGGATGCCTGCCACGGCCAATGCGACAATTGCAGCTCGAATGCGACGTTCAATTCTGTCGATCTCACAGATTACGCGCAGAAAGCGGTCAGTCTGGTTTCCCGAGCCACTGGTTCAGCGAGTGGACATGACGCGGAAGACTATGATGGATACGGCCGCAAACCGGGTATTAATGTTACTGTCAACCAACTCGTCGATATTCTTCGAGGCAGCGGCAGTAAGAAAATCAAAGATGAGTGGTCTCATGTTGACGAATATGGCGCAGGCAGCGACCTTGATCGTGGCATTGTGGAGCGCATATTTCATCGCCTCCTGAGCGAAGACGTCCTCCGCGAATTGCACGTTGTCAAAGGCGGGTTTCCGCATCAATATGTCTGCCTCGGCCAACGTCGCGAGCAGTACAGCCGTGGAAAGAAATTCGAGATGCAGATCCGTGCATCAGGCAGTGTCAAGAATGTCGGGAGGAAAATTTTGAAGGCGAAGGTCGATGATGCAAGAGCGCGTGCTGGAATGATCTCAGGACCTAGCAGGGCCCGGGAGCTACCAACCTCTACGAATGTGTCATCGCCCGTGCAGGCTGCCACGAAGCGGAAAAAGGCTGCGAGCAAGGCTGGTCTTCACCAGCACGATGCTTTCATTGCATCAGACGACGAGACAGAAGACGATGATGACGATGCATTCGAGCCCATACGGGAAGTTGGCAAGACGCCGATATCGACAGTCAGGCAGCTAGGCCCCCCGATAACTTCCGATCTTGTCATGGATAGCCTGAACGACGTTCACCGAGCCTTGGTCGAGCAATTTGTCGAAGAGGCCGATGCCAAGTGCAAAGACATCATGAAGAAGAAGAGCCTCCGATTTCAGCCATTCACGACCTCGATTTTGCGGGACATGGTAATTGGGTTTACCGATACTGAAGAGAAAATGCTGAAGATCCGTGGCATTGATCCCGAGAAGGTCAGGATTCATGGCAAATCTTTCCTTACAATGGTGGCCAAGTATCGCGACCACTACAATGGAGCCATGCAAGAGGAATTCGATTCGGACGACGACGACCTTAATGGGGTCGTAGACAAGCATGCACAGAACGTGATCAACCTCGTCAGCGATGATGAAGCCGATGAAGACGAGGATAACGAAATAGACAGCATGCCGTCTGATGAGGACGACGACGGGGAGCAAAGCTCCTACTTTCAAACAGCACCGGAGGTGGCTGCTTTCAACGCCCGTCTTTCTCAGGTACAGCCGGGCTTACGAACAACGGCAACATCGGAGGCTACTAAACCTGCCCCTAAGAAACGCAAGAAGTCGACGTGGGTCGCGAAGGGCAGCAGCGCTGCGTCTGCGAATCGAAGCAAGTCTCGGACTGCAAATCTGGACGAATTTCGTTTCGATCCAGGTTCGTCGACGACAACGAAGCGTGCACCGCAACGACGAGTGAAAAATGGGTCTCGAGTTGCCAAGGCTTCAAGCTCACGCAGCGGATCTTTGCAACGCGCCACGGACAGCAATCGAGGGATTTCCATGATGCCCACGTGAATTTGTCATGTGCAGCGACAATCGGCAAGGATAGGACGGAATAGCTTGTTTGGGAATCTTGTATGAACATGTAGATCATCTCTAGACGAGAACGGCCGCCATGATAAAAGCTCGTTTGCGAGAGACACGATTGATGAATGAACGGAGATATACCATGTTTTTTTTTGATGTTGTGCCCGAGACACAATGATCATCTCCACAAGCATGATTGATGATTGATTGATGTAATTTGTGAACGAGCCCCATGCTTATCGATACCCGATGCCCCTCATGAGCGCGCGCTGAAACAGACCGTTTTGCGCTCGGACATGTTGCCCGTTAAATTCGAGCCTCGGAACATCAGCACTTTGAGGAGCCATTGGCGCGAACCCTTCACGAGACTTCAAATTAGTTTTGCGGGTGCCTAATTAAAAACCCACTTGATCGCATATGAGGGAGAGGCTGTGCACACGCAATGCCGCGCTCGGCATTGTCGTGCGTATTTCCACCGCTGACTGCGATGCCTTTTGATCATTCGTTCTTTCTTGAGTGTCATAACAGGAGTGTGCTGTTGCAAGTTCTTCTCGTCACCCACGCCCACCGCTGATCACGCCCCGAACGTTACCGAATGACTGCCTTTGACACCGCGACCGCAACGATGACAGAATCCTACGCCAATAAGATTCCCCAACTTGAGGGCCAGTCCAACTTTAAGATTTGGAAAAATCTCATGAAGATGGCTCTCATCGGCCGCGGCGACTGGCCGTACGTCAACCCGATTGGCGCACGCGCGAGAAAGCCGATCAAGCTCGACGGCGACTCTGACGATATGTACGAGGCACGATTGAGCCAATGGGAGGTCGCAACAAACCGAGCTGCCCTGTTCATCGTCCTCAATTGCTCGCCTGCCATCCAAGAGGTCGTTTCGGACTTTGGGTCCGCGCGAGAAGTCTGGACATGCCTAGACCGACATTACGGTCCCTTCGGCCCGGAGTCGGTGGCCACAGTGGAGGACCGCTTAAGAGATTTGGTATTTGACGGGAGCAACATCGAGCTCTACTGCATGCGATACGAACAGGTCGTCCGCGAGCTTGACGTGCTTGGACGAAAGCCTCGACCAGAGGCGTTGATCTGCGACTTCATCAACCATGTTTCGAAATTCTACCCCAATTGGACGGAACATGAATACTATGAGCTGGGCGAGGGCGACTTTCCATCGCTGGATACGGTCGTGAACCGTCTGTTGACGTGGACAAAGGGTTGAACGCGGCACCAGACAGACCACTATCCCAGCGGTCTTGGCGCGAGTTTCGGAGGTTTCAATATCTGGGACCCGTGACGATCGCGCGGCGCGTCATATGAATGCGTTGATGCATTCTGACTATCAATGATTGCAAATGATGGTCTGCGAGTTTTGGAAAGCAGTGCGATGTTCTGATTTTAGCGATGTGGGCACACACACAGGTGTAGGGGGCCTCATTCGGCTGGGTCATCGGTTGATTCGTCTACGGGACAGACGCGGCATTTTTTTCTTGGATTATCAGCGGCATAAGATCTATCATGAAGGATGACGATAATGAGACAGTATATCCTACACAACCTTGAAAAGCACGTACTTTGACACTTGGCGCTGATTGACGTGTCATGTCACTAGACCGTTCACAAGACTCTCCAGCATCAGAGTGCCCGTTCATGGTTTTGTAATACTTGCTGACCTTCAGCTTGATTTGAGCTACTTCCGAAAGTGAAAGGCTAATATCGCTCCAAGGTGTGCACCAGACGAATATCACGAATTTGAGCAGCTTATTGCCTGTTCCTGATACACCGGCTATTTTTGGTCTTTCGACTTTGAAGATCATTGCATAACTGTAATCATGATGCCCAAAAGACGGCCCTCGCGGTTTATCATTGTGATCATGCTATAAATGGCTTGTTGCCTTGGCAATGGCTAGCTCCTGTGTATTCTCCGTTGTATCACATTTCCAAGACGGCTTTGTCGTGCTGCATCGGGTGTTTGCATGACAGATAACGACCGTGGAGCAGATTCCGCCTCTCTAACTGGAGGCAGCAAATCGAGTGGCCTGACTAGCACACGGGCACCTCTTTGCTCTCTTTCACATGCACCATAGTGGATCGATATTCTCCGCGATCGTTGTGACCGTAGTCAATAATAGATAGAAGCTGCGTTCGACTACAAAGAACATCCGCCTAAACGTCCACAATCCAGCTGAGGGCTTTGCAGAACCTGCTACAACGCTGTCGTTCCTATCTTGACTTGATCATCCTCGAACACAATTGTCACTCTCCAGCACAATCCTGACCTAAAATGCCGTCCAACGATGCTGCCAAAATGCCTGCGGTCTTTGCGTACAGATGACCTCGGGCTTCCGGAGGACGTGGCGCAGCCGTGTTTGTTTTGCGGTTCACAAACCACCTCCCCACAGGCTGATCGCAGCATATCTTGGCAGGTTTCACTGAGAACCTTGGAATGGATACAAAAACACCGTCACCGTCCTTGAATATCTATTTCTTCGCAGTCTCATATCACCGATTCGCTCACAGCTTCAGCCATTCTGCAGAAGCAACGAGACTTGCTGCATTATCTGACTTCATTTCGAACACGCATCATTAGCCTCTATCATGGATGTAAATACATGGTACTCGGTGCAGAATCAAGCCAACGATTACTTTTTAGACACCACTGGCAGTATGTCCAGTGCAGTCTCATGCTTCGTGTGAAAATCAATATTGACGCAACATAGACACCAGCACGGCTCCCATCATACTGTCCAACAAGGGTGCATTATGGCAGTTCCTCCCGAGCAATAGTTCAAAATCGGGTTACTCCATTCGCGCCAAGGGTCCAGATCTCTGTCTGGATATCGGAACCGCTGGTCCATGGACGTTGAATGAATGCGCAAAATCTACAACATGGCTTATCAATCCCTACGCAAACAACGTCGGCGACTCGGGCTTCCTCATGTTGACCACATCCCAAAGTCGATATCTCGGCGCCGTGGGCGTGAGTGAGAGAGAACTTGACGCACCTACAGCGATCCCTGCCGTCGGCAAGGAGAGCAATGTCTTGTGGTCGTTCATTCCAGCAGGCAGGGTTGACAATTCCACCCTGACAACAGTAAGATATCAATTGTGCGCTGGGGTTGTGTCAACGTCTTCCCTCTGCTGATCATCTTTAGGTTCCAACTCAAGCACCGACAAGCCTCTCGACCAGCCCATCATCCTCGCCATTCGTGACGTCTACCTCGCCACCTACGACTCCTGCCTCGCCATCCACGACTTCTACCTCACCAACTACGACTTCTACCGTGCCAGCCGCGACCGCGACCGCGAGTCCCATGTCCCCTTCTAATGGAGGCACAGTGACACCTGCACCTGGGGTTGCTTCTTCAATATTCTCCCGTGATATGTGGATAATTTGGTCTGCTGCTTGCTCTCTGTCTGCCGTGCTTCTATTGCTCTGATGGAAATCGGGTCGAGAGATGTGCTCTCTTGCCATCGCATCTCCGAAAATTTGTCACGAAATCTTCTTGATTCGACAGCAGTCTTTGTAATGTTTAACGAGATTATGTTCTTTTCTTGCCATTCGGGTCATATCCTGAAAACATGCTATTGGACTGGAAAAATAAGGTCAATGAATTCTGACTGCTTCCTAACTCTGCTTCTTTATGACGTAGCATGTTCCCGGCGTATGATCCCATAAAAAGTGATGAAATCACCAATGTAGGAGCGCCGCTTCCGGTGGAAAGCGTGATAGATTCCGTTGGTCGTTCGCGATAAAATATGGCAGTATAAGATGTCAGAATTAATTGAGTTGGTGCTGTGATGAGGGCTTCGCAATCGTCATCGAGTGGGAGGAGCTTGCCGCAGCCCCGAAGATATAGAAATACCTAGGTAAGCAAATGAATGGCTTCCGCAAACCATTGTATGCAGGGCAAATCCCTTTCGTGCCTCTTGCTGCAGGCTCTTGCGCGCTGTTCTCATAGCCTTGCGTTCGACTGAATTGCAATTTCTATTGAGCGACGAGACCTGGACCTTGCATTATATACAAGACGGCTTTGATCCTGCGGCCCATGATTGAAGTTCCACGAAGTTGTTGAGAGCGTCTCCCACGCAGGTCACGGATCATCAACGAGAAGGGTTTGCACCCGATATTAATAGCTCTATGTATAGAATGCCTCGTCTGAAGAGATTTGACGATAAATCATCTCCTAGCCGCTCAAGTTTATGCTCTACGCTAGTCAACGTCTCTTTCCTGAACGCCCGCGCTTGTCTGGGTTCTATCACGTCTACTGCAGGTACCCGCTGACATTCCGATGCTCATCACGCGAAGGACACATTCCACACTCGAGACGCATGAAAAGTGCGCATTTCTTCCCACTTACAAACTTCATTTCAACTTGATCCATCGAAGACGCGATGATATCGTCGACTCGGAGATTTCGGAAACTCCTTGTCGCAACCTGCTTATGTTTCGCGTTATTCACACTGCTATCGCTATGGCAGCCCGCTAGCCGGAGAAGATTGGCGCTATTCACAGGTAAGCCGTCGTTCTTCATTAGCCGGCAGCAAGCCCGGACGGCCAACGCTGACGAAGTCAAACTCAAGGCTCGGGTTTCCGACGCAGTGCAGAGGTGCGAAATCGAAGACTCGCCGTTGAAGCAGGATTCCAACATGCTTGGAATGGATATTCACAACACTGCTTTGGCCGAGATTCATTACATCCTGTAACCAATGCATGCGATGATGACTTCAGCGGGCTTGGGGCAACGGCCATCGATGCCCTCAGCACGGCAATTCTCATGGAGAAACGGGACATTGTCGTACAGATTCTGGAATTCATCGCAGGCATAGAATGGACCAGACTGAATCGACAACATCAACGCATACAGGTATTCGAAATAATTATTCGCCATCTGGGTGGGATGATCTCTGGTTTCGATCTGCTCACTGGTCCATTCGCGCATCTGAATATTGATGAGTCGCTCCTGAACAAGCTCTTCACGCAAATGGTCGCCTTGGGCGACATCCTCGCTTGCGCATTCGACACAGGAAGTCGAGGCGTGCCCAGAAGTTGGCTTGACCCAGCAACGTGCAAAACCGATGATGGCCACTCGAACTCTGTCGCAGGGGTCGGCACAATCATTCTCGAGTTTGCGCGACTTTCAGACCTCACTGATGACGACAAATATGTCACCCTTGCAAGGCGAGCGGAGCAATACCTGATAGATGTGCATGCCAACCAAACGATCCCCGGACTACTTGGTTCATATGTGGACATCGACACAGGAGCAGTGATCGGCACTGACGGAAGCTGGGGAGCTTTCGCAGACTCATACTACGAGTACCTTCTCAAGGCGTATGTCTACGATCGAGATGCTTACCCAGACTATTTGGAAGCTTGGCAGATCTCAGCAGACTCGACTATTCAACACATCGCTTCTCGTCCCTATGGGTTTCCTGAGTGGAATTTACTCCCTTCATGGTCCGGCACGAACCTCCACAACCGAATGGAATCGCTGTCTTGGTTCGCCGGCGGAAATTTCATCCTCGGAGGAATGGTGACGAACAACAAAACGCTCCTCAATTTCGGCCTTTCCGTCGCGGACACTGCAGGTGCAATCTACAACATGACGGCCACAGGTCTTGGCCCGGAGTTCGTGGAGTGGGAACCGGAATGTTACAGTGCTGAGGCCGACTGCGATCCAATCAAATCGATCAGGCTGGCAGACACGAGCTACAAGTCACGACCCGAGGTCGTAGAGACCTGGTATTACGCCTACCGTGCCACGAGGGATCCCAAGTATCGCGAGTGGAGCTGGGCTGCCTTCGAGGCCATGAACAAATACTGCAAGACAGAGTCTGGATTCAGCGCACTTAGCGATGTCAACGCGATTGATGGAGGCAGCAAAGTCGACCTCCAGGAGAGTTTCGTCTTTGCGGAAGTCCTCAAATACGTATATTTGATCTTCGCAGAGGTATGTGCCACTGCGCATTTAAGGATTCAATGGAAGCTGACAAGTTACAATAGGATGATCTGCCGTTTCAGGTGCAAGACAGTAGAGGTTCCCTTAAGAATACATGGGTGTTCAACACAGAGGCGCATCCATTCCAGACGAAGGGCTGGCCCGTGTAGTTGCATCGCCGCGTATAGATGTGGATGAGCACGCAGTCTGGATATTTAGCACAACATTCTTTGCAGTATTTCATTATATGATAAGATTTTCTGAAGGTATCAGAGCCGATCTGTGCACTCGAATACGTCGTGGTACCGCGTATGACCGAAGAAAAAGTGCGAGCTCGAAACCGCGGATCGGAGCATCTCGACTTAAGGACTTGTCTGCTCTCCATCATTGTTGGAAAGCTGCGTAACCAAGGATCATCTCGGCAGCATTTCAAGGCGTCTGTTACACCATGAAGTAAATTTCCATCGCATAATTTGTTCACTAACCTCATCGCGAATCTGGTTCCACTGACCATGTATCCTAGTTGAGGTACAGTCTCCTAATGCACCAATCGAAAATTTAGGATTTGACCACTGAAGTATTGATCCCGTTGTTCTTGTGAGGCGCCGAGAACGTTGACTTTGAGGTTCCTACCAGCACTATACGCGCCCTTTTCAAGTGCCGTTGCTAGGTCGATGTCCCAGGAACCATAGAGTTGTCCGTAACTGGGGTGGAGCTTCTCCCATCCGAATAACAGGCTGAAATCATTCAATGATCCAGACTGTGTTATGCCTTGAGCATACTTGCTGTGCATCTCAACTTTGTATACATGCAGTGCCACTGAACGTATGCTGCGATCAGCGCCTTTCTCAAGCACAGCTTGAGATGCCATATCGTCTACTGGTCCAAGCACTTGTTGTTGTTCGTCGCCAGGCGTTTGAGATTCCGAGGCACTCTCGAAGTCCATTGTTGGCCGTTCGAGACGTTCCGCGAGTAGAGTTCCGATGTCATTGATACTTCTTTCATCCTTCAATGTTAGATGGACGATTCCGCAGTCTTGAAAACCTTGCACATTACGGAGTTGATCCTCTGGAATCCGGCCTTTGAGCAGTACGGTCTCAAAGTGATCGGCAGTCGGCGCCGTGAAGAAGGTTGCATCAGGAAGCCCAAGTTTGTTGTCTTCTTCATCGATGCCAATTTCGCTTGATGTAATATACACAACGTGCTTGTGCACATACTCGTCGGGAAACAGTAAAGGCGCGGGCAGGCTTTTCGCGCCTGCGTCGTGAACACACTCTGCACAACTTTAGCAAGCAGCCGATTACGGTGCAATGTGTTCATCACGAACGATGGTAGCTCGATCCATATGGCGGAGGCTCGTCTTCCATAACGAAGTCGTTGCAGTTCATCTATTCGTTGTTCGAACACGCAAATCCGAGAGGAGTCTCGACGTCGTGGGTAGTGCCACGCAAATTCTTCGTTTCATGGCACTCCTGCCTTACCTTGCGCATCACTTGCACGCATCAATAGCTCACGATCCATTTAAAGCTTCATTCGCATCTTCGGCTGCACCTAACGCGGGGAACCCCAACGCGGTCCATACCCCAACGCGGTCCAAGGCATCAAAGAGCATAGCATTCAACAATTGATTGCTCTACCAA